CTGCAATCAGCAGAGAGGATGAATGGCAGGGTTGTGAAAAGTGAGATGGACTCGGGATCGACCGGGCGCGAGACGGCGGGCAGTCTGTGCGACGCAAGGCTGGGGGAATCGTAGGACTGGCTGGGGGTACGTCACCAGCGATGACGCTCCAAGTGTCTGGGTGAGCTCAATCTTCTCCTGGAGAGCTCAATGGATTGATTGAGTGAGCTTCTCACTGCCATACAGCTACACGTATACACACAAAATGTCGCTCAACCCAGAGCCCGCCGATCCTCAGGAGCGACAGGAACACCATCTTCCACCTAAGTCGTTCGCCGATGCGGCTCACGAAGCTATCGAACAAAATGGCCAAGATACCATCAACGAGGAGTCGATCAAGGAAACACCCCCAACAAGGAAGCTTTCAAGGAAGGGCAGCATTGAGCCTCGTCCACTCCAGGAGATGCTAGACGAGGAGGAGAGACAGCCTTCGTTACCGTCAACGCCCGTCCAACCTCGGCGCACTCGTTCTCAGAAGCAGGAGAAGTCATGGGCAGATATGGCCGAGGAGGGCGTCAACACGGCAGCACACCCTACCATTGACCTCCATGCTGGTGAGGGTCATGAAGCCCATGCAAATGGTGAGGAGTTCACAGGAGAGGGCCGCAACGAGTCGCCCAAGAGTCCAGCACAGCTCAACCGACCCCACAAGCGCACCTCTTCCATAAGATCGAACAAGTCCATGAGTCCGAAGAAGACCGTCTCTGAAGGCCCCGACGGTCAGCAACAGAAGCTTGTCTATGAAAAGTTCGAGAGTCCCGACGGCAAGCAATTGACCAGCGTGAAGCCTGACGACTCGTACGAGGAGGCTCTAAGAATCGACGAGAAGGAAGCTCCACAGAAGAAAGAACAGCAACCCAAGGCATCAAAGGATGAGCTTGTTAGTGGAAGAAGAGCCGGAGCAGGTTGGGAGTCATCGGCGTATGTTGTTCCTCACACGCTTGACCATTCGAGTTGGCTAACACGCGTATCAGCNATAAGATGGGCACCACTCAACGTTCCCCTCCAGCGTCGACTGCAAACAGGAATGGTCCTCATTCACACCTTGAGCATCGCCCTCTTCCTCGCCGCCTTCTTCGTCCTTTGCGCTATTCCTGTCCTCTGGCCCTTGTTGCTGCCCTACCTCCTCTACGTCCTCTTCTCCAAGGCCGGCACCTCGGGCTCTCTCAGGTATCGCTCAGAATGGCTGCGACGTCTTCCAGTCTGGTCTCTGTTTGCTTCCTACTTCCCCGCCCGCCTCCATCGTTCGCAAGAGCTACCTGCCACCCGCAAGTACGTCTTTGGCTACCATCCACACGGTATCATCAGCCACGGTGCCTTTGTCGCCTTTGCAACCGAGGCCCTTGGCTTTGCCCAATTGTTCCCGGGAATCACCAACACCCTTCTGACTCTTGACTCGAACTTCCGTATCCCGCTCTACCGTGATTACGCTCTTCGGCTTGGTCTGGCCTCAGTCTCTCGTGAGAGTTGCGAAAATATCCTGTCGAAGGGTGGTCCCAACGGCGAGGGTATGGGCCGCGCCATCACTATCGTCGTTGGTGGTGCTCGCGAATCTCTGGATGCTCAACCCAACAGCTTGCGTCTTGTACTCGCTCGTCGCAAGGGTTTCGTCAAGCTCGCCATTCGCACCGGCGCTGATCTCGTTCCTGTGCTGGCCTTTGGAGAGAACGAACTCTACGAGCAGTTTGATCCCCAAGCCCATCCCACAATTCACAAGTTCCAACTACTGGTCAAGAAGGCTTTGGGCTTCACGATTCCACTCTTCCACGCACGTGGTGTCTTCAACTACGATGTTGGCATGATGCCCTACCGACGCCCACTCAACATTGTCGCTGGCCGACCTATCATGGTGCGCAAGCAGGAGCGTCCTGACTCAAAGTACGTCGATGAGATTCACGCGCAATACGTTGATGAGCTCAAGCGTATCTGGGACGAGTGGAAGGACGTCTTTGCCAAGCACCGCGATGGTGATCTTGAGATTGTCGAGTAATCTTGTTTCTTTTATCATGGCTTCCTTCGTGCACTTTCTCGTGCCCTAATGCTTATAGGGAGGGTTGATGTAACTATGGTCGATGCTGTATTCTAAGTCTCAGCTTGAATAGCTCTCCACGATTGCTTAATTTTCGAGCCTGGTTCACGCAACTGCCTCAATCTACCTCCTTTCCCCTGTCGTGTCAAAAACTAGAAATTCGCAGGACTCAAGACTCAAGACTCAAGACTCAAGTAAATCAAGCACTCAGTCGCTCTTACCAAATTCCGATATTTCCAAATTCCTTCCTCACATCATACACCGTCCTTCGAAGCAGCCATTGCAGAAATGATCTACTGGCCAAAAGTCCTCATCCATCGTCGTCGCAGCAAAGAAGTGCTTCTTGCCAAAACACACATATTTCCCTTCTTGGCATTACCTCTAGAGATACGCATTCTCATCTACGAATACGCCTTTGCCGAAGAAGTATACGTCGACCGTCGTTGCCATCTCCCCTCGCTCCTGCAGACAAACCTCCAGATGACTCGCGAAATCTACCAAATTTGCACCATAACCGCCATCTATGATGTCAAATTCCCAGATGTCTATATTTCGAATGCGCACATGTCACAGCTACGCCCGCATCAACAGATATTCTACTTGCTCTCCAAGTACCCTGGCAAGTTTCGCACGCCGGCTCATCGCCGAGTAAAGGAGATCTTGGAGTCTGGCCAAAGGTTCGCCGCATATGACTGTAGAAAAGGGTTGATCACAAAGATAAAGACGAGATGCGTGGTATGCAAGCATATAGATGAGTGGTTGAGGGGACTTCAGCGCTGTCGAAGATGTCAGAGTATCTTGAGATGTGAGGTTCGCCGAGGAAGGTTGGAGGAGAAGTGGTTTTTATGATTGAGCATCAAGCAAGGTTCGGGAATTGAAAACCGCAAGTAAATGTCCTTCTTCCTTTTTTTTTTTGCCGAACAAATGTAAACGACGGGCTAATAAATGCATGTAGGAGTATGATTCATGGCGATGTCTGTCTTGTGGGTGACGGATGAGTTTTTGTACGAAATCTTGCTCAAATCAAGTCATCTTGTTCATTCGTCTTCCAACACCACTTCAGCATGTTGAATCATGACTGGGTCTTGAGTCAAAAAGTCATCTTAGTCGATATCCGGTTCGACGTCTCCAAACTTCGCTCTTTCCATAAATCCTGGCTCTCACTTTCGTCACACATTTTTACATCATCCATCATGGACGTGTACTCGAATCTTCTCATACTCGTCCTGGTCGCCATACTATTACAACTCCCCGGAGTCTCCACCAAGGAGTTGTAAACCAAGCAACCACAAAAGCACAACGAACATCCAGAAAAGAAAAAGATCTTCTCCTTCTTCAACCTTCCTCTAGAATTGCGCATCATGATATACAACCACGCAAGTCTAGAACAAGACATCACCAAAGACGGTCGTCAGTGCAAGCCTCTACCTGCATTACTGCGCACACATGCCCAGATCAGTCGAGAAATACGCCAGTTCTGTTCTCTCGTCGCCGTCATGGACATTTTCATTCCGGTGCGCACGCGCCTGGAGACCTGGTGGGGCATATGGCATGACCACTGTTTATTTACCTGGCATCATTACAAGGTTGTAAGCAGTATGATCACCGTCAACGAGACAGTCCAAAAGCTTCAGAGTAACGGATGCAAAAGACGATTAATCGTCAAAGTGAGGGTCAAGTGCTTAGAATGCAAAGGGAATTGCAAAGGACTAGGTGGAAAAGAAGCTTGCCACCACTGTGAGGTTTTCATGGGATGTTCACGTTGGGTCTATGGTGATCTGATGCTCAACACGCAGCAGCGTTTGTTTGGATTTTGCTGAGGTCAGCGATCTGTCCGAAAGGGGGTGTTTGGTATAGGTCAATATGTACTTTGCAGAATGTTGCAATAGATCTGCGCAATTTGGAAGCAAAAAGGTTCAAGTCATCCACCCAGAAAAACAAAAGTGTCATCGAACCATACCAGCATGAAGGAATGGTTGTGTATCATGAACGAAAAGGTGCAAAAGTCATGTCGTGACCGAGAGTCGAACTCGGCGCTGAAGCTTGGAAGGCTACAATGTTACCGATACACCACCACGACTTGTGATGTCATAAGCATGATATTTTATATATATAAACTATACAGATTGCTTCAGCAGCATATTCGTACAGTCGCCTGCGTCTACACTTCGAAGCCATGTTGTGTTTATGATAGTTGAGAGGCTGGTAGATAGTGATTCAGAACCATGACCGTAACCACTTGACAGGAGATGCAACGTGTTCATAAGAGCAAGAAGTCGCCCAGCTAAATGCAGAGCAGATTGTGTTGATCATGAGGAGCGGATCTCAATGGACCATAATGAAAGGAGCATTCGGTAAGGAATGAGGCTCTAGTAAGAAACACGATTGCCGTTTGCAGGTCGAGTTACTATAGCCCTGACTGACTCGAGGTCCGGCAATGCCCATCATATAGTTCTACAACATCACGATAGACAAAAATGTACTCTGAAACTTAGTCCGCCAGCGTGCTACTCAAATACAGGCGGGTCTGTAATAGCCAGAGCTTCCACGAGCCCGCATTCTCGAACCTTTCGTCCTCTCATTCCACGCCCATCGGGACCCACGAGAAAATCGGGGTCGCCAAACGAGACGAGTAACAAAGAAGACCAAGGTCGAGGGGAGAGAAGAACGGGATTATTGATCTTGCGCGGTTGTCTCGTCGGATACCAACAATGGAATATGTGTTGGTTGACGCCTGATAGTGTATCTGCCTCACGCTTTGAGTGGAGTGTAGGGACGGGGATGATCATAGAGGGAAACGAGTGCAAAAGAAACATGGACAGAGAAAGTCTATCGGAGCTTTCATGAATATAACAAGGCGATTCCTCACAGAACAAACGTCGCGACGTAGGTAGGTTCCACAATTGAATGTGTTGCTTTTTTGTCTTTTGCTTTAATGCTTCACACCATTCACTGGCTGTGAAGGTTGTCGCGCCTTGCCATTCGCGCCGTGAGCCGGCTCGCCTGTTGGCGGCGGCGGAGGGGTGGCGGNTACAGGACCGTATGTGCGAGGTCGTTGATCCACAGCTTCATCCTCGGTGTCGTCGTCGTACTCGGCCTCAACGCTGCCCTCATCGTCGTCCTCATCATACTCGTCGTATTCGGAGTCTGTCTCGGCAAGGTCGTCTTCCTCGTCTTCGTCCGGGTGATGGGCTGGGTTCGGCGCCCCAGGAGCGGCGTTGACCATGTCTGCGCGTCCGTAACCATTGGTCTGCATGGCGCGGCAGAGCTTCTTTAGCTTTTCGTTCTCCTTGTGTAGGCGATCGATGGTTTGCTGAGAGTGGGTGCGTTCCTCGGCCATCTGGAAGATGTTCTTGTTGGTGGCCTCTTGCTTGCGTGTCAACTGCATGTTTTCCTTTTCCAGGCGTTTGGACTTCTTGCTCATTTCTTCCATCTCTTTGCGGAAAGTCAGGAACAGGTCGTTGCTGTTGTTAAGGGTGTCTTCGACCTGCTAATGCGGTCAGTGAGTGAGATGGCAGTGCCTAAGTTGGAACTGGGGAGGAAGTTTGTCGTTGGGGCGTTTGCGGCTGTACTGGTGGTAACAGAGACGGGCGGGGGCTCTCTTCTATAGAGGAGGAAGGACATGGACGAGGGCAGCATGTTTGGAAAAAAGTCTCACCTGCTTAAACTTCTCCACATAAATATTCAGCTGACTGCGCAGTTCATTCTCTGTTTGGGAAAAGGTAGATACCTGACGGGTCAACTGATGCGACTTGTTCAATTCTGCATCCTGTTGCTTGCGGAGTCGCTCTTGCTGCGCGAGATGGAACTGGATTTCGAGCTCCTTGCTTCGGAGGAGTGAGTGGAACTGGATTTCGCGCATTTCGTATTGTTCGACGAAGGATTTGAACTTTTCTCGGAATCTGCACACGTCGTCAGTCAAGGCTGGCTGAAGCCTAGCGTTTGAGGGAGCGTACAGTTTGTCTTCCTCCATCTCGCCAGTGGGTCGATCTGGAAGTTTGCGATCGCTTATCACCTGCTCAACGTCGCCTACCATTCGTTCGAGTCGACGATGCAGCTCTTCGTTCTTGTCTGCGGCGCTTTCTTTGAGCTCGCGAAGATCCTCCTTAAGTTTCTTGTTTTCTTTTGTCAGCTCACGACTGAGCTTCTCCAGCTTCTCCTTCATAGAGTTTGCCTTTGTGAGCTCTGATCTTTGCGTGTCCTTGTCCTTTTGCAATTGATCGCCGCGCTTCTTGGCCTTGATATGTTCCCGTTCGGTCCTCTTCATGTCTGCCAGAAGTTCCGAGTATTTCCGTTGGACCGTTTCCATCTTGGATATCGGACCATCCATGGATTGAAGAAGATTTTGAAGGTCGCGATTCGCCTTTTTGACTTCCCGGTNCTGTCACGGTCAGTATATGAGGGTGCGATAGATGAAAAGAATCAATCACACACCGATTTCCGCATCTTCTTCAGNCCTGCCGGTGGCATCTTGTTCTAGCTGAGCAATCTTGGCCTGGAGCTGTTTGTGTGCGTCATTCGTGTCGGCGGCGCCTTTCTTGGGTTTGGTCTTCTTATTCGCTGAGGAGTTGTTCGGCGGCGGCGGAGGAGCGGCGGGCAATGGAGCATCGTCGCGGTGTTCGTGGACTGAGGCGGGCGAAGCGCGTGAGCTGTGGGATTGGTGCTGTGAGGCGACTTGGGCCATGGCTCAAGAGTCGGAAAAAATAGTCTAGTCTTATAATGGGTCGGTGGATTGTCCTTGCATCGGGGGCAGTTCTGCGCAAGGAGGAGGTTGAGATTGGCGCACTGAGACAGGCGGGCACAGCGAAATTCCGGGTGTGCCTGTCTCGGTGGCGCAAAGGAGGAGATGGGACGAGTAGTCTCTGGTGGCGACTACCGAGTTGAAGTAGCGATAATGTAGAGAATAGCGATAGTATGGGTCTATCCAAGTGGGCAGGAGGGGTTTCGGACAGGGCTTGCTACAGATGGCAGGCGGACGAGCAAAGTGGGTGTAGAAATGGGTTGGTGAAAGGTCCGGACGAGGCGAGAGATGGTAGCAATAGTGCTTGTGCGGTAGGCAGTCGTCGACGGTGCTATGTCGTGTGTCGGCAGACTATCAGACTCGGCCTCGTTCGCCGTGCAAAGAGAGGCAGGTGCGGACGGAAGAACCAGCCGTTCACCCACCTGGTCCGTGCCGCCGTGACTGCTCCAAGGTCATGATCCAGCATTTGCCTTCAGAGTTCCTTCCTGAACTTGAACTAGGTTTTTGTAAGATCAGAAGGTGCCATCTACTCGAACATGTTGCGCGGAGTCAACAGGCTAGCCGTCAGGCCGAATCGCCTTGCACACACCAACCTACCAGCTTTGCGACGAACCTATGCTTCGGTAACCGACTTGTCAAACTATCCCAAGCCCGGAGATCAATTACACGGATTCACCTTGAAGCGTGCCAAACACGTCCCGGAGCTCGAGCTCACTGCTCTCCAATTCACCCACGAGCGCACCGGCGCCGACTACCTACACATCGCCAGAGATGACCAGAACAATGTCTTCTCCATTGGCTTCAAGACGAACCCTCCGGATGCCACTGGAGTCCCCCACATCCTGGAACACACGACTCTTTGCGGCAGTCAGAAGTTCCCTGTTCGCGACCCCTTCTTCAAGATGCTGCCGCGATCCCTCTCGAACTTCATGAACGCCTTTACCTCGTCCGACCACACCACCTACCCCTTCGCCACGACCAATGCACAAGACTTCAAGAACCTCATGGGTGTCTACCTCGATGCAACCCTACATCCTCTTCTTCAAGAGCACGACTTTACTCAAGAAGGATGGCGTCTCGGTCCAGAGAACCCTCAAGCCGAGAACCCTTCCTCCGACGACATCATCTTCAAGGGTGTCGTGTACAACGAAATGAAGGGCCAAATGTCCGACTCGCAATACCTCTACTACATTCGCTTCCACGAGAACCTGTTCCCTGCCATCAACAACTCTGGTGGCGACCCTCAAAAGATGACTGACCTAACCTACGAACAACTCAAGAAGTTTCATGCCGACCACTACCATCCCAGCAACGCAAAGGTCCTGACCTACGGAAACCTGCCTCTCGCCGACCACNNCTTGGAGTCCATCGGCAAGGAATTGGACAGCTTCTCGCGCATTTCTGTAGATTCGGACATCAAGGTCCCTGATAGCCTCGACAATGGACCTCGCTCCATCACTGTCAANGGGCCCCTGGATCCTTTGAACTCTGCCGATTCTCAGTTCAAGACTTCTGTTACCTGGCTTATGGGAGACACTTCCAACGTTCTCGAAAACTTCTCGCTCTCCATCATCTCCTCGCTATTGATGGACGGTTATGGCTCGCCTCTCTACCGCAACCTTATCGAGGCTGGCCTTGGTCCCGACTTTTCACCAAACACTGGCTTCGATGGGTCTGGCAAGCGCGGTGTTTTCTCTGTCGGTCTTAACGGCGTCAAGCAGGACAACGTGCCCAAGGTCAAGGAAGCCGTCATGGAAACTCTGCGCCAGGTTAGAGAGAAGGGTTTCGACCAATCCAAGATTGATGGTATCCTGCATCAGCTTGAGCTCAGCCTGAAGCACAAGACTGCAAACTTTGGCATGTCCATCATCCAGCGTCTGAAGCCTGGCTGGTTCAATGGTGTCGATGTTTTCGATGCTCTGGCATGGCAGCAGACGGTTGACACCTTCAAGGCAGAGTGTGCCAAGGGTGGCTACCTCGAGAGCTTGTTAGAGAAGTATCTGCTTAACGATAATACTTTGACATTTACCATGGAACCTTCCGCAACCTATGGTGAGGATCTTCTCGCAGAGGAGGCACAGAGACTTGCATCGAAGAAAGCGGAGGCCGAAAAGATCTACGGCTCGAAGCAGGAGGCCTACGACCAGCTAAAGAAGAGGGAGCTTGAGCTCGTCGAACAACAGATGCAGGAACAGGACCTGAGCTGCCTGCCATCTGTTCATGTTAAGGACATTCCTCGCACCAAGCCCACTACCGAAACTCGTCAGGACTCTCTTAACAATGTCAAGGTGCAATGGAGAGAGGCCCCGACGAACGGTTTGACCTACTTCAGAGCTCTCAGCATCTTCAAGGATTTGCCCACCGAGCTGCGCACCTTTGTGCCTTTGTTCTGTGATGCACTTATGCGCATCGGAACCAAGACCAAGTCGATGGAAGAGATCGAAGATCTGATCAAACTCAAGACTGGCGGCGTGTCATTCGGATACCACGCATGTACCTCCCCTACCAACATCAAGGCCTGCGAGGAGGGCTTGAGCCTGTCAGGATTCGCGCTTGATCAGAATGTTCCCGCCATGTATGACCTGATCCGAACAATCATTCTGGAAACCGACTTCGACGGACCCAAGGCCAAAGCCTCTCTCCGCGAGCTGGTTCAGAGCGCTGCTAGTGGCGGTGTCGATACCATCGCAGAGTCAGGCCACGCCTATGCCAGACGTGTTGCTGAGGCTGGCATCAGCCCTCACGGAAGTTTGCTAGAGCAGACTGGAGGTATCAGCCAAATCAAGCACATGGTGTCTCTCGCGTCACTATCCGAGATTGGTGACGATATCATCCAGCCGCTGAAGGCCATTCAGCAGCTCATTGCAGCCAATGTCTCCAACATGAGAGTCGCCATTACTTGCGGTGCCGAGTCTACCAGCATCAACGAGGTGGCCCTCGAAGGCTTCCTCAGAAAGACTTTCGCATCATCGTCCGAGCTTTCATCTCAGTCTCAGTCAAGTCAGACGTTGACACGCACCGCCAAGTCATTCTTCCCCCTTCCTTACCAGGTTTACTACTCCGGTCTCGCCCTTCCTACGGTTCCGTACACTGATGCTTCGGGCGCGCCATTGGCGGTTCTCGCACAGCTGCTCACACACAAACACCTGCATCGTGAGATCCGCGAGCGTGGTGGTGCTTATGGAGGTGGTGCCTACTCTCGCGCACTGGATGGTGTGTTCGGGTTCTACTCTTACCGCGACCCCAACCCTGAAAATACCATCAAGGTATTGGACAATGTTGGCAAGTGGGCAGTGGACAGAGAGTGGAGTGACCGCGATCTCGAGGACGCCAAGTTGTCTGTCTTCCAGGCACTCGACGCTCCTAGAAGCGTCAGTGAGGAGGGCATGACCAGATTCGTTAGCGGTGTGACTCCAGACATGGAGCAGACACGACGACAGCAGCTTTTGGATGTGACGCAAGAGCAGGTGCGCGATGCTGCAGAACAATTCTTGGTGAATGGCATGTCCAACAGTAGCATGGCTGTTCTCGGCGCACGCAAGAGCTTTGTGGACGAGGCACAAGGTTGGAAGGTGCAGGAAATTGGGCTGGGCGGTGGTGCTGCAGCTGAAGTTGAGGCCGAGGCAGAGGTTGCTGCAGCGGCAGCGTAGAAGGTTGAAAAGTGGAATTTGTCGCCATATACCCCATTGTAAATAGATAACTCCTCTCTGTATTTATATGTATGATTATGATCATGATGACCAGGATTGGATATTCATGGATGTTGTGANTCAAATCGGGAAGCGGAATTGAGTCGCGTCAGAAAGGGAAGCTGCGACGCGTCTTCTCCTGACGCGGGCGGCCAGCTCTCACACTTTCTTCTGGTCATGCACACTGTTGCAACAAATTGCATTGCGATATGGCGCCTTCAAATTCGGTCGATGCGCTATTACAGNTCTCCCTCGTAAGTGTAAGGTTTCGATGTCCGATTGAAGACAGAAACTGACCAGATCCAAAGGAACGAGGAATACCAGACCCTCGAGCGCACACGGTCGTCATACAATCCCCTCCGATCATTCCATCTAGCAAAAGGCGAACAAAAGCATTACCAACAACAATATGCCGACATGTACTTTGCCCGACTGGCCGTTCTCAAACCTACCGTAGAACGCATTGCCAGCGAAGCATGGGATGGCTTCGAGGTCAGCAACTTCTTCAAAGCCCTGCCGGATGAATACTAAAACGACACGCAACAGATTGGCGGAGATGAGGTACACAAAGTCGATCGAGTGTTAGACGTCCGACAAGGTGAGCTGGTCTGGGTAGCCGGCACCGTCTACATAGAGATGCCACTCAAGCCCAACATTCTCGACGACATTTCGAAACATGTAAGCTCTTGGAGAAGTGCTCACTGCCATACACGTACTGACCTACCATATAGNCATTGGATTGCCGCACCGCCTCCTCGTGTGAAGTTTACCTCTGGAGAAAGCGATCAAATCATGCTCGAAGACGAATCCGGTCGACTACGCTTGACGGGCAGTTTCCTGAGCTCATGTCTGCTAGTAACTGGGTGCATCGTAGCCGTCATGGGCACAGAAAATGCCAATGGTGACTTCGAAGTCATCGACCTGAAAATACCCGAGCTGGCACCACAATTCGAACGTTGGTCCCTAGGCCAAAGCGGCGGCGCAAGCAAAAGAAGGTTGAAAAGAAGGAGAAGGCTGGCAAGGTTGCTATTNGTCTCGACACTAGGTGTCAGTGGTGACTCTGGCGACACGATGGCTCTAGACATGCTTGTGGAATATCTCCTCGGCGAGTCGGCTTCCCCCACCGAGCAAGAGAAGATCTCGAGCATCTCACGACTTTTGATTGCTGGTAACTCTCTGTCCTCGGCGAACCCCGTCCCAAATGCAGAAGAAGTGGCAATCAAGAAGCCTTCTGCCGTCAAAAAATATGGCTACGACGCTTCCTCCTACAATCCTGCCCCAACCGATCGCCTGGACTCTCTGCTGGAATCACTTCTACCATCAATACCCATTACTTTGATTCCTGGAGAACAAGACCCTACCCATACATCGTTACCCCAGCAACCCATGCACTCCGCCCTGTTTCCAAAAAGTAGAGCATACATGGCTGCGCCTAATTCAGAAGAATCGGCCTGGTTCGACACTGTCACAAATCCCTGGGAAGGCGACGTGGATGGCTGGAGAGTTCTCGCTACTGGCGGTCAGCCGATTGATGATGTCTTCAAATACATCGAAGGCGACGACCGACTGGAGATGATGGAAGCAACATTACGCTGGAGACTGTGCGCACCCACCGCTCCAGACACACTATGTAAGTTTCCGAAAGTCGCTGCATATGACAGAATACTGATGCTCCCAGGGTGCTATCCTTTCCAAGACAAAGATCGCTTCGTCATCGAGGCTACACCGCACGTCTACATTGTAGGCAATCAGCCTCGATTCCAGTCCACTGTTGTTGAAGGACCTGATGGCCAGAGCTGCCGAATCATCTCTGTGCCACGCTTCAAGGACACTAGCGAGTTGCTTCTACTGGACATGGAGACGCTCGAGGTAGAAGTTGTCAAGTTTGGTGTTTACCAGCAGACTTGAAGCAGGCAATCCTCGGAACATGAAACAAAGCCTCCATCTCACACCACTGGTCTATGCCACACTGATCGACTATGCTCTGCATGTCTCCTAATGCCGTGCAGTCCACCCAATGTGGTAGTCGTGACACCAGCCAGTATATATAGTACGTAGCTGATTAGAGCACATCTCGTCCTCGATGAATTGCTGGTGAGCGAGTCTAGCAATCGTCGGATTGTGCTTTCTGCAGCGAAGGTGACCTATCCTAGTTCCCTAGGACGGACAGTCATATATGGTAGAATAGCTCATCAAGAAGTGTGCTATCGCATTCGAAGATTCAGATTTTTGCTTGAAAATGTGGTGAATACATGCTGCAACTGTGAACTTGAGGCTGTTGCGTCAATATGTTCCTTCGAAAAGATGGAAGGAGAGAGATGACAATTCTGCTTGTGATGACCAAGCTCGACAGAGTGTTGAGAGATATCTAACATCACCACGGAATAAACATGTGCAAGAGAACTTGATGATATGTGAAGCAAGGAACAACCGAGTGGAAGATGAAATGATATATGGAGAGTAGGTAAGCTAAGCAACGAGAACACGAACTCACAGGAGCAACGAGTATGGCAAGTGAATTTGGTCGATATGTGTACTGTGATTGTCCTTTGCTATGTTACTACATCTAACTACCAAAAAAAGGGGGGGGGGAAATGGCCTGCCCCTTTTGATTTTTCCGTCTTTCAGTCTTATTTCTCTCCTCCACCTGGACCTCTTTTGTCCAAAAAGATGCCAAATGCTTGGTTCGACCCTCGAGGTCTGATCATAAAAGAAAACTCCTCCCAAAGATGCAAGTTCATCAAGTCCCTTATGTTCGGTGAGAAAGCAAAAAGAGAAAAACGCCAATATGCCTCTATTCCATTGCCGAGGCCCGCGGGGGTATTGTAGATGCTGTGTCGTTAGTAAGTGAAAAACCATTCCGGATGGGTTTTTCGAAAGTTCGTGGCTTGCTTGTCCCTGACATCTACCGGAGATGTGGGACAAGAAGCGGATTGTTGTTTGTGCAAGAAGGAAGCAAGTCAAAGTGTGGGTCAAGTCGCTTACTCCTCGTCGTCCTCGTACTCTTCATCGTCTTCGTCGTCGCAATCGCGTGTTGAGGAACCGCCCTTGCGGTAGTAAGCAACAGTGGCGCCAAAGACGTTTCTGTTGTCTGCATCGAGGGCAGCGGCAATGCCATTGTCCAAGGTGATCATGTTGACAGATGCCTTTGTGGTGACTGCATACATGTTGAGGTTGCTGTTGCTACCTTCAAGACTGATCATGTTCTGCTGGCAGTTGTTTGTGGCGACGCAGTCTTGGTTGTAGTTCTCAAAGAACGAGTACAGACCGAGACCGTGAATGAAGACGTTGGTACTGTCGACGATGCGAAGACCCCAAGACTTGTAGCAAGGTGCTGAAGGGTTCTGGGTCGAGCAGATCGAGAAGGTGGGATCCGAGGGGCGTTGAGGCACGAAGGGAGCGGGCGCCTTGGGGTTAGACTGGAAGTAAGGTGTCTCGGATTGAATCATGCCCATGAAGACGTTCTTTGCGTTGCGAATCTCATAGTTGTAGAAGATGTTGTGCTCCGAAGAGGTGCCATAGAGCCAGACGGGACCTTGAGATTCAATGTAGACACCACGACCGTTGTAGATGTCGATCTGATTGTGATCGGCAAGATCCAGCTCGTGGTCAGCAACCCAGAACCAGGTGTTCTCGAGGTAAACGCCGGAAGATTGAGTGCCGGCCCAGAAGAGCATGTATGCACCCTCACAACCGGTTCTGACAGCGGTGGAAGAGGGATCCTTGGAGCACTTGTCACTCTGCAACCCTGTGCCTGCACTTCCACCGATGCGTACATGGGCGTCCCAGATACCCGAGGCACCCTGAGCCGAAGCCATGTTCCACTTCAGCATGATTGCACCAGGAGCAGGGCCCTTGGTCTCGAACATAAGATCGGTAATCTCGACGGCACCGGACTGGCCAGCCTTGCCGATGTCGAATACGGGTTGAGGGTTGCTGGGATCGCTGAAGAAGCTGCCAGTAGCCATGATCAGAGGCCAGATTTCACCAGTCATCTTGATGTTGTTGGGAACACTGATGGTTTTGCTGACAACATAGGCGCCGTGATCAAAGTACAAAATCTGGTTCGAGTTGACACCGGCCATGGCCTTCTGGATGGCAGTAGTGTCATCAGTGACACCGTCACCCTTGGCGCCGAAGCTCTTGACGCTGATGAATGCGCTGGCAGGCATGTTCTCATACTGAGGCTTGGAGCGCTCAAAGAATTTGCCAGAACCGTCGAGAAGGGCAGCAGGCTTGGAAGGAGCAGCGAGAGATCCCTGAACACGAGAGCCAGAAGTACCGGAGTATTGGCGTCCCTCACCCCACGATGCGACAACCTTGCCACCTGCGAGGATAGAACTGCCATCAGCAGCGGCGACAGCGGTGGTCGAGCCAGAGAAGTCAACATTGTCGATGATGAGAGTGCCTGCAGTGGCAGGAGCGCTGTTTGAAGTAAACGAAGTCTTGACACCGATCGGGGTGTTGGTCAGCTTGGAGTCCATGAGGACGACAGAGCCGATCAGGATGTTGGTAGAACCACCGTTGGACATATCAAGACCGACACCGCAGTTGTTGATCGAGACAGACTTCATGGTCCACGCCCAGTTCCAGTTCATGAAAATGGCAGTGTTGCAGTTGTTGAAGGTCCAGTTGCGTGAGGTGAACTGCTGGTTGCCCAAGAAAGCACCGTAGTTACCGCCGTTGAAGACGAGATCGCTCATGAAACCACCAGAACCGTTGTCCATGAAAATACCGACCTGCTTGGAGGCAGAGCCAGGAATCATGTTGAAGACGATGTTCTGGAGAGAAGTTGCTTGGGCGACCTGCCAATGAATACCCGCACCAGCTGTCTGAGGCATGCCAGTCAGGTCGATCTTGAAGTTGCGGACTTGACGGAAGAAGTTGTTCTGGTTCGTGAACATGTTTGCACCACTGCTGTCGTAAGGGTCCGAGTCCAGGACAGCCATGCCTTGGAAGCCAGCAGTGGCCTTCAGGACAGGCAAGTTGAGCGCGTCACCGACGAGCTGAGTGTAGTACAACATGACAATGGGTTGAGAGATCATGTATGTACCAGGAGGAAAGTAGACGAGAGCAGGCTTGACTGTGCTGCTGTCACAGCCCCAACCGCAACGACTGCCGGCAGAAATTGCTGCGTTGATTGCTGCTGTGTCGTCTGTAGAGCCATCACCTTTGGCACCATAATCCATGACATTGCGGTAGACGGCATAAGATGAGTCGCTACCGAATGCCACAGATCCTTGGCGTTTGACATTGGCCAGCCAGTAGTTTGAAGACGTGGCTCTCTTGACCGATGAGACGGGAGAGGCCAACGCCTGTGATGGCGATAGCACCATGAGCAAGGTGACCAGAGCGGCCACGGCGCTGATCAGTGAGAGCGGACTGATTGTGCGCATTGTGGTGATATGAAAGATGATGGGTTGTTCGAAGTTTGAGAAAGGAGGAGAGCTTGAAGGGTGTAAAAGACTAAGTTGTTGTAGTATCAGTGCCTGCACCAAAAGGTCTGGAAGTTGTTGTTGTTGTCGAGGTGGAAAAAGTGTGAAAGCGATAGGCGATTTTTGAAAACAATGGAGCGAATGGAAAGCTTTTGAAGCGCAAACAATATCGAAGATGCGAGTCTTCTGACTTTCAAAGTCTTGAATCAATAGCACCTGACAGCGACAATGACAAAGATGTATTGTTGTCGAGCAAGATACTTGGATTGATCAAGTGAACAGAGATTCGGCCGAAAGAAACAAGAAACAAAGAATGACAGAAGCTTGATGAAGCAAAGGGAAGGCGCGTGACGGGCAAAGAGGCAGAGCGAAGGTACCCAGCCCTTTTGAATATGGTGGATGGAGGGGGGGAATGAAAGGGACTCACCTTGCAGCAGTATTGGGTCTCGAAGTGTGTAAGAACCCTTTCCCTCGCGTGTTTCAGCTTGGGATCAATTGAAGCACTGCTCCTTTGCTGAGTGGAGGAAATATGCGCGCCCTTTCCACTTTATAGATAGCTCTTTCTGCACCGTTGCAAGGGCCGCAACAACCATATCGGATCTTGATTACTTTAAATTCTCTTTGGCTACGTATGGGCGGCTCAATTCACAGCATCCACCACGTTTTGTGGTACTAGGCCGCTATGCTCTCGCTCGGAATGTTGTAGCTGTAGTAGCACGATNGGCGGCGGGGCTCAACGCGCAACAACGCGCCAGCGATTGGCAAAGCACCGAGGTATGGTCAAGGGTCTTTGTGTCTTGATTACTGCAACGGCAAGGNNGGGCGTCGTCGTAGGAACAGCAGTCTACAGCAGTCTCTTTGTGGGTGGTGGGTAGTGCGTAAACGTCTTTTTCCTCGTCGAGCAATGACGAGGTGCTGTTGGCTGGCCTCCCGCAGTTGGCAATTTNGCTGAAACGGCAGGTGCTTCGGCCACGCGCCAGTTGTTTCTCGACAGGCACACGTGCTTGTGCTCTCATCACCTGGGAAGCCACAGATAGACTGTCGCCCTCCGATGAAACGGCACTCGCAGTCGNTCCATGCTGACTTTGCCGTGCCTGCATCTCGCCGACGACGGAAACGACGGAAGGCCCGTAGCGCTGCCTCCGGTCTGCCATTAGNNGGGTGGCTATTACCAAGGCCCGCTCGATGCGACACCAGATTGCAACAAGCAAAGACACTTCTACATCAGGACGCTCACAAGCATAGCGAAAACGCCACACCTCTACCAACACATCAGCCTTTGTGTGCGCGTGCGTGATGCTCGTGCAACCATGTCTTCCACCACCGACGCCGACGTNCGTGCTACAAACACTACCTCGAGCCTTATAGCAGATCTGCCGACCATACGCCATACCCCTAGCGACCACTATCACATTCAAATGAGGCGCACGGTCACAAGAACGCTTTCACTACTTGGCTTCCAAGATCGATTCCCAGCGCTCAATAACTCGTCACTCTCGTCTTACCTGGCTCAGAAAGAGATGGAAGCGAGCAAGTGAAAAAACAAAGCTTTTTGAATCATGTCCTGAACGAGGCTCGAATTCACCTCGGCCGCAGCAAAATTGAGCTGGAACAGCCCCCTCAATTTACATTCTCGCCATACCAAAACGCTCCACCATGACCGCCTTTTCGTCAAGACCGCCGGTGGCGAACTATGGACCAGGGCCGGTTTGAACTCGCTGCATCTGTCAAGTCATCCTTGCCGTGTTTCGTGAATGGCGATCTCATCTGTGCGTATGTCGCAGGCCTCTGAAGGCGGCACAGAAGGAATGTCTAGACCAGCGTGTTACCCCTGAGAGAACCATCGTTAAGCACGGCCAGAGTCGATTGAGGCGAGCAAGCCTTGCTCACCTTGACAACAGCAAAGCTCAGCCTACGTTGCTTAACCTCAACATTTCGCCTTCGAGTGTCAAGGCTGCTGCACTCATCTATTGCGGCATCGGCATATGTCTCGTCCTTATATGACCACAAGCTTTCGAAATGCATCTCTAGCTCTGTGCTGTAAATTTTCATCTCACAAGCTGTGTCCAGAAAGCAGCGTGTATCCATTCATAGTGAGTTGTCGCATTCTGACAGAGACAACCTGAACAAACACCTCACCACTGACCAATGGAAACAAAATTGCATGTTGGAGACTAAGTCATGTCTGTTCCAATTGTTTCGGATGGCTCGGCCGTCGCGGTAACGTCCAAGGCTTCGCACAAANCTATCTGTTGTGCTGGTCAGCATAGCCACAGGTCAACTCTGTGAGGATACAACATACCTCACCTTCCGTATACGCCCAGAAGTAGACTCCGCAGCCGATGATATAGTACAGCGCGGGATTGGTCCCTTGGTATAGTAAAACAGCCATCAAGCTTGACAGTGGTAGTAGCAGTATCCTTAGCTCTAACGAGCGATGTATTGCAGTTCCGGCGATGAACTCAAGTGGCCATTCCCAGGCCAGATTTATGAAGCCGAATATGAGGTTGATGGTCTGTAGTATCGGTACAGGTTTGACGGCCGGGTCAAAGTTCTTTGTCAAGAAGTCGAAGAAAAATTTGGGCCAGAAGAAGCCGTGGAGGCTGGCAGCGATGTGATCTATGTCAAAATCAGACTGGTTGTTCGCTAACAACGTTGTTAGGGCGAGAACGAGGAATGGAAGCTTACAAGTTGCTGCTGTCATGACGATAAGACGGGCCAAGTGGTTCTTGATGAGCTTTCCCATGCTGTGGAGTGTCGGCCAACAATAGAGGGTGAAACTCTGGTATGTTGATGTTGGATTTTTTTGCTACCGATAGACTGGTGACACAGGGGTCGAAGCCGACATGATTCAGATTCAGTGCAATCAGGGAGTGACGGAATATTGGAAGGCCAGTCCTTTGTATATTATCAAGCGATCCGTTTGCTGGGAGGGGACGTGGATGACGGGACGCGAATATGGAGAGACGGTACTAGTGATTACAAGCTGAGGGAGCGAGGAGATGCAGGTGATATTGCGCGGGAGTGGCTTAACAGAAAGCGGCATCCATGTCTTTTCTCGCTTCTGCTTGAATAGAGAGGGAACGAATGCGAAGGAGCGGACGGGGTGATTGGGATCTAGAATAACTGAAGTTGATTGCTTGGCTTCTTGGGGTTTGCGTGAGGTGGGTGGGTGGTTGGAAGGTCTTGTGAGGCTTCTCATGAATGCGAAGCGCCAAAATTGTCATCGAATCGGACGACTTCTCGCCTTTAACAAACATACTTCGGTCAGGGATCGGCGGCAGCTGTGCATCTTTGCATGGTCCCGGTCGCATCCAATTGACCTACTCATAGCATTCTTCGCTGCCTCATCGACATGGTGAAGTCGTTATTTGTGTCAATCCATCGACGCGAACCGGGAGCAGCCCTATCATCCAAACCCTCGTCAATCAATCTATAATTCATGATATGGAAGCGAATATTCACTATCAATATGTACATTCGTCCACGCATGTACACGAAGGGCAAAGCAGCTTGCAGAAGTGCCAGCGGTTACGCACCCAATCAACGCGCCTTTGTTCCTTTTTGAGCACGCGCCGAGACTTTTGTCCTACGACCATTCACGATCTCGACACATGCATTTTTCTGGGCCAGCCACCAGATTTTGTGATTAGGAGTAAGCCCTGCAGAAATTATGCAGGTCCTGGTCATCAAGGTGGGTGCTGGGCGGCTATGCAGTAGTGACTGTGTGGTAGGGCGACTTGAGTTGCTCAACCGAGGTTTGTATCTTTGTCGTGTCGCTCTTTTCTGGATATCTAATGGTTGTGTCGTGACTATTCTCTCACAGTCTTGAGTCTGTGAACGACATGATATGTTGGTTGTGCTGATATTCTCGTCTTGATCTGCTGGACACCCCAAGCCCTTCCATACGGACATCCTGAACAGAGTAATTTCCAGCCATGCCTGAACACGCCGAAGAGCGGTCCTGGAGGTCTTTAGTCACTCCCAGGAAGTTGAGTTTCTACTTGCTCTTTCATGGAGTTCACGTTGCATTGTTCATCGTAGGATGGTAGGTTACAGCAATTCTGCCGACCGGCATACAGACTGATATAGCCATCAGGTGGAAACAACAGAGCAGCAAGGCACTGGCACCACTGAATCTACTAACATTTTCGGTATGGATCTCAAGAGGGGCAGGTCTAGTCCTCAGTGTCGACACCACCTTGATTATGCTGCCCATGTGCAGAAACATCCTACGTTATTGTCGGCCAAAAATCAAATGGCTTCCATTGGATGAGTCGCGGTGGTTTCACAGACAAGTTGCTTACTCGTTACTTTTCTGGACGATAGTCCATACCACTGGCCATTATGTCAATTTCTTTAACATCGAGCGAATGCAGCTTCGCAAACAAGCGGCTGCTCAGATTCACTATACCCAAGCTGGTGGCATAACAGGTCATATCATGCTTTTCTGTATGCTTCTGATCTATACTACAGCGCATCAAAAGATTCGTCAGCAGTCTTATGAGACGTTCTGGTACACGCATCACCTGTTTGTGCCTTTTCTTCTGGCCATGTATAGCCATGCGACTGGATGCTTTGTTCGAGATACTGTCGAGCCGGTGTCGCCTTTCGCTGGCAAATACTTCTGGAACCATTGCCTAGGATACCAGGGCTGGCGGTGGGAGCTGATTGGTGGTGGGCTGTATCTGTTCGAAAGGATATATCGAGAGATACGTGCTCGCAGGCCGACAGAGATCATCAAAGTTGTCAAACATCCATACGGTGAGCAAAATAGGCAACAGGTAGTACTTGGAGTAGTTGTACTGACTCTATGACANGATGCAGTGGAAATACAGTTTCGTAAACCCAGCATGCAGTACAAAGCTGGACAGTGGCTCTTTCTGAACTGCCCAGAAGTGTCGAAGAATCAATGGCATCCTTTCACCATCACATCTTGCCCTTTCGACTCCTATATCAGCGTCCACGTCCGCCAAGTTGGTGATTTTACTAGATCGCTCGCAAATGCTCTGGGCGCTGGGCCGGAGCAGGCAGCCTTATATGGGGAACTGGATCCTATGGGAATGTACGAAGTCGCTCTACAGCAAGGACAGGAGATGCCAACACTCTGCATCGACGGGCCTTACGGAGCGCCTGCCGAAGACGTTTTCGATCATGAAATTGCTATTCTTGTTGGCACTGGTATCGGCGTCACGCCATGGGCGTCAATCTTGAAGAACATCTGGCACATGCGACTATCACCCAACCCACCCAAGCGGCTGAAGAGAGTTGAGTTTATCTGGGTGTGCAAAACAACGACGTCTTTCGAATGGTTCCAAGCATTGTTATCATCTCTAGAGATGCAATCACTGTCCATGTCTTCACCATTGGACGAGAACAAACCTACCGAGGAGAGAGACGAGTTTCTGAAGATTCACACGTACCTGACGCAGAAGATGGACGTAGATCAAGCCAATAACATTGTGTTGAACAGTGTTGGCACCACCAAGGATCCGTTGACAGAACTCAACTCTAGGACGAATTTCGGGAGACCTGACTTTAGTAGGTTACTAGGTGCAATGAGGGACTCGATTGAAAGTGGGACGTATATCAGCGGACTAGAGTCTAGGAGAGCCGAGGTTGGAGTGTACTTCTGTGGACCAAACATGGCGGCGAGAGGAATCAGAAAGGCGTGCCAGGACGAGTCTAGTCACGATGTCAAGTTCCGGTTTTGGAAAGAGTATTTCTAGTCTTAATCGACCTGTTGTACATTCGTGTCGTTCATACAAGTTTCTTTTGGAGAGGTGATTTTGGGTATCAGAGATATGGTACAGCGGCGCTGCTCATGAGCGCACGACGGGAAGAGTCCCAAGGCCTTCCTCCTTTTGCTTTTCTCTTACTCTAGCTCGTGGGCGCGTGCTCAAATCGAAGAGGGTGGCGGGTAGATGATTCGCCTCGATGTGTTCGGAAGGTTGTGAAGGTGAGTTTTTGGTGATGAATGTCGTAGTCGAGCAATTTACATGCCACCGAAACCACCGACACCGCCCTGCTTGCCGGCGGCCTCTCCCTGCATCTTCTCGGAGACCTTGATGTTGACCTCGAAGAACTTGCCGACGCAACGGTCGAGGCAGACGGACTCGCCCTTGTTGAGGTCGCCCTCGCGGTAGCTGTTGGGGATACACTTCTTGGTGCAGGTCTCGACAAGACTGTGTTGGTTGTTAGCACACGATCATGGTGTGACGTTGAAATGGCGTGAAGTGAGTGAATACCGGTTGTACATGTCCGAGACCATGTCAATTTCGGCCTCAGCAGCGGCAATTTTCTCTGCTGAAGAGGGCTGGGGGCGACCACCACCGAAGAGGAAAGACATTGTGATATAAGTTGAAGGGTGTTGTTGGATGAGAAGACGAAAAATGTATTGGATTGACTGCGGATTGCACGTTGCGCATCATCGTCAGAGTAGAAAGTTGCACCACGCACAGTTGAGCTTGGGCCACAGGTTGGAGCTCGGTTTTCTTTGCAAGCAAGAACTTCCCACTGCTCCTTCCTCCTTTCTTTCTCCTTCACCACACAACATGCTGTGACACATGGTAAGTCCTTCCGTTTACACCTGCACCTTCCCAAATTCACATTCCATGATGAGCAAAATTTGTAAAGAACCGTTGCGAATGACTCCTTCGGGGGTTGATTTCACAAACATACCGATTATCCTGATCTCTCTTCTACACTCCACATTGAATATCACCGTCACATTTTCAATTCTCGGACTAACATTGTATTCACAGATGCCCAGGTCTGCCGAAGTTTACCGCTTCTTGCGGCCCGTTCTTCGTAAAGACATTCGATCAAGATCTTTCACCTCGTATGCCCGTTGCTTCTCAGCCTACGCTAGGCTAGCCTCGAAGAAGCAGCCCGTCAAGGACTCCCCAACAGGCGACTATGAGAAGCGTGTTGCTCAATTGCAGGCGAACACATCGCTGCAAGACTGCTGGCCACGTCTGCCGCAGCGTCATAATGTCGCCAGAATCTCCGTGAATGATTTGAGAAAGAGCAGTGCAAATTTAGATAATGGTGCCACCAAGCTCGACGATAAGTTTGTCGTCTCCGGCAGAGTTCGCTCTGTGCGCACTGCCGGCTCCAAGCTGGTCTTCATCGACATAGAACAAGATGATCGTGTCGCCCAAGCCATCTGTAATTTTTCCCACCTCGACCAGAACGGCGTGCCTCGTGAGCAGTTCAATGCTTTCAAGCGCGTCGTTCGTCGAGGAGACTGGTATACCTTTGTTGGTCATCCACACAAGGCTCAAGGTGGGGAGGAGAGTATCCTTGCGACTGAGCTTCCTCAACTCATGTCACCCTCGCTTCATCAAATTCCTGCTCAGCTTGATGATGCTGAAACACGAGCTCGTAGACCCCATGTCGACATGTTGGTTCATCGTCAAGCCGTACAAACGCTCAGGATTAGATCGGCCATTGAGCGTGGCATTTCCACTTTCTTCGACAATCAAGGCTACTCCAAAGTTAGCACACCTTTGCTGACTGCTGGTGCTGGAGGCGCAGTAGCTCGACCCTTTGAGACTGTCGCTACAGAAATGCAAGACACGACTCTCAACCTTCGCATAGCCCCCGAACTGTGGCTAAAGCGACTGGTCGTTGGTGGCTTGGGCAAGGTCTACGAAATTGGACCAGCCTTTCGCAATGAGGGCGTCGACGCAACACACAACCCCGAATTTACCATCTGCGAGTCTTACATGCCTTTTGCCGACCTGGACCATCTCATGAAGATGACTGAAGATTTGTTGTCTGGGCTGCACGAAGACCTACGCAAGATGGGCGAAGAGAATTTCAAGCATCTAGCTGACACTGCTGTCAAGTTTGACACAAATGAGGCTCACCTGTTCCAAGGACCGTTCCCGCGTCTTGCCTTCATCCCCACTGTCGAAAAAGAGATGGGTAAGGAGTTACCGAATCTTAGTAACGGCAGTGCAACGCAAGAGGTGCTGGACCTCTTCACTGAACTCAACATTGCCATTCCTGCCAGACCAACACTACCACGCCTCTTAGACGCTCTGGCCGGCCACTACATCGAGCCCCTCTGTACCGACCCAACCTTTATCACCGAACATCCTGCTGTCATGTCGCCACTTTCGAAATCCTACGTCTGCCCCAGGACCTCTCAAGTCATCTCGGCTCGCGCCGAACTCTTCATTCGAAGCAATGAGTACGCCAACATGTACGAGGAAGAGAACTCACCGTTTGCTCAACGCGACAAATTCGTGGAGCAGCTCAAATACCGTGAAGTGGATGGCGAAGGTGACGGCAGAGCAGAAGTGGACGAGAGTTACCTCGAGGCTCTTGAGTGGGGACTGCCTCCTACTGGTGGTTGGGGTATGGGCATTGATCGCCTGGTCATGCTCCTCACTGGGCAGAAACGTATCGGCGACGTCTTGCCCTTTGGTACTTTGAGGAATGTTGTCGGTCTTGCTACCAAGCAGACGTGACGTCCCTATGTATATACATCGCTGCTGTTTTATGATACCCTTCCGCTTCCTGTTAAGCCTCAACCTTTGTCTCATCGTCCTGTGATTTTGTCTGTTTTAAATCTGCGACGTTCATCAGACCATGATCCCTGGTTCACCTTGCGTAACATCCTGATCACTGCCTACTTTCCACATTTCGCCTTAAAACATACAAGGCAACGCCTGATCCAACACTCATGTATCGGCGAATAGCAACCTTGAGAACGCGAGTCTTCAGATTTGACACATCCCCTCGAACCATGGTAGACCCTTCCACTTCGGGCACAATTGCCAATTGCCCCTCTCATGCGGACGCAGTGGTCCTGCACGAGCGCAACTGCATTAACCCTGCAGCCTTCACAGCCCGGTATACTAGATAAACCTGCACGAGCTGCAGCGCTTCGACATATCTCACCGCATCTTTTTCGACAGCCTTTGTCACCAACAATACGACAACACGGAAGGGCAGAGTCCTACACAGCCCTCGAGCATGTCTTTACGTCGTTGAGTATCAATGCTTGTATGTTGTTTAGGCGCCGGTCCTAACAATACTTGATATACTTCCGGGGTAAGATTTGCGAGGTAGGAATAGAAACCACATGGTGCCAAGGCTGGACTCGACACCGTATGCAGCAGGTCCATCCGAATAATGACGATTTGAAGCCTCGGGCCTTCCTTTTTTAAGATCACCATCCGCGAATACTTCTCCGCAGCGCGCGGAAGCCGAGACCTGCGAAAACCCATGAGGCGGTTCACAACCTCACGCGCATAATCAAGGCTAAGAACACTCGTTGCAAAGGAGGATACAAGTCATTTTGCCTGCGAGAAATGTCTTGTTAAGTTACACCCCTCCTCGCCTCTTCTTTCTGCATGTCTTATCATCCCGACCAGAGGCTTCACAAAGAATCATTAATACGGCATCATCATAATCGTCATTCAATATGTTTGCGTGGTTGACGGGTACCCAGACCACTCCTCCCGCGTTACTCGAGATTCGAAGTTCGAAATGGTTGATCATCAGTACTGTCGCTGCTGCGGTCTTCACTGACGTCTTCCTTTATGGTATCATCGTGCCAGTACTTCCGTTTGCCCTGAGTGGTCGTGCTGGTGTTCCGCAGGATAATGTCCAGTCGATGATATCGGTACTTTTGGCTGTCTATGGTGGCGCTCTACTCATCGGAGCACCCATATGTGGGTGGGTGGCTGATCGATTCGACTCAAGACGATGGAGTTTTATGTTTGGATTACTGGCACTGGCAGGGTCGACAATATTCTTGGTTGTTGGTAACAGTCTTGCTCTCATCGTTGTTGGACGTCTCCTCCAGGGTCTTTCGGCAGCGGTGGTTTGGGTTGTCGGCCTGGCATTGTTACAGGACACTGTCGGTTCCGCAGAGATTGGGCAGTCGATGGGCTATGTTGGCATTGCCATGTCGTTGGCCTACTTGCTCGGTCCACTTCTTGGTGGTATTGTCTTCGAACGGTTCGTTATATTGAAGGTCGGAAAAAGCACATTCATACTTACATGGCTCACAGTNGCCGGATATTATGCCGTCTTTGCAATGGCCTTTGCACTTTTGGGCATCGATGCAATTCTCAGATTGGTGATGATAGAAAGATCTGTTGCTGCGAAATGGGGGCCTAAAGCACCTGAAGTAGTCACAGATACCGAACACGAGGGCAGCACAGACGATGCGAAAGCTGACCCGGAGTGTCACATACCCGAAGTCGAGACACCTGCTGTGACACAGGAACGACGCAGGCTCCCTCGAGTCTTCTCACTACTCGCGTCGTACAGACTGGACGCTGCTTTGTTTGGCTGCTTTGTCTCCGCCTGTCTTTTGACTTCATTCGATTCGATCTTGCCTCTATATGTCAACGAAATTTGGGGCTGGGATTCTATTGGTGCTGGATTGATTTTTCTGGCTGTCACCATCCCGTCTTTCACTGGACCTCTTGTTGGTGGATTTGTCGACAAGCACGGAGTTAGGTGGCCATCGACAATCGGCTTCATCATCTGTGGTCCTTGTTTCATCTTGATGCGCCTTGTCGACCATGACAGCATCCGCCAGAAGGTGCTGCTTTGTGCACTTCTTGCATTGATTGGTCTTGGAGTCACTCTTTCCCTTACACCACTTATGGCCGAAGTCTCGTATGCAGTGGACGCACAAGGCGCCAAACGACCAGCAGGCTTCTTCGGCAAGAATGGCGCTTTTGCTCAAGCGTATGGATTGTTCAACATGGCTTACGCTGGCGGCACTTTGGTTGGACCTTTGCTGGCAGGATTGGTCAGGCAGAGGGCCGGATGGGGTACTGCCACGCTTGTACTTGGATGCGTGTCATTTGTCTGTGTTGTTCCAACAGTAATCTGGTGTGGAGGATCCATCTTCAAGTTGAGGAGAAAACAGAAAGAAGAGAAGATGGGGAAAGAGGGGGAGTCTACAAAGGCAAGTCCTTCGAGTACGAGTGCGAGTAGTGTGACCAATGTTTGATATTGTGGATAATGTTTTGGCTGTGTATTTAGTTGTATATACCCTGTCCTTCTTGATTAGCTTCTTAGAATTTGCCAATCTAATACGAGCAAGTGCAATCATAAGAGAATGCATGAGCCACTCGTATGAAGTGTCCCCTACTTCTTTGGCCCATTTATCGAGACAGCCAACGATTCCTCCTGATAGAGGAGATAGTTGCGGCCACTCGAACCTCCAAGGCACTTGCCGCGTGCATAATAAGCCGTACGGTTCAGTAATCTCAATTCTTCCCTTATGATAGTCTCAATGGTAGTGTCCTCCAATGTAGTGTAACTTCTTTCTTGTCCATCACAACCAACCCATAGCAATCGTCCAGACCCCCAGTTTTGATCCGGTTTGCAGTGACCCAGTGATCGGAGCCTTTTAGGTAGACAATCGCAACCACCTTATAGACCGCCACTCGATTCCTGCCCCTGAAAGTTTTTCGCTTTGCGGTGTTGAAGGAACCGCTCGGTATGCCCGCAGCTCCGTTCTCCCAAAGACCACCATGATTGTCGTCTGATGTTACTTCATTGATCTAACCAGACAAGATTCAACCTAGGTCAGAGGATGTAGGACGGTGAAATGTGAGCTGTCAACTCCAGCACCAAGCTTTAGTTTGTCATTGCAACATAACCTTTGGGTTAGATGGATGATATGTGGATAGCATGGGAACTTTTTCGCCGGCCCGTCTTTCTGCAAGGCAGTCATCGTGGCTTAAGACTACAGGTTGGGAAGTTGAGCAATCTAGTGCTCAATCGACGCAACACTGGATGTGAACGCGAAGCCTCACTTGTTGGGCTAGGAAACCTGCACTGAAGTCGCCGACCAAAATATACATCCATGTCAGGTTTTGTGGTCGTCCCTTCCTCTTGGAATCTGTGTCGTCCCTTCCTTCGTTGGCAAGGTTCGCCAGTCGCACTTCGCTGAATGGGTTCGTCACAGCCTTGGTCGCTCCTTCCTCTTCAAATTTGTGGGTCGCACCTTCCTACTTGACACCGTGGATCGTTCCTTCCCTTTGTATCAAATTTGTCTGGTCGTTCGTTCCTTCCTCTTGAGCTGAGCTTCATATACCCCGCGTTTTCGCAGCTTCCCATCCAGAAACGAGGTCCAACCAACCTCGGGACATGGGACCCAGACCTCAAAAATCTTGCCCCTTAACAAAGGCGCTTTGGCGGAGTGGTTAACGCGATGCCCTGCTAAGGCATTTCCTTCGGGAGCGTGTGTTCGAATCACACAGGCGTCGAGCTTTTTGCTATTCTAGAGCATGTTGATGTGTTTCTTTTGCATCTAATCGAGTTCCAAGAGGTTGCGAGTTGGTATCGGTGGAGTTATGTCGAATTCCGGTGGGAGGACAATGGCTTGGCGTTGGAACAGCCGATGACGCTTGGACCTCGGCATCAAATTCCGACGCCGATGCTCGAACAACGACATGAACCACGACTTGCCACGAGTATGCCGTTAGTACACAACTATGCATGCAAGATTGTAGATGCCACTTTTATGCCTTTCTCACATGGGTGACCGCTTTAAGTTACCACGGTTATATTCGGATCTGCACTCATGCCTCATCTGGAGCCGAAAACGACAACTGTAACGGGTGGAATCCAAGTGGTTCTTTCTTTCCAGACCAGTACGCGCTCCAACGTGGAACCACCGAGTTCCCCGATCGCTTTGAGGGACTCTATCTATGAGGTCCTTTATCCCTGTCATGAGTCGTTCGCTTCCCTCTCAAAAATAGTTGTTACCACACAAAAGCTTAAGTTGAGATTTTGAACTCAATAAAAACGTTATAGTGATCGTCACAGCGAGCCCCTTCTCAGCTCACGCAACGTCTTTGTCAGTATCTTGTTTTCCTGCTTCGACTTTTCTGTTCTCGAATATCTGCAGAACCAAGGATCTATTCCGCAGAAGATCGTTCCTCTCAAACAACCAGGGCGATATTGAACGAAAAAGATCGTTTGAGACATCTGAGAACATCATGCTATCATCATGTCTCTGTGTGCCGAACGCATCTGATGCCGTGACTGAGTCTGCAAGTACAAAGAAACCGTTGGTGGCACAAGTGCTTGACATTCCGTGGGAAGACTGCAAATATTGACAGCCACAAGCCTACCAAGTAGATATGCAGCATCCAATAAGAGAAGTAGGTCGCATAAGAGAACACAAGTGAGACACCGAGGGGGTAAGTGGGGAGAAAAGTGCCTAGCACAGAAATACCGCAGAAGGGAACAATCACAAAGCCGGACGATGGCAAAAACGGTCAAGACTCAAACGTCTGCTACGGTTGAGTTAACTTGGATAAAAGGGTCTGAGGTCCTTCTCCATACGTGTGGCACGACTTGTCGACTTTTACTATACAACTCAACGACTTCCACCAGGCCTTTGAATCAGGACAACCCGGAACACGACACTTCTCAAGGGATTTGGTTGATGGTCGACAACCCGCCATCATGGACTGGCACGACAAATGGATACCTATTTTCGCTGTCACGATTGCCATGATCATGTTACCACTTGTCGTCGTTCCTCTACGCTGCTACATCCGAATCACGAGGCGTTCATTCAAGATCGATGACTGGCTCATTATTGCGGCACTAACATTTCATCTTGGAGCTTGTGCGGTCACACTGTGGGGATTTGTGTATGGTCTTGGTATGCCTGACAAGGTTCTCAGCCTTGAGAATCAGATGAAAGGTGTTCAGGTATGTATCTCGTACTATATCGGAGCTATCAGAAACAAGACTGACGCGAAGAAAAGNACCTTTGCAATGTACAAGCCAATATATACGCTAGCAACCTGCTTGATCAAATGCAGCGTCTGCTATACCTTCCTCCGCTTGTCGACATCACCAAAAATCAGACGAGCACTACACTGGATCTTGATTATCGTCAGCTGCTCTTCGCTCGTCATGTTCATCGGATCTTTTGTCTACTGCGTACCTTACCCAGCCATCTGGATGCATTGGCATCATCCTCACACTCCTGGATACTGTTTGCCTGGAGCCGTGGTGCTGACAGTCGGATACACTTTTGCATGCACCACTATTTTCGCCGACTTCGCATGCGCCATAATCCCTGGGATCATCCTATGGCAGACGGTCATGAGCACGAGGAATATGGTCGTGGCATGGTTCGTCTTGGGCTTGGGTGTTTTGGCAGCAGCAATGACAATTTGTCGCTTGCCTTACATAGCCTACTGGACACATGAGACTGATATGTCCNNTGTACGTCAAGTCTTCTGTCAGCACGTTCGCTCAAACCACTAACAACTTCTAGATGGTCTAGGTAGAATCCTCCTTTTTGAGCTCCTAGAGTGTGGAATCGGCATATTTGCCTCTTGCGCACCGGCACTGAAGCCATGGTTCTCGGCCTCCATGAGCTCTTTGACATCTTTGCTGCACCGCTTGACAAAGTGGACAACACTAGATTCGCATATCTCGGCCTCCAATCACAAATACCACCATCATCTCCAGGACCTCGAAAAGGCAGAGCATGGCGAACAAGCACCATCTGTCGATCCAGCATCCGCTGCCACAGCACCGCCTGTTCCTCGTATGGACCTTGTGATCCCTGATATCGAAGACACTATCATGGATACGGTGATGGATGGACAAGACAAGGGATGGGATGGTTATGAAACTCCAGCACAAGATAGCAGGCCGGGTTCAATCCCTGTAATAATCGTCTCGAGGATCCGGGCGGAGAGCGGGGACTATACGAATACTTGGGATATCGTTAGGGAGGGAGACGATGATGAGAATGGTCGTCCTTCTCGAGTATGAGATGTGGCTTTGTAGTGACGCCTTCGTCTAATGAGAACCATGACTCTTTTTCTTCTTTCTGCATCGACTGCCATACTCACTTAACCTCACCATCACGACGGAGACCACACGCAAGCAAGACAGTCCCTCACCCACACATGCACAGCGAAAGTCTTCATACTTTGATCAGCCAATCCACTTCTACAACCGCCCCGGACACCCACGCAGCCAGAGCAAACATGCATATGGGCGCGGAGTCACAATGCGGTACTCAGTTCTCGCAGCCCGGGCAAGGACTCTAGAGCAAAGGTGTCGCGTGGTTGAACTGTCGCTGATAGAGAGCGCTGTGACTTGATGGATGTGTGGATGAGTCATTGTCTTGCTTGGATATGTCTGCATCGACGTGTCAAGGTTGGGCCGGGCGTGGTGGTAACGTATAGGTAGAACGGCGATGCACGAGGAGTTACATGATGCATTGCGAGACGGTCGGCGATGTTGAGGTGGAAGAGATGTGGGATGACAGAACAGCTTTGAAGTGTCTCATCATAGAAGAGGAGAGCGTGACCAGAAGATGTTGTCTCCATGCCTTCCCTTTGACGGCACACTATTTTTCGAAATGGTGCATGGACGATTGATGTAAGTTTGGAAAGAGCAACTGATGTTTGAACAATATGAAAGGGGTGTAAGATGCTGATGAACAAAAGTAACCGAATCCCCCACCACCCAAACAGTACAACCAGACGAAAGGAACTCCCCTCTATCCCAAACCAAACACGCCATAAGCCCAAGGTCAGAAATCTCAACCCGACGTCTCGCACAAAAGCTAGAATGCAAGAATCAAGGTCCGCAACAAACACCCAGGACATCTCTGACGTCGACATCAAGCATACCTCCATCATCGCTGGTAGCCTTCCCAGCCATCAACCCTCCAGATCCCCAAAGCCCTCTCCGTTCTTCCCAACGCCTAAACTTGACCTTGATCTCTCTGGGTAGACCGCCCAATACGACCCTCGCTTTAGGAATAGCAGGCCTATCCTCTAAGCTGGCAGACAAAATAGCGTAGTCATGCGAGAACAAACATGCTTGTACGAACGCATGCTGCCACAAGCCCTGTTTCGAAAGTAGAGGTCCGGGCAGAACCAAAATCTCAGAGTTGGCGTCGAGGACGTAGCATCCCTCTGGTTCCAGATCGTCTTGCGTGAAAGGTGCAATTTCCGAAATTGATGCCTCAAACTCGGCATTAGGCGATTTGCTTGACCCATCGCTGTTGGATCGATCGATGTTGGGAGATTTGGGAGCACTCCAGGAAGGACGTCGGGAGAAGTAGCTTGTAAACAGAGAGGTAGCCGTTTGCTTGGGCTTCTCCTTCGCTTCAATCCTGAACAGACGCACTGAAGAATGCTCCCAATTACCGCATCTTCCCTTCCAGAGTGCCGGTGACTGGCAAATGCTCGAGTCGCTAGAATCATGGATTTCTGCAAGGAATTCTGCTGTCTCTTTGCCTTCATCAACTTCAGTAAAACCGCCACCAGGATTCAGGTCCATGGAGATTAGACGAGTGCTTCCGATGGCAGTCGCAACACAACCGCTCCCTCTCCACAGCCAAATCTTCGTCTCTTGGAGTGTGATCGGACGGGCAATGATGTAGGGATACTCAGAGCATAGGCTGTTCTTACTACGATCAACCTCATCAAATGCGATATGGCCCATGTGTGGGCGGCCACAAAGCATATAAGGTTCTTTCAGGTTCTCTGCCCGTGAGCCGCGACGGGTAATCACGATGCCACCGAGCGCTTGGAAGAAGTTCGCGGGTTCACGAGCTTGATCAATGATGTACAGTTGTGTTGANNCCTAGATATGTGGTTAGCTTTTTGAACCTAAACTTCCAAGATACAGATGTGCTCACTTTTGGCCGACACCAGCTTCTCTAGCAAGGCGCTTGGCATGGACTTGAGTTTCCTGAATGGTTGATTCGGAGATGCGATCACCACACCAGAGGTATACCTCGGCCATCCTCGTCATGTTGGCAGTGTAGAAGATGTGCGTGCAGATGTACATGGAGTTCTCGTACAAAATGTGCTCCTGTTGTGCTGGTAAAGGCACCAGAGTACCGTCAGACTTGATCTCCTGAATCGAGTTTCGCAGAGTCTTGATCTTGTCAGACTCTCCTGAGCGAGAACCTAACACTGTTTGCGTATCTGTGTTCAGCTGCAACTGGTTGTTTGAATGTGGAATGTAACCGAAGAAGTCGGCCAAGTCGCGTCCAGCAGGCAGATCAAGCATATTGGGCAAGTGAGGTAGGTCTATCGAACATCCAGACACACGTCAGCTCTCTGTCCCTTCCGTGGGCATTGATATGGATCGTAAGGTACAAGGTGCTCTCAAACTGCTCAGAAGCAATCAGAATTTGGACAAAAAATAAACATCAACATGAATCGAAATTCTTTTTCTTTTTGAGCTTGCGCGCTGGTGGATGTACTAATGCTAAGACTCACCTTTGGCACTCAGTTGACCACTGACAACTCTTGAGCTCTTTGCTGGCTTGGGTGGAACTCTGTCACTGGGTGATTGTACTTGCTCATGGCCATTAGTTCGCTTTGGCTGGTCGATGGTGTCCTCAGTGATGCCGAGTCCTGTCTTTGGCGACGCGTTGTATCTAAGTGGAGAGTTCGAGAGGAGTCCAGCAGACAACATCGCGGCCTCTTCATCTTTCCTGGTTGGCAACTCTATAGGGGCACGCTTCTGTGGAGTCGTCTGTGCAGGCTTCCCCCACATAGAAGCAGCACCCTTGACTGATGAAAAACTTTGGTTTTCCTTGTCCGCTTCAGTCGTGTTCAAGGGGGGCAAGGGCTTGTCCTGAGATCTTGAGACAGTGGTGGCCATGCCTGGAAGAGCCTTGCCAGGGAGTGGTCGGCTGAATCCAGACGGTTGACGAGAAGCGAAAGGAGGAGAGATAGGGTTAGGCACGTGCTTTGTGCTCATTGGGGAACCGGTTGAGGAAGTACGAAGGGGCAATTTGAAGGGAGCAGGTGTCTCCGGCTTGTCGATGCTCGTGGATGAAGGAGTACTATGTGTCGGCTTTGCAGGCGTGATAGGCTTGGGTTTTTCTGTACCAGCGGCCGCCACCACCTCAAGCGATGATCTGGCTGAAACAGGAGTCGCTGGCTTGTCTGATCGAACAGGAGGGAACGTCATTGACTTAGTAGGCGTAGCGGTCTCGAGCTTCTCTACCTCAGCGACCGGCGGCTTAGAGAGATTGATCGACGCGGCCCTTACAGCCGCAGACTTGGGTCGAGGTTGCACAGGAGTCCTAGTCACAGGCGAGCTCGGTGATGGCAAGTCGATGGATTTGGCCGAGTTGATTGACGAAATACGCTTCTCAGGTATGGACGGGGTAGAGGACATACGCTTCTCAGGCACAAGGGTCCTTGAAGATATGCGCTTTTCAGGTTCAGAGGTCGCTTCTGGGGCACTTGACTTTGGCTTGCGTCTCTTCGGCCCCTTAGCACGACTCTTGGTCATGTGCGTGAGTTGAGTACCCTCTCCTGGCTCATTTTGTGCAGACGAGACACGGCTTATTGCAGGAGGTGAGAAGGGGTTCCCTGATGGCGGCGTGTTTGATGCACTCGGTGGGCCGCGCGCTAAGAGTCCCGCAAGAGCTGGATTGAATCTGTCGGCAATCTTGTCCGACATGGGTCTTGTTTGCACCTGAGGCTTAGATAGCTCCTGCTGTACTGGTTTAGGAAGCTCCTGTTTTGCTGGTTTGGGAAGCTCACGTTTCTCTGGCTCCGGAAGCTCTTTTGTCTCTGGTTTGGATTCATCCTCAGTCTTGGACGAGATTGGTGCTGCATCCGTAGTGTTCTCATCAACAACAGCGGCAAATGGCTTTGCTTCTACGGAAGTGCGCTTGAGCTCGACCTTCTCAATGACGCTACTTCTCTTCTCGGGAACAGGTGCCTTGCCCTTGCCTCTTAGGTTCTTGTGGAATGATAGGGCCTCGGGGGTGATATCTCGGTGCGATTTGGCAGGAGCAGGAACATTGAGTGTGCTGCTTGATCGGCCAAGCTGCTTTCTGATAGAGAGTGCTTCCGGCACAGACGATGGTGCTGGGGAGATCTTGGATTCAGGTGCAGGTTTTTCTGCAGCTGCTTTGTTCATCTCTTCCTTTTTCTTCAACAAACTCTCCTTCAACTCATCGCGCCGCTCTGTCTTTTGAGGACCGGCGCTCAGAGACAGGCCTGCCTTGCCGCGAAGAATGTTGCTCTTCAGTTCGTCGGGTGCCACATACTTCTCAGTCTGAGCTTTCTTAAGCTTGCCGAACAAAGCTTTGAACTCAGGCTCTTGCTCTGACTGCGCACCAATAGTACCACTTCTCGATTTCAAGCCTGAGCGGAAGTCGGTCTTGGGTGTAGTCTCCTGTTTTAGTTCGGGCGATCTGAATTCGCCTGATCTCAATTCAGGAGACTTTAAAGCAGGAAATCTAGGGGACGATGAAGCGGTTGAGGTGACAGAGTCGGCACCTTGTAGCTTGGGTGGCAGGGTAGGTACTGCTGATAATGCAATTGGCGAAGCAGCTGGCTTGATTGGCGCCTTCTCTGTAAACCTGGAGGAAAGCGCACTTGNTCTTCGAAGGGGTTGGCTTAGTGGGCTCTTCCTTCTTGGGAAGACCTTCCTTCCTCTTGTCAAGATGGTTGTTGTCCACTGTGTCTTGCTCTCCAGAGCTATTTTGCTCAACTTCTTCTTTCTTGGGTGGCTCCTTGGCCGGCTCTTNNGCTTTTCTGGTTTTGTCCTTCCTGATAGCTTCGGCGTCAGATCGAGCGATGGAGTGGATGGGTCTGGTAAAGCAGATTTGCCTGCGAGTGAGATGGGTTTGGCCTTGGTAGGAGGCGTAACGTTTCTGGATGCGCTGGGAGAATGTGTTGGAGTATTCTTCATGGACGACCTCTTTAGTAGACCTTGACCAAAGGTAGGCGTGTCCTGAGCCTTCGCGGCGTCGATATTTTCCTGCGATGACGAAGCCTCAGCAGTCCCACGTTGTTGTTTTGCCTTTGCGAGGTCGGCCATCCAGCTGGGCTGATTGGACTGTGGTGATGCAAGCGGCTTAGGCGAATCTGGACGAGTAAGGGCACTTTCGAGCCAACTAGCTTTGGTAGGGCTGCGGCTCCATCTCTTGTTTGGGCTGAGCGGAGGAGACATGAGGCCTTCGGGGGTGGGTTCTTGACCCGAGAAGGAAGCCATCGATCTCGAGCGCGAGTGTCTTGTAGTGGCTGGTCTCTCGGGCTTGTCCTCCTTGAGGTCTGAGTCAGGAGCAATGTTGAGGTTGCTGATGGTACTGTGGCTTGAAGAAGGGCGAGCAGGAGTGTCGTCGACGTTGGCGGCGCTGCGGAAACTGGCAGTCGAATCGTTACGAGTCAGAGTTGAGGGACCAGCTGTGACACTCCACCTCTTGTTGACACTGTCGTTGCGCTTGAGCATGGCGCTCTGCACAAAGCCACCCATGCCCTTGGTCGGTGAGCTGGGCCGATCCAGACGACTCTGCGCGCTTGACATGGGACGACCGAGACCATCAGCAGTGTCTGGGGCAGCAAAGCGTTGCGAGTCCCGGGAGGGAAGAGGAGCGCCCTTCTCGGGGATGGACATCATGCTCATGGGTCTGACTGAGGAAGCCCTGGTGGGTGAGCCCATGTCAACAGACATGGGACGACTGCGGGGTGGGCGCGAAAGAGTGCTGGCGCGAGAGGGTACGGCGCTGCTGGAAGAGGCTCTGTGCGGACTCGTTGACGGTGACATTGACGGCGATGGCATGCCTCGTTCGCTCTCTGCATGTCTCTGTCAGTAAAAGGCCGGGTTATTGCGGTTGGCAGGGTCGTGTGACGGACCCAATTTGCGAGCGAGTCGCGAACTTGCGATCTGCGCTTCTAGCTGCTCCTGACGCTCATTGTCTTCCCTCTGTCTCTTCTCCTTGAGTTCGCGCACGCTCTCCAGGAAGGCGTTTGTATCGAGGTCAGGCGTATCGTCCATAGTGTATCGTATATGGTGGGGCGTATCTTGTAGGCGTCTAGGTAATGATGGCTAATCCATACGGTGCAATCGATCAATGCTTCAATCAGTGATTGGGGGTTGTCGGGCGACTTTGATACGGAGGAAGAGGGTTCAACAGTCACCAACGACCAAACACTGGCTCGCTCTTGTTGTTGACATTTATTTGTGTACCCGTCCGTCCCCAAACCAAACGTCCCGGCCGCACTTGCAACGCGCCATGCCGCTCTTGCCCTCAGCCAATCACAGCGGGTCCGCTCTTCTGAAACACGTCCGTCAACTTCCCTGCAGTCCATCTTTGTACAGGTCATATATTTTTGATTGTCACCCTATCTCATACATGAGATCAGGGGTCTTCTCATATCTGATCTGCCTCTCGTAGTCTTCCATTTCTCCTATAGAAGATTCGATGCACAATCTCCATGCGCTTCAATACAGAAAGAGCCGGTCCTTGGCATCTTGCACCACCCATTGCAGGCCTTCCTGAAGGTTCAATCCAGTCAATGCACTGCACTCCATAATGTTCCACCTGTGCGTGTGAATCGTGTCGAGTCGTAAGGNCCTGCGTGGTTTGTCCGAGTCAGTATCGTGCTTGGTAAACATTGGGACCCCGCCGCGGCTGGCAAGGGAACCACAAACCTTGCGTATTTCCTCCGAGCTCATGCATCCTGCCACATCGCTCTTGTTCTTGAACACAAGCAGACTGGCTCCCATCAACCNGCTGCCGTCCTGATCAGTCTCCACTCTATCTGATTGTGCTAAAGCCTTTACCTCTTGCAGAAGAAGCCCCTCCAGTTCTTGTCGGCAATCGTCAATCCGTTCTCGGTCTGTGCCGTCCACGACCCATATGAGCGTGTCCGTCTTCTCGAAATAGTTCTTCCAGTATGTCCGAAGCGTCTTCTGTCCGCCGACATCCCCNNTGTCGGCCGTGTAAGTTTCGCTATCGGTACCTCGCACTCCACTCTAGACTCCCTTACAGATGTTCAGCTTGTATCTGTTTACCTCAGCTGTCAGCTCCACATATTCCAAGATGACCAGGTAACCTCACCCATCATAGTCAATTGTTTTGATGATGAAGCCGAGAGTGGGAGAGACCGTGTTGATGTCCTCGCCCATGATGTTTTTGACTATCGAAGTTTTGCCGCTGTTGTCGAGTCCNNACTAGGAGAAGGTCAGCCAACTGCAGCCACCCCATTTCGAGGTCACAAACAGCATCAAAATCCGCATCTCCTTATCCTTGAGGCGCGCTTTACGGAGTATTGACAACATGGCGATAGCAAAATTTGGTCCAGATGGCGTATNTAAAGACGAAAAGACAGAAGAGTCAAAAGACTGGGTTGAGANGATCAAGAGCGTGTCACGTGGCTTCCTATTTCAGATCAGGTGGTGTTTATTCGTAGCTATCTTGTATCGCTTTTGAAAGTGAGATTTAGAGCTCGATATACTATATACTACTTGTCTCGCCAGGTTTCCATGTCAGACGTAGCAAAGAATGTCGACTCCAGGTTCAATGCTGCTGATCGACCACATCCATCACCTCACCACCCTCTACTCCGAACTGTTCAGTATGCAAAGTGCGAGCGGAGAACAACTAGAATCTTCTTCATACATGCTCGTCTTTATAAAATCTCTGAAGCCTGTACATATATCGAACCAGAATCAATGTCTGTTTGTGCTTCCTACAAGTCCCCATATATGTGCTGTCTTTATGAGATAACATACATGCTGCATATCGCAACTCGGGCAGTATGCGTGAGAATCTAAAGGCATATACTCCTACCTACATTTTGGATTAGATACTCGCTACAACTGATATGATATTCTTCGTGACTCTCCCGACCTCTGGTCTTTCGTACTGCTAGGGGCGTCCTCACTCACAGTAAACATCCACCTTCTTCGGAGGCTTCCCCAGATTGAGGCTGATTCTGCTCACACCTCCTCGCCATCCCTTCCAAACACCGTTCCATTCCCAGCTTCATCCCGGCTACTCGTTGTGGAACTGCAGGAAGTCAAGCTGCTGAGACAGCTCACCGATCATGACGTCGTGACTATGTAAAGGTGAAAATTGCGACAACGTTCTTCTCACCTCGGTTGAAGAATGGGCGACGGCTGCCGTGGCAGTCTATCAAGAAACTCAGAAGGGTGCCGACTGAAACAAGGAGATGGAGAGGCAGGTCGCGTCTTAAGATCAAACACTACTCGAACATCATCGCCAGAACTTGGGCCTCCTCTTCCAGCGCAGCCTATCAACTCGATACACGTTATACCAGACATATGGGCCATCATTCACCGCCATATCGGTATGGAAGCATAGTCGAAGGCCCGTAGAGATCCAAGCGGCAGCTGCACGAAAGGCACGAAGCCATTCTATATGCCATTATTGGCACCGGTAAGGGGAAGAGCTTTTGTAACCTCAAAGCAGACAACACGTGTTGCTGAAGGCTGTCTGACCGCAAAAGCCTGAGACTTTCAACAGACGGCTTTCTGGACTTGACGAGGTTTGTGTAGTGCATTCAGTTTTTGATAGGTAGGTCGCAATCGGCACAGAGAGGCACCAGAGCTCAGTCACTTAGATTCGTCGTTCACTTTATCGAATGCAGGCAGCCGCGACTGACGCACCCAACTTCGTCCCACCTCGACCATCCATCTCGAACATTCTTTCAACCACACAGACATGGCTCACGCAAAGAAGCCACCCAAGAAGAAGTCAGCATGGATCAGCGATAAAGACCTCAAGAAAATGACGGCTGGCGCCGCCCTGCCGCCTCCTCCTGATGGGCAACAGATCGACTACGGCGACACACTCGATCCGCACTTGTTCTATTCGTGGCAAGGCGGATTTTCTACACCTCCCATCTGGGATGAACGTCCCATCTACAAAAATCGCAATCTCCAAGAAACCATACGACAATGGGAGCGCAAGATCAACGTGGAACTCAAGCCCTTCGGCACAACGTCAACAACCAAGAACAGTACCAACTTCTCATTCAACGTTGGCAAGTCCAATGCCGCCAATGGTCGTCTCTACTTCCTGCCGCCCCAACAAGACACGAATTCTATGGCCGAACTAGTCCCGCGATCCTGGGCTCCTCAGATCTTTGAGGCTGGTCAAACGCTTCAATCATTCTGGCAGCAACAGATCACTGGAGCACCCAGACCCCAAGACGACTCTGACTTTGGTGATTGCAGGCTTTTCTGGGATCGCTATCTGATTGACAATGCGGCTGTTCAGTCTGTCCCGACTCAACCAGACACCAAGGGCTGCGACACTCGCGACGACACATGTGGTGACAAGCTCGCCCGCGAGAATGATCGCGGTAGTCAAGGTTGGACAAATCAATACCTCCAGAACCCCAACGCTTTCATGATAGCCCGTTTCGGAAGAAATGCTGGACCAGAAGGCGGCAGGCAACGCCGTGACGAACCGCTCAAAGAACCATCTTTCATCGTAGAAGCACCGATGATCGACAACAGCATCAAGCCTGTACTCAACCTCTTCATCCGTATGGCCCAGCTCGGCGATATTCCTCAGATCACCGACATCTACAACCACTATATCCAGCAAAGCGTGTGCACCCCGGAGCTAGAGCCTGTCAGCAAAATGGATGTGAAGGGTCGATGGGAGAGTGTGCGAGGCGGGCACTTGCCATTCCTTGTCGCCTGTTCACCTAGAGGTTATGGCGGCAGGAAACGGTTCAAGGACCGACCTGCTGTTGACACAGTGCTCGGCTTTGCTTATGCTGACGAGTATGGTGGTGCACGAACAGCGCTACGTTTCGCCGTCGAGGTTGGCGTCTTCGTAGACCCAGGTCCCAGGTGCAGACGCAAGGGAGTCAGCAAATGTCTTCTTGACAAGCTCCTGGGACTGCTGGACCAATTCTACGTTGAGCGCGGTGGCTATGACATTGACGAGCAGCTTGGGATCGGTACACAGCGTCTCGTATCTCGAATCTTCCTCAACTTCATGAATTCGAAAATTGAGAGGTCCCGGGAGTGGGTGATTCCGTACATTGAATCTTGGGGTTTCCAACAACAGACCACGATCGAGGAGGTAGGCTTCAAACTGGGCCAAGTGTGAGTGTATTTTCATTACTGCCGATGTTTTTTTACTGACAGCTTTGTAGCNTTCGATATCACCACCTTCCACAGGAAGACAGGATTAGTGATCGTACCCACCAACCCACCCATTCCTCCTCCAAAGGAGGAATGAAGTCGGCGAGTGCAATAACTGCTACATGGAGCCACAAGGATAATCAATCACAGAAGTGGTATAGCAAGAAGACAAGAAGCCGGAGAGAGCGACACTTTGTAATACTACTTCAGAGAAGCTGGAAGGTTGGCTGTCAGCTCGTGGGTCATACACATTCGTTGCAGGAGAGACGTTCCAATGGTGGGTGGAATTAATTAAATCAAAGGGTCAGAAGAAAAAATGGACACGCGGAGAAGTCTTGGCTTCCCCCGAAACCCTGATGGGTTTATTCATTTTTGTTCCTTCGTGCCATCAATCAAGCTCGCACATACAACAAAACATGTCGCTCGCACTGGGGAAACGCAAGCGCGCAGTCGCATCCAAATCAGCTCTTCCGATCAAGAAGGCCGCCATCGTAAAAGCAGCACCACCGCCTCCAGCGCCAGAACCAGAATCCGACTCGGAAGACCGAGAAGCGCTGAATGAGGCATTCCGTCGTGCATTCGAGAAACGATTCAAGGCGATAGAGGAGGATAAACCAGAAGAAATTCAAGTTGAAGAGGAGGAAGACTCGGAAAACGAAGATGAGGACTGGGATGGCCTTTCAGAAGATGAAGAGGATGACGAGGATGAGATTGAAGTAGTCGAGCACAACATGTCCAACTTTGCACGCGAACGAGCAGACAAAGCTGCATTGAAAGCATTCATGGTACTTGCTATCCTGTGCCATTGTACAAGAATCTAGCACTAACCACTTGCTTTTGCGCCAAACAGNTCCTCGAAACCACCGACTTCCACAGACGCACCTAGCACATCCAAGCAACCAACAAAAAAGAAGGACGAAGACGCCGAAGGCACCACAGAACAAGACGATCTCAAAAACGACCTTGCCCTGCAACGCTTGCTCAAAGAATCCCATCTCTTAGACGCCACATCCCTTTCCACCGACCCTTCTGGCAAGAACCGTCATAAAGCCACCGATTTGCGTTTACTCGAACTCGGCTCCAAGACTTCTATCTTCGCGCAAAAGAATATGCCCAAACATCAAAGAGTGGGCATTCANAAAAAGAAGGAAGACAAGGAGTTTGAGAGGAGGAGGGAGGCCAAGGAGAATGGTATTGTGCTCGAGAGAGTCAGAAGAGAAGGGACAGATGGGAGAGGAGGTGGCTTTGGAGGTGGTAACAAGAGGGAGCGAGGCATTGGGAACCCGAGTGTAGGAAGATTTAGCGGAGGCACGCTGAAGCTGAGTAAGAGAGATGTTGAGGGTATCACTGGGCCGAAGAGCAGTGGCAGAGGAGGACGAGGTGGTAAAGGAGGTCGAGGCAGGGGTGGCGGCAGGGGTGGAAGAGGTGGTAAGAGGTAGAACGTATGGTCGTCTCCTCGTATGACATGCTCATGTCCACGTTACTGCCAAAGGTAATCCAGCTGTTTGCTCCTCAGGCTTTCACACCCATACTATAGCTTCGGTCACGAAACAGATGCTCTGCTCTGCCGGTCTCACATCAAGCAGCACCTTCCTTCACGAATGATCTACGGGCATCACACTTCAGGATGTCAACAAATGAGCCATCAACACAGTGAAGGATAACTTCGAGAGTTTCCTGGCATCTCAACAGCTACAACCAAGCCCGGTGCTCTGCGCAACCACTCTTCCTCTCTTCAACGCCCTCCCCTGAAAGAGTTTGCGAGTAGGACGAAGTTGATGAGTCCGAGCAGCAAGAAGAAGACCTGGCCGCCACCAAAGATGCGAGGTCTCAACAAAAGACTTGAAGAATGAAGGGGCTAGTATTCTACAATTCCGCATAAGCAAAACGATCTCATCTTCCCACAGACGGCGATCTATCGAGTCCGCGCGACAGTGTCCAACATCAGCATGTATACTGCAGTTGGAGTCACAAGACTAAATCTGTGAACATGGCAAACATGTCTTGTTTATTGAGAAGCCATAATAGAAACCCCCTTTGCTATACACGTAATTTTCGCAACTCTTCCGCAGAGTTGAGCTTCCGGTACACTTCCATACTCCCATGACTGTGACTAGCTCCCGACCAAAAGACCTGAATGCCGGTTCGAGTATACGCAATCTTGATTTGGTCATAATCCGTTCTCGAACGCTGTATTGCGAAGAAAGACTCTGGGACGTCCTCCACCCATCACTCAACTCGAATTACCTTCCTAATCCAAGAACCATCGCGACCTTTACCTTCGCGATATAAGGTGTGAAGCTTTTTCCACCGTTTTGGGGTATGGTTCGTCATTTTTACAGGTGCAACGGTCGTGTATTTCTCGAGCCTCTTGTAGGAGCACAACGTTGTATATTACCGACCTGTCTTATACGGCGTTCCTCGGAAGACACTCAGCGTGACGCTGTTCGATTGAGTTGACTTCTACAACAGTTGATCTTTTGTAAGAGAATCTGATGTAACCCTTCTAGTCTCTCTGTTCATCTCATTGTGTTGTTGTATGTGTTCGTTTGAATTTGGGTTTCCATGGCATCCAAGACCCAGCTTGCCTTGTCTCGGGAATATTGGTTTTTACATGTTGAGAAGCACGTTAGGGATCTCAAACGTATTCTAGTATAACGTAACTGTTATGTTATGGCCAAGAAGGGCCAAAAGTGTAGCAATGTCAGTGTGTAGTGCATATCAAAGTTCCTGACTGAACTTGTTGTCGAAAAGTCAAAGGCTTGATTGGCTTGTATGAGTATGCTTAGGCGCCCACGGCCTGAGTATTGTATGATCTGTCAAAGCCAAACACACAAGTCATCGCATGTCGGTAGGGACAACGACGAGAGATCTTGGCCGTTGCAATAATGTTTCTGATTGTGAAAGGAGCCGCGGCTTCTATGTTTTGCGCCATTGGAAGCTTTCGGGATGTGGCGCACCTGAGCATGCATGGCTACCTGAAAGCGTTGTTGACATTAATAGCATGCCCAGAAATCAGCAAATTGTAATCAACATTGTCGTGTCTGGTTTTGGATGCCATTTTCACTGACAAGGCACGAGGCTCTCATGTGCCAAATCAGATACCATGGAGTCGGAAGGCGTGAAGCACGAAGGAGCCGCTGGTCTGCGTTGATGAGGTTCAAGTTCGATGCAACGTGGAGAGCTTATCTGTTAGGGCAACAGGAGTTAGAAGCCCCTTACAGAGGAGCACAGAGTTAAGCAATACAATACCTCGCACCGTCCATCAGACAAGAGCGACGTCGCACGAGGCAGAGAGTTCGATGCCTATTAGCTCCACAGAGGGGATCTCATCCTCACGACCAAGGAGAGCCTTGATAGCCGACATTCTTTGAACCACCACACAGGAGTGCGAATATCTCCTTGTTGGCTAATCAGGTCTTGGCATCTCAATGGCGTTCCGGAAGAAGCGTGTCCGGTATACGGAGAGCGACTCCGCTACGATAGGCTAACCCGGATCGATCTTTGGTCAGATTTTGGTTGTGGTACCAGCATGGGCGATGTTAGAGCAGATATCGCAGAGTAAGGTCAGACCCGGAGAGGATATGACCGTGTTGTGTTAACAATGGATATCGAAGAGCTTATCCGAATAGGTATAACGAACGCACTGCAAGCTGTGCAGCTTCCTAGCGAGGTAGGGCGCAGCTTACAAACCTATCCACTCTGTTTGCGAGTCGCAACGTCTCGGCGACAACGCGACACAGATCGTCGATCATATACAGGCTAGCCTGTGCAACCTGTGCTGGAAGAGTTCGGTAGCCCCTTGAAGGTGGCTGATAGTGTTGTCACACATACAATCAAAAGTGTAAAAGATAAGGGTCAAATGAAGACTGCGCTTCGAAAGACACTTTGCAAGGAAGGAAGCTGCAACCTGAATTGAGATCAGCGCCTGCAGACTCATTGCAGGGACTCGCTCAGAGCTCGGACGTGAGGCGAGCGCCAAGACTATATGATGCTGTTGCCTGTGAGAGGAGCAGGAAGCCAACTACTGAAGATGATGATTGATCAAGGAAGCTGGCGGATGCACATAGCGGTCATGGGAAGGTGTGGTAGTCTGTAGGAGAGACGGCCGTATGGAACAAAAGTCAGACGTTGGCCAGAAGGTCGGTCGCGTGGAATTACACGCAAGCAAGCAAAGATCTACGAGATCGGCGTGGTCGTAAGATCTACCACGCTCGTCGCAGAAACGATGGACGTGTGGATTGAGATTTTGAATTTCGAACAAGGCGGTGCAGTCGAAGGAAGTAGTCCTTCATACCGCTTCCTGTGAGCAAAGGGAGCGTGTACTCAACGGCGCCTGCTAAAGGTGCTGAGACTCGTCGAACGAACATGACGTCGGATGTCCGGCACGGCGGATCTTGTGTAGCTCTTTCTCTCTTTGTCGCGCAAAACGGCTGGCCAATGGTGTCGGCGAATAAGCTTTTGATGTGCGGTGGAGCCAAGGGCATGGTGGAGAGAGATGGAGAAGACGAATGTGCATCTTCAGAGATATCTTTCTTTTCGAGGTTGTTATGGGCGGCATCTGGACGCGGATGGATTGATGCGTCTGTCGACCTCTAGACCAGACAAGAGGCCCATGTCGCAGGCAGAGGCTCGAAATGACGTCTCGCGGATGGCCAAGACATGCCCTGGACGCTAGGCGCTCGTCGACGGTCTAGATTGTCTTGAGTGGAGAAGGGCACACCCTCGCGACTTGAGCGGTTTGCATAGGCGGCCGTTCCCTGAGAACTCTCGGACTTCAGTCTGTTCCGCCGACCAAGTCTCTGTGCTGGGCCTAGGTATTATGCTTACCAAACCGCTGTTGCGTTGAACCCGACTCTGGCTTTGCGTCTGACGCCTTCTTCGACACGAATCCCGACCGTCCATCCTTCCAACTCGTCCATCTACCACCGACACTGACGAGCACTATCGTTGCCGTCTACTACACGGCCTCTACCGCACCTCGCGCTCCATACCACATCCTCGTCACGAACCACAAGTCGCCCTCTGAGCTGGACCGCCACGCGGACCCCCGACATGGAGCCCGACTTCATACCGCGAAAGTCCATCTGTCTGGGCCAACCGCTGCCCCCAAATGTCGTTATTCACGACAGTGACCCGAACTTCCGTCCAGGCATGGAACGTCTGTATCCTTCGAGTGTCGACAGCAATATTCTGGAAGAGCTGGTCATCCTCAAGTCTAAGCTACGATTGCTCAACAACGACGACTTCTGGTCCTTCGTATCCGAGCGCATAGCCGAAATACTCGGAGCACAACTCTGCTTCATCGCCAAACGCATCCTGGTCGACGAACAAGACTCGGCCATTGAAATGCCCCCAATTGGAGAGCCAGGCTCCTGTCTGATGGCAAGCGCTTGGTACTACAACGACGGCAAGGGTCTGCAGGGTGTCGATAAGGGCTTCAAGTTCCACGCATATGGCTGCCCATGCTCTTACATGCGTCACGACAAGGTCTTTGTCGTTCCCGAAAAGGTCAGCGAGATATTCGCCAACAATCCAAACAAGTTGCCCGTCACTGCCGAAGCCTACATTGGTATTCCTCTGTTTGCTGACGGCAAGTGTATTGCACACTTCGGTGTCATCTGGTCTGTCGAGGGTGCTGCTAAGAAGAAACTTTCATGGGCCTTGATTGAAATGTTCTTACACGCTTTGGAAGATATCATCCTGGAACGCATGCTCCAAGGCTCCGAGTTCAAAGACAAGCAAACCGCCACCAGAGACCTGCCGCGTGTCATTCCCCACGAAGTCATCACCGCCGCCCAATCTTTGCAACCATACGCAAAGAGCTTGTCTCATGAACTGAGAACGCCCATGCAAGGTGTGGTTGGTATGCTCGATGTTATGTATGCCACTGTCCAAGAAGCCGCAGAAGGTCAGACGGATGCAGGTGTTCGCCAAGTGTTCGAAACACTGAAAGAGAACATCGAGACCGTTCAAGGTAAAATTTCTTACGCTTCCCTCTCACTTTCTGTGCTGATCTCTCTCTANGATAGCTCGCGTCGTGCCGTCGAGGCCGCTGACAACGTCGTACACGCTTACGACATGAACTTGGGTATTCCTACAGGACCACTCCTCAACGAAGACGCTATGGACGAATTTCCAGAATTCAGTCATGCTTCTCATCCTGAAATCCTCGTTGCTGGATCCGATCTGCCCATTTCGAGGCCAAACAAACGCCGCCGAGAGGAACCCAAGAATGAGCCGGAAGGAAGTCCATCTAAAGTACAAGCCACTCTTGCCGCCCGCGCAGCAAAGGCTTCTCCTACCGAGGGCATGAAGATGGGTGTCCACGAAGCTGAACATCTTCCCCAAAGCGCCGCTCAACACACAATGCCCATGAGTCCTCGACCTATGATTGCTGCTCTGCAAGGTGATCGTGCCATCGCTCCTGGTGTTAGACACACGAACCTCCGTCGGGTCTTGCAATACGTCGTCAATGAGGGCTTGAAGGTTGGAGGAAGACCGGAGTCTGCCATTGCTCAAGAAACATATCTCGGCGAGATCATCGAAGTTTGCACGCGATCAGCAAAGGGTGAGCCCAGGACCAAACTCATTGAGTGGTCTGTGGATGCTGCTGTACCCGAAACAATTCTCGCCGACGAGAAAGATCTTGCCAAACTGATATCCTGCGTCTTTTTGAACGCCACTAAATTCACGGAGCAAGGAAACATTACCCTCTTAGCAAAGCTGAGCCCGAAATCCCGATACATCGTCATCAAGTGTACGGATACAGGTCCTGGCATCCCTTCAGCATTTCTTCCACGCCTCTTCCAACCATTCTCACAAGAAGACCCATCTCTCACTCGTCAAAGCGAAGGCCTTGGTCTCGGCCTTCTGGTGGCTAAAGGTCTAGCGCGAAAACTTGGAGGAGATTTGTTCTGTATCCGCGCAGACACCACTGGACCTAAGCGGGGCTCTGAGTTTGAAATGAGAATCCCCCTTAGGGCTGGTGATACCACTACTCGTCCCCCATCGCCTTTTGGAACACCATCACATAACAGAGTGCGCCAGTCAAATTCGATCGATTCAGACGGACGTCCTTCCCCCATGCCCAACTTCAGCGGCTCACATGCACGTACTCGAAGCGACAACTCGACCAAGGATTTACCTTCTCCGACAGAGAAACCTGCTACCAGCGGATCATCCGCGGCACCTGCTGTCAGAAGTCCTCCAGCACTTATGCATAGCCAATCCTTCCCTATGCCGTCCTTCCCACCCAAGCAACCAAGTGCGAGTGGCCGCAAGTCATCAGCATCGATCAACGGTATCGATCGCAATCTAGCTGCCAAGTATCCCCTAAATTTCCTGGTCGCAGAGGACAACAAGATCAACCGCAAGCTTCTTGTTAGTATGCTCAACAAGTTTGGTTACAAGACAGTGATCGAAGCATACGACGGCGCCGAGGCTGTTCGACAAATGTCGAAGAACCCTTCGGTTGACGTTGTGCTCATGGACCTCTGGATGCCCTTCATGGACGGTTACGAAGCCACTGAGAAGATTCTTGCCATGAGCCATGGCAAGAATGGCGCTTGTGGTGGTACACCGACTGTTCTAGCCGTAACAGCGGACGTCACCGATGGTGCCCTTGAGAGAGCCGCCAAAGTTGGCATGAAGGGGTTCATGACCAAGCCATTCAAGCTCATGGACCTTCAACGTCTGATTCTAGAATACTGCGCTCGCAGCGGCAGCGAGGTCGAGGGTGGAGAGTAATATCCCGCCTTTTGCTTCCAACATTCTCCCTTTTGCTTTGTTCTCTCTTCTTTGTTTGATTTCGATTCTCTTCTGTTGCATCAATATTCTCATTGGGATACTTTCTGACCAAGTAGCGAGGCGTTCTGGAGTTCCGGGTGGAACTCCTATGACAAATGCAGAAGCATAAAATGGATTATTTCGCGGCGTTATTGGGGTTCACGACAATGTCTTGGAAAGGCGAATGTTTCGAGAATCACGAACTAGCATTAGGTGCCTACGACTCTTGGCTCCGTATTTCTCTTCCAGCCATCTACTTGTATGGATGGCAGGTGTTTACACATCCTCCTTTGGCTAGAATAACCATTTAATCAACTCATTCCCAAACCTCATCTTGAGTAATTGTCCGACCTACCGACGGCTACTTTGGTTTACTCGTTTGTCCTGAAGGGCGAAAGACCAGACACGACGTTGCGGTTGGATGTCAAACCAGAAATCCTCCGACTGGCCGAGACGAAAGGACCAATGACGTGCCGAGGGTCTCGACCTTCCATAGCTCTTCATTTTAACAACGTCTTTGATTTCTTGCAACGATCTAGCCTCTTGCTCTCGTCTTCTTGTTTTTTCCTTCTCGACGTGTCCGCTGCATTTTGCTGGTGCATGAACAGGAGCCGGCACCACATGTTCCTTGGAACAGCGTGGCAGCTCATGCACCGCGAGGCCTGGAGCCTGGCTCCAGCCTTTGCGGTCTAGAACCACATGCATGCACGCCATTTTCTCGCCTTTTGCCAGCAAAGACCCTTGTTTTGTGTCACACAACGGAGGTGCTCCCGCTCGCTCTGAAACTCCGGCAGTTTACGTGGTACGTTCCGTTTCATGTAATGTTGCCGGTCTGCCTGGTAGGCCGCTAGATGAGCTCGTTATCACCGAGAAGCAAGCGATTATAAAGGGTCCAGATGTTCCTTGTGCTCATCGCCGATTGCTTTCAAATCAGAGTCATCGGATGTCGGATCCGGAAGGAGATGTTGATGGCCTGATGGCTTCTTGATGGGGTTCTGGACAGGCTTGAATCTTGATGCTGGCTTTCTCGGGTGTAAGGGCGCCATGCAATGTACCCTGATATTGTGGCTTGCTTGGTCGAGACCATATGGTGATGTTGTCAGCTTTTGATATATCTCGGTGAAAAGGGTGATTGTACTTAATAGCTTTTGTCGTGACTCGTTCTTTTCTTACTCTGGCTGCTTCGAGGCTGCTCCCTGGTAGGCTCCTTCTTTACCAAGTTCTAGGACTCCTCTCTGCACTCTTCTCGGGGCCAGATTTACTTGATCTGGGCCTGGTTTATCCTGCATAGCATGGCCTGAATGGTTCTTGTTTCCCTTCCTTCATTCTAGTTTGCTTACTCGCTCGTCTTGAATATGACAGAAATCCATCTCTCGGCACCATCATTTGCATAAGTCCATAACGCTGCGGATGAACAGACAAGGTAAAACAAAGACTGACAAGCACCCGATAGTGAGGCGCAGTAGCTTCACGCCGCAGATCTCGCGTTATCGAGGCCCGCATATTCTGTCAACAGGCAAGGGTGGGTTGGAAAGTAGACATTACCTAGTTCTATCTCTCTGCCATGAACACCATTCTTCTTTGACACCATACATGACGCATACATATTGCTTCGACGTCTGCGAAAAGAGCTGGGAAAGGTGAAAGAGTTCAACCCTTGATTACTTAGTCGATCAATTCACAACATGCCAAGATAATTACTGTCTTCAGAATACTGGTTGCTGACTGTGTTGTTCCTATATAAAACTACATACGACTTGGGATCGATTGTTCTAATCTTCGTGTTCTCGAATACTGTCCGTCCCACCTGTCCTCCTCCATCAACATATGATCTGTCCTCTTTCCCGTTCTCCTAGCGTCCAAGTCTTAGATATGGTCTCTCTAAGTTGCTTTGTCATCTCCTTTCTCGCTTTTGGGCGTGTTGGGAGGGGAAGTCGATCGCCCGTTTCTGCCGTCTCCACGATCGTTCCATCCTGAGGAGCTGGATGGCGCAGATCCGAATGGAGCAGAGCGAAACAACATAGAGCCAAACCACGGGGTGGTAGATGGGGTAGTGGGCGCTCCAAAGAGAGAATCGTTAGAGGTATTGGAAGCGCCAAAAGTGTTGGAAGCGCCAAAAAGAGCACCATTGGGTGTCATGGGAGCCTCGAAGAGAATGCTCTTGCAAGTTTGGTTGTGGTTGTTGCTTGGATCGAAAAGGCTTTTGCCCTTGTAGTCATGCTGGGTCTGAGCGGTTCCGAAAAGACCGCCAAACGTGCGGGTAGCAATACCACTGAAAAGGCTAGGTTTCTGCTGATTGGTTTGCCCGATCGTGCTTCCGCTGATTTGCCCGGAAGAATGATCACCATAACTGAAAAGTGTATCATTCTGTGGGGATCTGCTTGCACTCCCTGACATGATTGTCGCACAGAAATTGGTGACATGTCGCAGACAAGCAATCGCGTTCGAGTAGCTGGACACGATCATGCTGTACTCGCGGATTTGGACAAGGCGATCGACACCAGAGAGAGCTCTCAATAGCGATTCAACTCGGTCCAAAGCATCCACAGCGTCTCTTGCTTCCTGGCTCTCCAGTTCTGTGGTCTTTGAGTTGTTCTTGGCACAGTGAATGGAAAAGTTTCTTCAAGTGCTGGGTTTGCTTTTCCAAATCGCCGAAGACTTCTTCGATACCAGTGATATGGCGAGGTATGCCTGAAGCCAACGGTTCAAGTAGTCATGTTCGGTCCCGTTTCTTGAGACTCTCACGACGATCAAACTCTGCTGCAGCTTGAGTACATATCTGGAGTGGCGTCAGATGTACACTCTGGTCCGTAGCCACGTATGCCTTCGAGTTAATGGTAAGTTGTGCTCCAAGAGGCTGTTCGACGATTGGATCGGGTGCTGTGCCCTGTTCGTCCAATACATCGTCAAGTTTGTCCCAGTGAATCTCAAAGGCGACTCTTGGATCAATTGAGGGCTCTAGACGAGGGACGAAGATGCCTTTGTGAGGGCCATACATGTCTTATGCTTCCGGAAGCGAGTTAAACTGGGAGTTGAAGATGTTGCGACAAGCAAGGCCGGAGGATGTTCGTTAAGCAGGGGTGATGAGCTCCTTGCGGTCTCCCTCGATAGTCAGGGGAGGTCCAGGTGGATGTTTGCCAGGCAAGTCTTGCGTTGTCCATGATGTTCGTTCGTTGTGTTGTTGGTGGAAGAGGTTGGAGAGAAACTCATGTACAATATTCGAGCGAGTACTCTTTATACATTGTGATATGACCCAAGTGCTGCCTAAATTCTATGACTAGGCTCAACTCCCATAGAATTAACTACGGTGCTTTTGGACGTCTTCATGGATTGTTATAGGCTAGCATTGGAAAACTAACTCACGCATGCCAGCTGTTACTGTGAAGCAGCGTAGACCAGCAAGATACCCATACTCGAGTGCTTGAGAAGACAAGTGCATTTTGTGCAAATTGTCCTCGACAGACATAATCGTATTACTAGCCCAAAATGGTGAAGCAGAGTTGTGGTAGAGGAAGGAGTGACCTGGAAAGAGTGCCTGAGGCAGGCACGGGATATGCCGTGCTTCCAAGCGGGATCCGTGCGTGCATCCAGCAACAACGTCAGAAGGTCGAGGGCGAACGCGACGACGAGCTGAAATAGACTCCAACCACAAACACCACCATGCTGTTGAGGTATCTGAGTGCGGCCGCTCTGGCTCTGCAATCCGCAAACGCTTTCAAGGACGCTTCGCCCTTCGTTCTCTACTCGACCAGCCAGTAAGATTGTCCGCCAGCCGCCAAACTATCGTGTACGCACGCTGATATAGACACAGGNCTGGACGCAAAGAATGCCAACGCAAATGTCATCAGCGCGCAGACACTTCAAGAGAGCATTGAACACCAAATCAAGGGCTGTCCCTCGGACACTTATGTCGTCGTATCGCAGCCCGGCGTAAACTCCAACGACTTGACACTCTCCAAATCCACACCACATCTGCGCCGCCGCCTTGAGGCCAAGGACAACAACGTCAAGTCTTTCTTTGCCGCCAAGAATGTTGTGGGACATGTTGATGCTAGGGCCCTGGTAGCCTCAATCAACCGCGAATGCAACACTGCGAGCACATTGCTATTGAGCGGCGAAAGTATGTGATTCTTCTTCTGGTCGCTCACGAAAGACATACTGACCACGAGATANGAGGGAGAGATTCCCACCAAGCCCTACGACGCCATTCACGTCCAATTCCCCACCCTGCCTACCGCCAACGACGATCGTGAATCCGCTCTGCTCCGAGCCGACTCGTACCTGAATTCGCTGCTCGCAACTCTCGACTCTTACACTGTTCTTTATGCCACTCTCGACAACCTCTCACCGAGTCAATCCCAGCACCGTGAACAGTACGAGATGGACGAGCCTTATCCGTCAAACATGCACACCGACTTGAAGCGTGACCTCGACGCCCACGTTTTCCGCGCTAGCAATGCTTCAAACCCCCAAGCCGACCTGGCCTTGTTCGAGAAGTACCAGTTCCTCTCGCCAGGTACGTCTTCTCGCCTCAAATAGTCCTACATGACACGAGCTAACATCTTTTTGCANGGAATCTTCATGGGCGGTGTTGTCAGCATTCTCCTCTTTTCCATCCTCTACGTCGGAATCAGCGCCATTGCAAACCTTGAGGTGTCATACATGGCTTTCAGCAAGGAAATGGGTCCCGCCGCTCAAAAGAAGCAGCAGCAGTAGAAGACGAGTCGTCGATCGGAAATAGAGATACCACTGTTTGTATATGTCCTGCTCTTTCATAACATTCATGTAGATGCGATACTTTTCATTTCACGTTTCATGGTCAATCTCTGTGGTATACGGAGTGCTCGAGTGCATGTAGTCTTGTTGATTTTTGACACCCCTTGGCATGAGAAAACATCCATCCCGCTCGCGTACAGTCTCTGACGCCCGAGTGTTACTTCGTTGTATAATACCACACTACTCTTGACGATGATCATCCTTCGATCTTTATTCCAAACCGATATGTTGGGTCAGGGTCTCATGAACAACGAACATATCAACCACTGCAACTGGATATCAAGGCACAGCTACGGTATATATTGTAATCTCGTAGGATAGAGTCAATTCAAGAAGGCTCGAACATGTAGTATGAGAGGAGGATGGTCTCATATGCATTGTCAGTCGTGTTGTGGACCAATCCTACTGCCCTGCGTCCGAAGCGTAGGGTTTGAGTGGAAGAGTGCATATTATCTGGCCTGAAGAACGTTTGACTGCCATGTAACAAAGTAATCTGGTTATTGTTTATGAACCGTCGTGTCTGATCTTTGCATGAGTGCCATGGATATTCAAACAAAAGAAGGTATCACCATATGTAAGGAAAGCAATATAGAGTTTCATAATTCAATGTCATCATTTCGGGGTTCGCTATCAACTTGTTTATAATCAAGGTAGTCATCTGTTGCAACTCGGTCAGCGTTCTGTGGTAGATACTGGATGATATGCTTGGTAAAAAGAGAGAGGAGTGCAGTATCAGATCAAAAATAATTCTCAACAATAGTCTTCAGACAGGGATAACTGTTTGATAATATGTCTCATCATTGCAAAGGGAAGAGGGGTGAGGGTGGTGGAGATATAAGCAGAGAGAGTAAAACGTACGAGTAATGGCAGCGAAGAGCGCAGTGTACACGAGACACAAGACACACATTCACAAGTCAAAGGAAGAGAGCGTTTGACGAAAGAAGCCGGTGGATTTGCTTTTGCGGCCTATGGAAGAAAGCGCCCTTTGCTGAAGAAATGGAGCAAATCCGTCCCCGAGGAGGGTCCTTGACCCTCAACCGAAGTTCGACACCTGAAAAACTCCCATAGAAAAGCAGAACCAGCGTTAAAACCGACGGGATATCTTTTCTTTTTCTTGTTGTCGTCGTCAAAAAATGACCTCAATCCATCCGGACAAATGCGTGAGTCGTCATGATCGAATTTAGTCGGTGCCACCAACAGCGCGGGCTGGTCAGAAGTTAGTAGGGTCGAGGGTGAGTGTGGAAGCTGATCAAAACGCACTGTAGACGAGGCACTTGGAGTGGCTGACGACCTTCTTGATCTGGCCCTGCTCCTCAAGCTCGGCGAGCGAACGACGGGCAAGAGAGCCGTTGATCTTCAGTCTGTCGACAAGGGTGGCGACGGTGACGAGGCGGTAGGACTGAACCTCCTTCTGGAGACGGTCCGAAGTGGCCTTGTCGAGGATGACGGCGTGCTGAGCCTTGTCCTTGACTGTGTGCGCATCATGTCAGCGAAACTATTCCTTCTTGCGAGCCCATAATAGCGCGGTGTTCGGATGTACGAATTCGTGGGTTGGATGAGTGCGAGTGCGCCGCTTCGAGATGCGATGGATCATAGGAAGGGATATTTCGTGATTTCGGAGATTGTCTGGGATGTGTATGGTGTGCGCATGGATGGAATGGAGGAGGCGTGCGTACCCTTGCCCTTGGACCACTTCTTCTTTTGCTTCTTGGCTCCGGTTGCTGCGGGTGCCTTCACGTGGTCTGTCAGTGTCTGTCGTAGCAATACATGTCGTCTGCGAAGAGCCGTACCATTTTGTCGGATGTGGGTGGTAAGAGGGTTGGAACACTGGAAGTCGCTTCTGAATATCAAGCCTTGTGCGCGCAGCTTTTCGAATGTGGGCCGTCACGTGTGTGCGCTTGGTCTGTGCTTTCCACCCTCCCAGTCGTTTAGCAACCAACACATCTTGTCCCGAAGGCAGGTGCGACTCACTTCTGCCAGTGACAGCTTCTCTGCGCGAAGTGCTCTTTCTTCCGCTGTTACAACATTCTTGCCAATTGTTTATGGTACTCCAGTAAGACCCGTAAGTAAGCACTCGGTTTGTTCTCAGTCGCGTCTCGCCAATCAATCAATATCTTTGGCTTGGCATGCTAGCTCTCCTCCCATGGGCTGCCTAGAAGACGACTCTTGTCAAGTCTGGGATCGTTGCATTCTCCTTGGAAAATATCTGTGAAACTCTGTATCGCCGACTATATACGAGTTAGCTGCACCTCTGCATCATCTCCCAAGTTTGTGGCTGGTGCTCATCGCTTTTGGCGGCTAACCGCTGCCTCAGCCTTAGCACTGCCATTGACCTGTCTCTTGCTTCTGTCTCTTACAACCATCTACACCCCTCCACCATACAATTATCTTCGGTCACTCGTTTCTCTCGCACACATACGATCGCTGCTCTCAACCTTGATCATCCTCAAACCATCTTCACCAAACAAGCATTTATCGCTCGTCCTCTCCTACTTCTCTGTGTCGCAGCGCACCAAGCCGTCGACATCTGAACAACACCCTGGACGCGCGTCGTACTTTCTTCGAATCCGAGGGCCTTGCAAAGATTATTCGCCTGGTTATACCCGCCTGTGTCTAGTGCGCACCCGCGCTCTGCCAAAATGCGCTATACAACTCTGAGTGCCAATAAGCCCAAGAGTGTTCGAGTAGGTCAAAGAGACGGATAGATGATCATCAGGGACTGATTATGGTTANNGTGGTACTGGCGGATAACAGCGATTTGTGCTTCATGTTTGATACTGGGANNGGGTAGGTCACTAAATTCGCTGTAACTTGCAGATGTCGGCTGACCCCATAGCTTTCTCGTGATCCCTTCAATATTTGACTCGCAACCACAACTGCGAATATCCAAGACGATCCTAGGCGGCTTCGGCATCGGTCTTCTGGCGCTCGGATTCTCTCTTGCAGCACTCACCAGCTTCGGCAGTCGTAGCTGGGCCTTTAGCGCTCAACATGTTTTTATACCCTGCATTTTTGCTTGCCTCATCGGCTTTTTGAATGTGCCGTACTGCTTCATCATCAGCACTCGCTTCCAATGGAACGTAGCGGCCATGGCTACCACGATCGGGGCTGCCACGACAGCATTTCTCTTCACGATACTTTACTTTTTTGCTCGCCGCCGACTTAGACGGCCGAAGCCTGAGCAGAACGTTCAGTCGGACAACATCAACCTCTTACGCCGACCTAGCAACACGAGTGCCGCAGGGTCATACCACACCCAGAATTACTTCGAGAATCACTTTGCAAACATGTACCCAGCTGCACGTACGCCGCCGGCGATGGTGGCTGTGACACCACCAAATGAGCAACCACTCAATGATGGTGAATTACAAAGACGACGCATGTCAGATCTGCTGCACAAGCCCGAACCACAGATTTCTCCAGCTACCAGTCCATTCAATCGCATCGACTTTGACGTGGATGAATCAGAGTCGCCATTGAATGGCTACTACGCTCCCACTAGTGCAAACCATCTATCGACTCGTTCAATCGACGACCCATCGTGGCGCACACGCAACGCAAGCTGGGTCACTAACGACTCACGACGTAATTCTTCCCGTGAAGAACGACGTCGCGAGATTGAGATGGGATAATAAGGACGACTAGGTTCTCAAGAGGACTGTTAAGACACGGATCAGACTATACATCACCACGAGTCTCTGCTGGCCAAGGATCGCACGGCCATGACCCAACGATATTATGGTCTGTAGTATGGTCTCTATCAAATGGTGCAGGTTACTGTAGAATACTTGCTGTGTTTGCTTATAAGAGTAGGGAATATATTGTATTTATAATGAAAGAATAATGATACGTTCGATCACAACTCATGACGCTATCAAGGTTTAGCAACAAACTTGTCGATCGGAGACCAGCCAAGCGTGGCAATTCACAAAGGTTGTACTAACCCTACAAAGGCAACAAAGCCGTGGTTTCGAAGTTCCTTGAGTTCTTGTTCTCGACATTTCTTTGATGTTCGAAGACGTCCTTGTTGTATTCAGCATTGTACCTTTCGAACAAAGAGCTTCCAGACATTGCTTCTCGAACATATATGAATCACCTTCTGTATGTCTGTTGAGGAGCTCAGATCACCCAGCTAACGACAAACACGTGTAAGTAGAGACAGGTCTCGCAATTCACTAACGACCGACTAGAAACCCAACTCGAAATTTACACTCACTATGTGCTGGGGAGTTCAGGACCACATCTTCTGCGAATTGTGCCGTCATGAGACTGCTCTTGACATCAATTGGCTAGGTTGTCAACATGAGTTTTGCGAAGTACACTCGCCTGTCTGCCAGAACCCTATCATCTCCAAGCTAATCACATACCGCTCATGCCAGACATGTATCACTGAGGCAAACGATGGAGGTAACCCTGACGACATTTATCCAGAGCCCTTTGCTCACCCGGGCTTCTCTGACACCAAGCCCGTGATCCCAGTCGACAGAGTCCAGTTTCCTGAACCGACGGCCTATGAATCGTGTTCGAATGTTGAGAATCTTGCAGGACCTGCTGACGAGTTGCCTAGTTACGAGGATGCGATGAACGACATGCCCAGCCCACCTTCTTACGATTTGGCCATATTGCGCTATAACGAGCCTGATCCCTGGTTCGCTGCGAGAACCGCTTACGACTTTGCGTTGGAGCGTCATCAACAGCTGATGGACGTCGCCCAAAAGTATAGACAACACATTCGTAAGTTTTTGACTCAAGGCCCATCTGCTGACACCATCAAGATACTGGACTATGCGACCGAGATCATCGAATCCTTTCTGTTTGATCAAGAGCAAAGAATCTCTCGTATAGACTTGCTTGGGCCTTCTCTCGGGACAATTTACATTGAGATCGATCTGCTCCCCAGTCCGCCGGAGATGGCCTTGCTTGAGCAAAAGCGTCAGTCTATCATAAGAGAGCTCGAAGGATACGCCGAGCGACACAGTACGCTGGAATCTGCTGAAGATTGGGATTTGAGACTCGAGAGTCTGCTAACCCACGTCAGCGTTGAGATGGCCAGTGCTACCTTGCGGGAGATTGATGAGATGATGGCTTCTGTGAGGGCTATGCGTGCAAATGCTTCGTCGACTTAGATTTGAGTGGTTTGTCTTGCCTCTGGTAGGCAACAACACTATGGAGGTATGTATGAATATATCTGGTATGCCTGCTCCAATTTCATAAAAAATCTCGATCGTCTCCCACCAATGCTTCCAGGCGTTTTATTATTTTTTCAAGGCCTCTTTGTGATGCCGACTTGGTAAGAATGATAGACTATGGTTCTACACACTATGTCAAGTTGTATGGTATGGTCAGGCTATTTGGCAAAGTTTGAAACATGTTGATTGTTCGGCATATTATTTTTCACCTACGACTGCCAACGTTATTAAGACGAAAAAATGTCTTACACAAAATGTAGTACTTTCTGTGTTTCACGATGCAAATATGCACAGGATTGATAATTCGGAGAAGAAAAAATCGTATCTATTTGAGGTCCTAATCAGCAAACACTTTCCATCAAAACACTAACGCCTACTCATACCTATCTAGAACGGATGAGTTGTTTAAAAGTAGTAGCGCTTGCAATAAACACAAAACCATATGGACTCGGGAGAAGAGGGAGCCCAGACACAAGTCTTACCACAGTCTCTGCAAGTCGGAGCATTGTTACTGACAGTGATACCATTAGTCGAGATAGAAGTGTGTGTGTTACACATCTTAACTTCGTGTATGTTGGAAGGGATTGTGTTGATGTAGTGTTTCGCTGTTGGTGATTAGCTGGTATCAGATCTGATCCGAACATTAACGGATAGTTTCCTCCTAGATATAGACAATCTCTCCAAGGGTTATTTTGTCCTAGACGTCTCAAAGGAATTGTGCCCGCGATGTTCCTGACAATGACCTTGTTTGAACTCCAAATGAATCAACACAATAGACCTCATTGAACAAAGCATCCATGTAAAGGTTGAAAGGATGCTGTCTCGTTGTTCTCTCGGACACTCCTTCTTTCACAATTGACTTCACCTTTTTCCTTACCTCGCTCCTTTGTCCTCGACAACAATAAGACAAAGAAGGTCTGGCAGCATGCTCACAGCATTAAAAAGATACTTAACCAGCGTATGCTCTCATGGACATTCAAATCACCAAGCAACTCACACACAAACAGCTTACAAACTCTCAACACTTACCACTACAAACTCCTTACAGTCAAACATGGGCAACACTAACCCCCTAAGCCTCCACCTCCAAAGTGCAAATGGTGTGGTAGAACGTGCTACTACTCATCACTTGTCGGTTGGTGCTGCTACAATTGTTCCTAAGGTAGGGGTACGCACAGTGTATACATATCACAGAGTTGCTTCGAGTCTCTTACCATAATATAACTTTTTTTCTTTCATAGACCTTGAATCCTTTCTCTTCTTGATAACTGATACATGTTCGGATGTTGTAAATACTACTCTACATATGTATTGTGTGTTACAAAGATTTGCTACAAAGTCTCTAAATTAACAGTGAGCCAGCTCTGCGTTGCTGCATCAAACAGGCCTCGAGTGAGACGGGCGAGAATTGCTTCACAATAAGGACTGCGAGCAGTGAAACAGCTCGGCGCGCTCTTGAGATCTTTCGGCCTGTTACTAGAAAGTGACGATGCAAAAACGTAGCATGCAACGGATGTCACCTGGAAAAAATCGCAAAAGAAAGGCCTCAACCCGAGATCGAATCGGGGACCTCCTGCAATTTAGATAAACCCAAAGCAGGAATCATACCACTAGACCATTAAGGCTTTTTTTGTATATGAGGTTGCGCTTCCCGACGCAACAAGAATGCTGCCTCGCAGGGCAACTCCTCTAGCAATAATCTTCGAGCATGCCGCCGTCGTCCTTGGTCGTCGCATCGCGGTCGGCAAGCAGATTCTTGAGTGATCGCGCTCTGAATGCGCTACCTCCCTAGGAACAGGGCGACATATTGAGCCAATCATCAGAACAACTGGCGAAACATCTGTCTCAGGTATCGTAGCGTGCAAGAACAAGAGTGAACAAAGCAGAGAAAAGTTTTTGTGAAATTTTTGTTGATTTCATCACGGCTCGGAACGATTCGGCGTACAGTATTCCAATCGTTCTCAACAACCAGAGCCCTTCTGTTAGCATCAATAAACATCAACTTTGTGACCACCAGCTCTAAACAACCACACTCAGGCGAGAGCCATCCCAGATCGTTCAGCAGCCTTTGTAGAGCGACTTCCTCCAGTCTCGACGAGGACCACACTTAATCCTGAACACCGCGAATTAAGGTCTTGATCCCTTCGCCCCTGCCTACACTCTCCCAAGCGTTAGGTGCTTCTTCGAATGCAACTGTTCTCGAGATTAACTTCTTGACATCAATCTTACCATCCTTCAGGAACCCAATGGCCAACTCGAAATCGCCAGTTCCATACCTGAAGCATCCCTTGACCACTGCCTCTTTCTCCCAAAGTTTCGTCAGCGGTACCATGACGTTCGGCTTTCCGCAACCTGTTTGCACGTATGTACCTCCAGGTGCCAATACATGGATGCCTATCTGAACACAAGGCTCGGCACCAGACGCCTCGATAACGATATCAGCTCCGCGATCAAGTTGGAAGCGCTCGACAATCGCTGTGGCGTTGGTCGCTCCGTCCGCTTTCGTATCTGGTGTAAAAACACCTGTAGCAGCAAAGTCCTTGACGAAATCTAGTCTCGCCGCATTCATGTCCACCGAGATCACCTCCACTGCACCAAATTGACGAGCCACAGCAGCAGACAAGATTCCCACCGGGCCAGCTCCAAACACCACGACCTTTTGCCCTGGCTTGACCTCTGCAAGTCTGATCGAATGCACAGCAACAGCCAACGGCTCCACGAGTACCCCCTCCTCTAAGCTCACACCTTTTGGCAACTTGTAAACAAAAGCTTCCGTGAGTTTATAGTAAGCACACAGACAACCATGTGTAGCAGGGCCAGGACCAGGGGAAGCTGCAAAAGCCATGTCAGGGCAAAGATTATAGCGACCAGATTTGCAGGATTTGCAGCGAGAGCAGGGGAGGCCGGGTTCGATACAGACATTGTCGTTGGGAGAGAGAGTTGTTACAGCAGATCCGACGCTGTGGACTGTTCCTGAAGCTTCATGGCCCATTGTCAAAGGATTGGAGGGAGAGACCTTTAGGCCGACTCCGCCATGGTGCCAGAAATGAANCCTGAGATGTTGTTAGCTTGAATATCGTGCTAAGAGTTCATGCCTCTCCTCTGGATCCATGTGGACAGAATCGAGTATTTGACTATGACTCGAGAGACTTACATCACTACCACAAACGCCAACATACGCGATTCGAATGATCACATCGTGAGGATCACTGATTACGGGCACTTCCCGTTCCTCAAATCTAGCATCGTGGGGACCATAGAGAAGACATGAGAGGTTCGATGTCCCAGTTGCCATTTTTGTTCTTAGGGTCATTACGGAAGGAGATATTGAGTCGTGATTGGAAAGCTACATATCAATAGCTATGATGCGGGGTCTGTGTCGGAGTGCTATGTAGAGCATACTTTCAAAATAAGGTTGTAGGTGGGCAGGCCACCTCGGACGACAGTCGACCGACGGACCACGAGGATCACCAGGTTTCTATGGTCACACATCGGAACACAGTATACCGATTCATCTTTACGCAGTCACTATAGAGAAAGAACGAGACAAGAACCAAAAGTTGAAGTGAAGAAATAAATGTTCATGAGTGTTTCGTGACACAAGGTATATACAATTCGTAGCATGACAGAGGCTTTTCCCAAACACAGCTTGTCGAGTCCCATAAAAACCAGATCTGACCAGATCCCCAAATACAATTCTGCTTTAGACAGCGCGCTCGATGATCTGGACGTTGGCCTTCTTCTCGTCGATCTTGTCGGCCTCGTACTGGTCGCTGATCTCGGCCTCCTGGGCACCGAAGCGACCGATCTTGTACCAGGGAAGCTCGAACAGCTTGTCGATACCCTCGAGGGATCTGCCAGAGGTCTCGGGGATGGTGAACCAGGCCCAGATACCACCGATGATGGTGATGGCAGTGAAGAGCCAGAAAGTACCGGCAGGGCCGAGACCGCCCTCCTTGTGGTCGAGGAGCATAAGAGGGACAGCGCGCGAGTTACCGTACTGGTTGACGAAGTGGAAGCACATGACCAGCGACGAGGAGATGGCTCTGATGCGGAGAGGGTAGATCTCAGCGTTGAGGAGGTATTGCATCGAGTTCCAACCCATGGCCCAACCGAAACCGGAAAGGTAGATCATGACAAGGGCGACGGTAGAAGCAGACTTTTGGCTCTTGCTGAACTCGAAACCTTTGTCCTCAATGCCAGGCACAGCGGTAAGGAAGGCAGCGACGTAAGCCATACTGATGGCCTGGCAGGCGATGCCGATGCTGAGAGAGCGCTTGCGACCGATCCAATCGACCAAGAAGAGGGCACAGGCGATGGCAGCGACGAACTTGACAACACCGAAGATGGCAGTAGCAAAGAGTTTCTCATTTTGACCCTTGGTTCCGAGGAGAGCGAAGAAGTCGGGAGCGTAGACGGTCATAGATTGAGCACCAGACCATTGCGAAAGCACCTGACTTCCGAGGCCAATGTAAAGGCGATATGCGTTGTTGGGCATGAAGAACATCTCCTTGATATAGCCCATGGCACCTTGGCCCATGGTGGCTTCCTGTTCCTCGTGAAGTTGGTTCTCGATATCGGCGATTTCGCCCTGTACAATCTCGTGGTCGATGGGCAGTCCACGGACACGGGCCAGGTTGGCTACTGCATGCTCGCGTTGACCGGCCTTGATCAGGTAACGAGGCGATTCGTAGTTGAAGAACGAAAGGATGAAGATGAGACCAGCGAACATCAAGTGAATTGAGGTAGGAACCTCCCATGAGGTGGGCGAAGTCTTGGGGATGTGGAGAGAGCTACCCCAAGAGGCGAAGTAGGCAAGCATAATACCGATATAGACGGAACCGGAGAAGACGCAGGTGCACAAACCACGAACGGACTTAGGAGCGATTTCAGAGANCTGTAGTCGTGTAAGTCAGCTTACTTCAAATGCCTGGTGTTGGGGAAACATACTGTAGACAGGAGCAATGACAGTGGTCTGGCCGATACCCAAACCAGCGATGAAACGTCCTGCATACACCTGACCCAAGCGGCCCTTGCCTCCGACAGTGCTAGTCATGAAGATAACGATACCGAGCATCCACACAAGGCAGAGCTGGCGAGTGGCCCAGAGACGACCGATGCGGTCAGCAAGGACGAAGGCCAAAAGGGCACCTCCAACCGAGCCAATCTGGACCATGGCGGAGACGTTGGCCTTGACCTGAGCAAGGTCTACGGTGTCGAGCTTGTTGAGGCCAAGGGAGTTTTGGAAGTGCTTGGTTGCAAATGTTCCAGAGATCAAACCCTCATCGATACCACGGGCAGCACCCATGATACCGAAAGAGAGAACTGCGAACCATAGCTTCCAGTTCAGAACCTCTGGGGGTTCATTTCCGTTCTTCTTGAACGTGAAGATGTTGACTGGCTTGCCTCCAGCACCCATGTTGTCGGATGAGAGGTAAGAAGAGGAGGATGGGAAAGAGAGGTAGTGAGAGGAGTGGGATGGTGAATGATGGTAGCAGACCTGCCTTGCTTTATACCATTCAGGCTCTGTGCGCCCCGCGTACCTCCTTCTCATTCCATTCTCCGTCGGTTGGCGAACGGTCTGACCGTTCCAAGCAGACTCCACAGCCCAAATCGATTGATCTGGAGAAAAACTATCCCCAGACCCCAGTCGCGTGGGGTGTATAGCCGATCGCCAAGGAGAACTCTATGTGCCAAGAAGAACGTGGGGTATGGCCAAGGCGCGTGGCGGTCGGTGGTGTGCCTGCTTGTTTCGTTTTCGGAACCTATTTTCTTCGGTGCTGACCGACCTCAAATGCAACGCCCGGCGAGAAGTCCAGGTATTCTGGCCAAGAGCCTGTACCTGCAAATCACTGTCTAACCTGCGACTCTGCTTTGTCCAGATCCCGTAGTAGCGTAGTAAGTGCCTGAGGCAATACTCCGCATCGATTGAGCCTTGCATCAGCGATCAACGCGTTCCTGTTTTGACTTCTTTCTGGGGCATGGCTATCAATGCGGAGAGTCCGGGGCGTGCTGTGGGCCCTAGACTCTGCGACCGAGGCCGGTGGTCTGTGCATGTACCGAATGAAACGTGCTTCAATAGCAAGCGCGCGAAGTTTTTTATTCGACGCTGGTTTCCTCGTCTCTTTCATGCTACAACAGACGCGGCTCTCAGGTTGCACAAGATCTGCGAGGTCGAGTATTGGTGGCACAACGACTGGGCATGGCTCTTCGATCCATGCCGAGCAACATCCATGTTGACAACCGATAGTGTGTTGCTGTACAGTGCTGAGGAGTGGAGACTCCGGACAGGAGTGACTTGGCAGACGGTGAATAGGATTATTGCGTCTGAGCCAGGGGCGTTCTTCTTCCCGAGTCGGCAATGTTGCAACTTCGGCATGCCGAACACCAACAAAAACCTCGAAGTGGCTGACATTCGTATTTTTCTGGAAGCTTTGGGCTAACGATGTCTGGCTAATTGGCTCTTACTCGTGTCAGAGATGAGTTTATGTGACATCGTCTGTGTTTGATGACACCACTTCTAAACGTCCCCATTATTGTGGTTGGTCCATGGCTCAGTGCATGTGGCCAGACGGCAAACAATGGTCGTTAGGTGAAGTCCGGCGCCACGTTTCTTGGTATCGGTAAGCAATTTTGCAGCAGGATTGGCTCCGCTTCTTGGCGAGAGAAGACTGTTGAACGTTCAACCGCCCTGGACCAGAGCCCTCAGAAGCTCGCGAAGGCTTTCTTGGCCTGCTTGCTTCTCTTTGACTTTGGCTTGCGATACTTCGATACTTCGGGTGTATACGGGACCTTGAAAAAGCAATTGATGTTTGATATTGTATGCTGCAATGGTTGAAAGATGGATTCGAAGATGGGTGTTTGTCTGATGTCTGAAAGGAAGGTTGATATCGTACGCGCTTAATCTACTCGCGCTTGGACATGACCTGCAATCGCGTACTAGCCAGGTTTGAAGGCCCCCTGTCGCGAGAGAGGATCCACAGACATCCACTCTATAGCGTGACATCGTCCCACGGTGTACCGACTCGTGCCGTTGAACGAGATGGATACTCACGGTCTCTCCCGAACGAAGGCGGGGTCATCAGGGCAGATGCAGTGATCGGAGCAACTCGTGTCGGTTCCATCTGGGGAAGAAAAGCCTCTCCCTCGAGACGCAACTATTCGAATCCGCCGGAGACATGTGCGTGGAGGGAATAGCAGATCCCAGACTGCGCCTCAGCCGTAAAGGCGTTGTGTACCAGGTACCATTCGGCGCTTGACTCTTGGAAGTTGGCTTCGACCTCATTCGAACAGTTGACCGCGGAAAAGCGGGCAAGGCATGGCCAGACTGTTTTGCTTGCTGCTGAAACCGAAGATCTGCTAGATGTGCTTTTTGTGAACTCAAGGAATGATGACCTTGTCCATAGTATCCTCAACAGTCCGCAGAAGAGGGGCGATGCGGTTGGCATCACGCAGGACTTCCGGAATGTTTTCTCTGTGCATCTGTAGCTTGGATTGGACGATGTCGTATGATTCCTCCTTGGCCGTGTACTGTCGGATCACAGTCTTGGAACCCAACTCGATGTAGATTCGTGTGTCTCTGACACGCACAATGACTCCGTCCAGACGCAGAAAGAACCTACACAAGAGTAGAAGACGTTCGGCCATGACACGGATTTTGCAGCTGAAGATGGCGATGCCATTATCAGCCAACTCGTCTTCGTAAAAAATGACATCGTCGTAGAACAGTATAGGATCCGGACGCGAGAGAAGATCGGTTCTGATGGGATCCTTGGACTGATCACTTGGCTGCCAGACGACAGCAGGATCCGGGCTGTGAGTGTGGCCTTTGAAGTCTGTACTGTATGACCAGTCGAACGGCTTCACGACTTCCTTAATACCCTCGTGGTGATGTTGGCTGATAAGTTTAACAAAGTTAGCGTTGTTCGATTTGATCTGGATAATGAGTTCAAGCAGCACATACCGGTCTTTCTGCCACTCCTTGGAATATGCAACCTGCAACATGCCATCGGCGGTCTTGGAGACACGGTCAAGAGCATCGAAGGCATTGAAGTCAACGGCCCAGCCAGAAGGGACATGCTCGATAGCAACGAGGTTATCACCAAAAATCATCTCAGGTACAGGTATACCAAGTTTCTCGTTCATGGCATCTATGGGGCCAGCCTTGAGGATGGGTCTCTTGCGCGTACTGATTCTCCATTGCTTGTTGCGCGAGACGATAGTGTCAACACCCTGAGTATCTGATTGTTCCCCGTTGGAAGCCATGGTGATCTAGTCAAATTAGTCGAGGCGGAGAACACTTCTATTGTTGGTGAGATTATTTGATCTGATCTGATAGAAGCTCTCCCACGTCGAATCTCGATGCGAGTGATGCGGCCATGCGAGCGGCGATTGCTGCAGGAGGCTTGGCGTCGGTTGCCGGGCGCCATCTTTGTTTTGTCAACAACAGACTTGATTCCTTCTCTGAAAAGCATCAACCGTCGCCCATCTCGAACAACACCAACCACTTACTAACCATACAGCAAGTACTGGAACTCCAATCATCCCGCCTGTAATCATGGACGTTCAGTCACTCGAGTCCCGCTTTGAGGGCATCTCAGTCAACGACGAGAACCACGATCAAAACTCACACAAGTCAAAGGTACATCGGCGGCGCAAGAACACACCATATGACAAAGATCATGACTGACATCAGGCACAGGGCTCCATCTCTATCTCCAGCTTGGGCGCCGCGGCCGCAGCCAACCGATTGAAGCTGCCATTGCAGAAGCTGCCCGCCAACGCCACGAAGAACTCGTTGTACTCTGCCAATGGTGCCAACACCGCCGCTACAATCGCAAAAATCACCCTTCCTTCCCAAGCAGCACAAAGGTCATCCGACTCGGAGCCCCGCCGCTCAGATCCCCAGTCTATGCTATCGTCAATTCCCCAACAACCTTCCACACCTAGACAATTCCACCTCGGCATGTTTGAGATTGGCAAACCTCTCGGCAAGGGCAAGTTTGGAAGAGTATACCTGGCGCGAGAACGTTCTAGTGGCTTCGTCTGCGCGCTCAAGGTCCTACACAAGATTGAGCTTCAGCAAGGAAAGGTCGAGAAGCAAGTCCGCCGAGAAATCGAGATCCAGTCGAATCTTGCCCACCCCAACATCCTCCGTCTCTTCGGCCACTTCCACGACAGCAAGCGCATCTTCTTGATTCTCGAATTCGCCGGCAAAGGTGAGCTTTACAAGCACTTGCGCCGTGAACAGCGCTTCCCTGAATGGAAGGCCGCCTCGTATGTCGCCCAAATGTGCGCTGCTCTTAAGTACCTGCATAAGAAGCACGTTATCCACCGCGACATCAAGCCCGAANNAAACATTCTGGTTGGCATTCACGGCGAGATCAAGATTAGTGACTTTGGCTGGTCGGTGCACGCTCCTAACAACAGGAGAAACACCATGTGTGGAACTCTCGACTACCTGCCCCCAGAGATGTTGAAGCCTGGCAAGGACGAGAACTGGTACAACGAGAAGGTCGACTTGTGGAGTTTGGGTGTCCTAACGTACGAGTTCTTGGTGGGAGAAGCACCTTTTGAGGACACTCCTTCCATGACACAAAAACGCATCGCTCGTGGAGAAATGACGATACCTCCATTTGTGAGTGCCGAAGCAAAAGACTTGATCAAGAAGGTATGCGCAATCTCGAGATTACAGTGCCGAGAATCAGATGACTGACAAGATTCNCAGTTGCTTGTTCTAGACCCGGAAAAGAGAATCCCATTACACGAGGTGGAGCAACATCCTTGGATCATCAAGCACTGTGTCAAGGGTGAGAGAGCATATAACAGAACCTCTGCCAGCAGCAACAGACAGCGCCCAAGCGAATGAGATCAAGGACCGGTAACATAATTACGATCAAGGGGGGGTTCAAGGTAGGTTGCATTTCTCTAGGATATCCGGGGCTTCAGTTTTTATAGGCGTTCAGGGGCGCGCCTGCGAGGCAAGATGCATGGAAGGGAGGGGCGTTCTGGACTGAGCATAATTGCAGCCTCATCGGCTGATGCATTGTCGAGTTTCTGTACATGAGAGGAGAGGTATCTTCCGAATCGAATGGGACGGTTGTCTCTATTTATAACAAATCTCGGGGCCTATAAACGCGATGAGATTTGATCTGTCATCTTTAGAATAACCATGGTTGTCTTGTGTAGTTGGTATGGAGATTGAGACTCGGGTATTAACGCCAATGCTATGCAACAAAAGAGAGGAGAGAGTCATGACGATAGATTATTACAAGCAGGTTACTTGTAGATCTCGTCAAATGGTCTGGTGTCGTTGAAGCAGCTGTCCCAGACTTCGTCGACGACTCGAGCAGCGTGTGTGTTGTCCTTGCAGCTTGGTCTGTTGGCGACTGATAGAGTGGCTCTCCTTCGTACACACTCTTGCAGCTGCTGTGTGATGTTCCACTGTCCGCGAGTAAAGAACTCGCGGCCGAAGCGGCATTCTCCCGACAAAGTCGATGCGCGAATCTAAAAGATGGTTAGACGTACTCTTAAGTATGACAGAGTCATGTATCAACATACCTCCATGCATGCAGCATGTCTGAGGTCCAGAGGATCTAGCTTGAACCTCAAATGATCGTAGGCGTGAACCATCTCATGTGCCATGGTGTCTTCCATGTGCCCTCTATTCCTGAACTTGTTCGCGCACAGCAAGATACCAAACTCTGGGTCAAAGCCACCGCTCTGTTGTGTAGTGCAGCGCTTAACACGCATGTTTGTCTCGTTCAAGTCATGGCCGAGCAGGTTGATGTTGTGGCGCATGAACCTCACTATGGGCGAATACTCGAGCAGCCACTTGCGGTCCTTTTCTGCGCGTTTGATGTCGCGCTCCTCGTTGATTGTGTCTTTGATGTCGAAGTAGGCTTCTCTTTCTTGCGGCGTTGCGCCTCCGGTCAGAATGTTGAAGAAGGTGGACCAGGTGTAAAAGTCCTGGTCTAGTGTCGGCGCGGCGGGCGAGTTGGCCGTTGTGGTCTCCGGTAATGAGTTTGTATTGCTTTGCGACATGATTCCTGGTGTGGTAAAGGTGATTGTGATGGGCAGAATGTTTCTTTGCGATGGTCGCGGAGCGGGAGGCCTCAGAATAGACATGGATTGCGATTGGCGGGCCGTGACGGAGTGCCGCCCCGCCTTCTGTTTCCGCCCTACAAATGATGATTCACCCGTCATTCCGAGTCTATAACAGACATGTGATTTGCAACACTTGCGGTTGCTTCTGCACAGAAGAGCCTGCACCATGAAGAAGCACCTTACTATTGTCATCAAGNNCTTGGTATCTTCATTCGTAGTCCCTTTTGCATTCAAAAGCTGACCGTTGCACAAAGGCACCTCGTCAATCGTTGACGAAAAGAGTCACGAACCCCTCCTCTCGATTCTCTCCACCATCGTCGAAACCGCCTGCAAACTACAGAAAGATGGACATCGTGTAGTCATTGTGTCGTCCGGCGCCATTGGCGTCGCTCTCGGCCATATGGAGATGGAACGCAGACCCAAACACCTTCCTCAAGTCCAAGCCCTGGCTGCCATCGGACAGTGCAAGCTCATGAGTCTTTGGGATCAGTTGTTCATGCACAGAAGACAGCCAATCGCTCAAATTCTGCTCACAAGAAACGACATTGCCGATCGTACCCAGTATCTCAATGCTCAGAACACTTTTATCGAGCTGATTCACATGGGTGTCATTCCTATTGTCAACGAGAACGACACCTTGTCCGTTGCTGAGATCAAGTTCGGTGACAACGACACACTCTCTGCTATTACGGCTGCTATGGTACAGGCCGACTACCTGTTCCTCATGACAGATGTGGATTGTCTGTACGACAGCAACCCTCGCTCAAATCCCAACGCAAAGGCCATTGAGGTCGTCGAGGATATTGGAGACTTGGTCGCTGATGTCTCGAGTGCCGGCTCTTCCGTAGGCACTGGAGGCATGGCTACTAAGATCACCGCTGCTCGACTAGCAACCTCCGCCGGTGTAACGACAATCATCACTCGCTCGGATAAGCCTGGAAATATTGCCAACATTGTCGCATATGCCGAGTCGAAGAAGGCAGAGGAACTCGCAGCTAAACGCTCGTCACGGCAGAGTTCAACAGAAGGTACAGAGTCTTTGAGCAACTCGACAAACAACCTCACTCTAGAAGACTCTTCGCTCGTGAAGAAAGCCGTTGTCAATGAGGTATCAAGCACAAATGGCGCCACGTCGCCCAAATTCGATGCGCCGTCATTGCCTCCACTACACACTCGCTTCATCCCCGACCTTCATCCAATCAGAGACCGATATTTCTGGCTGCTCTATGGTCTCGCTCCACACGGAACAGTCTACATCGACAAGGGTGCACACAGAGCACTGGCCGACAAGGCTGGCCTATTACCAGCAGGCGTGGTAGAGGTTGAGGGTAACTTTGCACAGCAGGAAGCCGTGCGGATAGTGGTGGTGCAGCGCAAGTCAAAGGGATCATTCGAGTACGAGAAGGAAGATCCCGCACCCATTGAAGTCGGCAGAGCGCTGGTCAACTATTCGGCAGCAGAGATTAAGAGGATCCGCGGCCTCAAGAGCTCAGAGATTCATGGTGCTCTGGGCTATGCGGATAGTGAGTACATTGCGCTGAGAGAAAACATTGCGTTTGGCAACAGGACGAGCAGGCCGACCACACCTAATCGCATGTCGATGAGCCATGAGGCTGAACAGAGACATTAGGCGTGTCCTAACAACAAGAAGGAAGGATTGATTGTTCTTTCCATCTTTATTATCAAAAATAACCAGACTAGTACTCAGGGCTGCCTCACAATTTTGCCAGATGTGTTTCAGTATTTGATCGTGTTCGCATGATGATGCTCCTTTGTTTGTATATGCATCGAGTTGTCGACTTGTGTTCGAGAAAGTGTCCAGATGTGAAGAGTGGAGACAGCTGGAGGCTTCGAGGAGAAGTCGCAAGCCAGAAAGCAGGGGTTGGTGGTCTGTGCGTCATGGTGGAGTTAGGGAGTGGACAAGTTTACAGCTACAGCTACCACCAGCATCCGGATTGAATTGTATCTCGCCATTGATTTGTATCGTCGCTTCGCAACCGTCAGGGACACAGCGAGCCAAGAGCCAGGAACTCCCCGGGACAGACAGGACATTACCCCTTGCATAAGCTGGACCAGTGGCCAGAATGCGCCTGGACGTCAAGGTGAGAATCACCAGCCAACACTCAACACGACCGCAATGGACACGGCTCACACACATATCGCTATACAGAGACAACTCTTCGCCCGCTCTGAGCGAGTGAAGGGCATCGACTTCCATCCTACCGAGCCATGGGTAAGTTCGAGACAAGCCTCGAGGCAGAGACATTGTTGACTGACGAAACATAGATCCTCACAACCCTCTACAGCGGTATGCCTCGTTGCTACACGGACCCAGACAACGAATCTGACACCCCATNNCACAGGCCATGTATACATCTGGTCGTACGAGACACAGGCCATCGTCAAGACATTCGAACTCACCGACGTACCCGTACGAGCTGGTCGCTTCATTGCCCGCAAGAACTGGATCGTCTGCGGTTCTGATGACTTCCAACTACGCGTCTACAACTACAACACTTCCGAGAAGATTACCTCGTTCGAGGCGCACCCCGACTACATCCGTGCGATAGTCGTCCATCCCACACAGCCCTTCGTGCTGACCGCCTCGGATGACATGACAATCAAGCTTTGGGACTGGGAGAGAGGATGGAAGTGCGTGCAGATTTTCGAGGGCCACAGCCACTATGTTATGGGTCTGGCCATCAACCCCAAGGACACAAACACCTTCGCTTCGGCTTGTTTGGACCGCACCGTCAAGATCTGGAGTCTGGGCTCAAGCACCGCAAACTACACCCTCGATGCACATGACACTAAGGGTGTAAACCACGTCGACTACTACCCTCAATCCGACAAGCCCTACTTGCTCACCACCTCGGATGACCGCACTGTCAAGATTTGGGACTACACCACAAAGGCTCTGATCGCAACCCTCGAGGGCCACACCAGCAACGTTTCTTTCGCCTGCTATCACCCTGAGTTGCCCGTCATCATTTCAGGTTCCGAAGATGGTACCGTCAAGATCTGGCACGCAAACACATACCGTCTGGAACAGTCCCTCAACTATGGTCTGGAACGTGCATGGTGTGTCAGCTACCAGCGCGGCCGCCAAGGCATCGCTATGGGTTTCGACGATGGTGCTGTTGTAGTCAAAATGGGTCGTGAAGAGCCTGCTATATCCATGGACAACTCTGGAAAGATCATCTGGGCCCGCCACAACGATATTCTGACTGCTGTCATCAAGGGAGGGGACAAATCGCTGACAGATGGCTCCCCTCTTACTCTGCCCTCAAAGGACCTTGGCTCTACCGAAATCTACCCCCAGACTCTCATCCACTCTCCCAACGGTCGTTTCGTCGCTGTTTGTGGTGATGGCGAATACATCATCTACACTGCTCTTATCTTGAGAAACCAGGCCTTTGGCTCTGCTCTTGACTTTGCTTGGGGATCCAAGGAGAACGACAAGGACTATGCCATCCGCGAATCATCCATGTCTGTCAAGACTTTCCGCAACTTCAAGGAGAAGGCGGTTCTTGACATTGGTTTCCAAGCAGAAGGTCTCAGTGGTGGCGTTCTGCTCGGTGTCAAGGGTCAGGGTGGTATTGGCTTCTTCGACTGGGAGACAGGTCAGCTTATCCGCAGAATCGAGGTTGACCCCAAGAACGTAAGTTATCATTTGCGAGTCTCGTTTGCTCGAGCGCTAACACTCTTCTCANNGGTTTACTGGTCAGAAAGTGGCGAGCTTGTCACTCTTGCTTGCGAAGACACATTCTACGTCCTTCGCTTCTCTCGCGAGGAGTACCAAAACGCTCTTCAAGCAGGAGAGGCTGACGAGGATGGCGTCGAGGCCGCCTTCGAGGTCGTCACTGATATCAACGAGAGGTATGTCACCTTATATCCAACATCCTATCGATGTATACTAATAGAAAACCTNAGTGTCCGCACTGGTCAATGGGTCGGTGACTGCTTCGTCTACACCAACAGCACTAACCGCCTGAACTACCTTGTTGGTGACCAAACTTACACAATCTCCCACTTCGACTCTCCACACTACGTTCTTGGTTACATCCCTCGCGATGGCCGTGTTTACATTGCCGACAAAGATGTTCAGATCGTCTCCTTTGCTCTCTCGCTATCAGTCATTGAGTACCAAACGCTTGTGTTACGCGGTGATCTCGATGCCGCCAATGAGATGCTCGCCGATATCCCTGAAGACCAAAAATCGAAGATTGCTCGCTTCCTTGAAGGCCAAGGTTACAAGGAGCAAGCTTTGGAAGTCGCAACCGACTCTGAGCACCGTTTCGATCTTGCACTTAGCTTGAACCAACTGGATATTGCTCTCGAGCTCGCTCGTGAGGCCGATGTCGAGCACAAGTGGAAGACTGTTGGTGATGCCGCACTCACAGCCTGGAACATGCGCCTTGCAGAGGAGTGCTTCACACACGCCAAGGATATGGGCAGTTTGCTCCTACTCTACACCTCAAGTTGCAACGAGGCTGGTTTGAGAAGACTGGCCCAACAGGCCGACGACGCCGGCGCTCGCAACGTGGCGTTCAGCTGCTTGTGGCAGGTCGGCGACTTGAATGCATGTATCGACCTCCTGGTCCGCACCGACCGTACCGCCGAGGCCGTTCTCTTCGCTCAGACCTACCTTCCCAGCCGGGCACCCGAGATTGTCAAGCAATGGAAGCAAGGACTCGAGTCAAATGGCAAGGCCAAGGTCGCCAGACTATTGGGTGTACCGCCTACCGACGGCGAGGGCGATGCAGACCTCTTCCCCGAGTGGGAATCATATCTCCAGCTCGAGAAGGATGGAGGCAGCAAAAGCAACGACTTGATCGATGTTGGCGACGATGATCAAGCCGAGGCAGACGCAGAGGAGCAAGAAGAGAGACTGCGGCAGAGGAAGTCGAGACCGAGGAAGCAGAGGCAAATGCCGCACCCGTTGCGGCAGACGAGGATGATGAGCCAGTATCACCGCAGACGGATACAGATGTTTAGATGGGACCCGCGCTGTAAACTCTTATCGATTGGTAAAGACAGGGCGTCTTACACGTTATTCTGGGAACAGAAGAAATGAAAAGGTTTTATGTTTTATCCGACTATCGTTGTTCACTAGAAACAGCATTGCGAGACAATCGTAATGGACCTGGCTAGTGTCCGTAGACTGCCTATCAATCACAAGGTTGTTGTACAGGCCGAAATCACGGATATCGAGAACCAACTTTACGAAGAGCAGGAAGCCACCATGTATCAAGGCGCCACGGACTATTATCAAAAGAGATGTTCTTCAATGCCCAACAATGTATACTTCTACATCTATGCCTTCGGGTTCCCAAAGCTATGAGTTTGGAAGAAGGGAATGATGACTGTTGGCTGCCCGAGTATTTGCTAATTTTGGCCTTTTACTTGGTGTCTCGGTGGTCTGCTTGATTGCCCATGCCTCTTGTCCCTGTTGTTTGAGTAGTCGTTTCTTTCCTTTTCGTGTCTGTCAAAGTCATGTGTAGATGAGCTATAAAAGCTGACAATGGCTCTGAGGGGAATCTAGTGAACTATCTAATAGGGGTGATTTACCTGCCAATGAACATGGAATCGAAACAAGCGGACCAACCACACTGGACCGGGAAAGAAAAAAGGACGACGAACGGAGTAATCATCATTTGAACGTGTAAGAATTTCGCTATATGGTGGTTATGTTTTTAATGCAATTTTATGCTAGCGGAGGTATGACTGCGCCCATGGCTCGATGGAGATTTGAGTGAAAGAGCAGCCGGCAGGTATTTTGTAACAACCTCCCGTGTAAAGTCTACCGTGATCTTCGCTCAGTGTCTTGCTTACTATGATGACGGGGCTTGACATGCTTTGTCCCTTCTCCCACAAGAATCTTTCGATATCTAGGCTAGTGCATTTGGACTGTGCTTGATATGCGGCAGTCAACAAAGCCTCGGCGCCTCGCTCTTTCTTGTAGAATTTGTCTCGTGTGCTCGGGGTGTAAAACAGGTTGAGATTCCTCAACCGCTGATGCCCATACCCGAGCTCTTTGCAGCACGAGAAGAAGCATCGCTACCAGCAACGCCCTTCTTCTCGGCGACCTGGGTGATTCTGACCAACTCCTCAGCCATATCCTTGTTCACCCTTTCAACCAAAGCATCCACATCATCCTTGGTCAAGCCCTTGGTCTCGACAGGCTTCAAGATGGAAACAGGAACAATGCCAGAGTTGAAAGTCTTCTTCTTGACGTCCAGCACGTTGCTGTAGTTGGCGACAACCACAGGGACAATGGGGACCTGGGCTTGCACGGCGAGGTGGAAAGCGCCCTTCTTGAATGGGAGAAGGGTAGGTGTGTTGGCATAGGAGCGAGTGCCCTCGGGGAAGATGAAAACGGACTGTTGCTCCGAGTGCATGGTCTCTGCGGCTTGGGAGAAGGCGGCCATGGCGGCGGAGCGCGAGGTGCGGTTTATAAAGACGGTCTTGGAGAGAGCCATGAATTGGCCGAGGAAAGGCATCCATTTGAGACTGCTCTTTGCCGTGACGGAGCAGTAGGGTGGGAACATGCAGCCGAGCATCAGGACGTCGAGTTNCACTGTTGCAGACTACATGTCAGTCACTGTTCAAGTAGGAACCCAAGAAGAGAGAACGCACGTCTGGTGGTTGCCGATAAAGACACCGGGGCGCACCTTGAGGCCGCCATACTTGTCGTTGACCTTGAACTCGACGCCAGTAAGAGTCCACATGGTCCATTTGAAGGCGCGGGCGGTGGTCCACTGGCTCAAACCGCCATAGCCGACCAGACGGAGAACAATCGAAGCGGCGACGCCATAGCAGGCGCAAAAGATGAGGGCGCTGAAGGATGCGATGCTGCGGGCTGCAAAGGACAGCACCGGCGCGTGCGTCACGGATGCCAGCAGGTGCAGCGTTGGTATCGACACCAGGATCGACGTTAGCGCCGCCCCGAGGTAGCCGAGGAGGCTCATTGTGCAAAGCGTGGTCGAAGGAGTAGGAATGCGTTATATCAGGGGTGAAGCAGGTCGGGAAGGTGCGTGTGGCTGCTGAGACCGACGCTGCTGCTGTGTGAAAGTGGCTATTCCGCTGCTTCATTTTACATCAAAACTTCGGCCCAAGTCTGCTGCCCCTTGACTACCTCGGGCACCTTCTTTGCACATGATGTTCAGACATTCGTCATATGACTTGTTGGGTGAGACCTGATGATGTTACAAAAGTACAGTGCACAAAGATGTCCGCATGCGAAAGAGCCGGGCACGAGGCCATCCGGCTTTCATCATCTAGATATGTATATATTACAATACTCATACAACCACCACGAGCCAAGCCACGTCTATTCGACGCTGGTAGGTAGCTTGATCTCGCCCTTCTCGCGGTCGTGATGAGGGTTTCCGTACCTCCACCCGACACCGCCTCTGCCGCGACCGTCCTTGCCTGCCTCCTCGACGCTGATGCTCTGGAAGCGGAAGTTCCAGCGCTGGTTGCTGACCACCTTGACGTTTCTCTCCTCCCACTCACGCTTCTTGAGCTCTTTTTCCTCCTTTGCGCGCATCTTCTTCTCGGTACGCTCACGAATACGTGCCGTGCGCTCCTCACGCGGCATGTTGTTGACTGCGTCCTTTTCAATGTCGATCAACTCTGACAGAGGTATCCGCTCGTCGGCAGGCAGAAGAGTAGGTGAGAAGACCTTTGCTGCATCGGCGCGGGTAAACTGGCGAGACTCAGATGTCGGGTAGAAGATTTGTGTGCGTGTGTAGGGATGAACAGGAAGATCGTTGATCGACTCGTGTGTGATGCTCTTCTTGGGATCTTCGAGAAGCTTGCGGTTGAAGCGTGTCTGAGGCAGCATCTTCAAGATTGCGTCGTGGTATGGTGTAGCCAGCTTCTTGCNCCTATTCAGCTTGTCAGCATCTATTGTGAATCGTGCTTTCTGTGTATGCTTTGGTCGAGGTTGAGTGAATCAGAGTAATAGGCATTGTATCCATGTGGGTGTCATAAAGACTAATCGAATTTTTGTATGTCTCATCATTGCAGGTGCAAGGGGCGGGAGAGTGATAGCGGCATGACATACCTCTGAAGCCCAGTTTCGCTCAATCGTCTTCAGACGGACGACAGCAGCAACTCTGCGCATATCGACACCATACAGAGCACTGACAGTCGACAGATCAACCTTCTCATCGACAATCTTCTTGTAGATTTCCTCGCGCAATTCCTCGCTCAGGACGTTCTGACTGCGGAAGTCGTTGTTTAACGGGTATGGTCGAAGATCGGATGCTCTTTCTCTCGGGAGGCTGTTTCGGTCCTCTGCTGCCTTTTCCTCCTTCTCCTTTTCGTACTGTGCCTTTTCCTCGTCATTGAGCTTGGACACATCCACCTTGTTCTCTTGGTCGTTCTCTTGCTCTGCACCAGCTCTCAGGCGCATGAGGTTTCCACTTCGATCGTATGCACCCAGGTAGTTGGTCGAGCCAGGTAGAGGCTCACGGAACACGCGACCAGGTCCGTTGAGCCAGGAAAACATGTTGCGGCGAAGACGTGTGTCGTTCTTGCATGTTGCATGGAATTGTTGGCCTGATGATTGCGAAAAGTCGCGCTGGCTCGCTGCCGATTGACGTGCATTGCTAGTCGTTCTGACGCATTGCTGAGATCCAGCGATTTGACCCGCCCGAGGTCCGACACGAGGCGGCATTGTCGATATGTTGTGAGATGTGGTTGACACGAGATGCAAGTCCCAAGACGTACCGAGAGGCGGCACTCGACGCTGCCACGCCGTGATGTTCGGACGTGCCACGAAAATAATTTCCCCACCCTTTCGGAACTTTCCGTGCTCTCTCTCTCTCTCTCCTGACATCGACATCTGCACTCTCAGTGGAGCTATCACCTTCTGTAGAATGTTGTGCACTTCTATAGTACACTGTCAAGTTTTGGTAGGCGGGAGATCAAATATCGAAAACCGTATACATTTACATTACTGCATAAAGGAAAGGAAGAATCATGATGGTCTACCTGATCCTGGCCAGACTCCTTCCAGTCTGCTCCAACTGAGACCCCAATGGCACTCGCAATGCTAGAATGTAGTTGCGAATGTAAGAAACAAGTCACCATGCAAACGCCTGTCCCTCTACCATCAGGCGTCATCGTCATCGTCCTGGGGAAATAGAGGGAACTAATCATCCATCTCCTCGTCCTCGTCGGCGGACCCTGATGATACCGTGACACCACCGTCTCTGACCAGAGCTCCGAATCCAGAGTTCTTGCCTTCAACATCTTCCTTGCTGAGCCCCTTCATGGCCGCATTGTTAATGACGAATGTGTCTTGGCTACGATCGCTTCGGTAGCGGGCTGTCGAGTCTGCCTCCTCAACGCCCTCCTTGCCGCCACTTCGGATCGCTGCGGGTTGGTATGCGTACTCCTCTGTATTCTTGACAAAATACATGCGGTAGAACTCGACTGCAACACGGAACTCAAGGCCTTCTGACGAGATGGCTGAGTCGCAAAGTCTGCGGTAGTCGTCCGAACGCTCCTCGCTGTTGATCGTGCTAGGATCGACATTGAGTTGTCGCAGGTTTCTGTGCATCACTGGCCGGCGTCTGGTTGCCGGAATATCGGGCGTCGGCGCGAGCTTGAGGAGGTTGGTGACGTAAACACGCCAGAGGTCCTCTTGGAGCATCGAGGTTGTGTCGAAGGTAGGATCGTCCTTCTTGTACAGCCTGATTTGCACCTCAGACGTTGCTTGATCCTGTCTGTCTGTCAATAGTCGCTCATGTATGAGGCTTTGTGAATGTCTTACATAGGCAATGCCGTAGATGTCAAGGTCTTTGGTGTACTTCTCCGTCTGCTTGCGGTAGTTCATCTCATCCTGGAAAGATGTCTCATCCTTGGCTCTGTCCTTGCGGAATAGTTGAAGAATGTCCCAGCTCTTGTCCTTACCGCTTTCACTGCCGAGCATGCCAATGGCGAAGCGTACCAAGGCGCCGAGGAGCTTGTCGAAGGAATAGAGCTGCCATCCACATTGCAGATAGTATCTCCGTAATGTCTCTTCAATGTGTGCCATATCCATATCTCCCTTGATCAGGTCTTCGAACATGCCGAGGATCTGACGATAGAAGTTGGAACCCTCGCTGACATCAGTAAAGAAGTCTGTAGGGAGCTTGTCTATGATGCCGAGCTCGGTAGCGGGCTTGGGGGCCATTGCACGATCGACTGTCGTGTGAGCATCGGCTTCGGCCTGCTTGATGTTGTTCAAACGCTCATACAAGAATATGAAGACGCGGATGAAGCAGTAGATGGTTGCATTGCCGTAGAGCATGAACTTGGTGCGGGAGTACGGCTGGTTGAGGTATAACTCCTTATCCTTGTGAACATTACCCGCCAGAGGATGCGAGGCCCAGGTGTCCAAGGCAATGTCAGACTTAAGATCGTCGACCACATTGACACTGTCGCTCATCTCTTCGTCCACATTGGATGCGTTGTCGGGAGTTGATGCTCGGCTCAATGGTGTGTTGCTACCATCATCTTTACGGTTCTTGCGACCACGCTCGAGAACGCCACGCAGAAGATCGCCCTTCTTGGTTGTCGGCTTACGAGGCTTTGCGTTGATGGGGTCGTCGAAAGCCGAGATCGCATCTTCACCGACATCCATATGAGGAGTGTCACCAAACTTGGCTCTAATCTGATTGCCAAACCATTCGTAATCGAGACCGAAGAACAGAGGGATGAACTCTCGGATGAAAGAAGTCAATCTTGGGAACTCGGTAGAATGCATCTGCTCGGCATACAGAAGAACCAGATGGGATGCGTCGATGATGACACTCGTGTCCTCAAACTTGAAGGTCATCTGAGGCTGGTTGCGCGGATTCTGTCCAGCCAGGCGTTGCCTCTTTGTCTCTTCATATCTGGTGTGGACCTCGCCCAAGAGCGTCTTGGTCTGGAATTGACGTTTGTCGGCTTGTTTGGCATTGACGGCCTGATGATCCAAACTCTTCCAGAACATCTTCTGTGTCTGATCACGCCAGACCTTCTCCCACTCGCGCTGTGCCTGCTTCCACTCCTCAAGCTTTTGCTTCAGTCTGTTGAGCAGCACCGGAATGACTTTGTAAGGCTGTGCGTGAAGCGACTGAACAACCATATGGCCCTTTTCGCGTCCATAAAGCTTCATGATGATACGCTTGTGAATTGTCTCGCTCTGTCCGCCAAGTCCGGGTGGAATCTCGAGAGCCTCCTTTTCGCGGTTGTTCATGCGGAGAATTTGTTGTGCGATTGGCTCAAGAAGCTGTATTGTGCGCGAACAAGCTTCAATGTTGAAGTCGTAGTCATGGCGCTCCTCTTCAATCTTGTGAAGTCCTTCTTCGTGGACGTTCTTTCTATGAGCGATGAAGCCAGAGTCCTCAGATGCCCATGTTGGATGTGAGGCCCAATCATCGTTGAGCACTTCATTGCAGAGCTCGTCACGTCCGCGGCACGGCTTCAGTCGCTCACGCTTAGGAAGTAGCCTGTAACTTGGTCCGAGTCCTCTGCAGTTGCTCAGAGAAATTCTACTCTGAGGAGCTCTGGGCTTGTTCTCGATAGTAATGTCATCATTGTTGTAACCAACCCACATTTGAAACCATTGGAAGAGATCGGGATTGCTACCGATGAAGCCACGAGCCTTGTGGACCAGGGTGATTTTGTCGATAAGGTCCTGAGAGAAAAGATTGCAGAGCTTCAGGAACTCGTTCATGGCAGCTTTGTTTCCGATAGCCTTCTTAGCGCGATCGAAAAAGCTCATTTCATCGGCCGTCGCAAGAGTGCTTTGAGTTGGTGGCAAAGGCTCGGGAAGTGCGGGAACCAAGGTTGGCGAAGTAGGAGGAATGTCAGATGGCATCGCTTGTCTACCAGCATGGGCCTGCTTAGCGCGTTTGTTGACGTTGGCCATCTGGCCATAAGCTGGGGCTTTTGCGAGGCCGTTTGTCTCCGGTCCCACGTTTGTGACGGTTCCTTGTCTGTCGCCGCGCTTTCTCTTGTTGTCCTTGTTGACAGTTGGAGTGGGAGCAAAGTTACCAACTGGAGGAAGACGGTGTTCGGCTCTAGGAGTCTGATGGGGTTGTGGAGCCTGATAGAAAGGGTCGCCACGCACGTTGCTAAGCATGACTGACTCTTCTTGTTGTTGGGCTCTAGCTGCTGCTGCTGCTTTCGCGTGAGCAGCGGATTCTGGGAGAAATTGCTTGAAATCTTCTAGAAGGTCCGGGGCCGAGTTGAAAAGTCGTGTCACCTGGGCATAGACATCCTGAATGGGCTTTGACTCGCGTTGGTAGGTCTGCAGAATCTCCAGGAACTGTTTGTAGATGTCGGGCTGTTGCTGGAAGCGGTTCTGATCGAAACGTAAGCATGATGGCTGAGACAGGCGCGAAACAGACGAGTACTCCTGACTAACCTTGATCTTGTTGACATAACTGATGGCGTGATTGAACTCAACTTGCGGCCTCACCTTCTCGTGGCCTAGAGGCTGTCCGTCAGGGCCGATGACCATCTCACCCTGAGCAAGAGCAGCGGCGCCGCCATTTGGAGACATCATTCCAGCTCTAGCGAGGTTGTCGCCAGCTGCGGCAGAGACGGCGTTTTGCAACTGCGAGACGCGCTGTTCCTGTTGGAGACTCAAAGCCTGCTGCTCACGAGCTTGAGCCTCTGCAATAGCGGCAGCTTGCTGGGGACCCATCTGGGAGGTGAAAGGGGCGGTACCAACTGGACGGCCACTGGGACTGTGAATAACGTGAGAGTGACCTGCTGCTTGAGGCGTCCAATTGCCATTGGCCTGTCTGTTCACAGCAGCAAAGAGAGGGCCTTCCTGGTTATTTCCGTCTTGTGCCGGAGCAGCTGTGCGAGGCGAGATGGGCCGCGGCGCCGGCATTGCTTGGACAGTTGTTCCCATGGGAGTCGTTACTCGGATGGCGTTCGGATCGTCGCCGGTGCCGCACTCGATTCTGTAACCCGGAGGCAGGAAAGTGTTGAAGCCCTGGATAAGCTCGGGGTTGCCGGCGAAGAGGGTCGAGACACGTTCGATGACACCGGGAGTATCAATACTGTATCCAGTCAGCACCTCAGAAGAGTCGGATGTGGAGACCGACACATACGCCCCACTCTTGAAGTCCTTCATGATATCCAAGAATCTGTTATAAACATCCGGGTGGTCGACAAACTGCACCTTGACTTGGTCGAGATAGCTCAGCGCATNCCTAGAGATGATCAATTATGCGAAAAGTGAGCAGAAAAGAATGTGTGAACCTACGTTCAAGATGGGCTGCTGCCCTTGGCCGACGTTTGCGGGTTGAGCACTGCCAGGTTGCATGGGAACAAGCATGGCCTGGGACTGTGTGGCAGGCTGTACGGGACCACCACTGAAGACAGCGTTCGGGATCTGGCCATGTCCACCAGCAGCATTGGCCAACAGGCCATTGGGACCGTGGACAGCATTGGGTGGCACAGCGACAGGCTGGTGCAAGTGTATCGGCCCTCTCTGGGCTTGATGAGGAGGGAGTTGGTCCATGTGTTGTCTTTCGCGCTGTTGATCACGGCGCACAGCGTCCTGCTCTTCTTTGATGTGGATGTTGTCCCGATGATCGGGCATGTCGCGGCCCAGAGGGAAGGCTGCTTGTGCCTGATGACGAGGCGAAGGAGGGTTCAGGATATTGTGAGGAGCCTGTTGGAAAGGAGCGAAGGGGCCTGTTCCAGTTGTAAGCAGATGGTGAATCAGTGACTTGGGATCGGCTGTACCTGATGGAGGGGGCAGAGCACCTGTGCGCGGAGAAGGAGCTGCACCGGGATGGGCAGGTGGTGGATTCGCNNGCTGTGAAACCTCGTCAGTACTCGTGACAGCCTCGTCTTGACGTATATCGACGTACGCGAAAGTGCGATGGAGCGGAGTGTGGTCTTCTCTGGGCGGCCAGCCGTCTCTATGCGCTGGATTCATCTGATGATGGCGTATGCGCGCGCCGGGTCGGCAACGTGCTCGGCGGTCCGTATAAGGACGTCTTGTGGGTTCAGTATTCGCGCGGGGTTGGTCAAATCTTCGAGGACTGCCTGTTCATAGCGCTCGAGGCAGGCACTGAGTGGTAAAATAAGGTGGGCAGAAAACAGAGACCCTCTGTTCCATCATACTCTACGTCTCTCTCGTCGCCAAGCGCATCAAAAGCTGGGGATTGGTGCACGCTAAGGACCGACATTTTCCGCTATCCATCCAATCTCCGATCTTAACTCCACCTGACTCGAACACTATCTGCTGAAGCCTGAGTGAAGAGGTATTGCAAAGTGAAGCCTGTTTTACAAAACTACTGTATTATCTATCTTACAAGCCGTGAGGGTATCTTCGCTGTGGAGCAATTCATCTAGCTGTCATTGAACCCGTCTCATCTCACATCAATCCCTCTCCTTCACTGCCAAACCCCTTGGCCTGTCTTTCGTATTCATCTCCCTCTTCTCTTCCACGAGACATGCCTCTGTCGCGTCGTTCGAACATCTCTGCAGCCAGACTGAGTCCTCCTTCGAGATCGGCAAACAGTCTATCCATCTCGTTGAACACAAGCTCCGAGTCAGCGCCTTCCATCATGGCTTCTGGGTCGGGAGCTGACAGTCGAGGAAACTTGCTCAACAAGCGACTGCTGCGTACTTGCGACATGTAGGCTTCATCTCTTGAGGAGTCGTAGCCTGTACCCGTGCTTGTTGTACCTCCCGTATCTGCGCGTGCTCTGTTGCGAGGCATAGTGAGGTCTCCGTATGTGCTTTCGTCTCTGTCTGTGTCCACATTGAAAGCATCAATGCGTGATGTAGGCCGCAATCCTGCCAGTGGAAAGTCGGCATCGTCGAGTCCTGGTATACGAATGCCAGGATCAGCCATGGGCATCTCAATATCGGTGTCGTCGAATGAATCGGCAGCAGCAAACCGAGCCCAGCTGTTACGCGACGCAATCGCAGATGTGTGCAATCCATCGAGAAGTTGTTGTCTTGTGTGTGCCTCCATACGGCGGTTGTAGTCGCGCGGCCAACTTCCACTCTGGACGTCCGATGATGCCGTGGAAGAGTAAGAGTATCCTCTGTCTCTCGAGTGTCTGAGTAGAGACACATTGCTTGGTCCCCGCGAATGGAGGATGCCGGAGTGGCGGTTGTTTGATGCTAGAAGCTGTGGTTCAGAGCGCGACTGGCGATGCGAGGAGCGCTTAACTTCATCACCGCTAGGTTGCTCAACTTCAGCCAAGAAGAAGGGGTTGCGTGAGGTTTCAGTTGAACCTGCCGCACTTATGACAGGGGACGATGGTGTTATGCTCGGCTGTTTTGAGTGGTGGGATATGGCAGACTCTAGGTCAAACTCGGGTTCGAAGGTCATGCCCAAGTCAATATCAATGATGGGCTTCGACTCGCGAACGCTTGGTATGTCGAGGTCGTCTTTGGCAGCCGATCCTACAGGAGGATGAAGGAAGTCATTGAACTGGCCAATTGGTTCAGTGGCTGTGCGGGTCAGATGGGGTCTGAAGCCAGGAGCAATGTCTGTCTCGTCTTTCATAGGTGGAAACGAGAAGTCTGGCTCGGCCTCTGCTTCAGTGGATACTGGCTCGGCGGTTGCGAATGTCCAGTCTGCGGTTCGGCGGTCAGGCTCAGCCGTCAGAGGCTCTGCCATCTCTGCGAACGTCCAGTCTTGTGTGTTTCTAACGGTGGCTGGCTGGGCTGTAGCAAATGACCAATCTGCCGTCTTGCGATCAGCTGCTGGTTGCGCAGTTGCGAAAGACCAGTCTTTGGTTTTGCGGTCCGCGGCCGGAGGCTGTGCCATGGCAAAGGTCCAATCTTGTGTGCGCCGGCTTGGATTGTCGGCAGGCATCATCTTGAGAGGAAACTGCCAGTCTTTGGTGGCGCGTCGTGTGTCTTGGTCCGGTCCATCATAGAAGTCGTTCTGATCTTCTTCATCATCAGGCATTGTCGATGACATGCGGTTCGGTCTGGCTGCCTTGAGTGTTGGCACATCGCCAAAGTCGAAGTTGAAGGTCGGCTGTGAATCGAGTCCCGCTGCGCCCATGTCCAAGTCAATCAGGGTCTCCCTATTGGCCGCGCGATCGCTGGACAGGTTGCGAAGTGGAAGGTCAGACATTGGTTGTTCTTCGTCTTCCATAAGCGTGTTGTAGTCGTAAGGGTCTGCGTTTGTGTCGAAGAGGCGTTCCATCGAGCGCTCTCCTCGCTTCGCTCTGGCTTCTTCTTGCGCCTCGTGGAACGGGTTTCGCGGATGCGGTTTGGTGACGTTGTTGAGAGCAGGCATCACGTCTTCAGCAGCACTGTTGGCTGTAGCTGCAAAGTCAGTCTCTGCAATTCCGAGTTGACTGTAGCGCTTAACAAAGTCGTTTTCAAAATCGGCAGAGGTTGAAAAGTTCCAATCATCATAGTCGTCACGCTGTTCGGACGGCTGAGGTGCGGCAGCTCCCATCGGATTGAAGAGTGAAGCTCTTTGACCACCTCTTCTCTCCCACTGGAAGTAACGATCAATCATTTCCCTCACCATATGTGTAGGATACTGCGCTGAAGTGTCTGAGATGAAGGGATGCTCGAGGATTGCCTTCATTGATGGACGGTCCTGGGGCTTTTCTTCAAGGCAAAAGGCAATAAAGTCTCGTAGACCCTGTGAATAGGCACCCTCTTGCAGTCGCGGTGCGGCTTTCAACACTGTCCTCAACATTGATGGATGGAACTTATGGTTTGGTGGCATTCCTGTGGCCATTTCGTAGACAGTACAGCCATATGCCCAACAGTCAACTTCGGTACCATAACCTTGTTGAACTGCCATATCCATAGAGTGCATCTCCGGGGGCATCCAGAACGGAGTTCCGATGATGGTCGAACGTTTTGACGCTTCAGTCTCGATGACAGCTGCCACGCCAAAGTCACAAAGCTGAACCTGACCTTCTTCGGAAATCAAAACGTTGCCGCACTTGACATCTCTGTGGATGACACCGGCATCATGGACGTATTTGAGTGCCACGGCCAGTTCGCGAGCAATTGGAATGATGTACTCCTCTTCGAGCCCAGGACCTGGCGTGGCTTTCATGAGTGTGTGAACGCTACCACCTGGACAGTAATCGCTGACGATCCATAGTTGAGAGTGCAAGTCAAACGCCTCCTGGATATAGTTGATGTTCTTCGCCTGGCTGTCTCGAAGGAGTTTTAACGTCTTGACTTCTTTCCGGAAATCCTCGATGGCCTCATCTTTTTGGTCGAGATCCAACTTGTAATCCAGATCGTCAACATCAATGATCTTGACAGCTACGAGGTCCTCTGTAGCATTGTTTTTGCTGGAACACATCAGTCAAAGCCGCGGCTCAACAACTACCATAGACACTCACCATTTGTACACTCTGCCAAAGGATCCCTTTCCGATGAGCTCAAGGAACTCGTAGTCTGGAACGGCAGTGTTTGTTCTTGCGGCGCGGTCAACGACCACTTGGTACATGTCCTTTGCATCCTGGATTTGTTTGTGCTTTGTACCGGCGCCGACCGCAGAGAATGGATCCAGATGCTTTGAGCTCATGTCTGGAATGATCCCAGGTGCGCTGCCCCGAAATCCCAGAATGTTTCTTTGTAGGGCCAGACAGTGCGCTATTGTCGAGAAAGTGCCGGAGATGCACTTCTGGCCCGCTACCAGTTTGCTCTGACACTTCCAATCCAGGTGTTATGTTGACAGATCGTTACTTCCTGGTCCGGTAATCTTTTGATGATAATTCGACTTTATGCGCATGCGCCAGGATGCATGTTCCGCCTCTCCAGCCTACTCCTTTTCCCAAGCAACGGGCCCAGATCGTTGGTTGTTCTTCAGAACGACAACCTACTCAATCCTTTGTCGAGTGCGTTCCAGTCCGGTCAGGTCTTCTTCAGCAGGTCGAATATATGAGCGCTGAATGTGATTGAAGATGAGCCCTGGCGAAAGAGTGGACGATCACTCAGCGAGCGGCCACTTGGGCCGAGGCCGCTAGCGTGGCTTCGGATCGCGCTAAGATAACGCGCACTATCAGATCTGACGTACCCCCTGTCAGTCAAAACACGAACCTTGGTCTGACGATTCTAGAAGGCATTCTCTCAGCCGTGTCTGCATATATCTTCGATTGTGAAACCTGGTTTGTAGTTTTCCTGGCTCAAAGACATCCATTTCGACCATCTACAACTCCACATACTCTCAATAACTAAATCACATCACAATGGGTGACAACTGGCTCAGCAAGCAAGTCCAAGGCTACGTCGCCGGTGCCGGCAAGGTGGCTGGTGGCATCGTCTACGGCGTAGGCAATGGTGTGAACAACGTCGGTCGTGGCATTGGTGACAGGTAAAGGCCCACCAATATCTCNTCGTATCATTTGTATTGGCCCATACTGACTATATATACCTACAGCATTACCAACACGACACGTTACTGGGGCCAGGGTGTCGCAGGATATGGCAACAACATCAAGGATGCTTCTCGTGCGGGAGGCCCTCGCGTTCCCACTGGCGGAAATCCTCTCGGCTTGGCTGGTGCTGGATCGAGCAAGACTTTGATGCCTGGTGGAAAGCTACCTCCCGGCAGCCAACAGCGCAATGCTGGCAAAGGCAGTTCTAAGAACCCGCTGGGCCTGTAAAGGACAGAAAATACACGTCTCATGAGGACACGATCCGACCAACCATCGAGGATGAATAACGAACACAACAAGCAGAGAGGATGACACGGGAGGCGTTATGGACGGAGCACAAGCACATATTGATGCTATTGTATCAGGATTATAAAATGTTTAGGAATGATTTTTATCGTAATTTAACCACAGACTACTGCTCTGTTCTTGCAATCTCGACCTGCTTTTTGAATCTGAACTCAGCCGAGAACGCCTTGAAGCCCATTCGTCCTCGCTGGAATACGCCGAAAACACAACCAGCACATGCGTAAAGAGCAACATGCACATTCCAACCCAGAACTCCACGCTAAATCAGTCATATCGTGCCATCGATCATTCACACCAGCAACGGCTCTACTCGCTTTCGTATTCCGGATCGTCACCAATTTCTCCGAATTCGTCCTCGTCCTCGTCTTCATCACTGCTCTCATCATCATCCTCATCATCGTCGTCTTGCATGCCAGGTACTCCCTTCCATACCATGTAGTCCCCTTCCAGCCACTTCTTGCTCTTAGGCAATTGATAAGGATCAAAGGGGAAAAAGGCATCCAGCTGATGATGGGCTTCGCCGCTTTGGTGGCTGAGGGTGTTCTCTCTTCTTGCGGCACCCATGTCTCTGCTGACAGGTGCAGTCAAAGAACGGAAGGAAGACAGACGCAGACGCTTGTTGGTCTCCAATAGGGGAATAACGTACATGAAGCGGAGATGGTTGGCGATTGCTCCGAACTGGTGAACAATGGCGGGTGCACAAACCTTGAGAGGGTTGAGCTTGGAGTAAATAGCTTGGGTCAAGCACTCCTTAATGCCAGGAAGCCACTCTGGTTCGCCTTCCTCGAAGATATCGTAGTCTTCGATGTCTGCGTCGTCAGGAGTCATGATGAAGTCCCTCCATCTGAAGCAGAAGATGTAGAGCATAGCCTGAGCAATTGCGTAAAAGGTTCCGTACCGGCTCAGGTTAGGTCCTTCGCATGCGGACTCGTAGTTGCGACGCAATGTGTCGAGGTGGTTGCCAAGTCTTGTGAAAATGGAGCGAATAAGCGTCTTGTTTACTCGAGCACCGCGAGCGATGAAGCTAGCCAGATAGGCAGCAGCAGACAAGGAGCCGTTCGAAGCAGAGCTGCGGCCAGTAGCAAGACGGATAAGAACGCCGGCAAAACGCTCAGCATAGCCCTGAGACATCTGAGCAAAGTGGAAGACGAGGAACTGCGTGTGTCGCGAACGGTATGTAGGCAAGATGAAGGTAGAGAATTGTGAGATCAGGTGCTCGAAGGCATCGTTGACCTCGTACATCTTGCCACTGGCAAAGGTGGGAGTGTAATGAGAGAACAAGAGATCTAAGACTGAATCGAGCTTGGCGACAGTATCGCGCAGAGCACGGAGATGGGTCTCTTCGGGTGTCATGCTGATCTCGCTCGAAGAGTCTGAGTCGGCATCACTGTCATCACTCGAGTCGTCTGCATCTTCTTTTGCTTCTGACAGACCAGAGAGTCCGAGCACACGGCCCTCATCGACCTCGTCTTCCAAATCATCCAACTCTTCTTGTACTTCGACATCAATCTTGACCAGGCGCTCGGTGATAAGAGTCTGAATCTCGGCTTTTAGTTCGGGGGCGTACTCGATGGTCTTGAGCGAGTTTTTGACGAAAGCAATGTAACCTTGACGGGAAGCAGTTCTGTGATTTGGAAACTGGCCGCGAAGAGACTCGGCTAGACCGCTGTTGGCGGATGGGATCAGGCGTAGCAGGTATCGAAGGGCGTTGTGTACTCGAACAACCATCTGCTGTCTGGGGACGTAAGGCTCGTTTGGTATGCGACCTAAAGATGAGGGAANCTGGGAACGTGTCAGTGGATGGGCGCACGATGGCCAGAGGCAAGCAAGCTTACCCTCGACAAAGTGTCCCACAATGCGGTCGAGCACAGTCCTGAGGAATCCAGGTACAGCACTCCCTAGAGTACCGAGGAAGCGGACATAGAGAGCTACAAAAGCATCGTCTCTGCCGAGCCAGTTGACGTCGAGGACGGCGTGTACCAGCTTGCCACAAGCCTTGAGATCGCTCACACGACCACTCAGGGCGACCAAATACTTCTTGAGCGTAGCGGTGCTGGGTGCTTCGCTATGTGACGACACCGAGGCGCTGTCGTGGGATCGCGAGGGCGCTGCGCTAATGAAGACCATCCTAAGCTGTTCATATGCGCCATCGTCCTTGTCGGCGCCAGACCTGAGATGGCCCTCGAGTGCACTTCTCACTTCGTCCTTGACCAGATCCAACGGCTTAGCCGTCCAGTCATCCATGATTCGGACGTCGACCCTGTCGTCGAACGCCACTCGCAGTTTCTTGCTCTGGCTGGACTCTGGCGCCGGTGACGACAGATGCGAGGCGTCTCTCTTCAGGCTCTTTTGCGGAAGGGTTGGCGGCATGCTCGGCGCCTGTACGAGAGAGACCATGTTGCTTCCACGGACTGAGGCGGTTTAGGATTCTATTACTAATAGAGAATGGTTCGAATCTTTGTTCATGTCGCGTGCGTGAAACACACTTGTGAGGGTGAGAGAGTGTGAAAAGACTTGAGTGAGGAAACCTTAAAATTCAGAACGCGGGGAGACGTTGGTGCACAGGCCATCCCCATGCTTTGGGTAGCACCCTGTCGAGAGTTTTGGTATATCATTCTGCCACTCTCACGGTGTCTTGCCAGGTTGAAAACATGAACACGGCGCCAGCATGACATCTTTGCTGCTATCCGAAGAACCAGTGCCGTTTCTGTGCCCTTGGTCGACGTATCACGAGTAATATGATTTATCCCTGTTCTCCCATTCGTTTCCATTCTCTCCACATGCAGTATTGACACATTATATCTAGAGGAATACACAATATTTTACAGATCAAACCGCATCGCACCGAGAGTGAGCTCTCGGTGGGTATCTCTGTGGTCACACCTCCATGTTAAAAGCAACTATGCATTTTTATAGCATATAGCAGCACTACATCTCAGCGTGGGAGAGGGGTTGATCGATCATCACCTCTCCCGTACCTCTATTGCACGAAAGATGGATATCCTCGGACATGTAGAGTGAGAATATCACTGCAACATGACTTCCATAAATAGAGCGCCACGCTTGGAGGATTGTCGTTCATGACCCCCTCGGACAACTTAGGTAGAACAAGGCCGTCACCGTAACAATACACAGTACTTTCTGAGCAGTATGAACGAAGAGCTATCGTATGTTTATTTCATGATGTATACAAGACTCAAAATTAAGAACTCCACCCAAATGCTATGCAGTCAACCAGTGAGCCCATCCGTTTGACCAACCAACCAATTCATGCTAGACCTCCAACCTTGATGCTAATACCTTCTCTGCTGCCTATACTGTCCATCACCCTGACCAAAATATGACTGCGCATAACCCGGTTGGGGTTGAGGCGAGCCTGCATTGCTCCATCCAGCTTGACTCATTTGTCCCAAGTACTGCGAAGATCGTTGTTGAGCCGTGCCTGGTCCACTAGCGTACGGGTAATTGTTGACCTGGGCTTGTTGCTGCTGCAATTGCAACTGTATCTGATACTGCTGTGCTTGCTGAAGAGCCATTTGTTGCTGGAACTGAGCCTGTTGGGCTTGCTGCTGAGCATATTGCTGTGCATAGTGCTGTGCCTGCTGATGGGCAATGTGTTGAGCCTGGAGCTCGGCCTGCTGCTGAGCATACTCTTGAGCCTCGATCTGTGCTCTCATCTGAGCATCAAATTCGTTCTGAAGTTGCTGCTGTTGACGTGCCACAATAGCTTGCTGCACGGCATTGTTCCTGAGCCCTTCTCTTTTAATGTTTCGCTGCCGTTCGCGAGCTGCCATGGCACCAACCAAGCCTGGAGCATCCAAGTCGTTCATGTCCTTGCGCTTGTCCCGCTCAGTCAGGTTGATCATCGAACCACCAGTCATTCGAGCGACTTGCATCTGCTCATGAGCCGATAAAGCTGTACCTTGCAGCTGCAACGTTCTGCCAGGGCTGGGAGGGTTCAAGAACGCACCCGCATTACGGGAGTGTGGACGAGACGGAGCTTGTTTGCTCCAATCACCAGATGGGGTCCTGCTGAGAGNGGGTGGCGTCTTGCTGAACGACGCGTGGTTTGCTTGCTGACCCCAATCGCCAGAGGCTGTACGGCCAAGTGACAAGCGGTTAAGCTGTTGCGTCCAGTCTCCAGACAATGTACGGCTGAGACGAGATGCTGGACGACTGAGTGGAGGGGTTTTGGTTGTGCGATTTGCATTCGAAGGATCCCTGGTGTGTCCGAACACAGGTGTGGCTCGTGACTGGGTCATTGGAGCTGCAGCAAGGGATGCTCGGTATTGCACCCATTGCTCGGCGGTCAGACCTTGATCAACAGATTCGCCAGCCGCGGCTGCTGGCTGCCAAGCGACACTTCGACGCCTGTCTTGATTCATATCTCCGGTTGATAGCTTGCGTGTCTCGAGGAAGGAGCTTCTCTTGCTATCAATTTGTGTTGTGAGCCGGGAGGATGGACGCTGCACAAGATCGGGGTCCTCCTGTGATTCGATGGGCACACTACCACTTGTAGAAGGTCGAGCGTTTGGTTTATAGGTCAGTGTAGGACCGAAGTTGATGGGTACTCCATTTTCGGGGTCAAAGCGGCTTCGTGTTTGAGGCTCGTGTTCGGGATTGCCAACCGTCTTGAGGCGGCCGGTTCGGCTTCTTTCAATGGGTTTTCTCTTTGGCGGTGACATACTCTTTACACTAGAATAGTCGACCGAGTCGTCGTCTGGGATACTGACAGGGCTGACCACTCTGCTGACCGGCTCGGGCGACTGCTGGAGCATTTGCTCCAATAGAGCTTGCTGCATGATATCATTTTGGAGACTTTCGTTGCTCGAAACTCGAGAGAGAGCAGGGCTTTGTGGTTGAGGAGCAGCATGTTGAGGTTCCGGTGAGGTAGGTACAGGCTTTCTGCTGATGGGGGCGGCCATGGCTGATGGAGGAGAATATGCAAGGTTTCGGGCGGGAACAGCTGGTGAAAAGCTGCTGTGTGACGGCACAGGAGGTGGAAGAGGAGGAGCGTTTGGTTCAGACCTGACAGGAGCTGCAACAGGTTGTACAGCACGGTTGTAGGGCGATGCAGGGATGGGGGGCAGTCGGTGGGTACTCAATGGTTGATAAGTCGGTCCTGGAGAAAGATTTACCTCTTCATTGCGAAACGAGGGGTCAGCAGGCGATCTATCAGTCCCGTTGTTGGCACTAGCTACCTCTCGTGAAGCATCGGTAAAGTCGAACTGCTCCTTTTCGTGATATGGTGTAGCACCGGCCTTGCTGGCCTCTGCAAGCTGTTGCAGCGTCGCGGCGTCCATGGCCGAATTGGCCCTGCGTAATTCGGGCGCAGGGTTGAGGTTCGTGGGCCGAGCGTTGGGTCCGTGCATCAGCTTTGGGGGCGACGCTACAGGGCCCGTTGGAGGGGAGCCCGCTCGTATTTTTAGCTCCTCAAAGGCCGGCTCAAGACGACGCTCTTGTTCGTACGGCGTGTCCTCTGATGGCACGCGTTCGAGCACCGTTGGTATCTTCTTCTCCGACAGGGGACCGCCGTGGGCTGGCGGCTCGGGCGCCCTGTCTTGTAGGTCGCTGGTCGCCTCGTAAGAGAGTCGAGAGCGGTTCTCGGTCTGAAACCGCTTGTATCCGAGCGCGTCAGAGGCTGAACGATTGTGTCCGCGGCCCGGACTGCCCATGCTCATCGGCGTTGTTTCAACCCGGCGTGGAGGACCAAACTGAAGAGTTCCATCTCCAGGTCCCGGAGAACCTCTGCCTGGTGATGGCGAAGTGTCTGTGGAGCTGCCATTGCCAAAGCGGACCGTGCCGTGATTGAGGGAAAGCGTGTTGCGTCTTCCCCTTGCCTGTGGAGGTGTGTCTTCGGAGGAGTTCATGCGGTGCGATGTCAATTTCTTCATCTCTCTTCTCCAGTCCTGTTCGGACCATGTTTGACTGCCCTTTGTGTGAATCAGGCCTGAGATGTCCAGGATGTCAAGATAACCATATCTTCTGTCTCGAGGCATGGCAAACATCAAACCACGCTGGTCAAGAGAGTCGGCAATCAGACGATTGGGACGACCGTATAGAGCAAAGACGTCCCAGACAGGGAACAACCAGCGAAGCATCATTTCGAAGCCACTGACTGCAGGATGCACTTCCGGCATGACAAAGAGGAAGCCTTCTGTGGTTGTGTCGCTGGCGCCGTGAATGGTGATTTGGCCTTCAAGCTTGATAAGCGTTGACTGGTCAATGAGTGGCTTGGACTGAGGATAGATGGCGTATGCTGCGAATGCGTCCTTGATGGTAGCGATAGGCCGTGTCTTCTTTGTGACGCGCTTCGTTTCGTAGAACTTGATGTCGCCTTTAGGGACCTCGACCTTGCGATCATATGTGTCACGCTTTTTGAGCGCCTTTTGATATTTTGCCCATTCCTTCTCGCTCGGAGGCGTAATGACACACCAGCAGCGTCTCCAAGGGGTACCTGCTCCAAAGCGCACACGTGCCCAGTCGTCTATTACGAACTTGCTCCTTTCCATGATGGTGCGGATATTGTTGAGCATCTTTCCCTTTCCGGCAATGAGAGAACCAGTGTAAGCCTCTTGTAGTGTTGTATGTTCGTACATGGCAAGGCGGAAGCCAGCGGTCCATTGCGTAAGCGAGTTGAGGGAGTTGAAGTGGAGAAGATAGCGGTTGTTTGCTGCAGTGGAGATGCTCAGAACGTTCTGGAGCTGACCTCCTGCTGATCCATTCATTGGAAGCGACTCAANTCTGTATTGAATGGTTAGCGACCGGAATTGTTCTGACAAAGTCGTGATCTTGCTTACCATCTTAATCGAAGCGTCGCTGACATTGATGAATGTGGGCAGGACCTCGCCATCTTCACCAGCTGCATCCAGAGCAGCAGCGTCCCACAATGAGAGTACTGTACCAACCAATTGGGCAAAACACTCTGTCCATGCTCGATCTGCGCTTGGGCGTCNCACCTGGGAAGAAGTCAGCCATGTACGAAGAAACACTCTGCCTTGGGTCTGCTCACGAGAATCTAGATCGTGCAACTTTAGGAAGTAGCCCTCCTGATACAGCTTGTTGGAGTGGCTGTTGAGGAAGGTGAAAATTGGCTGCAACTCTGGCAGCGTATCTTGGGCCAGATCCATGATTGGCGGCTGGTGAGTGTAGACCATCGACATGGGGCGAGAAGTGCGCTCTGAACGCGAGTCCGAACGGAAACGCTGTTGGGTACTAGGAGAGGGAGAGGCTGGCGCATCGGCGGCCTTGTTCGCAGCGGAGGAAAAGGAGGTATCGATTTTGGCAGGTCTAGCAGGTTTGCTGCTGCTGAAAGGGTCTTCGGACATTTGAGATTTGGGCTCTGGCGTGGAACTCCTCGACGGAGTACCCCATTGGGTCATGAACGACATTACTCGGGAGCGAGGCATTGTGTAAGGCAAGCTGGAATGCAATCGCTACTGTACAGTGACACCAGAAGTTCTTGAAGGCCTGCAAGGGACTTTTGAGACGGATACCGGCTGCAGGCGGATCCGCGCATGCAACACAACGAGTGCTAACTTGTCAGATCGAACCGGGTCTGGTAGGAGAACCAAAGAGTGTTTGAGCCAAGTTGGGAAACGACAGGCACGAGGTCTTGACGACGGAAAGCTGGAGAGAACGACAGCAGGGCAGAAGTGGGCAGAGAGTGGATATTTGGATCTTGTTAGTCCTATATTCCCACAGACTTGGCACATCAAACCGTTCTCCCGATGACGACTGCTTGCTCCAGAAAGTCGTGGAGAAGTGACGGCGGCTGCCAAAAGCAGACAGATCCCCCAACATCCGCTCGCTCTCTTCTGTGGCTCCCGTCCCTGGACGCCCTCAAGGTGAGCGGCAGGACTCGGATGACACTGATCACGATCCACGAAACCCGCGGACCGCCATCTTTTGCTTGCTTGCTTGCTTGCCAGCCCAGCATTATTTCGTGACCAGCTGCGCCCGTCTCTGAGCTGCAGCTGATGAGCCAAAAACGGGTCTTGGAAATTCGGAAGCTGCGCTACATGCCCGATCCGCTTCCTTGGCCTGCCCAATAACGCAGCCACTTTTATGAAGCCTCGCGGCTGCTGAGAAATCGATTGTCCTTGGAAGACCGAGCGGCTGCTCGAACATCAGTGCTCGTCCATAGGGGTTGCCACCAGCTGCGAGTCATCGAGCTGCAAGGACAAGGGATAAGAATACCTAGAGGCACCCACTCAATCGCCTCGTATGTGTCAGTCTCACAAGCGCGTAGCTACAAAAATTACGCAGTACTGCTAGAGGATACAATAGGAAGCTTCCCATCGAAAATGTGGTCACGACACCTCTCTTTGAACACAACTTTGATACCAAACATAACGCGCGTCCATGGTCTATAGCTTGAAGACAGTGGTCGGATGTGATTGTAATCACTCGGCGAGGGTATACTATCGAAGAGCCTTGAGACAGAGACAAATACGTTGTTATTATTGACTATAAATATAAGCACGCCGATGATGCGCGCACTAACATCCGATGTGCTGTTGATGCTCACGCCTTGGCCTCTGGACGGGCAATTAAGTTGAATTGGCATGTGTTTTCCACTTGATCATAATTCCGATCCTTCCGTAGCACCAAGGTATATCAGTATTCTGGTCTAGGACTGGGTAAGCCTTGACAACAACTTCAATTCAGACCTTCGCTATTTCTCTTCCATGCTACCTAGCATGATTATTCTGGTCGCGACTCCCTAAATCCTGATCGGGTAGAGTGACGTGCACGGTTCATCTTTGTCGAAACGCGTCGACTTGAACGCGACAACATTGTGTCACAGTCTGGTCTGGTTCCATACCCGAATTCATCAGAAGCAGACTTTAAATCGGTATTATGCGCGCGCAGAGTCGTCGTTAAGTGCTTGCCGTACGAAGATGACCAGAAAGCGCGATGCGGTCGACGAGCCATCCTCAGTCAAGCGCAGAAAGTTGACAGACAACTTCCCATCAGAGTCTCAATCTCCTGCGCAGAGTCGCCTGACAGAACCCGAGAAAGCAGAGTTACTGCGCTGGCTCGATCAAGCCGACAAGAAAGACGGACCCATATTCAATGTTTCCAACCCCCCCACCCGCAAAGGCGCAAAGAACCCACCCGATGTCCAAGAAAAACCCCTCAGATTGAATGACCAGGACTATCTGGACGCCCGGTGGCTTATCAAGCCGAATGATCGATGGCTGAACATGACCAAATACAAAAAATTGTATGCTTTGAACCCACGAAACAGTCTACGAACATCCCCACTGACTCTGATTAGCACAGTAGGAAACCAGACTCACTCAGTTGGAGATTGTGTTCTCGTCAAGCCAGGAAATGAGTCTGATCGGGACTGGAAGGCCCAGGTCCATGAGGTTCGAGCTGCGGATGAACATCATGTCTTCCTCCGCTGCACCTGGCTCGAGAATCCCGAGGAGCTACCTCAAGAGGCTCGGAGCACACCGCCATACCACGGTAAATTCGAGTTGGTCCCGGGCAACAAAATGGATATCATCGATGCTCTGACAGTGAACGGACCGCTGAAGGTCGTACGCTGGGAGGAAGACAATGACGATGCGCCGATGCCAGCGCAAGGAGAGTATTATTGGCGACAGACTTACAATTACGATACCAAGCAACTATCGGTAAGTGTTCCACTTTGAAAGTTATGTCTTCCAGATTGTACTGACTTCTCAAGNCCACTGCGCCTGATTTGCGAATGCAAACAGCCACAAAATCCCGATCATCTCATTATCAAATGCAGCAATGAAGCTTGTGGAATATGGCTCCATGCTTCTTGTCTGGCCCAGGATGCTGTTCAGCGTAAAACCCAACAGAATGGAGACAAGGCGGAGTCAAACGGCAAAAAACGAGCTCGCAAATCCATCAACAAGAATTTTATCAAAAGCGCTGAAGACGCAGTGGCCGAAGACGACACAATCAGGGCAGAGGTCCCGACACCTGAGTCTGAAGCGCCCAAGATCATAATCACCGACAAGAAAACTGGGGATGAGACCGAAGAACCAGTGCATTGCTTGGTGTGTAAGGAGCTTGTTGAATAACCCGGTCTACCCATATGAACTAGAAGGTGAAGGACAGCGAGAACAGAGTGATGTGGATTAATTGGAGACGTGCCTCCACGGTTGCTTTGCTTATACACGTGTGATTGGAGGCATCAACATAGCTTAGCTACATAACATTTTCTAGTTGCCATTGATCGGCTTTGTACATATATCCTATGATGCAAAACATATGCCTCCCCACGCGGAGTTGTATATGAGACTCCAGGAGATCCGTGATGCTCGTGAATGGTATAGCAGAGCCGCACGAAGCGGCAATGATGAGAACAGCTGGCTGCCGAGACGGTTGTTGTCGAGTCAAGAAAGTGCAGAAGGCAGAGTCCAACAAAGTCAATCTGGGAGGAAGATCGTAATACTTGGTTCGGCAGCAGATTACCCGTGGCACCAAGAATCTGAATCGTCCCGGGCCCGAGCGCAACTCGGTGTGCCTCAGCTTGAGGAGCTGATGAGGCTAGCATGAGATTATGAGGACGAGGTCTGAGGAAGGGACAAGACAAGGATCGATGGTAGGGCAGCATGATGCATGGAATGCAGGGTTCCTGCCCGATTTGCATGGCAGCAAAAGCACAATATGTAGCACTCCCAGGCAACTGCATCACGACCGGAGTTGGCATGATCTTGAGCCTTTGATTTGCAGCGATTGAGCCTCTCCGGGTGTATCCACAGGGTGGCCTGTGATCGGTCGGGCGGTTCCTTTGTGTGTAGGGAGCAGTTGTAGCGAGCCTGAATACAGTACCTAGTTTTCAACTTACTCATCTCTTTTTCCCTTTCGAATTCTTGTACCACTTGGCTACCGGACCGTTGAAACGTACGTAGCGACGCTCATCGCTCGATACTCGTATTTTTGAGCCTCGATTGCTCTTGTTGCGAGACGAAACACCAGCGACTCTCTGTTGAATTGCTTGCCCTGTACTGCTGAAGCCTTCTCGGGACCCCCTCATCCCCCCCTTTGGCGACTTCGATGGGTGACACGGCGGGGTCGACGGCCGCCACCAAACCAAATGTGCTCATCATTGGAGGCCTTGGTGAGATGGTCGATAAGATTGCGAGGGCCGAGTAGTGTGCTAACGTCTTGGTCGTGGCAGGTTACATTGGACGCTTCCTGACCACTTACATCCATGCCAATTCGCTTGCCTCGACACTCAGGATAGCAGACAAGCAACTGCCGCAGCTGGCCTCGCTGGCCCCCGAACACAAGGATGCCTGCAGCGACAACTTCATGCAGGCCGATGCCTCGCGACCACAATCTCTGAGCCGCATCTTCGACCTGCCGGACGGTCAGTCTTTCGACTACGTCTTCAACTGCGGTGGTGAGACGCGCCATTCGCAAGACGACGAGGTCTACAAGCTACGGTCCTACGAGCTGTCTCTCAGTGTTGCCAAAGAGGCTGCCCGCCGCCATGTCAAAGCCTACATCGAGCTATCCACCGGCCACGTCTACGACAGTAAACGCGACCCGCCGCGCAGAGAAACAGACAAACTCAAGCCCTCGCTGAAACAAGCAAAGTGGAAGTTACAAGCAGAAGAAGACCTCAGCAAGATCCCAGGCCTGCCGCTCGTCATCCTCAGACTACCCAACGTTTACGGACCCTATGCTGGACAATGGATGGGCACACAATTGGCCCTCGCCCGTGTATATCAAGGCATCGAGAAAGAGTTGAAATGGCTATGGGGTCCTGAGCTGCGTACCCACACTGTTCACATTGACGATGTCGTCCGCGCATGCTGGACCGCAGCCGATTGGCGAGCAAACCAAGCACAATCCGGCGCAGCTGCAGACAGTGCTCCTCCCACACCTACCTCTCATACACCCAAGAAGGGCCCCTTGTCCTCGGCATCAGTCTTCAACATTGTCGACAAGGGTGACACGAGCCAAGGCACAATGGCCGAGATCACCAAGGCTCTGTTCGGCATCGAGACAGGCTTCCAAAATGTCCTCATCAACACATTTGCACGTCTCAACCTCGAGTCTGTTGTCGACGACGTCAATGACGAGACTCTGGACCCCTGGGCCGAACTACAAGAAAAAGCTGGTCTTGAGGGTGGCACTGGACCTCTGAGTCCCTTCATGGAAAAGGAACTCTTGCGCGAAGCTGATCTCTGCCTTGATGGCAAGAAATTCGAGCAGACTGTTGGATTCAAGTAAGCCACTCTACATCACCCCTTTCTCGGCAAAACTAATCTCTCTAATCAGNNGTACACTCACGAAAAGTTGACAAAGCAAGAAGTAGAAGCCGTCATCGACAGCTACAAGCGCATGGAGTGGTGGCCTTGAAATTGCATCAGCAGAAAACTCCAGGTCCCCGTCAACCGGCCAAAGCAAGCATCTCACCATCCAGCCCGGCGTTCTCTTTATCTCACCATCTCATATGATTTCGGGAAATCTGTATCCTCATATTCTGCTTCGTTCATCCCATCTTTCCAGTAAAAGGAAGCCCTCTTTGCATTCTACATGTCTATATACATTTCCATATATATATATCCTATCCTATACCATCAAAACCTGTCCGCGGACAACTTTCTTCACACCTCCTCGTGCTCAGAGACCGTCGCATCGTGCTGTCAAAACATCATCAGTGTTTACATCTCTTCCTTACACATCGTTAATGATTATCAGTCCGACTAGCCATGTCCGATCGCTGGGCGACTCCATAGGTATCGCAGATGCTTTACCGTCCCTCCGAAGACTTCCTCGTCAGGTTCCATGACATGAATTGCACAAACAATGCAATGATTCGCTAGACGCTTCAAAAACCACAAAGACCGCTGAACGAGAAATTTAGAGTGGAACGTGGAGGTGCTACCTTTGCGCCAACAAGATGCGAAATTCAAGGAGAAGATACTCGTCGACTTTTTAATGCATTCTTTTTTTTGGCAGTTGCAACCAATACTTGAAAGTGCACCAAAGAAGGTCAAGCTTATGTCACATAGAGTCGAGAGGAGGAAGGTGTGTTGACACAAAGAATGGCAGTAAGGAGAAAGAGAATTTGGGATAAGGCTCAACTTGATTCTTGTGTGCTAAACTGAATTGCAGCAAGATATTGGATAAGAATAAATCACGGCTGCCACAGCAGCATCGTCGTCACATCGCTAAACGGCAAAATACCTATCTATGCCCTGCTTCTGCTCAAAAAGAACCGCTGTCGTCCCGAGAGAAATAGGTGGGATACGAGCCGGGCCGTGGCAGAGCGTACGAGACCTTTAACGGTTTCGACTCCTTGCTCGTCAAGTCGCCTTTGGCGACCTTATGCTGCTGGAGGTCCAGAATGATGAGACGTGTATCAACATGTCGGAAGAATTGTTTTGTTGTCGATCGAACTGCGCTTAGAACTCCCAGTCCTCGTCTACGGATGCAATAGCCCATGCGAACTTCTCGCGCAGAGTCTTGGAAAAGAACTTCTCAATAGGCACATCGAACTTCTTGGAGAAGACGACAGTGAGACGAGGATCAATGTAGTTGATCTTGGAAGTTCCCAGGGCGACCTCCTTGTTGCTCTCCCTGTCCTCAGCTTGCAGCTCCATGTTGTTGATTCTGGCTGCGAACTTCTCGATTTGGCCCTCATACTTCTCAACAGAGGGACCCTTGCCTTCAGGCTCAATCTTCTTTGCCTTGAGTTCGGCTTTGAGCTTCTTCTCCAGGTCAGTGGCAACCTCAAGACGTTCATCAAGCTCCTTGGGCTTCATCTCCTTGTCACCCTCGGCCTTGAGCTTCTCGTTCTCCTTTTCGAACTTCTTGGTGATTTTCTGGCGTTCCTGCTCGACAAGGTCTTCATGGTGCTTCTTCTGCCATTCCTCATCAAGGCCCTCCGGGAGAGCGAACCACTCAGCACCCTTCTTCTTCTTCAGCTTAGAGTCGAGAGCTAGCATCATCTGCTTGACACGCCACTGTTGATACTTGACAGCGTCGATCTTGTCTTGTACCTTCTCCATCTGCGCAGCGTGCCCGGCAGCGACGGTACGCTTATGGTTACAGAGGATGGCCACTCTGCGGTTTGCGTCGTTGTAGGCCTTGACCTTTTCGGCGTGTGTTCCGACTGCCTTCATATCTTGNNGAAGCAGCCTTGCCATTGTCCAGGAGGCGTTGTAAGTACGGAACACCTTGGCAGTCAGGCCTTGCATGTAGTTGCTCAAATGCTTGTTCAATGCACTGGTAGTGAGACGGTCAAAGATCTCGTCGCCATCTTTCTTTGGCGCCTTCTTGAAGATCTTGAGATTCTTGAAGACTTGCGCATCAACCTCGACCTCATCGTAGAACCGAATTGAGTCTTTGCCCAGGAAGTCAAAAACGACCTTGTTTGGTGGTTTGAGAGTGACGTTCTCGAATTTCAGAGAGCAGCAACCAACAGTGTCGGCTTCGTCGTCACCCTTCTCGTTGCCAGCACGAAGTGCAAATTGATCGATAAGATAGACGGCAGTTGCGCGTTGACGGTCGGCCATTAGCTCGGCCTTGAGCTCACGCTGGTAGTCCTTGCGAATTCTGTCGATATGCTTCTTCAACTCTCTGGCCTTCTCGAACTTCTTGAAATCCGATTGACCCTTGACGTCGGAGTTCGCTGCCAACATGACATACTTGTAGTTGCCGTTGACATTCTCCTGCCACATCGCGAGCCATGTGCCTTCGTTGTCGTGACGCACTTCCTTCCAGTTGGTGCNCTCCGGTGGTGCAGGTACAGTGGCTTCCTTGCCAATGTTGATAGTAACTTGATTAGGCTTGACACGAGTCTTGACCTTGCCAGTCTTGGGGTGTTCGCCACGTCCACGGAAGAGACCAGGAGGTTCGACACGGAAGTTGCCAACCTTCTGCTTGCGGCCATCCCAAAGACAGTACATGTAAGGCTCTTCGGTTTTGTCCTTGGCAGCCTTCAACTCCTTCTTCTCTGCAGTGGTCATGGCCTTCTTCTTTGCGCGCTCAGCTTCGAAATGCTCGAAGATAGGCTTGAAATCGCACTTTTCGAACTTTAGGATCTTGACTTTCTCTCCCTTGTCGTTCGTTCCATGGCCAGTGTCGTCGAGGTATTTCTTGAAGTCGCCAAAGAAGTTCTTGATGAATGTCGGATTCTCAACGTTGTGAGTCGAGTTGAGCATGCTGCCGAAGAAAGTAGCCACCTCCTCAGCTTCGGGATGGAGTTTGACTGGCGTACCATCGTAGCGCATCCAGGCACTCTTGGGGAGTAGCTCGTACTCGGGAGGGAACACGACACCATTGTGCTCCAGAGTTGACCATTTCTTGGTACCGTCGCCATTGGCGGTGTCCTCCCACCATTTGTACTGCTCTTCTCCATCTTCAAGATCTTCCTTGTCGTCTGGGCTTTCCTCCTTCGCAGCCTTCTTGCCCTTCTTTGCAGAAGCAGCAGGAGTAGCGCTTGCTGACTTGGTGGCTGCACGCTTGGCAGGTGCCTTCTTGAGCGGCTTGTCATCATCAGAATCCTCCTTCTTGACACCGTTGGCCTTCTTCTTGGGTGCGGCCTTGGCCTTCTTGAGTGGCACATCGTCGCTGTCCTCGGATTGCTCGGGCTTCACAGTCTTTTTTTGCGCGAATGGCCTTGGCTTGTACCTCTGCCTTCTTCTCAANNTGGCAGCCTTTTCCTTGGCGAGTTTCTTTGTGAGGGGCACATCGGAGTCGTCTTCTTCGCCGATTTGTTGCGCAGTGACCTTCGGAGGCTTGCGTCCAGTCTTCTTCGCGAGAGGTTGATCGTCTTCGGAGTCATAAGTGGCCTTGTTCTTGGATGTCCTCCTGCGTTTGGTCTGTGTAGTGAGTTAGATTTGTAAATTTGTAGATTATGAGATGTCGATGCGACATACCAATGGGACATCGTCATCGTCTTCTGATTCGGTCGCGTCCTTGTAGCTCTTGCCATTCATAGACGACTTGCGCTTGATGCCATTACCATTGGTAGGAGGATCGATATCCATGTCGTCAACAGGACCCATGCGAAGTGAGACTCCAGGGTTCAGCTCGCCCATGCTAGTGTCGGTGTCGTCCATCTTGACACGTTCGCTGGATCTGGCTGTTACGATGTGAGTTGTATGAACTTGAGATGAGGATGAATGGAGTAGGTGTTGAAGGTTAAAGTTGCAAGTGAGATGGAGAAGCAATAGAAGAAAAAGAAATAAGGAACAAGTGTATGACGTAAAGGGTGAGGAGAGCTGAAGTGAATTGCTCAAGGTAAAGATGAGAGCTGAGGAGTAGATGGCCAAAAGGAGGGTTATGCCGAAGTGAGGCGAGTCCAACAAGAGACAGAAGTGCAAGGCAAACAATTAGACGGGTAGCTGCATAGACTCACCCTTGATCAGAGGCTTATCGTCTTCCGAGTCGGACATGACGGGGATAAAAGGCCAGGGTTTGCGAACAGTGGTATACGCAGATGGGGGCCGATTCGAGGTATTCAGCTGTAGGAAACGCGATGTGCTGAAGGTCTGTAGCCTCGAGGGTCGGACACAAAGACGCGTGTGTCTGCTGCTCCAGGAAAAGTAAGAGCTGAGAGAGACGCGGAAACGCGGAAGTGAAATGCTGAAAAGTTGGAATTGACGAGTGAAGAGAAAGAGGAGGACCAAGGGGAACCCCGATGGCGTACGAGAAGCAGAGAGATAGGATAGAGAGGGATTTTTAGATGGAATCTAGACACAAAGTGAAGGGAAGGGAAGGGAAGGGAAGAACTCTCGTTCCTGCTTCCTTTGCACGTGAATCGGCTAGTGAGGCAAGCAGCAGAACGATCTGGCGTGGTCCGAGTGTCGAGCGCCAAGGCTTGCTGGAGATGTGCGGGTGTGGGCGACACAACGACAGCAGAGCTCGCAGTCCAATCCCGAAGGCCGTCGCCATCTCACTTCGTCCTCAATCACCTCTCCGCTCACATAGCCTGACCATGCTGTCTCGCGCCGCTCGTCCCACCGCCAGGGCTGGTGTTGCCGCCCTCAGGTACGCCCCTCCACCTCCTCAACCATCGCCGAAACAGCTTTTCCTTCGAGCCCACCCATGCGACAACGAGCGCAATCTATCGTCACTGTACTGATCCGCTGTGCCTCTGTAGGCCCCAGGCNNTCCCAATGCCGCCAACTTCGCCACTCTCCGTGAAATCGAGGGTCGTCTCAAGTCCATTCGCAACATCGAGAAGATCACCAAGACCATGAAGATTGTCGCCTCGACCAAGCTCACCCGCGCCCAACGTGCCATGACCTCTTCCCGCGCCTACGGCCAGGCTTCCCAGCAGGTCTTCGACGAGGCCGAGACCAAGCCCGTCGAGGGTGCCGAGGGCAAGACCCTTTTGGTTGTCTGCTCCTCCGACAAGGGTCTCTGTGGTGGTATCCACTCGGGTCTTTCTCGTTTCGTCCGCAGAACCTACGGTCCCGAGCCCGAGAGCTACGAGCTTGTTGTTCTCGGTGAGAAGTGCAAGGCCCAGCTCGGCAGATCCAACCCCAAGAACATGGCCCTCAGCTTTGCCGGCGTCGGAAAGGACGTCCCTACCTTCGCCGATGCATCCGCCATTGCCGACCAGATCACTCAGCTTCCTGGCAACTACTCGAGCGTCAAGATCCTCTACAACAAGTTCTTGAACGCCCAGCAGTACGAGCCCACTGTTGTTGAGGCTTTCTCCGAGGACGCCATCAAGGCTTCTGGTGCGTTTGATATATGACTTCCAGTTGACCCATCACCCGACTAACATAATTTCCANGCCAACATCTCCTCCTTCGAGGTTGACGACTCAATCCTTGGTAACCTCCGTGAATACTCGCTCGCCAACTCGCTCTTCTGGGTATGCACCCCTCGTCTTGTCAAACATCTTGGAACACAGATTTACTGACAACGATTANNGGCTCTTGCTGAGGGTCACGCTTGTGAGCAGTCTGCTCGCCGCAACGCCATGGACAATGCCTCCAAGAACGCTGGTGACATGATCAACAGATTCCAGATTCTCTACAACCGTACCAGACAGGCCGCCATTACCGGTGAGCTGGTCGAGATTATCACTGGTGCCACCGCATCTGAGGATATGTAAGCGTTTGGCGACTGTAAATTTCGAGCGATTTCTCTTGCGTCATGCGCGCCGCATTTGAAATTCGTATGTAGCAATAGGCAAATTCGAAGGGATTTTGCGCGCCTGAGCAGTTCTTCATCATCTTTAGAGAAATCTAGACAAAAAGTCTTCTCCGTTGCAGTAATCAAAGATATCACATTTCTAAGCGGTAGAGACGTGAAGTACAGGGGATTTCATTTGTACATGACGGCTTTTGGCCATCAATGTTATGTGAGACATCTCACACCTCATGCATTTGAAGCCTATGCGGTCTTGGGTAGGAATCTGCCGCGCGATCCGATTGCCAGAGCAGCCCATCCACCTATGAGGAACAGGCCTCCAATTGGAGTGACAGGGCCCAGAGCCTTGAACCTTTGAGGATCAAGAGTGAGTAGGTAGATGGATCCGCTAAAGCATGTGATACCTGCGGCGAAGAGGCCGGCAGCGATCTTGTTCTTGGGGGCCACGGCAGCAGTCAGCAGAATCATGCCAGAGTGTACAAGCTGNNTGTCATGTAAGACTCCGAATGATTGATGTGTCATGAGAAGCGATGAACAGCTTACTTGATAATGAGCAGCAGTGTTCCAAGCGGCGATCTTGGATGGGTCCGAGATCTTCTTCTTCAGACCGTGTGCACCGAAAGCACCAAATGCGACGGCAGTAGCGCCGGAGATAGAGCCCAGCGTCCAGAACATGATTGAATTGATGAGAGTGGGTTTGGTATGTAGGTAGTTTCTCGAGTGTTCTTGATTCGCTGGACTTGGAACGTTTGGAGGCTCGTGTCAACCCCGCGGTCCACGAAATGGGCATCACGACGCAGACATCCATATCCTCCCCTTGCAGATTCAAAGACCTGAGCCTTTTTCCAACTTTCGCTTCGTCCGATATCTCTTGCTGCTTTCGGCTTCCATCGTCATTACGCTGTTGTTTGCTTAGACTAATATACCCCTCTTCGAATCACTCGTTGTTTCAAATCTTCGTCCAAGGACTGCCCCGATTCCTCTACTTCTCTACTCATCACCTACTTCTTTTCCTGCCCCAACTTGCTATCCAATAGCTGCTTATCTTCGTCTTCTTCTTTGTCTCACATTCCAACAATCCGCATCAATGGCTACAGGTACTGCGTCCAGCACCAGTCCTGCCTTCCCATCCAACCACTGACCGGCGAGCCGCGTAGAAACCAGCAAAGTAGTGCCTCTGACCTGCCACGGCCACTCTCGCCCTATCACTCACATCTCCTTCTCGGCCTTAAGCCCGGCTTCGGCGTCTTCCTCGCAACCCCAATACTACCTCATCTCGGCATGCAAGGACAACAACCCAATGCTCCGTGATGGTCTGACCGGCGATTGGATCGGTACCTTTGTCGGTCACAAGGGTGCCGTATGGTCTGCTCGCGTTTCCGCAGACGGTTCTCTTGCTGCAACCGGTTCGGCCGACTTCAGCGCAAAGGTCTGGGATACTTTCACCGGCGAGCAATTGCACACCCTGCAGCACAACCACATCGTTCGCGCTGTCGCATTCCCTGCTCTGCAAGACAGACCCACCAACCTAGCCACTGGTGGCATGGAGAAGAAGTTGCGCATCTGGGACTTGACACGCGCGGGAGCCGCCAACGGTGCCTCCTCCGGCGACGAGTTTTACGAGGTCGGTGCTGGCGAGCACGGCCAGACAATCAAGAGCATCGTGTGGTCGGCCGCAAACCCTAATGTGTTGACCACGGCTTGCGACGACAAGAAGCTGCGTTGGTGGGACTTGCGATCGCGCTCCGCCATTGCGACACACGAGGTCGAGGGAACCATTGGTTCCTGCGAACTCAACTCCAGTATCCTGGATGGCTCGGCGAATGGTACCCTGAGTGTTGCCGCTGGGAAGACTGTATACTTCTTCGATGGCGCGCGTCCCGGTGCTCTGCTCGACTCCAAGACTTTGGACCAGGAGATTGCCAGTGTGGCTGTGTGTGGAAGCCAGCGTCGTTTCGTGACCGGCAGTGCCAGGGATACCTTTGTGCGCGTATGGGATCTCGACTCCGGTGCCGAAATTGGTAAGTGACTTGCAGACCAGCCGATGCAACAAGATTCGCTAACAAGACANATAGAAACACGCAAGGGTCATCACGGGCCTGTATGGACAAGCGCATTCTCCCCGGACGGCAAGCTCTACGCCACTGGCAGCGAAGACGGTACTATCAAGTTGTGGAAGGCCACCACCGAGTCTTACGGCCTGTGGAGATAGACACGGTCGAGAACAGACACACGGTCGTATTCATCGAACCACACATAGAAAGGAACACGAGAAGAACTCAGTAATCATACTTGCGACCGCCCAGCTCGCCTACGACCGCAAACCGTCTTATACGCCGGGATGCTTCGCCTTAGGACATCAATCATCGATTTCGTTACAATGTATCACTAGAACCAAGGTACAATCGGGGGAGCCTGGAATATTCTGGTGTCCGGAGAACAAAAGAGCTTTGATGAGACCACAAGGATAATGGTGGAAACAGTAGGGTATCGTTCCAGATAACACTCGGGAAAGAGCGAACAGACACAAGCTGCATAGACTACCCACAAGAACGACAGAAGATTCTTCAAAGAGGCGGAAAGTGGCTAGAGAGGTAAAATCAAACCACCAAGACTTCTTCTCCTCATTGCACATCTCTCGTTTCTCCTTTGTCGACGGTTCGCGCCAGTTCATACCGGCATTGGTCTTGTTCACAGAAGATCGTTCGCTAGATATTGATCTTTGCACCCACCCTCATGTCTCACTATCGTATTTCTGTCCCTAGAGCACCTAGAAGAGATGTGCCGTATGGAACCTTTGTCCTTCCATGCCCTGCAACAAGCCAAGAGGCACAGAACCGAAGATGCTGGTTCGGAATGTCTCAAGGGAGGAGTCCATGATCTACTATTGCTCTTCACTCCACAGCTATGAAGCTGAGTCTTGTCGATTTTGTGCTTTGAAATCGAGAGGCGATGCAAAGAAGTAACCTTGAGTGCTTGTCTCGCATGTGATTTTTTTTTCTTTTGAGAAGTGACTGATTGACATGTAATCCTAAGTATACAAGCCGTAGAAAAGACTCCAGATGTTTTTCCAATCTTTGTCCGTACCCGCCTTTGCAGTGAGCCATAATGAAACGAGAGGAGAGGTTGGCCGTTGCCTTTTTCGTGATCAAAACGTCTCTTTACTCGACCATGAGATCAATGTCGTCATCCGGAGCTGTAGATGTGGTGCCCATGTTGTTGTTCTCTCCTCCAGCGATGGTGGAAACCTGAGGTCCACGACCAGGCTCATTTTCGCTAGACGCAACAGCACTACCTTCGTTGGCAGCCGAGCCACCGCCCCAGTAATCATCCATCTCAGCATCAAGCTCCTCGGCAGTCTTTCTCGGACGTCCCTGTACTATAGGTCTTCCGTCGTTCTCCTTCTTGGGCCCAGGACCACGTCTGTCACCACGTTCACGGCCACCCTCACGGCGATCAGTGTTTTCACGACGAGCACCAGGACGGCGTCCAGTCTCGCGAGGAGCGCCACGACCACCACGACGAGGGGGACTGCGTGAGCTGCGGGGACCTCTACCACCAGGGGGAACATAGCGATCGACGTTGCGCGAGTTGGGACTAGCACTGCGACGGCTGTCGATACGTTCGAACAAGCTTCGGGGAGGCTTTTCGACATTGTCAAAGGGGTTGCGGGATGGGCGGGCGGCTTCTTGGATGGTCAGATAGATGGGTTGACCCATGGCATTCTGGCCATTGAATTGGCGCAAGGCGCGATTGGCGAGATTCGAGCTGGGGTAGACGACGTAGGCGACACCTTGGGAGCGGTCGTGGCGGTCGTAAAGCAGGCGTAGAGACTCGACAGGGCCGATACCCTCGAACAGCTCCTGCAGAGGTTCGGGTCAGTAAGGGCGATGCATCAGGGCCGAGACCTAGCAGCAACATACCTTCAAGTCCGGCTCCTGGATATCGTAATGGATGTTCTCGACGCGGACGGTGGTAGAGCCGGAGCTGTAGGCGTGGTTAGGATGGGTTGTTGAAGAAGTTGTAGGGATTGGTACGCACGCATCTCTTGCAGGTTCTCTGTCGTAGCGATCGTTGCGCGAGCCTCTGGCAGGGCGGCGGGCTGTCGTTGGATCAGAATAGGGTCGGATATTCCATGGTGCAGCAAACTAACAGTCTTCGTCTTCGTACTTATCGTGGACCCAGTNCGCTGTGTATAGTTTAGTATGGTGCAGAGGGTGCTTTGTGGCTCAGGCAGCAACTGACTTGTTGATGTTTCTGGCGTCCTCTCTGGGGAATGACTGATTNNTCAATTTACGGTCAGCGGATCGAACGCAGGNGTTGGTGTTTGTCGACGCATGTTGATTGATGTCGGTCTATTGACTGAAGCACGAGGAAGGAAGGAGAACCTGCGCAGTCCAAGAGTCAGCACTCGATGATAGAACTGTCTATAGACCAGTATACAGACCTTNTTTAACGCCGTCTCTGGGAAATTCGCGCTCGCGTTCAGCGTAGTCTCGTCGAGGTCCACGGCCGCCATCGCGGCGGTCACGTCCTCCGCGGCGTCCACCACGGGTGCTCTNGCAACGTATTAGAAGAGGTCTGACATGGCAATGCAGGTCCCGACAAACCTGGCGCTCCTCGAGAATCTCGTCGAGGCTTCGGTCCATGTTGGTTGTCGGAGTGTGGGTAGTCAGGCGTTGGGTTGAAGGTAGATCGGAGGAAATTGACAGTCGGTCGACAGGGAACTGTGGATGAATAGGGCTGTCTCTTTTGAAAACGGAGCACAAATCTCGAATACTCGGGGTTTGGTGATGTGGTCTGGATCGAGTTGGTCGTCAGCGATGGTTTACAGGCAGCTCGTCAGACTTGCTTGGCACCGTTGGAACACTTTCACATGCACAACTCATCATCTGAACCGTCCACGATTGACCTGCCATTCTGAAAGACTCATCTCTAATGCTATCTGACACGAGTCACTCTTATGACAACACAAAGATATTGCCCAAGAGTGCTTTGCAGTCTGAAGAAAAGACCACATCTTGACAATGCTCGTCGCAACAATTCTCTACAACATTCTTTTGCACGAATTCTTTCCCTAGGGACATTCTTGATAACTTCAGATAGCCGTTAAAAGCAGCAATGTGTCAAAGAGCTTGCAAGAGTCCGCGTGGAGATCGCGAAAGTGGAACCGGCTAGAAAGCAGGCTCGCATGCTTGGATACGTCAGTGGTGTTACCAAGTACAGGGATGCGAGGTGCGTGAACAACAATCAATCGGAATATAACTCGCTTCCTTTCCTTGTTTCTTTGCTGTTACCTTTTGTGCACATTCGAACCTTTCCCATTTACCTATATCGACAATCATCCATCATGGCCCAAGAATTTCCTGTCGTCTTTACCATCGGCAACTCCTCGTCCAGACACGAGGTCATGCTCATCAGTGCTGGACTTGGCATCAAGAACCTGAGCGATCGCATTCAAGAGCTTGCCTCGTCATCCGTCAACTGCGCCGAAGCTCTGGCCAAATACAAGAAGAAGAGCGAATCCGAAAAGGTGACCGAGATCAAGGTCCGCTGGGCCGCCGAAGGAAGGGACAGCAAGCTCTTCCCCAAGACCACCATTCTTACTGGCGAGAATTGCAAGGCTGTCCTTTCCCTCATCAGCCTCCACGGAGGAAAGGATGTTCTGGAAGTCACTCTTGAATCACCTCCATCATCAACCGAGGACTCGAAGGATTCAAAGGAGTCGAAAGAGTAGGTACGGCACTCTTTTTGTGTCCGATCATTCTCTGGACAAGGACTGACCGTTACAAGTCTACCAGATCGTACCAAGTAAGGCTCTTTACGAATCACGAATATTTACCAATACCCATCCATGTCTGCTTGTGTTACTCCTACTATAATTTGTCGTTTCAGTGGATAGTTCCTGGTCCTCGGCTACGGAGAGATTTCCGATGGGGTTCATGCAATTTCAAGCATCCTCCCTACTCTGTACGTACGCTGCATGCATTCCCAAGCCACATGGGCTGTCGATAGTGGGTTGCCTCAGGGCTCGTCCAAATGCTTTGTTGTATGAAACGCGCTTCTTTGCCATTGGCTTGTCAGACCGCAACGTGATCTTCGAATCTTGATCGCCTTAATCGAGGCGCATCAATATCCAGCCGCTGTTGTATCACTGCCGAGCGTCCAATGAGGTCGGCGAGCAGCCGAGGGCTCGCTGGCCGAGTTGTTTGCCTGTGGTCGCTTCCATTTTGTTACTCATGGAATAAGGCGCTTCGAGATCTAACCGATGGTTAATCCCGTACAACCAACAGCATGTTGTTCTGTGTCGACGTGTATGTGGTCAGCGTCTTGCTAAGTACAACAGTTCACAAGGCGGTATCTCGGGAGGCTTCGATCTTGTACCACTTACCAAGCAGGACGCATTTATGGCTAACCTAACACGTTGCCGCTGTGCTGCTTGGCGAATAGTCTCGAAAATGTATGTGTTGGTAGTGTCTGGACTTTTGTGTTGTGTGCTACTGCGATGCGATGTATCTGTCGGCGACGGCGACGTCGTCTGCCAGAATATACTTCTCGAATGTCGACAGAGGATTTGCACGTGTGTCGAGAAGCCACTTGTGCCATCCCCAGAAAAGGCTCGCGTATGGAACCACGGTCTTGGGTCCCACCTTGGCCGCAGTTTCGAGTATGATACCGACAACTCGTGCTGTTCTAGCTAGCAACTGAAATAGTATGCAGGCAGGCAGTCATGAAATCATCCAGCTTCTGAGGCCAAAGCCAACCGAGACATCTATCGAAAGGCTGCACAGGTTGGTCAAGTAGATCAGAGTTCATGCGCGCTGACAACGTACCGGGTTGGCAGAACATGGGACCGTGCAAACAGCCGCGACTTTTTCCCCTGAAACAAGACAGCGATTGTGTTGAGACACGACTCCGTATGGACTTGCGAAAGGTCTCAGCCAGGAGTCGTCCAACTGTCAAGCACAAACGGTCATCACAAACAAATGATTGCTCATCTGAAAAGGAGAAAGATCCGGCGCACGATTCCATCTGACCATGTCCGTTCGGCCAACCAGAGCCAAGAGGGGGATAAAGTTCGTGGGATGCTGCCTCCGGAGCGATTTAGAGTTCATAAGCAGAATCGCAGTTGTGCTGAGTGTGCCTTCTGTGCAAGAGCAGCTGTAGAGCTGTCATGTCGGATGGATGCGGTGTATCGAGTTGCACAGGCTGAGGCTAGATGAGTGTCGAAGCTGTTGCAGGTTTTGGGTAGAAAGCAGGCTCTTGTGTGCCAATTGAGATGGACGAGGTGTCAATGATGGCGCGACAGGCGGTACACTAAGGCTTGCTAGTCTTACTCCCAGCCATTGCCGTGTTCGCAAGGATGTGAACTGCCTTATCGGCGCGCACTCTCCTCTCGACTCCACACTTCCCAGCCCTTCCTCCATCTCTCTCATCCTCCCCGACCGTCGCCGTCGCCGTGCTGCTTGCTCGCTCGCTTTCCCGACACCTCACGCCCGCCCACAGTCGGTCTTTTTCTCCTGACTGTCTTCGATCGGGATCGTCTGTCCGTCTAGCCTCGTGTCGCAGCACGCATCGGACGCAAACCGGCGCAGCGCAGCTCGGTCGCTTTCGGGAACGCGATCTCAACCTCGACCTGCCCCTCGAAGCTTCATCGCAACTCGGTCGCATCCACTGGCTCCCATTGTCCGTCTCGCATAGACCCTGGACTGTGATCGCATTCATCGCATTCTCATTGGCCCACTCGCATTAATTCTCTCAAATATCCAACATCGCACGCCCTCGCCCTGCTGACGTCCACTGACTCACCACCTTTCCGGCGAAATATATCGCATGCGCTGCTGTATTTATAGGCAATGGCCGACCAACGTTCAAAAAGATACAGTCCTCCAACTTCGAGGATGTCCACTTTGCCCAGCTTCGGGAGTCTCTCGCCCATAGGCCAGTCCAATGGCACAAGGAACCTAGGTCTCTTCACAAGCCCGGATACCCTTTCTCAACTGCCAGGCTTGTCGCCCACCATGGAGAAGCGTAACAACCACAGGAACTCGGAACCTTCAGAAACTCACGCCAAATGGATGATCCGCATTCAACGTCTGCCACGCAATTTCACCGAAGATGCTCTTCGAAGCATGCTCATCTTCGCAACGGATCTTGATGAAGCCAAGTTCGTACAACAATCCGCGTCCTCGAGCCCGGAAGACTATGGCTTCAAGAGCGCTCTCGCCATCTTCCACTCCGAGGCCGGTGCCATGGAAGCCAAGAGACATCTGCACGGAAAACCCCTGGACAACGGTATGACAACCATGATCGTCGAACTCATATCCAACCCGCAATCTGCATACAACGGTTCGAGGCGTAATACTGTTGACGGAACCGCTCTACGACAACAGAACACCTCTGGTGGGTCCAACAGCACGCATCCTTCAGAGAATCCTTCGAGTCGTCAGTCATCTCGCTTCACTAGTAGCTTCCAGCAGAACCTCGGCACGCAGGGACAGCAAAGTATTTCTTCACCTCTGGTATCTCCTAAGGTTTCTGCTGCCCATGCTTACGAATGGCCCGCTCCTGAGAGTAGCAGCAACAACCTTCAAGGCCTCNNTTTTTCTCCTCAGTCTCCCGTCGCCAATGCTTACAGTGATTACAATCGAATCTCGGGAAAATCCGTCATCAACGACGGAAACGATGACGACGAGACTGGCGAGCTCCTGAAAGACCCAGTTGGCTACGCTCAAAACGGCCCCAGGCCATCGAGTAGCTACAACAGTTTTGTTCCTCAGTTTGGCAATCTTTCTCTCGATACCAACAACAGTACCACGAACGGACACTCTCACCCTCACTACATGACTTCTCCTTCAGGCTCGAATTACGCTTCTCCCCAGTCGATAAGCTCACCTGCTTTACCAAATTCTTCTAGAGGGGCCCCTGTAGGCTCAAACGGGAACTACTCGAACAGAAACTTGAAGCACGATTACCCTCCTGCCAACCCTGCTGACCAGAATCCCCCTTGCAACACTCTTTACGTTGGAAACCTGCCGGTCAACACTAGTGAGGACGAGCTCAAATCTCTCTTCTCCAAAAGCAGGGGGTTCAAGCGACTTTGCTTCCGAACAAAATCAAATGGTCCCATGTGTTTCGTCGAGTTCGAGGACACTTCTTACGCGTCCCATGCCCTCCACGAGTTGTATGGCGTACAGCTGCACAACAGCTACAAGGGAGGTATCCGTGTCAGCTTCTCAAAAAACCCGTTGGGTGTCAGAAGCGACAACAGAAACCACTCGGCGATAGGTTCTCATCCAGGCCAATCTGGATACTCCAATGGTATGGCTGTTCCTCCTGGCTTCAGCACTGCATCAGGACCTCCTCCTGGACTCATGCCTCCTGGTGTCCACGGTAGTGTCCACAGTAGCGTCCACGGTCAGCAGCCACACGCGCCATCGCCCATGCAGAACAACACCAGCCGTGGTTACCCTCCTCCTCAGTACAGAGGTATCAACCCTCAAAACTATTCCCAGCAAGGCGCGAATGGCTACTCTCAGCCTCATCGCAATCTCCCATCCGGCCAATACGCATACCAACCAGCTTTCGGCAGCATGAACAGTTTCATGGACCATGGTCTCAACGGCAACTCCTATCCAAATGGCAACGGTCAAAACGCGCTCAACGGGCACAATGGAAGATGATGCGTCATATCCAGCCTATCAGTCATCGTCAACACACTCGATTCATCTTTCTGGCATCTTAATCCTTGGTTTCGTGGATTGCGGCGCTCCAGGCGTTACAGTCATAACCTCTCATTACACTCTGGGCATCAGGTTGGCGTTATCTTTTCCTGCTATACAAAGACACATTGGTATGATTCACGGCGCAAGCTGGAGGTTTGGTGGGAAAGTTGTTTTCTGCGTTTGCATCACGCATAAAAGATTCCCCACGAGCGACTTGAATTTTTCTACAGGGCAACGGGCTTGACTGGTCGCTTCACTTTTTGGTTCTCGACTGTTGGGCTCATGAGCCTTCTCTCATTTGGTGTTTTTACAATATCCCCTCATCACATGCTTTGTCGTGGATTTACTGCTTTCTTGTCTCGTGTGACGCTAATCGACAGAGTTACTGCTTTTGAAGGTGATAGGTCACCTTCTTTTGGCGTTGGAGTTTACTTGTTTGCCTCTACACATTTGGATCTTACAGAGTGTATGAGTTTGATCCCTATTCTCTTCTTCTTACAAGTCTTCACGGCCGAGCAACTCATACGTACACAATCAAGACAATCTTTAATGAGCTTCAGCAATGCATTTATGGAACGATGTTCTAGAATTTCACTTTGACCGACGATCTTGATGTGTTGATGTTTGAGCCCTCTGCCAAACTAGTAAACTAGCTGCAAGCTAATTAGATTGACAAGTCGCCCATGCATGTTCGTGATTGCAGCATCAGTAGATCGATTGTCGATCCAGTGATGTCTCTGAGATTGGCAGGAGGACAGGGTTGCAGTTCGGCTTTGAAGTGCCGACGTCACTCGCATCTTTCCACATTCGGCTTTCGAGGTTTCGAGTTGCGACAGAAAGAACGACCAACCCAAGAACATGCGACCAACACGATCGACACAATTGCTTTGCTCACGCCTGCTATCGCGGGACATTACTGTCGCGAGACAATGTAGTTTCCGGTATGCTGTCTCATGTACTCATCGCAGCTTCTTCCAGAGACTGACAATAGCTGCTCTCAGTCCTTCAGCTCTGGTCGCTGTCACAGCAAACAATACACCCAGCATCCGACACTTCAGCAATACACGTTCCACCCTCAAGAAAGGTGGCAAAGCAGCACGAGAAGCTTCACGCTCCGATTCGTCCGCATCCTCCTCATCTACCTCCGCAGCCGCAGCAGTAGGCTCAGAAGACCCTTTCGACTTTAGCGCTCTGGAGTCAGATATCAATGATGCCGTTGAAAAACTGAAGAGCGATCTTTCGCAGCTGAGACAAGGAGGAAGGTTCAATCCTCAAGTACTCGAGAGCTTGCGTGTGCAGTTGAAACAAGGAGGACCCGTGAAGCTTGGAGATCTAGCACAGGTGGTGCCCAAAGGAAGAGTTGTGCAGGTCGTGGTTGGCGAGCAGGAAGTACGTATTTCTCTCTTAAAACCCCCCCTCCTGCAGTATTCGAGAGAAGATCATACATACCAACATCCTTACCACCAGCATCTCAAATCAATCACCTCAAGCATCCAATCCGCAAACCTAAACCTCACACCCCAAGCCGACCCCACGGGCCAGAACCCTCTCCTCCTCAGCATCCCCATCCCGCCTCCCACCGCCGAATCCCGCAAACAAGCTGTTGCCGCAGCAGCAAAAGCAGGAGATGTGGCCAACAACTCTGTCAGGAATGCGAGACAAGGACAACAGAAAAAGCTTAGGGCTATGCAGTTGGCCAAGAGTGCAAGACCTGACGACTTGAAAAAGGCGGGCACGCAGATGGAAAAAGTTGTCGAGAGGGGTGTGCAGGAAGTCAAGAAGATTGTGGATGGGGCTAAGAGAGCTTTGGATGCTTAGGATGGACAAGACGAGGGCACATGTGGTGGACTGTAAGATGTTTGAGGTGATGTATACTATTCTTCTTGATGTTTCGACCGTCATGAAACGTCCTTGGTGCTCCGGGGTCTTCAAGGCATGGGAAATCATGCAAAACAAGCACCATACGACAACAATTCGACCATCTCGAAAATACAGCCCCTCGACACTATACCCGCCCAACCATCCTACACTTCAAACAAACCAAGCAAAAAGCCATGTTCGCTATACAGCTAGTCTGGGAATACACTCTCCTACCTCGAAGGACTTTTCAGGAGTTCCATCGCAAAGCGATATCTGTTGAGTGGTCTTACTGATTGAGCCAACTCGCCGAATGCTGTGAGAGGGTTGGTTCGAGGGGAATATGAGGTGTTGATGGTGAAAGGAGAGGCAGAGTGGAAAGGAGAGATTCCTTTCTGATTAGTATGTCACATGTGTCACTGCATCATCTGATGATAGATTTAATGCTATGTACATACAGCCATTATCATCAATATACCGGACACCGTCTCTTCCAGCCAAACATTCAGGGGTATAATAACAGCAAAACATCTGAACAAAAGCAATCCCTATGGCACTGTGAGCCTATTGTCTCGTAAAGCAAAAAAAAACCTCTTCATCGTCACAACAAAAGCAACGAATCATCCTCCGAGGCAGAACAAAGCAAGAAAGACCTGCTCTTAGACAGCAGCAATGGATCCCCATCTACTCATCGCATTCCTGACCACATCACCCAGATCCCGAACCAATTCACCTTCAGGCTCAAGCTTGAGCAAAGATTGACTGAGCAAAANAGTCCAGCGTTGCACATCACCTTCCACAAAGTTTCTCTTCAAGTCCGCTTCCGTGTCAAAGGCAGGTGCATTCCACGCCACGAATGTACCTTCCGGCTCAACACCCTGCAACTTCTCGTCCAAGTCATCAACTGTTGCTGACAGACTGGCAGTCCAACCTTGGGTTTGCGCTTCTATTGGCACCTTTTCGAGCGGCAGAGCATGAGACTTGATACGTCGCACTCGTTTGGATTCTGCTTCTCCGGTGCCACGGCGACAAGGTTGATGTTCGTATTCGGAACCACTTTCGTCTTCACTCGCTCTGCCATTACCAGAGGTTGCTTGCAATGCNNACGTTCATCTGTTGTTCTGCGACGTCTAGGTTTTGGTGCTGGTGCTGGGGCTGGCCGTGTCGGNCTCGATAAATTGTGTGCTGGCGAGGTCAAGTTCACTAGCCTTGACGAACCCCTTAGGCTGTGTCTCACGACGGCTCGCAATCGGTGACACGTTTTCGACGTCTAGTTTTGCTGGAACATCGGCTGCTGGAGTAGTGGACTGCTGTTCTCGTCCTCGCCCAAGGAAATCGCGAATGTCTTTATTGTTGGGAGGAGGTGTAGCACTTGAAGAATGTGGTTCTCCACTTGGAACCAAGCCCGTGCCATTTTGCTGTTGGGATCGTCCTTTGCGTGCAAACTGCCTCGACGTTTGCGAGTCCGGAAAGTGAAACCACGCGTCACGTTCAGGGTCGACTGGTGATACGAAGGGCCTGTTTACAAACTGGCGTTGCTGCTGTTTCGGTGGACTCCGTCTTCTCGGTGCCGCTTCCGGTATCATATCCAGCGGGGTGCCTTCTGAGGGGTGTTGAAGAGGTAGAATCATACGACTAGGCGCTGGAGAGAATTCGGAAGCTTCAACGCTGTTTCGCATTGGCGACATGTGGTATATTGGAGGAGGAAGACTAAACGGACCTATGATCCGGTGAGGACCAACACTCTCGGGTTCTTCTGATGCAGCGAACATGGGTGATGACTGTCTAGGTGTTGGTAATGCGGGTGTGTCTTGCTGTGGGCGACGTGCTTCGAAAGCAGGTGAACTTGCTTCGGGTGTAGAACTTGACGCTTGTTTGGCCGGAGTCAAGAGCTGTATATTAAGGTTGTTCCTCTTGTTACTGTAGGCGTTCATCTTGGCAGTCACCCAAGGGTTTGACACTGCGGCACTTCTGATCGAGTCTGGTTGCTCGTCTTCCTCGGTGGCCTCATCCCTGGGCTGATCTACCGAATCCATGAATAGAGTGAGATCGTCCTCATCAAGATCATACATATTGCTCTTTAGCTCGATTCTGCTTGACCTTGATCCAGGTGCTGGCGTCGTAAAATACTCGCGGGTTTTGCCAGTGGGCTCATCAGTAGCCATGGGTTCTCCAGGTTCATCCTTCTCTGGATATGTTATCAACATCAATCTTCTGACAACCTCCACAACTTTGTCGACGTCGCCAAATAGAACATCATCTTTTGCTGGCTCGATGTTGGCATCGTAGCTGCCAGGCGGACAAGAAAGCGACAAATATAGAAAGGGGTCTTTGGCATCTCCTAGCGGTGAAGATTCTTTTAGGCTTTCCTTGTAGATTTTGACAAGCTGTCTGGATATGCCTCGGGACGAGGTGAGAGGTCGATCGTTAACCGAGACGTACTGTCCCAAGCCACTGATTTTCGGGGCATGTGCATCAGAGCGTGGAAGAAATGCTCGTATCGTGAAGCCTTCGTACTCCAGCTCAGCCCAAGTACATTGAGAAGCACAAGGCTTTCCTACAACCTTGAAAGCTGTATCCTCGATTCCGCTGCCGATCTTGGGTGCATAGGTCCAGTTGTCCTTGTCGTTCTTGGCCTTTATGACCTTCAATGATAGCCTAGTGGCTGGTCTGGCGAAGGCATACGACTGCAATAACTGCTTGATCTTTGTCAAGGTCTTGGGTGCGGCTCTCAGAGTGACTTGCTTGCGGACTGGTTGGTTCTTCANAAAGTTGGCTATGCGAACTGTGGTTCCGGGTGGATGAGTGGCACGGTCCTGGACTGGATCGCCGGTCTGACATATCTTGATAGCAGTAGCAATACTCTCGCCTTCAACTCTTGTAGTGATGGTCAATTCACCACTCATCTCCAATGCACTGCTCAAGGCTTCACCTCGAAAGCCGAGATAGGTGGAACCTACGAGGGCAAGATCTTNTTCATCCTTGAGTTTGCTCGTGCAGTAAGGCTTGGCTACAAGTGGTCTATCGGTGGGAGCAATCCCATGGCCATTGTCTTTAACCTGGATCACGTCGAGTGTATTGGCCGAGATCTCGATAGTGATATTAGATGCTCGCGCGTCGAGGGCGTTATCGATAAGTTCTTTGACAACAGAGACAGGATCTGTCAAGGCCTGGCCAGATCGTATGGTGCGAACAGCCGTCTGTGGGAGAGCATGTATCGACATTGTCATAAGAATTCCATACCTCTTCCCTCCCGAGTATAAGAAGACGACAGTGTGGCAAGGAAGACGCGTAGGAACGCGAGATGATAGGGAACATATGACTTTCATTATCCGACGCAAGCCAAGCCGCTTGCACATGCCCTCAGTCACGACCTCATAGTTGTGCAGACATCGAAACACATTCTTGTAAAATCCGGGCTCCTTCGAGAATCGAGCGCCTGAACTGGTAGTAAACGATTTGCTACCCACTAAGCATGGCTGTAGTTCTTATTTGGTTGGCACATCAATTTCGGTGAAGAGATCTGGATGCCGGAGGAGACAGCTCCTTCCATAACTCCGTCAACTCCGGTCACGTCATTCGCTCAGCCACGAGGGTTGATAAACAACGACTCTACCCACACCAACATCCATCGTCTTTAAAAGCTTTCTCCTATCGTTCCTTCGCTCTACTGAAATACCTATCACATACTTCCCAAAGAAAATCTCGGTCTAATAGCTTCGGTCCGGGATTTCGAATCTGGCGGTCCCCTATCAGAGCAAGCTCAAGCTCGCGTTGCACGAAGAACAAAACGGAGAATAGCCAAGGGCGAACGCAAACGAATAGCAAAGATCAACAAAGCCAACGTCGACTTCTATTACCTTCAATATCCCTTTGAGAAGCCACTTCTCGCTCGTTTGACAGGTAATCTCTTGGGTTATCCGAAGCAGCCTCCATTAAAGTCAGAGCATCCTGCTGCCCTGCCAACACCTTCCCTTTCATCTGCTTCTGGTACTCTTTCTCGAAGTCCAAGCGCTCCAAGCAATCTCTCAAGTTCAGCTAGTCGTCCAGCAAAACCTGACATGGCTCTTGCTCCCAAGTTTGCCGGACAGGCTCTTTCAGGTAGCCTCGGGTCCAATCACACCCTGGAACTATGTATGTGGCTCTGAGAACGATGTACCACTCACCCGTTGCTAACGCGAAGTGAAGTCCTTGACTACGTGTGTCCCTTCAGTAAGAAGCAGTTTGACACTTTCTATCGCGATGTCGCTCCCATCATTGAGCAAAAGTACTCCAACAACCTGCGAGTCATCTTCCGCCAGCAGATCCAGCCATGGCACCCCTCGTCCACGCTGGTCCACGAAGCAGCTGTTGCAGTCCTGAGAACCGATCCTTCCAAGTTCTGGCCATTCTCCGCTGCTCTTTTCGACAAGCAGACCGACTACTTCGACGTCAACGTCGTCAATGAGACCAGAAATCAGACTTACAAGCGCCTCGCCAAGCTTGCTGCTGCTGTCGGTCTGGACGAGAGCAAGATCTATAACCAACTCGAGATTTCCGACAAGCCTGGTCCGGATGGAAGTTTGAACTCGGGCAATCAGGTGACTAACGATCTCAAATTGCTCATCAAGGCTGGTCGCTTGGTTGGTGTCCACGTCTCGCCCACCGTTATGTTCAATGTAGGCACTCAACAGCATTATGACGAGGATGCATATACTGATATCCATCGTAGNGGCCTCAACGAGCCAAGCATCTCTAGCAGCTTCACAAAGAAGGATTGGGAGGAGTGGCTTCAGAAGAATGTCGTCTGACTCGAACATGCGAAACTCTAATATGTTTCGGTACTACCCAACTCGTAGCCTGTTCAACTCGAAACCTCTTGCCTAACGTTCTATCGTGTCTCATGATTTGGCGAAAGTGGGTATCCCCGACGTGTCTGTACATGAAAAACACCACGTATTACTTCTAGTCTCCAAGCAATGGTGATTGCGAGCCCATCAAACAAAAACGGTACTTGCAGATCAAAGATTTCCACCATCAAATAACATGCAAAATTGTCGCATCGTGAATTGACAAAAGCATCTACAGCCTTTTGGTGTCATCAAAAACAATCTGTCTCGTCTCGATACCTTCTCTGATACCAGTGCTAGTTTACGTTCCCTTTTACTCAAGCTTCTGTTGAAAACAACAGATACCACAACTTTCAATTTTTTTTTTTGGTGATCTCGAGGATAAATGTTAGAGCTCTCCAGAAAACCTGTGGTGACTTATAAAGACACCTGTAGTCAAATCCAGAATCGGCTTCACTCGAGATTGTCATGACTTCCTTCCTACACTGAAGACTAGTGCTATAGTAAGCTGTAGAAACTCACAATTGCTTAACGAATCAGACGAGTGACCATGAAGATGGCCCTGAGTCGATATATCTCCTTAAACATTGCTTTGGGTTGGAAGAAGATACTGCATACTTATCAGGTTTGGAGGGGTACGGGCAAATGATAGGGTGATTATTCAAGAGGCAGAGAGGGATGTCACGTTCCAGACTTTCCAATAACAGTCAAATAGGAAGAAAATGATTTGTGATTACTAGAGAGTATAAGTCATGCTGTATGGACATCACGCCTCTTTCGGCGTGGTCAAAGCAACGGTGTCCTCGTGAAAGTTATGTCTGCATCCTCGATATCAATGCGTGTTATCTCGCAATTTTGTACAATCTTTAGACAGTCTGCTTGGGAGCAACCTCATGAGTCTCAGGCTTCTCCTCTTCGCTGAGCTTCTTCTCAAGATCCTCTCCTCTCTCCAAGCGAGATGTGGCCGAGGTGGATGCGCGGGTCTTCCAGGCAGGTGTTCCGATGTAACGGATACCGTTGGGGTCCTCGAACATAGCGGTGACTTCTTCAAGCGGTTTACCGGCTGTTTCGGGGAAGCAGAAGAAGACGTGGAGCCACATAGCGACGCAGAAGACACCGAAGACGATGTAGGTGTGCCATCTGATGTTGATGAAGGCGGGTGGGACGAAGTAGCCTGAAAAAGAGCGTGTCAGCATATTCTCTCAAGTGAGGTAAAGGACTAGAGGCTACCTAAAGCGAAGTTGAATGCCCAGTTCGAAGAGGTTGCGAGAGCTGTTGCCTTTCCTCTGACGCGGTTGGGGAAGATTTCTGAAGGATAAATCCAGGAGACCTAAAGTTGAAATTAGCGGCTATTCTTGGAATGGCGAGACGGCGGTACGTACAGGACCCCAAGTAGGTGCATAGGACGCAACAAAGAGGTATGAGCAAGCAATAACAGCCTTAGAAGCTGCGCCTGTGACTTCAGTGGATGCCTCAGGCGTGTTGCCTCCAACACCTCCAGGACCAGGGTAAGTACCATATGCACCGAGGATGCCGGCATTGGCGAACAACCACAGAGCCATGAAGGCTGCCCCGATCAGAAGTAGAGGACGACGGCCCACGCGGTCGACCAGAAGAAGTCCAGGAACAGTCATGACGACGTTGATGACATACTGGATGGATGAGGAGACGAGAAGGTTGTTTCCTGACAGGCCTGCCATCTGGAACACATAGGTAATATAATACATCCTATAGCCAAGAGCGCTATAGTTAGCATGGTGGTGGTGTAAGGGGTATTTGGGACATGTTGCGGGTATTGGGGGCGTTTTCGAGAAAGAAAAATTGGGCAGGCAGGCACACGGAGATTTTTGTGACTTACATGACATTCATGCCGGTGAGCTGGGACCAGATTTGCATGAATATGCCGATGATGGTTCTGTTGAGCATACGAGGACGGAAGAGCTCAAGGTAAGAGGCGTTTTTAGCTTCGGACTCGATTCTGATCCATTCCTTGATCGCGTTGAACTCGTGAAGAACGAAGGGGCTGTCTGGATCGCCGTGACCATGAGTGAGAGCAAGGACTGCACGGGTCTCCTCCCAACGGTCCTTGGACGCCAGCCAGCGAGGAGACTCGGGTAGGAAGATCATGCCGAAGAAGAGCAAGATGGCGGGAATCATCTGGAGAGCCCAAGGAGCGCGGAAGGCACCAGTGCCAGTAATGAAGGAGCAACCGTATGAAATATAAAACTATTTGAGAGGCGGGTCAGCATGCTGATGAACAAGGGGCGGAACATCGGCTCTCGGAATGTCAAAGATTGTTATAGTGTAGTTGTAGAACTGCACGATGCTTCTCATAACAGAGCGAGATCCACAGAGAGGATGCTATCCTCAGGCATCTCCGTGGACATTGCTTGCTTCCGGAAAGCATTGTGCATTTCTAAAACTCGATTTTGAGCGATATAGCAGCTGAGGATGTCGATTCGTGCTATTGGTACCATTGTAGACGTACCATGATCATGATTCTATAGTGGTTCAGTAGTCATCCATGCCAGAAAAAATATTGGACTTACCCCCAAGTAATCGCCCATTGCTGGGCGCCGACGAGCTTTCCTCTCTTGCTTGGTGGAGCGATCTCAGAGATGTAGACTGGCACTTGAGCGGAGCAGATGCCGACACAGAAGCCGTTGATTATACGACCGACGATGAGCATAGCGATGTTCTGAGAGGCGCAGACGATGATGCAACCGATGACCCAGATGACGGCTCCGGTTTGGATGGCGATCTTGCCTATGAAAATGATCAGAGATAGTTGTAATCAGGCTTGATGAGTGACACTTACGACCGAGGCGATCAGAGAGGTAGCCAGAGCAAAGGGCAGCGAGCCATGATCCACCGGCCATGGAGGCAGTGATTCCACCCTGAACGTCGGCCTTGGGACCAATGCACTGGCCGGCAGCGTTCAATCCTTGCTGGTTGAAGAAACATTTGTATGGCTGGCAACATGTAAGCATCAGATCATAGTATGAAGAGATTGATATACCTGAGTAGCGATGATGGCACTCATCGACGAGATGTCAAATCCGAAGAGACCGCCACCAATAACTGCAATAGCAGCGATGAGGTTGACATTTCCGAATTGTTTCACCATCTTGTCGCTTTGCCCTCAATGGCGAGAGGGGTTCAGGTTTTGGTTAGTAGTTGTTGTTGTGAAATAGGTTACTAGTGAGAAGCACGGAAGAACGAAAAAACACGCAGTCGGAAGAGCAGGAAGTCTCAATATATACGATCTGAGGCAAGAGCATCCCACTTTCCTTCACTTTAAGGTCGCAAGCACGAAAAGTGAGCCAACCGGCGCACATGACAACAACCCACGTCGCCCGGAGTAACTAGCATGCTGTGGAATGCCGTGAGCAGATGGGTACTCGGGATCCTTCAATCTACACCTCGTGTTTTTATTGGATAGTCGCACCAACAACATCGTTGCGAGAGGTTGCATCCAAGTGTCGATCTCTCTTTTCCAGTTTTTTCTCCATGGCACAGGTCTTCGTATGCCCCACGACCCACCTTCCTCCACGCTGCTGTCTCCAGTTCTCCCGACTTTCTCCAGCTCTGTATTCGGTCCTTCTGTGGATAATGCCAGGCTTCGGAAGATTTGACGGTGAGGGCGCGACTTCAAGGCCTGCGACAGCAACGTGATGGAGTTGTTGTTGCCGTACTGGGCTCACACGACCAGGCACATCGTGACGCCTTCCTGTCCAGTGTCTTCAGATCAAGCCACCAAGAGCGGCCAAGATCTTGCCGTTTGGTAGAAAAGCTTCACGGTCGCACAAGAGCTTCGATATAGCGATGGACGTCTGCAAAAACTCGTGGTGATGCGGTTAAAGTCAAGCCAACCACGCGAGAGGCGCTTGTCAGGGCTGTTTGGTGGCTTGCGCCGAGCAACAAACACGTCCCGGCTTCCGAGATCCTTCTCGATGCCATGCACAACGTTCAAACTTTGTTACTCTTATAGAGGTACCATTCGCTTCCCGTAGGATCTTAAGTCCGCCGCGTACCTACTCTATGTATGTAGACGGCCCCTCATTTATCTCTCGGACAAGAAAGACCCGAGTCATATCTGACAAAGCATGTGAGTCTGTCTTGAGCGATCGCCGCGAATTTGGACATGGTCTGCCCTATCCACGAACCACCGGCCATGCGAACCGGAAAAATTGCTCCATCTTACTCCATGGGGCCATCTCTTAAAGACCCACTCACACCGTCTGTATAATCTCCTGCGAGACCCGAGAACATCCATCATAACCGAGGGTGAAATGTCTCGTGTGAAGATCCTGCATTATACGAGAGTAGAAAGGGCAGTATCATTTCTTACTTGACGATCGATAGGATAATGCTAGTAAATGGCTCAACGAAAATTACATCAATCGACTACAGCCTACAAATACCCCCTTACACCACCACCATGCTAAGTACAGCACTCTTGGCTATAGGGTGTACTATACCTAGATGTTCCAAGTGGCAGGTTATCAGCAAACAACCTTCTCATCTCCTCATCCATCCAGTATGTCATCAACGTCTTCATGACTGTTCCTGGTGAGCTGCCTCTCCTCGTCAGCATACTACGCCAACGCCGCCCTCTGCCGCTGTCTAGCCCTCATCTGCTGCTGCCTCTGCTTTCTGCCTCTCCTCGCTTTGGCAAGATGGAATCTCGCCGCCCAGGTCTTGACTGTCCTATAGCCAACACCGCCTCCAATCAAGGCCATGAACACGATTGTCGTGGGTACGGCAATGTACCAGAAGAAGGAATCCGAGTGCTTGATGCCGGCAAAGTGTTCGAAGTTCATGCCAAAGTATCCGCAGAGGAAGGTCAGCGGTGCGAAAAAGACCGTTACGAGGGCGATGATGGACATTGTTGTGTTTGTACGGGCACCTGCGAGATTGTCAGTCACGCTGGTCATTGCGAATCGTGATGTGCAGAACTTACCGATGGTGTTAAACATCAGAGATGACAAGTTGTTGGCGGAAGCATCCATTTGTTCAAGCGATTGAATGATGGTAATGCAATGATCGAGCACATCTCCCAAGTAAACATGAGCCACATGACTCATAACCACACTCGTAGGCGTTTGTGTATAATATCTCTTCGGCTGTGGTCGTCGATGTTCGTNTCTTATCTTTTTCCGCGCCGGTAGCTCCGAAGGGAATGCGCCCTCAAGAAAAGGCTCTTGAGATTTATGATCTCGAAGCGAGTTGACGAGGTTGATGATGGGTTTGAACAGATTCTGTAACATATCAATCTCTTCGGTAAAGATATGCAGGGCTTTGGAGGTGCTCATGGATGGGTTGGTTAGCACGTCGATTTGCAGGTCTTTTCGTGCTTTGTTGTAGGCTTCTTTGACGGGGATGGCCAAGTCGACGATGGCGTCAATGATGGCTTGGAGTACTAACGATGCATCTGCGCTGCGGCGCAACATTGTGGCGGGACTGTTGAGTCGTTCCAAGATGGGCTCCTCGATATCAGCGCCAGAGTGTTCGAAGAATGAGATGACTGTATTGTCGGCAAGCAAGAATATCGCGACTTGCTCCACGCTGACGACGAGATTTTCCTCAAACAGTGCAGAGTGATTTTCCATGAAGAGAGTGTGCTCAGGGTTCTGCATGCTTTCATAGCGGTGTAGTGTCCTTATGTTTTGTAGCGGTGCACCATCTGCTGTCGAACTGTGTGCTCGGATCATATCTCCCAGTTTGTCCAGACCTTCAGGATCGTTATATTTCGGCAGGGTATGGTCAGGCTGCTTGCGCTTCGACTTCTTGAAAGGCTTCTTCCAGAAAGGCACACGTTCGCGTTCTGGATAATGGTCATGCGTTCCGTCAATATCATCATATGAGATTGGCTTGTCATCGTCGGAACAATCGCAGTCCTCCGAGTCAGAATGCGAATGTATCCGGACGAGCTTTTGCAATGTCAACACCACAAAGGCATGATCAGAGTACCAATCACACTTTGTGCGAGTGCGTGTGTGGATCAAATCCTCGATAGCCAATCTATGCAGTCCATAGTGCTGTCCAAGAATCTTGATAACATCCCAACTCAATCCATTAACCGAAATCCAGCGGCATGGCAATTGAGGCGGTCGCTGCTCAGACAAAACCTCTTCCAGAGAAGCGTTGTCAACCTGCACAGTCTCCAGATGATCCGCACTGAAATCTGCAACCAGAATGTCGCATCGCGCGCGCAATGCTTCCAGATGAGGGCTCACCCTCTCAGCATCGGTGTCAATTCCAGGCTCGGCTCCCGGTTGCCAGTTCATTCCATTGGGCTCACTAGATTCGTGATAGGTTTTGACCGTATTGGATCTGGACAATCGTCTTTGGCGAGCCGTGGTATCGTTCGACGCGAACGACATCCCCGATGCGACACTGCCAAACCGCGGGCGACCAGGAAGAATCTCCGGACTACGGGGAGAGGCCATAGAACTCCGTCCTACAGGTCCTTGGTCCTGGAAAGCGACTCTGTCATGCCTGTCCGGCGATTGGAAATCTCTGACTGTAGTGCCGTCCATCCTGGCCTCGTGCGCGAATTACGGAACGTGGAAGTGTTATTTTGCTGACTGACTATGGCGACGACATTTGGAGACAAGATGGTGAGGCTAGAAGCTTGGTGGACAGTCGCGACATCAAAAAATGTTTTTCGGCTACGAGCAATTTATATTGCCAAGATAAAACAAGAGTTGGATGCAGGAGGAAGATGCTTGGACGGGAGACGCAAGGAACGGGGATGTCACTGGTCGGCGGTCGCTCACGATCGCTGGCAGGAGGGACGTTGAAATTGTGGGGCAATTTCATGATGAAATTTGGTGACATCGATACGAGTACCTATCGTGCGTAGCAGGAGGATCGTCCAGAGCTGAAAATTAGAAGGGAAACATCAGAGTTGGTTGTATTAAGAGCTTATTTAGAAGTAAAGGTAGAGCTGCATGCTGGAGCGGCCTGAAATCGAATCCTACGGAGGACAACCCGAGGTACGAGCAAACTGGCCATGTCGAGGCAGCAAAACGACCTCACACCACTGATTAACATCGAATCTGTACATAGACTTAGGTATTGGTGTATTATAGATATATGTGCTATATTCACACCGCAAGCACCGGCAGATAAACGCAGTCAGTGCACAAGGAAATGAGACGAAGCCCCTGGTCATAGAGTGCTTGAGACCCTCCCATTATGCAGAATAGAAACGCCTGTAGGAGAACGAATGGCATGAGAGAAACGAAAAAATCAACAATGTCCAAAGGGGTGTTTAACAAGCACAGCCGTCACGCTCGTTGTCGAGGTTGATGGGGATCGTTTCGGGGTAGTCTGCGTTGAAATCACCGCTCTCTTCTTGGGCCAGAGCATTGCGGGCAATCACNNTGGGATGTGTCAGTACTAAACAAATTATCAGACATGGTGAGGAAGCTTGGTTACCTTCGAAGGCCTGCTCGACGTTGATGGCCTCCTTGGCACTAGTCTCGAAGTATGGGATACCACCCTTGGACTGGCAGAATGCCATGGCACGTTTCGATGAGACNNCTTCGTGTCACGGTCAGCTCGCTGTCAACTAATAGTCAGGTCACATAGTACGAACCATGCGCTTGCTCTCCTCCACATCCACCTTGTTGCCGAGCACGANCCTGCTATCTGTTAGTGTTGCTCTCAATCAAGTCTTGCTCACAGTGGCATGTCTTACAAAGGGGAAGCTCTCAGGATCCATGGGGCTGGCTTGGATGAGGAATTCGTCTCTCCAGCTGTCGAGGGTGTCGAAACTCTTCGAGTTGTTTACGTCGTAGACGAGCACGCAGCAGTCGGCACCACGGTAGAAGGCAACACCGAGCGATTGGAATCTCTCCTGACCAGCAGTATCCCAGAGCTAGCGATTGTGTCAGATGTACTGGATCAGGCAATCTTCTTGAAGAAGGGGCATGCGCACCTGCATGGTGACTAGTCGGTCGTCGACCAGCACCTCTTNTGTGAGAAAGTCTGCGCCGATGGTGGCTTTGTAACTAGCACTGAACTTCTTGTTGACCTAAGAGTAACACGTTCATCAGTCTTGTTGTCCTTGCTCTTGTTCCTGTTGCTCGGTATGCTCGATGGAGGGGTAGCGTACATATTGGTTCATCAAACTGGTCTTGCCGACACCGCTATCGCCGAGGATAATGACCTATTGGCTGTCAGATCATGACGCGACACAAGATCCGCTGCGTCAATGGGAGCAGACCTTCAAGAGCTTCTTGCGCGAGGACATGTTGTGGGATGGGGCGCCTGCCGCGAGAGGTGGTGCTAGAGATCGTCGTGCTTTGGGCTCGTGGCGGCGACGAGCTGTGGTTTTGGACAGGCTTTTGAGCAGACGAGCGCGTAATGAAAGGCGGTGAACGATTCGATAAGGTGTTGTTGTTTATCAGGATGAGGTGGTCACGGCGGCCGAGGTCTCAAAGCCTTGTCCATGACGATGCCGCACGGGACCAAGCCTCCAATCCTTCTATCTCGCTTTGTTTATGGTACGACCCTGTCTGGTCACTTGTTCTTCTCTCACACTCGACATCCAAGACATATCTCACCTACAATACACGATATCAGACATTTCACATACATAGATAACTGCGACTATACTTACAATTGTTGCGGTCTTGTCCTTGGTTGACCTGTTGGTATGTGAATTAGAGCCAAGCTTCATCGTTCAACCTGTATTTCTAAATCACGACCCTATGTCAATACTCAAGGTTACATTGATGGTCAACCTGAAATGCATAGTAGTGTCTAACCTGGAATATGCTTCATCCTCCCCGCTCGCAAGAATTGTAACACGTGTAGACATAGGGATTCGCAAATAAGACCATAGTCATGCAAGTACCGTCTCTCCTTGGACACCGCTCCCTCCTCGAAGCTGTTGTGCGTTTCTTCGGTCACATTGTGTTTGCACGCAAGAGGGGTGAGGATTTGTAAAAGGTAAGTAGCATTTGATGTGTGCGTGTGTATGCGTGCTGTGCATGTAGTCTGGTAAAGCAAAATGAGAGACGACCAGCTCAAAAAACATGTAAAAAGGAACGCTCGCTTGCCCAAGAGTATCTTGCGGATGTGTGTGGTTGAAAAACAAAACGCCCCTGGTCCCAACATGTACTCCAAAATACCCACCAGTTATGCGATGAAAAACAGAAACATACGAAATTGGCCAGATGACCTGACCATGAAGTGTAAGCTCAGCGCTTCCGCTTCTTGGTTCTCAGAAATGGCAGGTACGACGACATCAACGCTTCCTTTTCTTGTTCTTGTCAGGAAGGGCAGGTGCGAGGAACTCACCCGTACCACCAGCTGCAACAATGGGGACAGCATCATAAGCGTCATAAGCAAGGTCGGACTTCTTGACCGGCACACCCATGTGACGACCATATCGTCCTTTGCGGCCATTACCCTCATCTTCGCTGACGCAGCCTTCGATACCGATACCGGCATCCTTGCAGCGTCCACAAGGTCGCTGACGATCGCAACCCTTCTTGCTCTTGCGGCATCTCTGGCAACGAGGCTTAGTCGATAGATCTTCCTCGTCAACGCCGAGCTGATGCTGGAAGTTGATGGTAGAAGCAGCCGACGTCTTACGAGACTGCGAGGGAAGAGAGGCTGGCGACATGGGAACCTTGGTAGAAGAGGTCGAGTTAGACTTTGGCTTGGACTTGACAGGGCCAGGTGCGCGGCTCTTGGTGGACTTGGTGAAGCCATTGACAGAGGTGTCCTTGCCATTAGGCATACCCTTTGCCTTGGACATGGCACGGGCGACATGAACACCATTCTCGTCATACTCTGGAACGTCGCTGTCAACCTCAGAGTAATCGTCTCCACTGGACTGAATGCTGTCCGTGCTTGGAAGAACATCGTCAAGCACGCGCTGCTTCTTTCTGCGCGGGCCAGCGACATGCGAGAGGGGCTGCTGAGGCTTAGAGACTTCGTCATCGACAGCGTCGCTTTCCTCGCCAGCCGAGGAAGCGGCATCTGCCTTGCCGCTCAGGCCGTCGTCCATGGTCGAGGTCGAGGTACGGCCATGGGAGAAGTTGGAAGCGTCACCAAGGCGCATGAGCTGCAGAGCGACGTCTTCATCAGAGATGACGCTTGCGTTGGTGGGCTCTGGGGTTGGCAGAATAGCGCCACCTCCAACAGACGAACGGGGTTGGAAGGTGGGTACAGGACGACTGCGGAAGGTCGTGTTGTTGTACGGTGTCTGAATGTTGCTATAGTATCCAGTATAGCTCCGAGGCGATGGGAGGGGCTGCTGGTAGGTGACATTGCGTTGGTTGGACCAGGCGAAAGGAGACGCAATAATGTCGCCATTAGCAGCAGGGCGTCGCTGAGGGGAGATGGACGAAATCGAGTTCGCCGCTGGCACCTGAGGAGGCACGAAAAGAGGAAGTTCNNCTGGGATGAGGTTAGACCAAACACAGGACCACAGCTGAGCCCTAGCGCATACCGAGCTGTCAAACTTAGCCCGCTTCCTCCTGCCGCCCTCGACAATGTTCTCGACGCTGATTTCGGCGCTCGCATGAGGCTCGATCTTGGAGCGACGGCTGTGCGCGCCATCACTGTCATAATCAGTGTCACCAGCATACATGTCATCGTACAAGCTCTCTTTGTCCTTGGGTCGGAAACCGCTGCGAGACTGTGGCTTGGACATGCTGCGATGACTGCGGTTTGACTGGGGAGAGAGGCTTCGGCCAGGAGCAGCGCGCGAGGCAGGGCGAGAGTTGCGCGATGGTGGGCGCATGTCGATTGGAGCCGCCAACTTGGGCTTGCGAGGCGACGTCGTAGCTGATCGCGATTGCATCTGGCTAGTAGCTGCTGCCACGGCCGGGTCAGGAGCAGTCATACGTACGTAGACGACCATGTTGTGCTCGAAATTCTCAAAGGTTGCGATCAGGATGCGCCCTTCCTTGTCTTGGAAGCTGACACCTGGGCCCTCGTACAAACCATAGAAGTTGCGCACTGTTGTAATGATCGAGTCGGTAGTATCATGAGGCGAGATCATGACGCGCATGGGTAGGCGAGCGCGGTGCTCGCGGTTATGGCCTTCGGGTAGGAGAAGTTCAAATGTGACATGCTTTTGCTGCTTGGTACGCGAGGGGCGAGGAGGGTCAGCATATGCCCTCGGAGCAGCATCAGCTGCCCCATCGTACATATGATTGTGAAATTGGAGTGTTTGCGATGGCAGGGAATGTCGAGTCGAGTGCTGACGGCTCGACGGTCTACCCTCGCTGGCGGCGGTAGCCCGAGGTCCATCTCTTGCCAAGAGGTCACCGAGATCCATGACTATGGCTTCTGACGGCTGTTGTGGGCTATGTAGTTGTAGGTAGGACCCTTGCTAGTACTGGGAGAGGCTTGTGGGAGGATATGCGAGTTTCGTGGTGGTGACGTTGCCGTCGGCGCAACGGGAGTAGAGGGTTGTCGAAGAGCTGGAATGGTCATCTGGTTAGCGCTTGATGTCTCGATTGGCCCTGAATATGAGCGAAGTAGAAGGGATGGTGCATCACGACGTTAGATAGTGGTTATGTTCAGACATTGATGGCGGTTGGGACTGGGCGGGCGCTGGGGAGCCGCCTTGGAAGAGGGTGGACGAACCGATTCGAGCGCTTTCAGCAAGCAACCACTGTCGCTGCTGTTCAGCCTGCTATCAGGCACCGCTTGCGATCCTTTGTGTGTGTCTTGTAGACAGGATACCCGTGCGGTATGTAGACGCTGGAGCGCTCACCCGAAGAGTGGTGGTGGGCGGTGGTGAAGAGCCGGGATCGCAACGAGCAATGTCCGATGACTCGAAAGATGAGAGCGCAACAAGATGCGGAATGTGAAAGATACGATGAGATGACAGAAGGCAAGCGGACTTGGGACTGAAGAAGAAGGTTGTAGAGGTGGGGGAAGTCGTCCTGGAGCGCAGAACGAAAGCTACGAGTACTGGGTTGTCCCTCTCAGCCCAGGCGGAGAATCCGGCCCACTAACCACATCACGCCCAATTCAGCATGCGAAACACCTCTTGTTTCCCTTTTACAATTGACATCGCTGCGATCGCATTGAACACAGAGTCCTACTCCAACTCGAATTCTGTTCAGAAATGCTCATCTGGCTGCCCTGGCCATCTATCCGGTCCCTCAGCCGCAATCCGTGTGCCTCCCACTATCAGCATGCCACTATCGAGCCTGCTCTGTTGAGAGACGCATATCTACGCAGTCTGCCCTGCACATGCACATCGTACCTCAACTGACTACATTGCATGCACAATCCTGCCTGTCTATAGGTTCGTCCACGGCGCTGCTCTGTGGGCGGCTTGTGGAAGCCAATGAGGCGTTGCGCTTGCCCACGTCTAGTTCCGCTTGTGCCATATAAGAGCGGTGTCTGACTCTTGGACGCTCAAATCGCCCTGTTCTGTCATGTCTGTCTGCCAGCTTTGTCAAACCGCGTGCTTGTATCCGAGTCCGTCACCCAACCTGTGCTACGCAAGCGCATACCAGTATCCCCCAAGCTGTGTATGCGCAATGCACCCGTACACCGATACAATGACCTCAAGGCCCATTTCATATAGACGCGCATAGCACAAGCATATAGCGCTGCAGATCCGCTTGCGCTGCTCTCCTCCCAAGTCTCTGATAACGCACCACCCGTGACGAGCGTCGCTTCTTTGCACTGCTTTCCCAGGCGCTAATCCGTGCAATCATTCCACTCAATCGTGGACGCCGACGTGTTCGATTCCTTTCGAATGCGAACGACCCGCCAAGCCATATGGAATGCTCACAGAAGCAATGTGTGTGGTCCGAGTTGCGATACGATGGAGCTAGCACCTCACCTTCAGAATGTGTCTGTGTTAGATTGCCTATAAGGGCCTCTGGGCAGACCGCCTACGACTGATGAGATTGAAACCTCCCTAGCACGGCTGCATAAAACAATGACAAGTGGGTGACGAGAAGGACACTGCGCCTGGTGTCTTGTGCGTGGTTTGTGGGCGCAGGTTCAGGCTCAGCGTGCGCAAGTCATTCATCACGGCTTTACCATGCCGACAAATGCCGTCGGAATGACGAGGCTGATCTGCCCGCGGTGAAGGCGTTGTCTACAAGGACTCATCCCTGTCACCTTGACATTGCGTTTGGTAATCGCTCTGAGGAACGGAAGGCGAAGTCGAGTTTACGACTGAGAACAGGAGAAAAAGAGATCGAGAAGTCCAGCGATGAGATTGGGGCCGCTCGCAATGTCGGTTTCAGATGCGCCGGCGCAAGCGTGCCGAGGTCGCAACTGTCAGGAAACTTGTCTCCAGCATGAGTCGCAATCTGCGCGACGGTTCTGGCAACATTTGGATTGACAGTGTGGACGGGTGGACTCCCCTTTCTTCTAGAGAGCAACAAACGTCGCTTCGACCCATCCATCATATCACGGAACCTTACATTGGCGCGGCTCATCGAGAGGCCTTGAACCTGGCGCTGTCGCAAACCATGGTTCGTTTCTGATTGAAGCTCGTGCATAGCAACGAACCTCAAAAGCCTTGCGTCAGGCGTGGAAAGACTCACCTGAATCTCCGTATTCTTCGACTTCTTCAGAATGGATTGAGGTGTGATGGTTCAACCAAGGCCCATCCGTGAGTCACGTGCAATGGTGTAGACTCGCGTTCGAGAAATCGCAAAAGGAGGAACGCGTGATTTGGGCGGACTTGTCGGGAGTCTGGGTCATAGATATAGCAGAAATATCCAAAGATATGAGAGGATTCGATGCATCACAGTTGAGTCGGAAATTCGATCGTTTGTGGGAATATTGAGGGGGAAATGCTATCTTGTACCTTTGGTGGAGGACGTGGAGGAGGCCTTGTTTACATTGGACAGGGTTAAAGTTGACACTAGCGGCTTGGCGGAGCTGTTATGCAGCTCTTCTGTTTGTTGATGGAACCGTTTTAGATGTTTTGACATTCGGGCCCTCTAGCAATCTTATGTTAGGATCTATCTCGACCATCGAATACCTTCTTACTTCGCCATGAGCCTGTGTTGAACTGCTGTCCTCTTTATTCTCCAGCTGTCTCCTTGTCCACACGCGTGCCAGCTTCCAAGGCCGACTCGCAGACTTTGTAGATTCGCCGGCGACGCGCTTCTGAATTGTCTTTACACCGCACATTGCTCCCGCCCTGTCTCGAATTGCCCATCATGGATGCAAAGGTAAGACTGAGACTCGATTTTCTACACGATATCTTGCAACTTTGATATTTCTTTTCCACGATGCAACCTTGCACTGCTTTGTTTGTTTTGCTGCAACGAATATGCTGCCTTCGCCCTTGCATATCTCCAACACGTCCACCTCACACGTGTATCCACATGCTGCTTTCAACACGCAAAAACGACTCCTCGAACCTGCATTCACAAGCACCTTTCTTGCCCATTGCTAACCATAAATAGCCCCAAAGACCCCAACGCCCTCTGCGCGTCCATGACGAGAACGCTCTTCCTTCGCATCCAGTCGCAGCCAAGGGTACTCACCAGCGCAACAAGTCTTCCACCACTCTACCCACCCTGATGCAGAACGGTGCTGTGCGCGCTGGTGCCAAGCGTGCTGTCTTCGCCGATGTGAGCAACACCATCAGGACAGCTCCTGTGACAGATGACGGTGTGAAGGCACATGACAATAGCAAGGCAGCTGCCATTTACCTGGAGCCTCTTGTGGTTTCAAAGCCTGCTCAGAAGCCTCTCACTGTCAAGAACATCAACACTACCACTGCACCTACCGCTGCTCTCCCTACCATCCGCAAAGTCCAAGCAAAGAAGAGTGCCCCTATCCTCAGAGACTCAGCTGAACCTACCATCGACGCAACAGCAGCTGGCGAGACAGAACCTTCATCCGAAGGCACTACCGACCAAATCGAGGCCCAACAACAAGTCGTGGTTGTCGGCGATGCTCAGGAGGACACTGCTGTTGGATCTGTCCAACCGCCGCGAGCTCTCACCCTTCCGGAGGCAGTCATCCTGGATACCAAAGCCCTGGAGCAGTTTGCGCCGGAAACTGAAGAGAAGGTTGTTGTCTTGAGTCAATCGTTGATCACTGTCAACGATGATGACTACGATGAGGAATATGAAGAAGAACTCTACGAAGGGAGTCAAACAGTGACACGAGGTGGTGTCACAGACAACACAACTGGTGGAGCTACAGTCGTGCTATGCCCAAAGCATACTGCCAAGACATTGAGAGAGATCGAGGAGGCCAGACAGGTTGTCGAGAGCACTCGCACTCCCGAGGACATCGAGGACGACCAATGGGATACGTCAATGGTAGCCGAGTATGGTGATGAGATTTTCGAGTACATGCGAACTCTCGAGGTACGTTCAGTTCCTATTGGTTGTCAGATTTCGGGTTACTAATACCAATTANNGGAACGCATGCGCCCGAACGCACACTACATGGATTACCAGAACGAATGCCAATGGTCGATGCGATCTGTGCTTATGGACTGGATGATCCAGGTCCACACACGTTTCACCCTCTTGCCCGAGACTTTGTTCCTGGCTGTCAACTACATCGATCGTTTCCTATCCTGCAAGGTGATCTCACTAGGCAAGCTGCAGCTCGTTGGCGCCACTGCCATCTTCCTTGCCGCGAAATACGAGGAAGTCAACTGCCCCTCGGTCCAGGAGGTTGTTTACATGGTCGATGGCGGCTACACCCAGGATGAGATCCTCAAGGCTGAGCGTTACATGCTCAGTATGCTTTCCTTTGAGCTCGGCTGGCCTGGTCCCATGAGTTTCCTGCGCCGCATCAGCAAGGCCGATGATTACGACCTGGAGACCAGAACCTTGGCAAAGTACTTCCTGGAGATCACCATCATGGACGAACGCTTTGTTGGCTGCACCCCGAGTTTCCTGGCTGCAGGCGCTCATTGCCTTGCCCGCCTGATGTTGCGCAAAGGTGATTGGACCCAAGCTCACGTCTACTACTCCAACTACACCTACGCACAGATCCGTCAACTCTTGGCCGTCATGGTTGAGTGTTGCGAGGCTCCCGATATTCACCACAACGCCGTCTTCGTCAAGTACCAGGACCGCCGCTTCAAACGCGCATCTCTGTTCGTCCAGACCGAGATGAAGAAGGGCTTCAAGCTTCCTGTCTACCAGCGTGCCACCTCTATCGGTTACAAAGGCTGGTGATGAATGCACCACCAAGTCCTTGTGACCAAACAATTTTTATCCTTTGGCGTTCTCGATTGATACCGGCGTTCGAAACGATACCCTCAAGGCCACCTTAACCTCGACAATCCTGTTGTTTTCTGGCCTTTTTTTCTTTGCTCTCAAGCTCACACGATCATTCGATTTGGTATAGCGATGAGCAGCATATGCTAACCCTTAGCTAGCTCTGGCCATCTCTGGCCGAGTCGTTTTTGGAAGGCAATTTTTACCATGATGCCACGACGAAATGAGCACTTAATATTCCATGTAGAATGCGCAAGCCTATCGGCGGCGCGCTTCTACCTTTTTCTTTTCTGCTTTTTTTCTTTTCTTTTTCTTTTCTTGCTTTCCTTGGCCGATTCCTCTTCGTTGTTCATGCATACCGGGGAAATGTTTGGGATGGCAGCCATTGCTCGGAGTCCAGGAAAGTGCATCGGATGGAAGGACTAGTAGAAACGAGGCTGCACCATCATGGTGTTCATAATGGTAGTAGCATGAAGTAGGCGGGCTGTTAACGAGTGCTTCAAGACAATACTCGAAATGAAATCTGTCTGCCATCATCTCAAGTCTCTTGCTCTGTGACATCGTAAACGGGAGGTTGTTAGAGAAGAGCGTTTCTCCAATTCTCGTACACTTCATGGCTGTCAGCCACAGACAGCCCCGCATCTGGCCCTGACAAGAAAGTCGCCTCACCAACTCTACCTTGCGGCCCCTGCGAACCGAACGGACAAGATCGTCGTCCTGCATCAAATATTCTCCGACGGCATCTATTTTGGCGCAACCGAAAGATCAATGCTCATCATCAATCGTCGGACTTTTTGATGGGAAGACATGTCTCACGTCCGCTGTGCCTGAGAGTCGTCCCCGTCCGCTCCGCTTCGGGGCTTCAGAACGCTGTGCTCGGTCTCTCAAACACTTCGGCTCCCCACCTCGACTTTCAACACTTCGGCCCTCGTTGTGTCGGGACTCTGGATAGAACAACTGTTTCGAGTAGTCGTGGTGGTAGAGCTCAACAAAGGTAAGTGATATTTAATGGCTGGTAAGTCCACGGTCTGCTGGTTTCTGTATTCCTATCATCACCACTACTCCCAACACTCACTATAACCCCGTCACACCAAAAACCTACCTCTATATCACACTCCGGATCCAACATAATGTCTCAAGGCGTCGTCACTGTTCCTACTGCCTCCCTCCACGGAAAGGTCGCTCTCATCACTGGTGCTGGCCGTGGTATCGGTCGTGGATGTGCCATTGAGCTCGGAAGACGCGGTGCCAGCGTCGTCGTCAACTACCAGAGCAGCAAGTCCTCCGCCGATGAGGTCGTGAGAGAGATCGAGGCCACCGGCAGCGGTGCCAAGGCCATCGCCATCCAGGCCGATGTCAGCAAGGTCGCCGAGATCGAGCGTCTGTTCCAGGAGACCAAGAAGCACTTTGGCAAGATCGACATTGTCATGTCCAACAGCGGTACCGAGTCGTGGGACAAGACTGAGGAGATCACCGAGGAGAAGTACGACCATGTCTTCAACTTGAACGCTCGTGCCCAGTTCTTTGTCGGTCAGGCTGCATGGAAGCACCTTGAGGACAATGGTCGTTTGATCCTCATGTCTTCTATTGCTGCCGGTCTTCTTGGTGTCCGCGACCACGCCCTTTACAACGCTTCCAAGATGGCTGTCATTGGTATGATCAAGGCTTTCGCTACCGACTTCGGTAAGCGTGGTATCACTGTCAATGGTGTCGCTCCCGGTGGTATCAAGTCTGATATGTTCACCTCCAACGCATGGTATGTTTTTTTTCTCCCTCTTTTTATTCTTTTCTCCTCTTTCCACCCTCCATATAGACTCAAACTTTCGAACACTCCAACTGACACGGTCCGGAATAGGCACTACATTCCCAACGTGCGTAATATCGAAGGTATAGACATCACGATTAGTACTGGCGATTGTCACAATCCGTCAAGCAACGTCGTGGTGTTTCCACCACTTCTTTTGCAGAATCATATCATACTAACTGCTCTCTAGGGTACCCCCGAGTGGCCTGCCGAGAAGATCGAGAAGCTCATGGCCGAGCACTGCCCTCTGGGTCGTTGCGCCGTCCCTGAGGATGTCGCCCGCGTAGTGGCCTTCCTTGCCAGCGGCGACGGCAGCTGGGTCAACGGTCAGGTCCTCACTATCTCTGGTGGCTCTTCCCAATAAATGTACCTGGTGTACTATTGCATCAATCTGTGTTTGATGTTGTTGGGAGCGATATGGTTTCATGAGGCGTTTATTCCCCCTTTATCTTTTCTTATTCTCAAGTCATAGCATGGATGGTACAGGCATCTGGACACGAAGATAGACGACAAAAGTCATGGTAGAAATTGCAGAGATATTTGAGCTGAAGACTTCTACCTACTCTTGATACACCAATTGATGATCTGCCTGTCTATTCTTCAACCTTTATACTACACAAAAAGTACACGCGTAGACTCTCGAGAACACATGGCTTCGCTTGAAATCATACTATTTGTACAACCATGGTCATAAAGTAGTCCCGAAAATATAATCTGTGGTGCGGTGGTGCAATGTTGCGGTCTTCAACACGAACGGGTTGGACGTGGTCTATGCAGGCACGAAGCTGCCAGGGTCACCTACCTCAGCGACCTCAAACCTTATTCCAGACTTCCATCAGCACAAGCACTATCCAACACATCTACCAACAGAGGGTCATGGCCAACTTTCCAGATGGCGATCGACCAAGAAAGAGAGTGCGTCTCAGCGAATCCACAGCCAGTACTGAGTCACCGCCGAAAGATGAGTACAGTTGGGACTGGCCGGCCGACCTTGATCAATCAACTGGCAAGATCATCAGCCCCCCACCCCTCGCACGCAACAAAGGCAAAGAAAAGCAGCAACAAGAAAACGCAACAACCACAGAACCTTCGCCATTTCAACTCACCAGGATTCGTGACTTGCCAGCCTCGGCCAATGTCGACACAGTCACACTCTCGGACATACTCGGAGATCCCATGATCAAGGAGCAATGGCAGTTCAACTTTCTTCTGGACATCGATTTCATCATGAGCCATCTTGATGAGGATGTTCGCGATACAGTGCAGACCAAAATCATCCATGGCTTTCACGACAAGACTAGCCTTTCTCGTAAAAGTCTCGAGACTACCGCAAAGAAGTATCCCAATGTCGAGACAATGCATATTTGGTTACCTGCCTATGGCACACACCACTCCAAGATGATGATTCTCATCAGACATGACGACACTGCACAGGTCATAATTCACACAGCCAATATGATCTCTCAAGACTGGACGAATCTCAGTCAGGCAGTTTGGCGATCGCCGCTACTCCCTCTATCTACTGCACACGACGACATATCGGAAGCTCCCATAGGCTCTGGCACTCGATTCAAGCAAGAGCTTATCAACTATCTGGAAGCTTACAAGAGCAAGTTCAGGGATCCCACCCGTCCGCTAGTTGACCAGCTCAAGAAATACGACTTCTCCTCTATCAAGGCTGCTCTTGTTGCGAGTGTGCCAGGCAAGCAGCAAGTCAGCACGAACTCCGCTACCACCAGTAAACAGAGTCTTTGGGGCTGGCCTGGCCTGGAGCGAGTCCTCGAGAATGTTTCAACGAATGCATCAGCAAGCAAAGCTCAGATCAACGTCCAGATATCCTCGATCGGTACTCTGTATGAAAAGTGGTTGGACGGCTTCTTCGACGTCCTAGCAACAACAACTACTGGACAGCAACCCAAGGCCAAGAAACCGTTGATGCGGGTCATCTTTCCTACAGCTGACGAGATTCGACGCTCACTGGACGGCTACCAATCCGGAAGTTCGATCCACATGAAGCTGAATTCGATGGTGCAGCAGAAACAATTGAAACACATGAAGCCTCATTTGTGCACTTGGGCGGGCGACACTAATGGAGACCAGCATGGAGTGCGTCAAGCAGGTCGTCGCCGTGCGGCACCACACATCAAAACATTCATCAGATTCTCCGATACCGACTGCAACAAGATCGACTGGACCCTGGTGACATCGGCAAACATGTCAAAACAGGCTTGGGGTGAGATGGCAAACAAGAATGGAGAGGTCAGCATCTCGAGCTTCGAGATTGGAGTCCTCGTATGCCCACAGTGGCTTGTCGGCGAGGGAGAGAAGGCTGCGATGGTGCCTGTGTTCAAGACGGACAAGCCTGAGGTGGATGCTTCAGAAGGCGTCGACAAAGTAATTGGTATCAGGATGCCATACGACCTGCCGGTTACGCCCTATGCCGAGGATGAGGTGCCATGGTGTGCAGAGAGAACACATGAGGAACCCGACTGGAAGGGCGTCGTATGGCAAACTTACAACCCGAGGATGTGATGTTGATGCTTCATGGCATCTGGACGACGTCCGGTTCAACGAAGATGGCTCGATAGCTCTGCGGCTTGGCTGGTCGAAACCGGCTGGCATAACCTTTGTGGCGGAAGAGACGAAACATGCGACAACGACCAAACAACGAGCAGTAGTATGCAGATTATGGAATGATATTGCTTCTCTTTATTCATGACAGAAGGGGGTATTTTCGAACGGACGAAAAAAGTCGTTATTTAACCAGTGTAACCGTGCTTCTTCTTGAGCGACTCGACGAGAGCGACGTACTTCTTCTGAGCGTCCTGGGGAGTGACACCCTCGTCGACCAGCTTCTGCCATGCGTTTCTCTTGGCCTTGCNCCTGTCGTGGAAGAGACGTGTCAGCGACTTGTTTTTGTGGAGGAGTCGAGCTCTGTCGTGTGTAGACGGTGTAGTTGTTACCTTGAGGTCGAACATGCCGGGCTTGTCGGAGGACTCGATGGGAGGGTCCTGGGTACCCTGCTTGAACAGTCCGTAGAGCTATACCAATGTAATCAGTCTCGTGTCCCTTTTCTCTTTGCTCAAAGCTACTGCTCTTCGTACCTGGAGGAGCTCGTCGTCCGAGGGCTTGGCCTGGAGCTTGCGGCTGTCCTCGACGGCCTTCTTGAACTCTGCGGTTTGGGCGACCATATTGACAGTTTAATGTGATGTGGATGAGGGGTTTGAGGTAGGAGGTGATGTGGTAGATGGGAGAAGGAGAGAAGGTCTGGTGAGGGGTCCGCAATCTGGTGGTCTCATTTGAGAGAGGGCTTGGCGGGAGTTGGGGGAGCTTCGAGACCCTGGCCAAACGGGGTTGACATCATTGCGATTTTTGTGTCACCCGATCTTCATCTACGGCGTGGTATTGGCGTCTACAACTTGTGTCCTGTCTTCTCAACAGCTCTCTTGTAGCTCTCCGTGCTCTCACAATCCGCAATCCACTTGTCAATCCTCTCCCACTTTCTCCCCTTCGTCCCCAACTCCCTCATCAGAACAAACTGCGCCGAGAATAGCATCATACAGTCTGCCACTGTAACACTATCCCCGACCAAGAACTTTCCTTTACTCTTTCCCAACTCCGCTTCCAGAAAATCCATGTCTTTGCACACGTTTACGGACATGCCTTGTTCAATCTTCTCTGCGGCAGCGGGGTTGTCGGCGCCAAACCAGCGCGTGTAGAGGATGGCTAGCGCGTGCAGCGCATACGTGGCTTCCGATGCGTGGATCCAGCGCAAACACTGCACACGCATGCCCTCTTCTCTAGGAAGCAGTTTATTCTCGGTATCGTATTTTTCGCAAAGATATCTGTGGTGTCTATCGTCAGCGAATCCCGCAACAAGGCTTCGTGGGCTTGGGGCGTCAACATACTCGGCTATGGCGCCGCTTTCTCCCACTATCAAGTCTCCATCTTTGAGTAGAGGAAACTTGCCCAGTGCGTCGCCAGAGTTGTCTTTGAAGTGCTGGGGCGCTTTTCCGTTTTCGCGTTCTGAGAATTCGACTTTGTAGTCTAGGCCTAGTTCTTCGAGTTGCCAGGCTGTACGGATGGAACGAGAAGCCTGCAGGAAGTATAGTGTAATGTCTGGCATGATGTCTGGCGAAAATCGATTTTTCCAACCCTGGAACAGTGAGGGATGGTGGGGTTGGTATATGTTTATATTGACAGCAGAGCGGGGTTGCCATCAAGGTTTCAACGGTTGGTGGTGAGTCTGGTGAGGCTTGTCTGTCGTGCCCGAGGTCCTGCGGAGGTTGACATGATCAAATTTCTCTCTTTGTCGGTGAGATCACGTTGTATCATGGTATCAAACCAATTGACGCATTTCGATAGCTTACAGTATCATTATATGCCGCAGTGAGAGGTATCAATCGTTGGGTTTGGAAGGTTTTGTGTATCATTACAGCGCGAATCCATCTCCTATACGGGAACCTCGCGAGGCACACTTCTCAACTTGAAGTTTGTGTAAAACTCGCTCTGGCGGACAAACCACGCATTTCTCGTCTTCCAGTCGTCACAGGCCATCTCGACCTCAAAAGTCCTCAAAAATGTCGGCACCAACTTGTAAATCTCCAACAAGCTGATGTTCTTGCCAATACATGTTCTAGCGCCAGCGCCGAATTGGAACATGGTGGCCTTCATCTCCTTGAGCTTCATGGCATCGGCCTCGATCCATCGTTCAGGTCTAAAGATTTCGACGTCTGCGCCAAAGATCTCGGGGCGGCGGTGAAGGACCCATGAGTTGCAGCCGACAATGACGCCGCCGGGGATGTGCTCGCCACAGATCTCGATGCCTTGCTTGGGGGTGATGCGTTCGAGTATCAGACCGGCGGCAGGGTGCATGCGGAAGGACTCCTGGATGACAGCGTCGAGGTAAGGTAGCTTCTGACTTTCTGCCCAAGACACCTTGTTGTTCTCGCGTTGTTGAATTGCACCAGTCTCGGCTGCATCGTCGAGCTCTTGCATCAGCTTTGCGTAGACCTTGGGGTATTTGACAAGGTGATAGAAGACACTGCTCAAACTGATGGCAGTGGTCTCGCTTCCGGCAAACACCATACTTGTCGATGCTGCCAACACCTGAGCATCCGTCATGAATTCGGGGTGGTCGTGTTGAGCCTGGTTGAACTTTGTGAGGAGGTCGATACCACGGCCAGGACGCTTCTCGACAATGCCGGTCTCGCGGACCTTTTGCATCTCGTCCTTGCGCTCGCCTGAGCGGTCGAGTGCGAATTTTGTTACCGGGAAGACCTTCTTGTTGATTCCCCACTTCTCGAGTTGGAGCTTGAAAGGGTTCTTTTCGAGGATAAGATCAAGGAAAGGCATTTGACCGANTCTGGAAATGTTGTTAGCATTTTGTACCGCTGATGAGAAAACACAAATACTAACGGGTGCGGCGTATGAGAGGAACTTGTTCAAGAACTCAATAATGCCATCGACATCCTCGTCTCTCTCGATGTATCCAAGACGCTTGCTCCAGGTCAATTCGCCGATCACATCAAAGGCGTAGAATTGCAACCAGCGGGTGAAGTCACATCTCTGCTTCTTCTCTCCACAGTAAAGCTCCTTGGTTCGCTCAATGTAAACATCGGTTGTGCTGTCAACCAGAGGCTCGTACTCGACCAGCGAGGACATTGCGAAAGCACCGTTGACACATCTTCTGTACTTGGCGTGGTAGTCCTCAAAGGTGGTCGAGAACAGCGATTGCAGACGCTTGCCCTTCGAGACGGCTTGCTGGACGGGGTAAAAGTCCGACTTGGTCATACCCTTGTTCAGACCGTAGATGATCTTGATGGCCTTGGGGTCGGCAAACGACAGTACGTTAGGGCCAAGTCTGACGATATCTCCATGTTGCTTGTGTAGAGCCACATGTGTGTACTCTGACTTCTGACCCCATACTTCGAAGAAGCGCCACCAGTTTGTGTATGCTGCTAGTGGAGCACCTGGGTATTTGTTCAGGCCTTTGTAGAACTTGTTGTTTAGGAGGTAAGCAGCTGCTGATGCTGCAAGCACAATTGGCCAATATGCCACCAGAAGTGGTAGTAGCTCGCCGACGATCATGATGTGTTAAACTTCAAGATGCTCGGGGTGTGGAAGAACGATGGACCAGTGGTATAATATGGGAAGACTCGGTTGAAGAGAATGAGAAGTGGTATGGTATGGGAGAGTGATGCACAAGGAATGTCTTTCTGATCTCCAAGCTGCAGCAGGCAGCTTATATGTTCTACTGCTGTTTACAACCGTACATGGTCAAGGGACCAGCGATACGCAGCTTTCGGCAATGGACCAACTCGCAACTGCCGTGGTGTTGCAGGAGGCTACATGGGCACATAACGACTTCCAGCTTGGCCTTTGGACGGCAGTTGCAAAAGCTCTCGGGTACTCGGGTTTGCGTACTCCTTATCCTCGGTGTTTCGAGGGTCTGACAGGGCGCGAAGGTGCAAGTCACAACTACCGTTCTGGCGCTCGATGTTTTGGCACTGGGGCCCCAGACTCTGGGACGAGACCTTCCCCACCGTTCTGCCGCATGCTTTTGCGGAAGTCTTCCGCTGGTTCGACTTTGACAACTTGTTCTGTACCTTCCAGGCTTCTTCCTTTCGTCACCGAACAGATCGCCGCTTCTTCGTTCGCTCCGTACCTATGCAATTCTCTGAATACATGTAGAAAATGGTATGTGTTGTTTCTTGCACCAGGACGGATAATTGCATTCGGGCTTCGGATGATGGAGCAGACATCATCAGGGCACGTGAAGGCCTGCGAAGCGTCGTTTCGGCAGAAGAAATCGGCATTTCGACGCTGAAGCATCTGCCGTCCACTCGCACACTGCTGCTTTTTCCTTCCCTCACAGATTATCGGCCTGGGTCATTGATATCGGTACTGGATGACCTGAATGACGGCAGCTGCTGGTAAAACGGCAATCCATTCAATAGACCCAGATACGGACATCCGAACGGCCCGGAAAGGAGTTGCTCGAATGCGAAACTTGCACAGGAGATGAACCAGACGACATCCGTTCTGGAGCCCACCACAGCTCGACTACCCAGCACAGCCAGCTGTCTATCTTCCTGATAGGGCACTGTTTTGTAAGCACGGGGTTACTATCTCGAGGGTGCTAAGTTGAGCACAAAGGAAGTCAGACCAGCTGGATCACAGGGTGCCCAACTAAGCCATGAAAACAGTCGAGTCTTGTCTTAGGAACGACGAACTCACAGTCCTACAGATTCTTCTATGGAGAATGTTCTCCAGAGTTTCATGTCTTATGATGGCACCTGCTGCAAAACCAGTGGGGTATGTGGGCTACCGTGGGGTTCAATACCAGAACCGGGTAGAAGATCCGGCCGTGGCGCATGACGAATCGTAGGCCTTGAATTTATCCACGCAAGCCTAGCGTTTGACGGCAGACATTTGCCCTAAACTCGGCGCTGAAAGGAGCGTGAACGAGAGCCGCAAGGATAATGTTCTCTGCCCAGACCTGAACTCGGCGCCCCTACGCGGACAAAAGACTTGAGCCGCCGTGGCACCGTTGCTTGGGAGGCTTGATTACGACAGACTTTGCATGGAACGCCACTTCTTGCAGCACATCTGCATCCTGGGAAAACCGACATCCAAAGGCATCAAACACGACGTTTCCCTGAAGTTAGACGGCCAGATAACCTCCTATCTGTCAAACATCCATACAGCAGTACCCCGGATGATCCGTTGTAGCATAGAACTCAGGAAGACCCACCAACCCAATCGCGTTGATGTACTAAGTGGGTACATCTATCTCGCTGGGACCACCATCACAACCATCCTCAAGGACGCTTGTGGGGAAGCGGAGAGAATCGATTCCTTCTCTCCACAAATTTTTCATATTGAGGCCAACCGTTTCGAGTTGCTTGCCAGGGGATAAAAAGGCCCTTCCCAACACCTACACTTTTCTTTCACACTCACATATTTTCGTCCCAGGTTGCGACACAGTCAAGATGCAACACAATCCTGACTTCAAGGGCGAGCTTCGCGAGCCTTCGGAGACGGACGCCAACATCGAAAAGGTTGAGACAGGCGGTCTAGCACCATGGTCAACACATATCCTTGGTGATGCCGCCAACCTCTCTCCTGAGCATCGCGACTACCTTCTGGAACGACATGGCACATTAGAGCTGGACCCTATGCCTGGCTTTGGTGACGCTGATCCCTTGAACTGGAAGACATGGAAGGTTAGATGACTCATAATGTATAGATGTCCATACAAGATCTGACCCTTGCAGAAAACGATGAACCTGTTGCTGGTCGCGTTTCATGCAATGATGAGCACATTCACGGCGGCAGCAATCATCCCAGCTTATTTCAACATTCACGAAGACTTGGGCTGCAGTATCCAAAGAGCCTCGTACCTAACATCTCTACAAATCGCTATCCTTGGAGGAGCCCCACTATTCTGGAGACCTCTCTCTGTCAGATACGGACGTCGCCCAATCTGGTTGATCTCTACGATTTGCAGTCTTGTTTGCAACATTGGATGCGCCTACAGTCACAGCTATGCCAGCATGGCCGCATGTAGAGCCTTGGTCGCTTTCTTCATCAGTCCCGCTGGAGCTATTGGAAGCGGTGTCGTCAGTGAGACCTTCTTCAAGAGAGAGCGCGGAAAGTACATGGGCATTTGGACTCTGATGGTTACTCTTGGTGTCCCACTGGCAGGCTTCACTATGGGTTTCGTCGCCAACAACGTTGGCTACCGCTGGATCTACTACATCCTCGCCATAATCAACGGCGTCCAATTCATCATGTATATCTTCTTCGGTCCTGAGACAAGATACTTGCGCCAAGGTGTCGAGCACCGCGGTTCTGACCTCAAGCAAGAATACTGGGGCTTCAGACGCATTGACCCTACACCCCTCAGAGCATGGGACTTTATCCAACCGCTGACCATGGGCCGTCACGCCACAGTCATGATCCCTGCTGCTGCATACTCGATGGTCTTCTTGCTTACTTCCATTCTCGTCACCGTCGAGATTCCCCAGCTCTTCCAGGAGAAGTATGACTTCAACGCCCAGCAAATCGGATACCAATTTGCTAGCATTGTTATTGGCGCTGTCATCGGCGAGCAACTCGGAGGTGTTCTGTCCGATTCCTGGATGAAGCGCAAGGCCCGCAAGATGTCTGCTGGCCACCGTCCTTTGCCCGAATACCGTCTCTGGCTCAGCTACTCCGGTTTCCTCCTCGGTATTGTCGGCTACATCGTCTTCCTCATCCAAACCGAGGACACTGCAAAGTGGAACGTTACACCACTCATCGGTGCCGCCATTGCTGCCGTTGGAAACCAGATCGTCACCACCGTGCTCATCACCTATGCCGTTGACTGTCATCAAGAAGAAGCGGCCAGTATCGGTGTCTTCATCACCTTTGTCCGCCAGATCTGGGGCTTCATCGGTCCCTTCTGGTTCCCGCAGATGTTTGAGGGTATCGGACTCAAGGCCAGTGCTGGTGTTGGTACTGCTTTGATGATTGGTGTCAGTGTGATTCCCACCATCTGGTTGCAATGGAGAGGCCGCTCGAGAAGAACCATTGACGAGTAGCCCTCGTCTTGGTTGCCAGGAGATGTTTTTTGTTTTCAACATGATTATTAATAGATACGAACCGTGACGAATTGTATATGATATAGAGCCCACCTTCAACAAGGGCTCTTTCTTCTTCTAGATTATGTTCCCTCATTCCTATCTCTTGATGTGTGTAATACGAAATGTATCTTTGTCGTCGTATAATGAGTCTTCGATAATGTCCCTGGGTATGAACAGAAGCATATTGGAAAACACGCCTACAATCTTGCTTTGACAAGTGCTGTTGTACATGCTCTTTATACACAAATTGTACAAAAACATAGAGCAATGCCAAGCCCACACCAGCCCCACCACGTTCCACCAAATTTGAAGCCTCAAAAAGAGTTTTCAGCCACCACAACCAAACTCGATGATCCAACCACCAAAAACATGGTGCAAAAGGATGAGTAATGGTCAGTACGGGGGTCGAACCCGCGACCTTGGCGTGCCATGTATCAAGAGGATATTAGCACCACGCTCTAACCAACTGAGCTAACCGACCGGTCTGATGAGGACCGCTCAAATAGAATAGCTTACAAATTTCACACAACACTGCCAAAGGATGGCGAAAGGCAGGAAAGAGGAGGCCGAGGACGAGGGTAGGTCGGTTACGTTCAGTTGGTTAGAGCGTGGTGCTAATATCCTCTTGATACATGGCACGCCGGCCGCTGGCGCGGCAAAACGAGTCATGCAATCTCACATCGTTCTTTGACAGTAGCTTGCATAGAAGACGCAGTATCAGGTCCGTATTTGGGGACATGTAAATAAAAACGATCAAAACCCGGACCCAGATGCCATAGACGCTCCAGCTGAGATGTATAGATAAGTATGTGTCTGCAGAAGCTGGTACAGTGTTCGAGGAAGGAAAACAGGTCGACGTTGCGGTCGATATCGTCGTCGTGGTCAGGGATCAGGGTGCTACCCATAGCGACTTTGACTTTGCCATCAAAGCACGTACCAACGAGTCAAACCCTACTGCAATCGAACGCTTCGAAGAAATATCGTCAGATACGTGTATGCATGATCATAGCGCCAGCTCTTTCGACATTGACTTGGGAACATGAGAAAAGAGAGCCGATCATGCTAGCGACAATGTCGGACATGCCACAAAGACTTACAGGAAAGTGTTTGCGTAAGAGTGTTTTCATATTGTAGATGAGTGAATCTAGGGATGACTATGATCAAACACAAAATCGGTAGTCTGAGAATCATGGCCGTGAAAGAAAGATTGGAGGAATAAATGGCTTGTTGGAGCCCAGACGGCGACCTCTAGGCCTTCATGAGCGTGGTTTCTCCCAATTGAGAATGTGGTTGCCATCGATATCGTAAGCTGTGTCAAACTTGACGCTCTCAAGGACAGAGAAAACAGTGAATTCAGGACGTGTTTGATGCTTGATTGTGGCAGCCATCTCTGATGTACCTGGAGATGTGTATCCTGGTACCTCACTTGATCTTGGTCTCCAGTGGGTGCAATAGGAGCAACCTCTTGAGGTGCTGAAGGACCTTACCAGCAAAGAACGCAATGGATCGCTCTGTCCCAAAATCATACATCCATGGATTGTCGACTCATAGAGAAGGTTTCCCGGTAAAGCAAGCAGGAGAGGTGAGAAGGGAAATCGACCGGCTGCCTGATGTAGCTCATGGGATCTAATGGATGATCCACCACGCCATGTTTTGGATACTGATCAGTTCTGAGTCGATAGAGATCTCGAAAGGCTACGAAGGAGAATCTTAGTTCTTCTGATAGATGCAGACGCATTTTTTCGAATCAGCAAGATCTTTGATCCCCGCTGCATCCTGGCGGGAGCACAGCATGACTTGATCGTGATTTCCAAGATGTCCCAAAAAATACACGCTTTCGTCGAATATGATCATCTTGCTGGTCGGGTCGAGATCGATCTGTTTGTTCAGTTCGCGAGCGACAGACAGCACTCTGGACGATGTCCAATTGATACTCTCACAGCGACAGAGAGGTCAGTTATAATATATAAGAACGCACGATTATTTTCGAAGATCAGAGGTAGAACCAGAGAGAGTCATTGAAATAACGTCTCTAATTGAACACCAGTCTGTTTCCAAGAAGTACTGTGTAGTGTTTCAAAGCAAATGTTCTTTTTGCGTTGCTGTGAGAGAATAGACAGCGGCTATGCAGTAAGAGACCTTGTGTTTGTAGATTTAACTCACTCTTCTAATGCTGCCGCTTCCTCTGCGGTGTAGATCTGGTCCGCCGTCTCAGCAACTGTTTTGTTGTCTCTAACGTGTCTGGCGAATCTCGTAATCTCCGGCATCCTCAAATGGCACGCGTATTGAGTGGCAAGCGTCAGGCGTTTCCATGGGCCATCTGCGCCTCTTCTGCCCTCTCGACATTCCAGTTGTCAAGACATACTGCTCAAAACTCTCTAGCTGAGGTTCAAATTTCGGTGTCGGTGAGTTTAGTATCGTGGTTCTTCATTGTCTGGCACAACTTCATTCTCAGACAGGAGAGGTAGATGATATATAGACACAGCCACAGCCGTGTTAATTCCAGAATGATGCCCACATGCCCCAGACGACATGCTTATGGACACTCTCATTCCTCTCGGGTCTCGACAACAGACAGGCAGAGGTGGCCCAGCCTAACATCGGCTTCTGAGTTATGACAGTGGAGTCAGGCGCTGGAACACCTCCAACATCACAGATAAGAAGCCGGCCACGCGAACGAGTGTAGGCCTTGTGCATGTATTTCCAGCTGTTATTGTTGACAGATTCCTCGTCTTATCTGGAGATGATGACGCGATAACCGAGCTGAGCTTCGAAGGTTGGGTCCTCTTGAACAGTCTTCTGAGCATGTACAGATAGCTCCAGAGATGGCTGACGAGATGGGAGGCTTCCAGTGGTGTTGCTCGCTGTCCCAAAAAGCTTTGTGCATTTCCATAGCTATATGCGTGGGCAGAGTCGAGTGCTGGAGAGAGTTGTACGACGAGCATCTGTTTAGTGACCTCGAAGTTTGCTTGTCAACGTCTCCATGACCTTTATACTAATCTCGTCTGCCATAGGGTGAAACATAATTTCTTCGTGCATGGAGTCGCGGTAGTCGCCGTCATGGGTGTCTGGTGTGTGTGGCTGCTTGAAGACTTTGCTGACGATATGCACCGCATCATATTCTGAAGTTGGTGTTCAACTTGATATAAAGCGGGTTACAGACCAGACAGCCGAGGGTCCAAGGAGGATAGGTGACTCCAGCTTGTGTAACACTGCATGTCGAAGATGGCATCTCCATAGTCCCTTGGATAGTAGAGGCGTTCGTGAAGAGGAAACTGCGATCAGCTCTCCTCGAGCATCATAGACCTTGTGCTATCTCTCCTCCTATAGCTCGGCCATGTATATATAAGAAACATCTTTGGACATTGCCAGTTGAGCAGACAGAATCCCAAAGCGCAATGGCGATACTGTTGAGTAGGATATAGTAAGTTGGCAAGAGCATACATAGGAAAGACCAGAGACTATATCTCTGCTCTACCACAAAGACTACAGCCTCGTAAAATGCACTGATTGCTACTACTGATTGCTGGATGGATCTAGCTAGCTAATAGCCAAAAGACTCTTTGACGAGCATATAGTTGAGTATCTTTGTTCGGTCAGGCTCCAACTAGACAACCACAGAGGTATATAAATGGTTCGACATGCGTAGAAATGTCGAGCTCAGATATTCTTGCATCATCTACAATGACGCTTTGTCGTCGATCTGCGTGCCCAGATGCTTGGTATATACGGTTAAAACGTATCAAAGCGAGTGCTGTCCGAGCCGAGATGAACGATCAAAGTGGTGTTGGCAGAAGAAAGTATAAAGTAGACAAATAAAAACTTTGGTTCATGCAATAAGTAAATACGTCGTCAAAATATCCATCCCACATCAAAAAAGTAGTGTAGTATAAACAAGAAAGATCGAAGAGGGATACGCCAAACCTCTGTCTAACCCAAGCCAAGACAGACCCCAAAGTATTTTAGATCGTGATCTCATAAGAAAGATAAACATAAAGAGGCCGGGTAATGTGAATCGTACAAAGGAGAGGACTCAAGAAGATGCGAAGGTATGAAGAGGGGGAAATTACAGACCACCCAGACGTCCCCAGGCGGTATAGACATCTAGGTCAACACTGTCCATGGTCTTGACGCTGTTACGGTAGCGGTCTGCCTCGCTACTGGTCTCGCTATCGCTGCCAGCAACGTTGAAGTTGGTGTTGCCATGAGTACTGAACTCAGGAGTGGCGGCTGAACTGCAAGTGCCAGCGAGAGAGGGAGAATAAGTGCGTGCAGGAAGCGGCAAGAGGTCGAGGGAAGAGAGCTCAAGATCTGGTGCTAGACGGTAGGGGTCGGCTGTATTCTCAAACGGGACGAGTTTGTTTTGACTCGAGCTTGCAGACTTGGGTGGTTGTTGGAAGCAGAGGGCTTGCAATTGTTCGGTAGGTGCTTCCAGCTCGGCCAGCATGTACGAGTGAGGCGTCAACATTTCTGATGATCGGCTGCTGCGCTCTTCGTCAAGAGTGAAGTAATTCATCTCGTGTGTTTCTTGGATAATCCTGTTGCTTGGAGGCGCTGGGAAAGCAGTGCCTTCAGGAGCGTCAAGCATCATTCCTATACTCATAGCACTGCCCCTCGAAAAGGTCGATGAAGCGGTACTTGTGACGACAGAGTTCTTACGATCGTAATGAGAGGGTTGGCTTGACGAATCTTGTCTTCGAGCAGGATGGTTAGACTGAGTCTGCATCTCGGCTCTCTTGCGACGCATCATCTCGAGCAGAGCCATCTCCTCCTGGGTAACGGCCATGACGTGAGATTGTCCAGCACTAGAAGCACTGTTGGCACTTTGCATACCGGTCGATGTAATACTTGTCGCTCGCGTGCGTCCAGGAGACGAGAAATGATAAGACTTTTGTTTCCGTAGAGGAGCAGGAATAGCGCTAGGTTCCGTGTATTGCTGATACTGAGCAGGAAGGGGAGGTAGCGGAGTTCGGTAAGCCAGTTCCAGGTTGTCGGCGTGGATGATGGGAATGGAACCAGACGTCATTGTGGTCTGCATGCTAAAGGTTGACTGCCTGGTAGCAGCCGTCTTGTTCCAGCTAACCGATTCAGATGCGGGTCCACTTGCAGTAGTCGAGTGGTCTGCCCATCTAGGTGGTGATGGAGGCTCCGAACGCTCGTCCTCTTCGTCGGATGAAAGGTTGAGCATGCTGCGTTCTTGAAGATTTTGGTTCTGCGAGTGTGCTTGATGTGTTGAGTTTTGATACTGGAAGTAATCCGATGCCGAGCCTTCGCATTGCGGCGTGACACGCGAGGTGGGTGCAACTCTTGATCTTCCTGGGCCAAGTGCTGGGTTAAAAGCAGAGTGATGGATGGTTTCTGCAGGAGTAACGACTTCGGGCAAGTCGTCGTCGGAAGAGTCGACGGCTTCGAACCAATGCTTGATGCCCTTTGGCGGCCTACGCACGTTGATCTTCGCATTTTCGGTAGCGTTACGGTCAAAGGCAGTGGCCTGGGTGCGATGGCTGGCGGTTCCAGAGGAAGCAGGTCGGACGGACGAAATGTCGCTACCTTGACGGGAGCGGACGGACGCAGGTACCGGCGGCGGCGGTGGCAGAGGCAGGGACGGCGGCGCAGGTACGTGAGGAGCCGAAGGTCTTCTTGTCGTCTTTTCCTTTTCCTTTTCCTTTTCCTTGTCCTTGTTCTTTGATTTGTGTCGTGAGAAAAGTCTGGAAAAATCGACCCTGTGGCTGCGTTGGAGTTGTTGCGGGATGGGCGGAGGCACGGCGGCGTCGGTCATGATTGCATTCTTGCGCGACGCCGAATACAGATCGGGCTGACTGGCAGCGGCGTGTAGAGTCGGTCGGGGCCTTGCGGGCTGTGAGAGAAAGGGATCGGTGTGGTTGCTGGGCAGGCGGTTGAATCTCGCCTTGTCGAGTTCGGGCATGTTCTGGTATGGCTCCATGTGCAACTTGGGCCATATCTGGAGAGTCCCGGCGGCACCCATGGCTGGATCGGCGGCTCCTCCTTCGGTGGCCAGTGTGTATCCTATGCTTTCTTCAAAGCGCTTTTCGACGTCCGAGTGCGTGTCGAGTCGGTCGCGGCTGTATTGGTGCTTTTCGTCGTGGAGAGAGTACAGAGGCCTGGGAGGGCGCGCAGGCGCGGCGGACGACTTGGGCATTTTGAAGACGAAGAAAAGCCCAACACGCTCCCCCCTATGGGCTCCTTATCGATGGACCGGCCAACGGCTTGCTCGATGTGCAGCGTACAAAGTCGCGATACGCAACGGGCGACGGGCTGCGAACTCTCTCGTCGACGCGACTGTGTGTAGCGACAGCCAACAGGTTGAACGCCAAGTTGAAGCCTCCTCCTGGCGCTGCTGCGAAAAGACTGCGATCCTGCCCGGTCGACGTCAGAACCGGTACGCTATCAATCAAATGTGGATGGTTCAGGGGCGAGTCTGTTCCTGCTGACGGGCGCGCGTGCGAGCTGTCAACGACAAAGAGATCATGGATGCTGCAACAACCTGCAGCCTTGCAACTGTCCTCTGCAACTGCGCACAGTCAGACTGACGAGCCCGAGAATCAGGGAATCAATCTCCCTCGACAATGTCGCCATGCCGGCAGCTTGCTTAGTGGCCGAGGAGTCCACTTTGTTCCGACCGTGGTGGCTTTTCGTCTGTCGCTCACTAAAACGCTCGAGACTGGATCCATCAGGGGCGCCGCGTTCCTAGCTAAACTTTGCACCTTGAAACGTGGGGGTCCACTGTTGTTGTCCATCTTTTGGACGTCGTCCAACTTGTCGCGACTCACGGCCTGCATCCCCTACGCCTCTTCTCATGTACAACATACACCCGTGAACCATGACAAAATCTCCAATTCCGGCTCCACTGCTCTATTGATTCGCTGCCAATCAATATCCACCCCCAGTGCACAGCCCATGATTTTCTCTCACGCAATTGCCTGTCTCAGATAATTAAATGAGAGAATATGGAGATCCTTCGCACGCCCCTTCCTCGTTCAGGGAGCTGTGGAAATGCACGATTGCTTTTCAAGCAGGTTCGTGTCCATAGAGATACCCTGAAATGACGCCTCTCTGTGGACTTCACACTCCCGGAGAAAACATTCTGCATTTTTATAGTGATCTTTTGACTGTTGTTCATATACGGTAAGGATTGAGGTATTGAAATCGTCGCACGCCCCGCTCTTCTTCATCTTCAGATGGCTGAAGAAATGCGCAATGATCTCAGAATGGCAGAATCATCCACTCAGACCGGCTGCTTTCTCACCTCTCTCAACGGACCTGTTTCTCATCCAGAAGAAATTATGCATTTCCTCAACTCGCCTTTCGCTACACATGATGGTGGGGGCAGAGTGGGAGTGTCAATCCGAGCAGATCATCATCCTTTCTTGTATTGATTGTTTCGCGCTACCTCAAGCCACATAGCCATACCTTGCTCTCTGTGTACATCCGTCGTTAATCCTCCGAGCCACTCATATGCGATAACACTGCCGACACGAATTGTCCATGTTTCTGCTGCTCATCGTTCAAGCAAAGCCCCAAACCCGACCCCAATTTCTTCCGCGAGTCACACCCGTGTTTACGTGTCACCCTTGAATCGCTTCGACTTGATCTCCGGATTATCCCTGGAAGGAAGGTTCTGTCCGTTGATGAAGAAGCCAAATTTGGCCTCTTTCATCTTTGGTGTGGNGGTTCTTACTCTGGACGACCGGCGAACTGGTGTTGCTTGCTCGCTTATTTCGGCTTCCTCTGCTTGAACGGTCCTTTCTCTCTTCTTCGTAGTAGGTTTTGCACTCCCTGTCTTCGTCCTGCTCGCATTCGCAGTTACTGCTCTCTTTAGCTCTGGCGAGACATTGGGTGTCATTCTCCTCGGAAGTGTGGCAAGAATCGGATATCTTGCTCTCAATGCTTGTACTACATCTGAAGCCGGGTCGTCTGACAATGCGACATCAGAGAACTAGACAGTCAGCATCACGATTATGCCAACGATAACAGCCATGCTTACGTGATGTCCCACAACTTGGCATGGGTCAAAGAGCCTTGCAAGCGAATTGATATACTCTGGTGTGCTGACAGAGTCTGGAAAGCTTATCCTGCCCTGCGAGTTTCTTGTGGAGCGTCTGCCTTGCTCCACAATGAATCCATGTGAAACCAGAGACGTGACCAGTTCTGCAACTTTGTCGAATTGCATATCTGTCGTTGAAATTCTTGTCAGCATGTTATAAGGTTGGGATCGTTTGTACATACTGAGCTTTCTACTCAACTCCACTGCATTATCGACTTCTTCTGAGAGGAGCAGGTCCATTGCCCTACGTTCCAAAGCCAACTCGCGGAGCCTTCTAAGAGTGGCCCTGTCGACCATACGACCCAGCAAGCAGAGATGGCAGACATGTCGTGGAGGCTGACGACTGTCGCCTTCTAAATAGCCTTGACAGATAGAATGCTGTTGCACACCGCAGATATCGCATCNGAGTCTACAGCAAGGGTCAGCATGGTCTATGAAGAGCATCCGTAAGCATACCATCTCGTCCATCAAGTCATGGAGCTGGCATCGGCAACTCGTGATGGACACGTTCGCCAGCGTCGGTGTCGGTCTTTGCTGAAGTTCGCACATCACGTCCCACAGATGATGTGCTGTCTCGCTCGTGAGAAAGTCATAGATTTTCATATGCTCAGCAAGTTCAGGATTTGGACTGTCCTGATCACCTAACAACTGCGTCGCACTTCTCCTGACTTGAGTCGCAATGTTGTCTTCACGGTACGAGCTAGGCATCANTCTGGACAGCTTGTTAGTTCTGTGGCAAGCTCTGAACGACTTCCAGCTTACCATGTTGTCTAGTGAGCTCCTGCGTCTCATGTCATCATCGACTTGCGATACACTCGAGACTTCCGAACGTGGTAGCTGCTCCGAGATAGAGATAACATGCGCTGTAGCCGGATTCTGTAATTCACCGTTTGCTGGAAGTGTATCTTTATCAAGTAAGAGATTGTTCGTGACTTCTGCGAGGGCGTGACGATCTGCAAAAGATGTTCCGTTCTTGTCGGATTGGACATCACGCTGAGGTGTCTCCGGTATAGCTGAGGCGGCAGAGGTCCTTCTGCTTGGAGCAGGCGAGGTTGTCCTCGGTCGGATAGGAGGATCACCACTGGAGAGAGTCGACGTCCTGGTGAAAAGCCGGCCTCCCTCAACAACTTCAGGCTTGCGGAACCGGAGATCTTGGGAAATTCGTCTAGNTGCTGGAATGCTCATGTTTAAGGGACGCGATCCGTAGTGCAAGGCTTGCAATATAAGCAAAAGATGAATACTATCTGCTGACATGACTTACTCGTGATGAAGGCCACCGATAATGCCTAGATCTGCGGGATGCCGGTGCCAGCCTGCGAATCCTTGAACTGATGGCTGGGACTGAGTTTCCACAAAGCCCTTTGGCTCCCATCCATCCTCTCTATACAAGATGCTTGGCTGAATGTAGCGATCGTNCTGCAGAGATGAATCAGGCAAATGGCTCAATAGAAAGATGACGCAAGTATCTTCGTTACCTGGCAACTGTGGGAGTTCTCCGCATTGATCGTAGACCTGACCCAGCAGATCAATAACGCATAGGCTTGGGTCGTAAACATCCTCGTTTCCGAGTTTGGTCTCGAGACCTTTTACTAGACGTTCGCCTTCGGCGGATTTCTTGTAGACTATGCGAAACGACCACAGTTCGAGAGAGTCGGAGTTAACCTCAGGGTCGCTCATGAGTGGAATGCGCAGGGCATGCAATGTTCCTCGATGCAGTGCCTCATATGCTGTATNCCTAATGAGTGCTCGAGTCAGCGTCGCAATACCCGGCCTGGTCATGTAACCTACAAGGGAATCGAGAAGCTGGTCTGCACGGATACTTCGACCTCTTTTGAGTAGTGGAACACTCAATGTTTCTCGCTCGGATTGTCTCACTGAAGTGCTGGATGGTGAGGACGGCGGTGCTCGGCGAGGATGTTCGCCGTTCATGAGACCTTCCAAGGTATAGAATTCGTCGTCATCATCAAACTCGGCTGTGTCAAAGGCCAGCGAAGGGAAAATGCCCCTAAATGCGACTTGTCAGCCTGCTCGACATAAGGTATTCCAGAAGACGATCCTCACCTTAGGCGACAAAGCATGCTAGCCTGGATTCATGTCAGCCTTGGACGAAGGGATGGGAGGAGCTTTGGCTGCACCGACCGAAGTATAAAGCATGACTTGAACCGTCTCCGTACTCTGCTTTTGAGTCAACTGAGTCTTGGCGGTTACTACCTGACGCTGAGCCACGACTTGAGCCATGTTCGCGATGGGACCTTGGCCGAGAAGGAACGCAAAGAGGAAGAGAATTGTTGATTACGAATGGGATTCGCAAGAAGTGTCAAGAGCGGGGTCGCGAGATCAAGCGAAGGCAGGCAAAAGAAGAAGGCACCTTGGTTGTTGAGGCAGGTGCTATCCACGGGACCAGGCGCTCCTTTCTCGATCTACGAGCGCAAGCCGACAAGCTTGAGTCCAGAAACCACATATCATGCTGAAATTCGACCTACAATCGAACTATGTATAGAGGGAAGAATTCTTGATCGGACAGGCATACTCTTTGGTATCGACATCAACTCGCGTCGAGGATGTATAGAGGTGGTTGGTCTGTCTCTAAGGACCGACCACAAAGACTTGCACAAGACCCATATTGCTTATCAGATAGAGCATATTTAAATGCCATGTACTCAGTTCTCAATTGCTCTTGTCTGAAAGCATCGCATCAAGGAGCATCCTTGTGTGTTCAGAAGTGATACTGACCTGGTGTTCGTCCTCGGCCATTCATGCTGCCTCTCGCTTGCGGCCATTCTTCGGGCGGTGACAGCGAGGTCCGTGCCATCCAGCAGACTTCACTGCATCGATAGCAGGTCTTCTCTTCCACTTCCTGTCTCAGTTACATAAGAATGTGCTATTCACTAAGATGTTGACTCGAGCCCCTGGAACGACTTGGCTATGGAATCATCCGAAACGCCTTTGCCTATCGGGAACAAACTGGACTGTCACTTACCCACACTCCGACGATGCATAATAGCCGCGTCCATTACCGTCACTCTTGTAAAATGCCCGATGCCCGTACACTCTATCCATGAAAGGTTGGTAGCGCTAGCGAGATCATGTTGAGCAGCCTCCAAAAAGCTGTAGGTGTTGTATCCACGGTTTAATAGCGTGTTGCCGGCTCAAGGCATATCTTTTCGTTATCTATTTCTTTCTGCTTGCCATGTGGATAAAGAGAGAGTGTTGTGTTTCTCGTTGTCCCTCAGTCTGGCTAGTTCTGAGTCTCTGAACGCGTCACTTTGTGACCAGCTTTCACAGCGCGTCTCATCGCTCCGCAAATCCTGTGTCTTTCACTCTCCTCACTTCACATCAGCACAACTTTGTACGCGCAACTTTGCTTCCATCTTTCGATTGAGTAAACCTGTGTAAAGTACGTCTTTTACAGGTCCGCGATTGTCTTCGGAGCTTGCTAACATACGAGCAGCAGTCAACATGCCTCTGTCTCCCGCCGCCGACTCGGCGCACTCCAAGCCACCAGAGTCGACCTCTGGCATGACTTCAACCTCCGGATCTGAGAAGGGTTCAAAGAGTGCTGCAATCGGCGACACTGGCATTATCCAGCGCAACATTGATTCAGCCGAGGCCTCGGCTCGTCGTGGTTCTGGTTCTGCACACCAAGGTGCTGACCCCGATTATTATCTCGATGTGTTCAAGCGCAGACGCATTGTTCACAACCCAACTCTGCAGCAACTCTCAGAGCAGCACATCGCTTGCGCCAGTTTCGGCAGTGAGTCTGTCAAGGCTTTGTTCAGATCTGGAGCTTCTGCTTTCATAAGCGGTCAGGCTCAGCCCAGCAGAAACGCGAGCATGCCCATGTCGTCCATGGCGTCAAGCTTCGGTCCTGGTGTCCACCCCAACATCCCAGGGTAAACAATGTGTTCGTCTGCAAACAAAAGCAAGTTTCACTAACAAGACTCCAGCCTTTCGGGTGCCGACGGACCTGTCCTTCACACTGACCCCCACAACGTGCTGCCTGGTCTTGCTGGCGCTGCCGTTCACACCGGCAAACGTGCTGCCCTTGACCCTACCGGATTGTCTGGAAGTGTCCCCCACGGCATCAATGTCTCGGGTTTTCCGTTCATTCCTCAGCCCACTGGCTTCGTTATCCCTGGTCTCGGCGCTTCGGTCAAGCCTCTTGATCTTGACAACAACAAGAAGACTTCTGTTTCTTCTCCAGCCAATACACGCTCACTCCTGGCCGAGCCCCACTCTCGTGATGATGGTGTTCCTTCAGATGTCTTTGATCCTTCTCAGCAGGGTGCCACCAAGTCCCTTGCTGCTGATCACGCTGAAAAGCACATGAGTCAAGGACCTGCCTCGCCCGATGCTTCTGCTGGTCCCAAGAAGTCGCACATCACCACTCCACCTTCTGGTGCTGCCAAGGAGTCGAACTATGTCCGCCCTTCAGGCTCTCCACCTGTCTGGGTTCAGGAGCAGACACCCCTCAGCTTCAACAAGCAAGCTCGTGCTCAAAATGACGACCACTCTTTTGAGACTTTCATGGGAGCCAATGCGATCCTGAGCGGTATGAACCCCGACCACTACTCGATGCCCTACGGTGTAAGTAAAAGTTCGCATATCTCCCCCACATCATCCAACTAATGTTTTACAAAGTCGCAAGTGGTTGCTATCAAATGCCCCAACCTTGATGACATTCTCGTGTCCCATCAGACTGGCTTCTGGGCCACCAATCAGAACGTCATGACACGCATCATGGAGCTTCATAACAACCGCGAGGATTCCTCCATGAAGACGCTATTTCTCTGGTCGATGCCTGGCAGGTCCGTGACAACGCTTTCTCGGGTGTCTGCTACGATCGCTAACATTTACNNTAGCAAGCATTTTTGCGGCCTTTCAGAGCTTCAAGCCTTTGACCCCAAGGTCAAGACCCCCTTCTGGGACAAGGAAACTGGCAAGTGGATCAAGCTGCATGGGTAAGTCCTCCTCTCTTGGACAAAGTTGAACTTGAACTGACGTCGCGAAGCNTCTATGATGATCTCCTGGAAGTACTGCAAGCTGGTGCCTTATGAGGAGGTCATTCCACTCGTCGAGGGTAAGATCGATCAAGGATCCATCACTCAGATGTGGAACGGAATGTAGTAAGTTCATCGCTTCGTCTTGAGCTATCCAATGCTGACTCGTCATCAGNNCTACACTGAGGGAACCGGACGTGAGGTTGTCAAGGCCTACGTCGAGGCACCTCACATCGAGAACATGCTCGCTGCCCCTACTGGAGACTTCTTCCGTCGTGCTATGGAGCACAGCAAGATTGCCACCGTCCCTCCTATGGGCCCCAAGTCCCTCGGTCGCGGCGGCTACCGCGGCCGTGGCACTTACAGATCCACCCGCAGAGGAACCATTGAGAATGGCAAGACTGATAGCAGAACCCAGCCTGCACCCGTTCCAGGTTCAGCTACCAAGCAGGAGGCCAAGGAGATTATCCGTAGCACTCAGACCAACGTCACATTGCCTGAACACTACCATGATCGCGGCCAGCCCGAGCTCCAGATCTTGCCCGTCCTCAAGTATGCTGACGGTAGCATGACTACTGCCCCCGATGTGCACGGAGTGACCATGCCTATTACTCCTCACAAGAGCCATGCTGGCATGAACACTTCTTTGGCCGAGAAGTTCAAGATCCAGGGCCAGGCTCAGGTTCAGAGCTCCCACTCGTTGGCCCAGGCTCAAGGTCCTCGCCCTGACAGATCCAACTCGCTGCAGCAGACCCAGAGTGGTCAAACCCTACAGAGTTCCAACATGCCTCCCGTCATGTACACACCCGCTACTGTTGGCACCAGCAACCCTAGCAATGGCCAGGTCAAGCGCAAGAATGGTTCGATCTTTGACGAACATGGCATTGACAGAACCTCTTTCGAGATGCCCCCTCCACCCAAGCCTTCTGTCTCTCAGCATGGCTCTGTGTCTGACTTGGAGTACCGCAGCACTCCACGCACTATGCCCAACGGCAACCGTGTTTTCAACAATGTTGATACCTGGTCGTACAGCTCTGTGACTCCTCCTCGTCAGCTCGTCGCACCCAAGACGCCTATCAGCCAGTCGCGCAGTCTGTATGAGCTGTCCACCAGTCCCATGGAGACCTCGCCCTACGGCACACCCACTCGCCACGGAGTCCGTCTTCCTTCCACTCCCTCCGGCGTTCGTCTCCCTTCGACTCCTCGCCGTATTGGATCCCAGGGCAAGAGCACCTTCGGCTTTGGACAGGTGCCTGAGGAGCTCCGCACTCCCGACAGCAGCCCTCTGACTGCTCGTATCCAGCTTGCTAAGAAGGCTGATACCCCTCGTCCCTCTTCCAGACTCGGTCACGCCGAGCAGGATGAAGACAGCAACAAGCCCCACTGGGTCTCGATGCTTGTCGACGAGTAAAGTCTGTTTTGCTGATTGTCCACAAGCCACACTGGCTATGGACGAAGAGTCTAGAATATGCAACAGCAGGAGTGTCTTGTCAAACTGTCTATCAACAGGTCTTGTTCTTGCGGGATAAAAGGTGGTCATGATGATGGTCTTTGTTGTGGCATCTTTCTTGTGTTTTCTTTTCGGACAAAGATGGATTAGATGAAGATAGCTTCTTATTGTCGCTGACTCCAGTACAGCTCGTACTTCATGACTCTTTTTACATAGAGTCAACAGCAATCGAATGCGTAGTACATTCCAAACATCTTCGCCATCGTGACTTGGTCGGACGACGTCCAAAGCTCTTCCTGTCATCATCCCAAGGTGCAGAATCAGTGACGTAACATCTACAAGATTGCACAGTACTTCCGAGAAACAAGTAGCATCCATTGGGACCCATGCTCCTCAGCTCTCTTTGGATAGGGCTCGACTTTAAATCCAACTGTGTATTTCTATAGCATTGCTGAACAAGCAATGTTCACTGAGAACCTCTGCTTGAGAGACTCTCTCTGGATTCGCTTCACAATCAGAAACCACTATGCATTTTGACAGCTTCAAACAGAGAACAGTATCCACTGAGAGTCGCCGTTTGGTCAGCTCTCTGTGGATACATCTCTTATGTTCAAAAGTTTGTGCATTTCTACAGCTCCCCAGCAGCCTTTGTCAGTAGAGGAGAGCCGATATATCGGTTCGTGACTGGTACGCGTATATCGCATCAGTCGAAAAGTGGATTCTTTGTTGTCAAGCAAAAGAGATTGTTGCCTGTGCAGGCAATGACGGTCCCATGATCGTGATCACTTTACGCGCTATGTCGCTCGGGCTTCTAGAAGGACAGAGCTCGATATATACCCCAGAATAGTGGTAGAGAAGCATGTGGATGTTGGCAGCGAGTCCCAAGGCAATGGACGGCGAGCAGTAAACAGCGGATCAGTCGGTTCAAGACAAGCCCATGACGAAGAAAAAAACAGACTAGGTTATGCAGGCTTGGGCAAGGTTTTCGTAGTGGTTGGTGGCCGCTTGGCTGGAAGGCGGTGGCGCTTTTCTCCGCAAAAGTGTCGGACAGGGAAGCGTCCAGTCGGCGTGGGACAAAGCGACGACTCAGGCAGCGAACGGCGTGTTTCCTGACCGACGCAGCAACCATCACGACGACAAGACAAGACTCTGTCCGGATCCTCGACGCTTCTGCCTGCTTCCCCAGAGACGATGCTCCTTTGACAAAAGAGACGACCCACCCAACGACGTCTCAGCAGTACGAGCGTGTTTGCACCCTTCGCATCCCCGTGCGTTGATCTGTCGTCACGCTCAGGGCCCTGCTTGCACGAGACCGACTGCCTGTCGACGGCGGCAGCGACGAAGACGCAGCCATCCGTTCTTGGCACCACTCGAAGACCGACGACACCATGGACCCTCCAGCCCGTCACGACCACACGAGGGCGACGCTACGCAGCACCCAGGCTTCGTTCACCACCGCTCCTGCATCGCCCGACCACCATCAAGACATGTCGCCCTATACCACTATGGCCCATGTAGCTTTCGCTCCCGCTACCCAGCAGACCGTCGTAACGACGACCACGACAACCACCGTCACCCTCCCTCCTCTACTCATCCGCCCACCCAGAGACATGCTCAGCCGCGACCCCAAGCAGTATCCTCTGGCCTCCACCCCCACTCCTTCTTCGCTACAACGCTTCTCTCTCAATGTTGGAGGTACTCCGATCGTCTACCAGGAGGCTCAGAACGTCCAGTCGTCACTTGATAAGGTATCTAAGCTTGACATGTGCTGACGGCCTACCACTGACAAGCTCCTGCAGTACAAGCTACAGCAAGCACAACTGCAACAATCCAACGGTATCATCCGCAGTCAAAAGGCTTCCTCCCAGAACTACCACACACCCACCCGAGCTCAGGAGTTCCGACCACCGCCGCCCAAAAGGCCCGCTTCACCACCCAGTCTCGCCGAGGCGGCAGAGCTAGCTAGCCTACACCGTCGTAAGAGACATCCTCGCTCGCTTCTGTCACGAACCCGCTCTGGTATAACATACCCGCTCGCCGACGACGAACAAACTTCAACCTCAGATTCTACTCACCGTCTCATGCCAGTAACACCAGACACTGATGCTGCCCCAGCCAACGACCGCGAGCAGCAGCGGGTGTCTTCTCTAACACAAAAAGCCCGCGAATGGCAAGAGCAGCATGCAAAGCAGAAAGCGTCAGTTGCAGGTCCAAGTCATTCTTTCGACAGAGATGCTGCTACTGCCACTCCCCCGGTTGCAGAGGGTGACCTCGAACCCGTCGATAACCCCTATCCTCGTCTTGAGCAGCCGAGACCGCTACCTGCTGGGTTACTGAGTGGCTCACAACAGGACGCCAGCCTCCCAAGCCCCAGTCTCTCCCCCGTCACGGCCGCCGCAAACCTGGCTCGCAGCCACCAGCTTCTCCTCTCAACTCGTGATGCTGACGACGAGAATGCCAGTCAAGTATCCAGACTGGACCTCGAAGACAGCATGATGGCCGATCAACCGGATGCCCCTGCTAGTTCCATTGAGGCTACCGTCCAGTCTCACTCTCACACTCGACAGGCCAACCAGCCTCCGTTGACGCTTATGGATGTTCCCACAATGATTGATGCATACGACGCCCTACCCGAGGATATGCAGTCTTATGTGCTGTACCAAATGCTCAGACGTTCCACCAAGAAAACGTTACGGACTGTCGCTTCGCTCGTCAATCCAGCGCTGAAATGCGATCCCTTCGACGTGCTCCCAGTGGAACTCGGCTTGCAAATCACAAAATTCCTGGACGTCAAAAGTCTTTGTCGTGCGGCTCAAGTATCGAAGAAATGGAGGCATTTGATTGATTCGGACGAAAGAGCATGGAAAGAACTTCTGGACAGAGATGGCTTCAATCTGCCCGAGGGCGAGATTGAACGTGCAGTTCGTGAGGGGTGGGCATGGCAGGCACCTTCTCTGGATGGATACGAAGAAGATTTGGGACAATCAAGGTCGATCCGCTCGGTCTCTAGAGTCGTCGAGATGGAGCCATTGAGTCCTTTGGCAGCTCCTTCAGTCAGCAGCGACGATGCAGGCTCTTCAGCATCGCTTCGTCTCACAAGAACAAAAAGAAAAGCAACAAGCAGCGCTGGTGGTCACAAAAGACAGAAGCGGAAGGCGTCCCGACGCCAAGACGATTCCCCTCTCTGGTTGCGCGACTTCCAGACAGCACAAGGTCCCATGGCTTACGCCAGTGCCGCTGCCAAAGCTGTGCCTAGACCTGACGTCGGTCTCCCAAGTCTGACCAACTTGCATCTCTTCAAGTCCATCTACCAACGGCATCATATGATTGCAAAGAGCTGGATGGACGCCGAAGCAAAACCGCGCCATCTGGCCTTCCGCGCCCATCACCGCCATGTCGTCACCTGCTTGCTGTTCGATTCAGACAAGATCCTGACCGGTAGCGACGACACAAACATCAACGTCTACGATACCCAAACTGGTGTTTTGCGAAGAAAGCTTGAAGGGCACGAAGGCGGTGTGTGGGCACTACAGTATGAGGGCGATACGCTGGTGTCTGGTTCGACCGACCGCTCTGTCCGCATATGGGATATTCCTTCTGGTAAATGCCTACAGACCTTCCAAGGCCACACCTCTACCGTTCGCTGTCTGGTAATACTGAAGCCTGTCAAGATTGGTACAGCTGCAGATGGCTCACCCATCATGATGCCAAAAGAGCCCTTGATCATCACTGGCTCGCGCGACTCCACCCTCAGAGTTTGGAAGCTACCTCGTCCTGGTGATCCGCAGATCCATCAGGCAGGCCCACCAGCCAACGATAGCGACAACCCTTACTCTCTGCGTGTGCTCACTGGCCATCACAATTCTGTTCGAGCCATTGCAGCTCATGGCGACACTCTTGTCAGTGGTTCGTATGACTGTACTGTCCGAGTGTGGAAGATCTCGACTGGCGATATGGTGCATCGTCTCACAGGCCACACACAGAAGGTCTACAGTGTGGTCCTAGATCCTGAAAGAGGACGATGCATTTCGGGGTCTATGGACAACTTGGTCAAGGTCTGGTCTCTCGAAACAGGTAACTGCCTGTTCAACCTTGACGGCCACACATCTCTGGTAGGTCTCTTGGACCTCAGCCATGGACGTCTGGTCAGTGCTGCTGCAGACAGCACTTTACGCATCTGGGACCCTGACAACGGAAACTGTCAATCAATCTTGTCTGCGCATACTGGGGCAATCACATGCTTCCAGCATGATGATCAGAAGGTCATCAGTGGCTCAGATCGTACACTCAAAATGTGGAACATCGGTACGGGCGAGTGTCTACGCGACTTGCTCTCGGACCTTAGCGGAGTGTGGCAAGTCCGCTTCGACGAGAGGAGGTGTGTCGCCGCGGTGCAAAGGAATAACCTTACCTACATCGAGGTATGTGCAAACCAGTGTGATCATATATGACGTAGGCTAATTGACTGCAGNGTGTTGGACTTTGGAGCAGCTCGAGACGGTGTACTTGAGAGCAAAAGAGGACACCGAATCGTGGTCGACCCACGCGGACGCGAAATCGAAGACATCGACGCAACAGCAGAAGTGCAGACAGCCGCAGCAGTAGCAGCAGGAGGCTAGCGTTGAACACGGAAGATTGACGATTACGGATTACGAACGAGGCGGTAGCAAAGTTAATTGGTTTCAAGCGAATGCCTGCAATGCATTTATGGGAGGAAAGAGGAGATTGGGAACAACAGGGATACCCGAGCATTATGTGCATGACTGATGCACGCTCTCACTGCTCATGATTTTACATTCGTTTTCATTTGTGTTGGGTTATACTGGCTGGCAAGGATTCTCTGACGGCACAGAGAAGGGGAGTTATTTGCTTTTGGTGGGCTCAAAGTGGCATTTTGCTATTTTCATTTCGAAAGCGGAACATTATTATACAGCGTAAATAGCTACTAACCTATCATACCTTTGTTGTGTTGATGTGCTCTGTCAGTCTGTGCATTTCTATAGGTATGCGGGAGGTGAGAGATGGGTTGTGGAGCTGCTCGCGGTGGTGGGGAAATGACATGGTGTCCCTCTTCGTGAATGGGCGATCTACTCTACTTTGACACTCAACTTCTTCAAACCCTCGCCAGAAGACACAACAGGATGCTGGCATCCGGGTTCAGCAATGCACCACTGTCCAAGTACCTGGTCATGGCGGTAGTGGCGGCATCGCTCGTGGCCAGCATCACCGACACCAAGCACCTGTTCTTCATCATGGTCAAGCCACACATTTCCGACTACGGACAACTATGGCGATGCATGACTTGGCCGCTGGTCTACACCAATTCGACAGAGGTCCTGTTCTCAGCCATGACACTGTACCAACTGCGCGTCATTGAGCGTCTTTGGGGTTCGCGCAAGTTCGCAGTAAGTCTGCCACTCGACACCATTGCGGCCAGTGACTAAACAAACATCGCANNGTCGTTCTTGTTGTCGACATTGCCTTACACCGTTTTGCTGCCACCCCTCCTCCTCGTACTCGTCGTCCGACCGCTCTCCTTCTTCAACATCAACTACCTCCCCGCCGGTCCCACCGCTATTGTCTTTGCCCTCCTCGCGCAGTACCACGCCGCCATTCCTTACATGTACAAATACCAACTCTCTGCCACGGACTCTCCACACTCCACTACAACCTCCTCCACCATCAACCTGACTTCAAAATCTACGTCTTATCTGCTACCCCTTCAACTCGCGCTTTCCCAATTGCCTGGCTCTGCTATTGTTGCTGCAGTGGGTTGGTTGGTAGGGTATGCCTACAGAAGAGAGATACTTCCTGGAGCTGCGACGTGGAGACTACCAGATATGGGTGCTGGAAAGAGAGAAAGAGAGAGGTTTGAGGGACTGAGGAGACGCATGGAGGGAGAGGCTGCTACGGCTAGTGGATCATCGAGGGTTGAAGAGGCTGAGGGCGGTAGGAGGAGGACTATTGGCGGACAACTTTTGGATCAATTTAGAGGTTCTTGAGGTGGGATGTATGGATTTCTGAAAAGCAGAGATTGGAGACAGAGATGCATCACTGGTATAAGACAATCGGTGTGCAGAAAACCTGCATTTACAAGGAATCACTCTTTCCTTGAGCTCACTCCAACACTGGTCACAGCCATAGAGTGTGTCAAGAAGCCATCGTGAAGGCAACGAGATGGGAATGTCTCGGGAGGTCAAACTCATTCGGGCGGCAAGTGCGGGGGCTTGGTGACTAGCGGCGACCTTGATGTGCTCGTTCGGCCATGTCATTCGTGCGGCTTCTGGAAGGCTGCATTGTGATGGGCGTGCGCCTGCGCCGTGAAATGATGGTCCCTTCCTGTGCCTGGCCGTCTTTCAAAGAATATTTCCAGTATCCTTTCAACATCGGCAGCTCCAAATTTGCCTCGACTTGTTCGTGTAAAAGTTCAGTCTGGATGTTGCGTAAAACGTCTCTGCTGCTCCAGCGACGACTGCATTCCAACGGCCGAGTTTACATGCTCAATCAATCCATCTCCAACCAGTCAAGCCAGCTCACCGACCCTCACGTTCCAACTCGCGGCCACTCGCCCTTCGCATGTCTTTGACCCTGTCTTTCCTTTCCACCACCACCACTTGACTTCTTCACCGGCTTTCGTCACTTTGGATCGAATTAGTCACTCCTCCGTATTCACCTGAACATGCTTACGACTGCATCCACCTAACAAACACTTTACGACATTCTACGCGACATGACTAAACCGGCATCTCCATACCTTCTCGACCGTCTGCAGGCGCGTCGTGCAAACCTAAATACTCGATCACGTCGCTCTTCAGCTGCGCGACTAACGAACCTGGACGATGACTTGTTCCTCGACGAGGCCAGGTCTTGCGCCAACGACACCCTGACGACAACACCTAACAAGACGCAAATCCCTACGAACACCACCGCGTCTCTAGGTGCACGCGAAATGGAAAAGCGCATGGATCGACTTCTCAAGCTCAACTTTGACTTGAAGCTGGAGCTCTTCCACGCACGAGAGAGCATGGCGAAACTAAAGGAGAATTGCCAACTACTGGCTTCGCGCGCTGAGCATGCTGATCGCCTCGTCGGAGAGAATGCTACACTTCTCGAGCTGAACGACAGTCTGGTCAAGGAACTGGAGCATCGGGACGAAGCTGTTCAAGAAGCTGTATCCATCATCTGTGATCTCGAAGAAAGACTGGAGCAGGCGCAACAGAACCACCACGACCAGCCAGACCTCTCCAGGGTAACGCGTGCGTCTTCTGTCTCGCCCTGTCCTGGAGCTGTGCTCTCACCGCCCAAGTCCGACAAATCGTCACTTTCGCAATCAGCTTCAGCAAGGCGTATACCTTCCTTTGTGGACGACAAGAAACCAAACACACGTGCTTTGCGAAGCGTCTACCTAGAGCCAAAACCAACGTTGCATGCTGCGAAAAGCTTTGCATCCTTCAACTCGCAGAAGGAAGACGTCGACAAATCCGTCTCGGATATTGACACATTGGACTCACCACGATTAAGTGTGCTGAGCAAGAGTAGCTTTCCGAGCATCTACGATCTCCCGAGAGACAAAGACTCAAACAAGTACGAGGAGAACGAGCTCGCCCTTCCTGACAGTCAGCTAGACAATATCTCACAAAACGCTGGCAGCAAGCACGACTCGGATAGTGATGTCAGCTCTTGGATCCAGGTGCAGACACCGCAGTCATCTGACCAGTATCCATCGAAATACATTCCGCAATCTCGTACCCAGCGACCAGCGTACTTCGCTCAAAAACGCACACCGTCGCTCAAAGGCTCAACATTCGGCGGAGCTTTGCTTCCACCAACACCAGACAGTGCAAGCACAAGCGTCTTGCAAGACTCGTACATGAACGGTCCTCAAGATGTGCATCACAAAATAGCCAAAGATTTTCCTAGTGCTGCAAAGCATGCAGCGTTACTACACACTCCTGAGACACCTAGCATCGCCGACATGAGCAAACTTCATAACAAATCAGAAGTAATGAACCCTATGAGTGGCGCTGGGTGGTTCAACAGGCATAGCATATCTCTCTCTTCGACCGACGAGGAAGACGAGTACTATGAGCAATCGGACAGCGATCGCACTGGCAGCGCAGGAACAGACAGCTCGTATCCTAACGGGGGTAGTATCCTCAAGGGCACACCGTCTAGATTTCAAGTTCGTCGCAATGTCTCGCCAGCCAGACCTCAAGAAGGGCAAGGCCAAAAGACGATGGAGAAATGGGCACTTTTCCCAAAGAGCAACGAAAAGACTCGCTTCCAGATGGAGCGCTCAGAAACGACACCGAATCTTGCAGCAATCCAAACTCCTCCAGCGTCACTGCAAAAGAACAACTCCGCTCGCAGATCTTCCAGCACACGACCACAGCGCATGGAGCGATCAGAGACTACACCTAATCTGACAACGACTTTGCAAGCACCGAATGCTATGACGATCTTTCAATCAGGACCTTCGATCAAGCCAATGTCTAGCGGTAGTGGAGGTGTGCGAGCAGCACTCTCTCAAAAGACACAAAAGCTCTTCCGCCGCATGAGCGAACATCAGACCTCCTCGTCAGAACAGAAACTCGGCCGTAGTATCACACTCTCACCTTCCAAGCGGTCAAGCGCCTCCAGTGGCACTCGTAGTGATGAATCTCTGGCCATGCAAGCAGCCAACCAGCCAGGTTTTTCACGAAACTTGAGTCCTTCTCGACCGAGCACTAGTGAGGCCAAGAGTCCCAGCCGTGGTCTGTTTTCGCGTGCGGCGGGGAGTTTGAGACGATAGGAACGTTTTCAGCAGTGGGCAAGAATTGATTTGGACGTCGTCTATGAGACTGAGGCAGGACACCATGGCGCATAGCTCTTCTTGTTTTTTTCTTCTTCTTCTTCTTCATTTCGGAACGGGTTTGTTTTCCCTGCTGAAGACTTCTTGCCTGCAATGTTTTTCTTTGTGATGACCTCAACGCTGGGCCTTTGGTTCCTTTTTTCTTTTCTTTCCTGGCTTTGACCACCATAGCTTTACCACTATTTCCATCACGAGAGACGATATGCTCAAATTTTCTTACGCAGATTGTCGTGCTCCCCGTGATGTGCTCTTTGCTCTGTTCATGAAGATTGAATACCATGACTGAAGATTTTATGCCAGCACCACCATCACACCACCACCACCACCACCACCACATTGAACTTGACCAGATCAAGAATGAGGAAGAGGAAATAGAGCAGGCCATCGAACAGAAGCATGACTGGGATATGTGGGGGCCCAAGGATCATCAAAACTCGTCACCCAGGTTCAAGGAGATGGAAACCAGATTTCATGTATGCGAAAAGGGGTTTTTGCCATGCTGTTACTGACAAAAGTTGTTTTTCTCGAAGGCGTATCTCGATGTTTTGGTGGCTATGAGCAATACTCTTGAGGTGCAATAGAGTAGTAGTACATCACTCAGCCCCCCTGCTCTGTGTGTTTGGATATATCTTGCTCTTGTCCTCTTGCATACGCTAGAACTCCATTGAGTGTAAAATCTATTTTTTTTTGGAGGAAAAAGACAGCAATAGTATTTTCTTTTGAGCTTTTTTTTTCGTGTTGAAATGTTGTGGACCTGAAACGAACTGAGTGTTTTCCACAGTTTGTTGGTCTGTCACGTTGTGCTATAGTGGGAGAAAAGATGGGGGATCATCTACTGTACTGAACCTTGCTTGTGATACTCTCATCAAACACAATAGACCTCTGAAGGCATCTCTGTGCTTCTGCAGCAATCATCTAGCGACTCATGGAAGATGGAATTGACATGTTTGATCACGAGGTACATTGACCTTGAGTATCGTAGGCGAAGTGATAGATCAGATGGAGGTGATTGGTACGCGAGGCATCTTGTGTGTTGCGTTACTGGCAGTTGCGGTGGTGGTGGTGGTAGCGGCGATGGAAGAGAAGAAGAATACCACCGCGTATGCTGCTGTTTTTGTAGCATATCTGGCTACTAAAGCCATAACTCAGTCAACCGTCAAAGATCTAGTAGAATATGCAGAGTCAAGTCAAACGAACCAGTGCGGATGCTCGAATGCGTGAGGTCAAAAACATGATGAGTCGATACAATCACAAGTAGAAGAGGCAAAAGCGGATGAGGAAGCCGCAAAGGAACGCAAACGCTTTGATCCCTGGAGGGAAAGAGCGAATCACTTCGGGTGAGATGGACGGAACGATAGAGTCTGGCAGGAACCAAAAAAAGAATGGACGTACAGTTACAATGAGCACGGAAGTGACGGCCGAATACAGCAAAAACAAGAAAGAGCTGTGTCAACCACTTGTGACAAGAACATACAGTTGTATCGCACAGGGTGTGTGAACGAAACTCTACCACCTATACGTCCTGAATCATACCCCGATACAGCATGATTGGCGGCAGTCTTGAGTCCATCGTCACTCAAACTGCAAGTAAGCTCGTCCGAGACATGGAATTACAAAGTCGAAAACTGCGAATGCCAGAATCGTCAGGCGACTGCAAAAAGGTGATGCCCCCCCTGAGCACTCATCCAGACTGTAGATCTAACGCGGTTTAGTTGTTGAGCTGCATGCATCAAAAACATGAGGTGATATGAGCAATCTTGTCGGCAGGTTCCTGGATTACCAGCGTCGGCATTGTTGTCGGACAATCGAGTAGAAGTGTATCGTGTCATGTATACTAGTCCATGCTGTGGATGCTACAGCGTAATAGTTGAGCTGCACTTGCTTGGTGGACCGAAATGTTGGCTTTCAGCAAAGGACATTCGATGTGTGCAGCAAGATCATCGTATGAAGTGGTGTAAGCAATATATTTGACTAGCCTTTGAACTCCAATTGTCGGCGTTGTTGTCGGACATTGCAATAGCGTCGAATGTGTCGCGGTAACTCATTCATGTCGTAGATCCAAGTGGTGCTCACTGGTCTGAATAGTAAATCATGCGTCGTAGCTGTTGAGCTGCAGTCAGTACTATAGCTCGGTCTCAGCGATAGTATGCAGTGATTAAGAGATGCAGGACGAAAAGGATACCCTGGCTGTTGTCTCATGTTCGTTGGTACCAGCCTTAGAAGAATGAATTGCAGTGCATATATTGGTGGTGTTCAACGCATTGTGTTTTGGTGAGATGCTGGAGCAATGTATCCTCTCTATGCAGAACTCACCTGTCAATAATGGATACACCCACTGTATATGCAGTTGAGTACAATACCGACTGGACGATTACCAGGCAAGTTCTTGCCGACTAGTATATTTGAGGAACGACAGTGAATCCAATAGACCTAGGTCTGTTCATGACAACCGATTATCTCGTCACTCGCTTAGTTTGCCTCACGCTCCAAGTTGATGGCAAGATCAACGCCCAGCAGTCGCAGAGTTCCAAAGCGAGATGAAGGATGGTAAATCTTTAGAAGAACATTGCAGGTATATTTGGTAGATAAAAGGATCTCCACTTCAAAACAGCCACTGCAGGGCAGGGTAGGTATACCTATCTATGAAGGAGGCTCGCATAGACTTTTACAACTTCATCAAGAGCCGCATTGATTAGTATCAGCGATGTGTGTGTAGAGGATGGCAGCGGTGACGCTCTCTTTGATGGGGTGTGGCGCGGCAGCATTACGTTTCGAGATAGAAAGGCAGATTGATGAATACAGGAAACTGCTGTGTGTTTCTGTATCCGAGTAGAGAGAGCCGCCGGAGCTTTTCAGCCACTCAATTAAGATCCGGCAACCAATCATTTTGCGGCGATTGATTCGCGTCTTGTCGCTAAGCATATCCGAATTGGCGATTGCGACCTGCCACTCATCAATGTTTAACTGTGGTCGTGTTTGATAAGCAGACATGGAATGTTGGAACTTGGAAGGAAAAAATCGTCGGCACGAAGCGGTGCCGTTACCCACATCTTTTTTAAGGTGGGACACTGGAAATCTCGTGGCAGGTTTTGGATGGTAATGTATCTCGATTGATTGAGGATGGGGCACTGGAGGTGTCATCGCGTTTTGACTGACTCGCGACTTCCCAAAATTCTGTTTCAGGCCACCGACTTTGGAAAGCTTGAGAGACGAGGGCAAGCTTGTCAGTTTTGACTTGGCACTGTGAAAAGACATTGTTCCGGAAAGCGCGTTCGAGAAAGTTGCTGTTTTGGGCCTTACAGTAGACGTCCGATGATACCAATGTCTCAAGCACCACAGCACCTCCATTCGAATGTGGTTGCGAGATGGTGTAATCGATAGCCAGCAAGATCGGCCAAGAAACATAGCTTGAATGCTCGCGCTGTAGAGGACGAACCACAAGTCAGAGGCTTCACAATGTGCGCTGACCGTAAGCTGTCTAGCAGGTCGTGGTTGAGTGTCGGCGGAGGAGGGACGGTGGCTCTTTCTCTGTCAAATATCTTTGATATCTATAGGGTGACCTTGAGAACATAAGTTCGCCAGGCGTATCGGAAGGTGTGCTCTCGAAGACTGGTCTCAACAACAAGTCCCATGAAACGAGAATACAACAGCTGCCGTGAAGAGTGTTCATCGTGTTTGCCGTTCAAGCCAAGTTACTTGCCCGAAAACAACTATGTTTTGTTATGGCTAACTGTGTTGCATCAAATCGAGGCTAGGCAAACTCTGGCAAATACGAGTAGCAAGCACCAAGTCGTGATTGCCGCACTCGGTGTTCCCTCCCGTGTACTAGAAACCGTCATAGTGTAGCTACGAATGCGAAAGTGGTACCTGGTTGGGTCAACGTATCAGGATATGCCGTCCGAAGAACGTTTTGGACAGAGGATGATCTTGTACACCGCCATTGCACAATAGCACAATTTAACCAATCTTGGCTAGTTTCTCTGGTGGAATCGACGGTGAGCTGTGCTTTGAGTAGTTCGCATCCAATAGTTCTGGCGCTTTCGATGTTGTTGTCCGTATTTGTCAATAAGGTTATTGTCGGGAGTGGACCGGATGTTCGCACAGATATTCAAAGTGGAGGTAGATTTCCGAAAGTGAGACAGAGCAGATAGAGTACTCAATAGGGGATCTCCAGTATGGTTTGTATAACAGGCGACAGTGAAACTATGAGCTTATAGGCGGGAGGTGCTCCGGAATCTAGATTACTCTATTAGTTATAAGCTTCTCCCATATGTTGCTGAGAGACGACAAAACCTAGTGGAATGCCGTTCTGCGAGATCTGGGCATCGAACAAGCTACTGCCTGGAAATGATAATTTGATCAAATTCACGACTGTATTACCTGCCTCAATGGTTGGGTTGTGTGGGCGACTAGGTAGATACTGACGTGATGATCTCGGTCAACTCGAGTTAGTAGCTAGCCAAGCGTATAACGTAAGGGGACACACCGAACGTTCCACTGACCGCATACAGCTGCACTATCGACATTGGTTCAAGATTTGCAGAAACCTGTAGATGTTGATCTGCAAACTACACACCATGTCAGGCACTACGGTTTAGCTTGCGTTGAAATGAGGCCGCCCGGTCTTGACGCTGTGCCACTACAGAGGGCTCTTTGCAGAGCTTGACAGCCCAGGCTTCTGCAAAGGGCAGCTTGACATGATCGACGCGAAGACTGGATGCCTAGGGCTGTGCCTAATCTGTACATGCAATTAACCACCACTCAACGCTTGAACTGATCGAGTCTGCTGTTAGAGGTCAAGGTGTCGAGATGATCAGGCTTCGATGAGTGCCATATCTGCAATTACGGCCATACTGTTCGTTGTGTCGACGCCGCGACGCAAGGGAGTGCAAGGGCATCGCCTCAGAGAGCCTCGAATTATTCGTAGAGTTTGAGCATTGATCTGTTCAGCACCCGAGACACCTCTGAACAGATTCAGAAGAAAGGTGGGAACGCTGGTGAGCAGCGTGCATATCCGATCTGCAAGTATACTGATGAGGCTGGGTAGCAAGGAACACAGTCCAACACAGCTCAATTCGAGATGGTAGATGCCTAACTTGAAGTTGTGTAAGTGTGACCTTTTTCTATGCGAACCACGCCTGAATTTCTGGTAGGGCAAATAATTATTACAGTGTTTTGATGGTATGGTTTCGAATCGACCAGGAGTCGAGGATGATGCAGCTTGGCGGCTAATGTGGATGTGGATCGGCAGCACAACAGATTAGGTCGTCCAAGATTTTGAGACATTTCGTCTGTGCTGCTACTACTACTGTTAGTGTTTTGGTCAAAACCAGCGCAGAATGCTATGGCTGTCCGGTCGCGATAAGCAGAAAGTTATATTGAGCATTGCTGAAGGTCGGTGATCTGCGTACGCATATGAATTTCTGAATCTTGCAGCAGTCCTATTGCGATACGGCCGTAGCTCAACTTATGCTCGAATCGCGCGTCCGCATTCCCATGAGGTCTACCGTGGGTGTATCAAGAGTACAATACGGCACACAGAGGTGGTGAAATCAAGCACAATGCAATGAACAACATCCTCGGGTCACACCAGCTCGGCAAGGATTCGAGCTGTTGTGGTTCTGTTGTCAAAAAGTGTCAATCTGTGCCACTGTTTCGCGGAACATGCGTTCTCTCTTGGCAGGACCGGAAGTGGAGAGGGATCTGTTCCACTCCTGTGGTAATCTGTAATTCCAGCAGAGTGGGTGGACCTGCACACGTCAATGGTACCTCTCCAAAGATCGAGAAAATATGTTCCCTCGCCCCGAGAAGGTACAAGTACGATGACGAATATTCATGATGCTGCAGCGCAAGAGCAACGCGGCTTTCTCTCACCAAAAACAAATGTCGTTGAAATAGAATTGCCGTTTACACATTTGAGGCTTGACGTGGCGGACGGCGTGGCGGCACTGACAATGCAGGAACGTGAAAGTTCAACGTCGAATCTTTAAGTACCGCACCCGGCGGCTCGGAAACCTGGCAACAAAAGCCAAACAATGATGATGCCAGTCTTGTTCATGGCGCCAAGATAGACTTCTGCAATGGGCCCCGCAGCGGCAATGTGAAACGTACCTGCTTACGACGTGTCGCATCGCAACATGCAAGAGAAGAGGTTGGAAAGTGTTGTGAGGCCTCTGGTTGCGACGTCCTTTTTGAGGAGAAGACGAGCTTGCAGCATGGAAGAGCCGGGAGGAAGCGCTCTGTCTCTCCTTCTTCCACCAGGGAGAGGCTGCGCCCATGCATTCGAAAACGCATGCGAGACGAGAAAAAGGTTAGCTAGGATCTGCGGCCTCATCAACCTCCTTCAATCTACAGTACCGTCAAGCGGTCAACGACCAGTCACATCACTGCGATCAACCTACGGATTTCGAGCGCAAAGCCCGAGCTCTTCGCTCTGGAGAGGGAGACAGCACTTTTGTCATCGGAAATGGACTGCGGACAAGAAGGAGAGACCATGATGCCCTACTGCATTGTGCAGATGCACGGACAATCATGAGGCTTGTCACCCAACGCTCTTGCCTGGAAAACTTTGCCAAGCTGTTGATACAGCCTACCCATGTACGAACGACTGTCACATTGTGGCTATGGAATTGCACGATGTTCTCTAAGAGAGTGTGATGTCCGCTGAGAGAAGGTGCACGATGGCTATCTCTATGGTCAGCCTTCTCACGAGAAAGCTGCTGTGCATTTTAATAGGCAAAATGTAACAGTCTGCGGCACGCGGAGAGGGAAATATTTCCACTCTATGTTGCAGACCTTTTGTCTCTCTTGCAGCTTGCCCGCCGTCCCAGAGCACGACCGCTTCTTCCTCGGCCGTTTCCCAGCGTACAAGTAACATGAAACGTCAATTGCTCATGAGGAGAAGGCTTTATGTGGGCACACGCTGCGGCGTGGCGCATCGGATGCGTGCTGCAGTGCTTGAGTCGTTTGACTGTGACTTGAAAGTAATCACTTGCAGCAAGGCCCGAAGAAAAAGACGTGTTGACGGACTGTCCCGCTAAGCCGTCTGGCGATCATTCTGCTACTGCCATCTCAACCCCTGCAATCGCCTATGGTCAAATGCATCATTGATGGTCAGTGTATCAGTCTGTTGAACCATGCTCGCCGCACTGTGCAGAGGCCTTGCGCTTTTGCCGTCCTATCACCGATGGACTTGGGCGGATTAAGATAAGCTGCTGCAATTCCCCATCGTTGCCGGCCTTTTCTGTTGATTCTGAGTTCTTGACTAAGTCATTCGACTTCCTGGACGCTCAACATCCGGTTACATCCCTTCTTCTCAAATCGATACCTTTCTTGTTCTACAGCCAACCTTGATTCACGGCTTGTTGGGCCCACTTGCTGCACTCTCCGCATATTCTCTTCCGGGTCCTTGCCTTCTACGCCTCCCTGTGCTACATAAACACTCTTGGTCTCTGTCTTCTCTTTGCAGAGCTCATCAGATAACTTTCTAGGCCACCTGCCTTCGAAATTCGCTTGTGCACCTTGACATTTATGTTTGACGTTTAGGAAGCAGACACCCACCTATCGCCAATTCGCCTTTCTGGCGCTGGATATCTGTTTTCTGCATTGATTTTTGCTTTTCTTAACGACCCCACGACTACACAATGCGCGGCCAATGGCTGCTATCACTGGTGTTGAGCGCCGGTGCAGCTCAGGCTCTTCGCTATGATGAGAGATATGTCGACTGGAACCTGAATATGAACCAGGAAGCGGTCAACCCATTGGAGTACTTCACCATCTACGAGAATCATACATACCATCCTTCTCCGGATAATTGGCGGTTCCCTTTCTACAGCTTCTTCATGGACCGCTTCGTGAATGGAGATCCAAGCAATGATAACATGTAAGCTTGCCATACTTCGTGTTATAGACACATCACTTGAGCTGACAACTACTTAGCNAACGGTACTGCATGGGAACATGATATCTACGGCACCCAGCTTCGTCATGGTGGTGACACTAATGGCGTGCGGGACTCTCTCGACTATCTTCAAGGAATGGGAATCAAAGGCATCTATCTTGCCGGCAGTATCTTTTACAACTTCCCTTGGATGGCGGATACTTACAGTCCTCTGGTATGCTCGCGACCAATCTACGATTCATACTCGATCATCTCTGACAAAGATATANNGGACCACACTTACTTGGACGCACACTTCGGTACTGTCGCTCAGTGGAGAGAATTGATCAACGACATCCATTCACGCGGCATGTACGTCCTCCTTGACAACACCATGGCAACCATGAGCGACGTCATCGCTTTCGAGGGATACTTCAACAGCAGTGCACCTTGGTCGTACAAAGAACACAAGGCTGTATATAAGTCGGCAGAACGCTATTCAGATTGGGAATTCAACAACGAATGGCATGATGAGTGCCCATACGAGTATCCTCGATTCTGGGACCAAGGTGGCGCCCTCATCCAGGACAGTAACACCACAAAGATGGTCGGCTGCATGGACAGTGAGTTCGACCAATACGGCGATGTTGGTGCCTTTGGACAGTACGAAGAGTGGAAAAAACAGCTCAGCAAGTTTAACGGCGTCCAAGATCGTCTTCGTGATTGGCGGCCCTCGGTTCAGACCAAGCTTCAACACTTCATGTGTATGATGTTAGAAGCTCTCGACTTCGATGGTTTCCGTATCGACAAAGCCATGCAGGTTACTGTTGACGGACAAGGCAATTTTTCACACGCGATGAGAGAGTGTGCATCGAGTCTGGGAAAGTACAACTTCTTCATCCCAGGCGAGATCGTCAACGGCAACGGCAAGTCGAATTGAATCAGAATTCTCCAAACTCTGCTAACAAGAATCCANGCCAATGGTGCAATTTACTTAGGACGAGGTAAAGAACCAGGAATGGCCGTCGAGAACATCACCGAAGCTGCAACTACTAACTCGACCTATATCCGTGATGACCAACATCAAGCTCTGGACGCTGGCGCTTTCCACTACACCATCTACCGTGGGTTGATGAGGTTCCTCGGACTCGATGGTAATCTGCTCGCTGCAGGTGATGCGAGTGTCAACTTTGTAGACGCGTGGCATACTATGATTCAGACCAACGATTTTGTAAACGCCAACAACGGCAAATTCGACCCTCGCCACATGTACGGTGTCTCGAATCAGGATGTATTGAGATGGCCTGGTCTTATCAATGGTACCGAAAGACAAGTCTTGGGATCCTTTGTCAACACACTCCTGGTTCCTGGTATCTCTATGGTTTCTTGGGGAGAAGAGCAACTCTTCTATGTTCTCGACAATACCGCCGCTAACTACATCTACGGTAGACAAGCCATGAGCTCGGCCCAGGCCTGGCAGATGCACGGTTGCTACAAGGTCGGTGACGAGAACTTAAGCAACTTCCCCGTCAACAGCTCGCTTGTTGGGTGCCAAGATGACGCCGTGTCTTTGGATCACCGTGACCCTACTCACCCCATGTACAACTACCTCAAGTCAGGACACGAGATGAGAAGAAGATACCCCGTGCTCAATGATGGCTTTGATGTTCGTCAACTGTCTAACCAGACTTTCGAGTACTATCTGAATGGCTCCTTCGGAGTTCCAACCGAAACAGGTATCTGGAGCGTCTATCGTGGAGAGCTGGAAGGCGCACAAGACCTCTCGGACGCTGGTGGTCACGGAAATCAGCCTGTCTGGTTGGTCTACAGCAACTACAACGGCTCCAGAAATTACACATTCGACTGCAGTAGTAACGACGGACTTGCTATCATCTCTCCCTACGACTCCGGTACCACCGTCAAGAATCTGTACTATCCTTTCGATGAGAGAACTCTGGAGCCATCTAGAGAGAAGCTCCACTTCAATGGATCCACCGAGTACAACGGTTGTTTGCCTTGGCTTAACATGACCAAGTACGGTTATGCAGCCTTCGTTCCCAAGGACGTCTGGGAGGCCCCATCTCCTTCTCTTACAAAGATGATACTCAACGATACCTTTATCGGTCACGACTCGCGCATTCTAGTTAGCAACGAAGAAAAGGAGACTTTGACCCTGGAACTTCGCTTCTCGGGAGAAATGGATTGTGATTCTGTCCGTCAGTCGATCAACATCACGTCTACCACTGGCGATGGGTCAGTGGCAGTCATTGATACCAGCAGTGTTGATTGTCTGACCACCGAACTTCTGGATGAACCTCTTTTCTATGGCGCTGTGCCATCCTTCTGGAGATTCCGCACGAACATCACGAACGTCGCTAACGGTATTCACACGATAACGGTCAACAACGCCACTTCTGCTAGTAAGAACAGCTTTACTGGTTCCAAGGACCATCTCATGCTCCGAGTTGGCCAGATCGACAACCCAATGGTCTTCCCCTTCAAGGCAAACTACAGCTCGACACTCCTTTTCAGCAGCAACGGCTTGACAAAACGTGCATCCGAGACATCTGGTACCCAGGAAGATGCTTTCTACGTCCAGCACAAGGCCCCTGGTGCCGACAAGTGGAGATACTCTCTGACCTGGGGTGCAGAGTGGTCTGACTGGATGGACTACCAAAGTGGCAACAGCACACTCGACAAGCAAAGCTGGGCAGGCACAAAGAGACAGAAGTGGACTGGTGACCATGTCAAGGTTCAGTACTGGTCCAAGGCAACAGGCAGTAGCGATCATCTTCAAGAAGGCGATGTCTATGGGTCCTCGGAGCATATGCGTCGCTTCCCCCATTTCTTCGTCCATGGTTCGTTCAACGAGTATGGTTATGACTCTGGTCTGGACAACAAGATGAAGCTCGTTGGCAACAGCACTTGGGAGTACGACTTCATGACTGAGTGGCCGTCACAGTTCCAGTTGAATGTATGGGGCATGACTGAAGATGGCACTCCAGATGTCTCTGCTGCCTTCGGTGATATCGACAACGACACAGTACTGGACAGAATTGGCCCAACGTCACTCGAAATGTCGGTCGTCAACATTACCGATCATGGACCTGAGTCCCCTTTCCTGGCATGGCGCATCCACTTTAATGATGCCTCTTTCCGTTATGTTCTCATCCCTGTCGGCAACCGCTGGAGACAGTTGGCTCTATTCATCATGCTAGCTATCATCCCCCCAGTCACGGCTCTTGTTGGTATCTCGGCTTACCGCAAAGCCTTCTATGGAGTGAAATTCAACCAAATTGGCCTGGCAGATCCCAAATCTCTCATTCCCGTTGCTATCAGAAACAAGTTTAGCAAGAGAGAAGTGCTGAACGAGAAGGATGCAGCTATCTCGTCCAGCTCCGAGACGGTCGGCGACGTCGTCGTGGACGATGGCGGCATCATCACAGCTGGCGCCATGGTTAAACGCAGAACTGTTCTGATCGGCACAATGGAGTATGACATCTCAGACTGGAATATCAAGATCAAAATTGGAGGTCTCGGAGTCATGGCCCAGCTCATGGGCAAGAATCTTCAACATCAAGATCTTATCTGGGTGGTACCTTGCGTTGGTGGTATCGACTACCCTGTGGATACTCCTGGCGAGCCGGTCGATGTCACCATCCTTGGTAAGGTCTATGAGGTTCAAGTTCAGTACCACAAGCTCGAGAACATCACCTATATGCTTCTCGACGCGCCAGTGTTTAGGAAACAAACAGCAAAAGAGCCCTACCCTGCTCGTATGGACGATCTCGACTCTGCGATTTACTACTCTGCCTGGAATCAGTGTATCGCCGAGGCTTGTCGTCGTTTCCCTATTGATCTCTACCACATCAACGACTACCACGGCACCATCGCCCCTCTGTACCTCCTGCCTCAGACTATTCCTGTTTGCTTGTCCCTCCACAACGCCGAGTTTCAAGGCCTTTGGCCAATGAGAAACGCAAAGGAGAGAGCTGAAGTGTGTTCCGTCTACAATCTCTCGGAGTCTGTCGTTGCCAAGTACGTACAGTTTGGTGAGATTTTTAATCTCCTGCATGCTGGTGCGAGCATTCTTCGTATCCATCAAAAGGGCTTCGGTGCTGTTGGTGTCAGTAAGAAGTATGGCAAGCGTTCTTGGGCACGTTACCCCATCTTCTGGGGACTCAGCAACATCGGCGCCTTGCCTAATCCTGACCCTTCAGATGTTGCGGCATGGGACAAGAAGCTAGCCAACCCCAAGGATGCTGTAATCGATGAGGTCTATGAATCTACCAGAGCTGGTCTGAGACGTCAAGCTCAGGAGTGGGCAGGACTTGAAGTCAAGCCTGATGCTGATTTGTTCGTCTTTGTCGGTCGCTGGAGTATGCAAAAGGGTATTGACCTGATTGCTGATGTTTTTCCTGCCATCCTCGAGAAGAATCCGAACGTTCAGCTGCTCTGCGTTGGCCCCTGTATCGATCTGTACGGCAAATTCGCAGCGCTAAAGCTCGAAATCATGATGAAGAAGTATCCTGGCCGTGTCTACTCGAAGCCCGAGTTCACTGCTCTTCCACCGTTCATCTTCTCTGGCGCTGAATTTGCCCTGATTCCAAGTCGTGACGAGCCTTTCGGCTTGGTCGCTGTCGAGTTCGGCCGCAAGGGTGCTCTCGGTGTTGGCTCTCGCGTCGGAGGTCTTGGCCAGATGCCTGGTTGGTGGTACACTATCGAGTCTCAGACCACCAAGCATCAGATGCACCAGTTCAAAATGGCGATCGACGGTGCCCTGAAGTCGAACTATCAAACCAGAGCCATCATGCGCGCCAGAAGTAGTGTACAAAGGTTCCCTGTCGCCCAATGGAAGGAAGACCTCGAGATTTTGCAAAGCAAGTCTATCAAGATTCACAACAAGCGTGTCGAGAAAAAGCAGCGTAACGGTGGCATGTCTGTTGCGACAACTCCTTTCGGCAGTGGCTATAACACCCCTAACATGCCTGGCTGGATGACTCCTAGTGGATGGGGCACTCCTGGCGCCGGTACACCATGGGGCAGAGGCACACCTAACCCTTCTAGACCTTCTTCACCCACTCGTCCAGGAAACACTGCAGAGTCTTCGCCAACAGCTTCTCGTAACAACTCGTTATCTCTCGGCACTCGCGCAGGTCCAGGCCACGTTCAGACTAGGGCCCGCAGCTTCTCTGGCTCTCGTCCCACACTCTCTCGCAGAAATTCGACGGAAGTCGGTCAGGGTAGAAACCGCCTGTCAATGATTGCAGATGAGGAAGTAGGTATTTCGAGCGAAGAAGCACAGCAGGCTAGAGAGCAAGCACAAGCAGAGGCTCGCTCTGGATTCCCCTTCCTGGCCCAAGACCCATTTGGTGTCAACAGTCCTTACATCCTCTCACCTGCCGGAACTCCTGGGATAGCTAGCCCTTCTGCCTCGTCGCCATTCTTGCCATTCCATTCTTCTCTGGGCCGATCAGCCAATGCAGAGTCTACTCTGACTGTCGACAAGGTTATTGAGCAGAAGGAAGACAAAACACCCCAGGACCTACTTCCGTTCTTCACCGACTCTACTGGCTTATATTACCGCACTTTCGAGCGCAAACTTGAAGATCTCACTGGCAAGAACTCAGAGTCTGCCTTGTGTATCGAGGAGTACCTCGAAAAGTCTGAGAAGCAGTGGTTCAATCGCATGCATGATGTCAAGATGGCCAGGGAGACCCCTGCAGCCACTCGCGCCAACTCGCCTACCGGTCAGGTCTTCAGCACGAATATTGATCCCGAGAAGGAGACCGCCGACCAATTTTTACTGCCTCAAGACTACCAAGCTCCTACAGGTATCCGTCGTATGATGATGTACAAGGTTGGAGACTGGCCCATCTATTCATTCTTCCTTGCACTTGGCCAGATTATCGCTGCAAACAGTTACCAGATCACTTTGCTTACTGGAGAAATTGGTGAGACTGCCAGCAAGCTGTACGTCGTGGCTTGTATCTACCTCGCTGCTTCGTTGGTCTGGTGGTTTGCATTCCGTCGCTTTGCGTTGATCTATACCATGGCACTCCCATGGTTCTTCTATGGTTTTGCCTTCTTCTTGCTGGGTATGGCTCCTTATGCAACCACTACCTCTGGCCGTGGTTGGGTTCAAAACGTCGCCACTGGATTCTACTCGTTCGCAAGTGCTGCTGGGTCTTTCTTCTTCGCACAGAACTTTGGCAGCACCGGCTCTGCACCTGTCAAGACCTGGGGCTTCCGTGCTTGCATGATCCAAGGAACTCAGCAGCTCTACATTGTTGGTCTATGGTACTGGGGTGACAAGCTGTCTGCACTCAGCGACAGCGGCAAGGGTGCATCTACTTTGGTCACCTATGGTTCTACCATGACAGCAATTGGTGTGCCGATTGCACTGTTCCTCTGGGCTATCGGTATCCTCCTTTGGCTTGGCTTGCCTGCATTCTATCGTCAAGCACCTGGTGCAGTACCCTCCTTTTACACGGCCGTCATGAGACGTAAGATCATCGTCTGGTTCTTCGTTGCTGTTTTCGTTCAGAACTACTTCCTCGCCTCCATCTACGGTCGCAATTGGAAGTACCTTTGGAGCTCTAAGCACGCACCCGGCTGGGCCATCTTCCTGTTGATTGTTCTCTTCTTCGTCGTCATCTGGGCTTTGCTGCTATGGTGGTTCTCGCAACTGAGTACCACGCATTCCTGGTTCATTCCCATCTTTGCCATCGGTCTGGGCGCACCTAGATGGTGTCAGATTCTGTGGAGTTGCAGCAACATTGGCATGTACTTGCCATGGGCTGGTAGTCCCGTGGCCTCGGCGCTTCTGGGTCGTGGTCTATGGCTCTGGCTCGGTGTACTCGACTCAGTTCAAGGTATCGGATTCGGTATGATCTTGCTGCAAACCTTGACTCGCTTCCACATTACCTTCACCCTGGTGGCCGCTCAAGTCATTGGATCGGTCGCGACAATCTTGTCCAGAGCTACAGCGCCAGATGCCACAGGACCTGGCGATGTCTTCCCTGACTTTTCGGTCAACTGGAAAGACGGTCTCGCCAGTCCCGACTTTTGGATCTGTCTGATCTTCCAACTGTGCATTTGTGTTGGTTTCTTTACTTTCTTCCGCAAGGAGCAGCTTTCCAAGCCTTAGGCCTTGCTCTTTTTGTATCATCTTCTGTATACTTTTCTCTCCTGGTGGGAAAGACAAAAAGTTTTTCTGGTTGTTGAGTATATTCCTGTAATAGCATCTCCTTTGAGCTCTTTCACAAATATAGATCTTTTGTGTTTCTTTTTGGTTTCTTGCTTTTCTTGTTGTTTTGCTAGTTTCGAAGACAGCAAGTACCACCATTACTATACCCTATAGATAGCATTTCCTTAAGCATACTTTTAACCTTTTTGATCCTCTGTCTTGCAGATTGCCAGTAGTTCTTTCGTGTGTATCTTTTATATCTAAGCCCAAAGGCTCTTGGGCACTTGCCAACGATAACATCATGATCGTCATGGAACACTTTGTCCAAGATTATTGATTGCATGGACAGCAAACAAAGTCGACTAAAACGACATTGTTGGTGCCTTTAGATAAATTCCGGAACTTGGAAGCCATTATCGAGGTTTGACGGTGTCCCAAAATCATCTTTGTGACTGGCGTTCCTTTAGACAAGACTAAGCTTTAGCACATCATGTGTACGATGCCGAAAGCTCTCAACCTCGATGGATTGTATATCGGCAAAGCCGTAACCAACACACCTTTCTGAACTTCTACACACGCAGAAGTAAAGAGCCAAGAAGCAATCCAGAACCTCATTGTACATTTGCGGTAAGAAGAATCATTATAGCCAGATCCTTGATTGCAAAACCACAAAACCAAAGAGAAGGAATAGAGTCCATCCTAGCAGCAACATTCGCGACACCACACCCGCCCTTCCTGCTGTATTCGCAATCAAAATGGTCCCACAAGTGCCCGCTTCAGTGGTAGGCAAATTTCCTCCATGCGCATACAATGTCGAGCAATATTGCTGCTGTCCTTGTCCTTGTCCAACACCACCACCAACACCATTATACACAGTAGTAGCTTGTTGGCCAGCCGCATAGATTAACGTCGTCGTTGGATGTGTTTCCGTCACATAGACAGTGGAAGCTTGTGGTTGTGCCCAAGTTGTGGGTTGCTGTGGTGGTGCTTGTGATTGCCAGCCGCCCTGCCCACCGGCAATGACGGGATTGCAGGTTTGACCCCAGGGACAGCAGCCGATGGTATTGTCCGAGGCGCGGGCGCAGTAGGTGCTTGGTGTACAGCAACTGTTTCTGTTGTCAGCAAAAAGGTCAAAAAATGTGGGAGATGGGGAAAGAAAAAATAACGCAACTANATTGGACTCTTGGATGGCGTTGCAGGATATGGGTGCCCAGGAGGGGCATGTGGCACTTGTTGCTGCGCTGAGGTCTTGTTGTGGGTTTATACAGTATGCGTTTGTCCAGCCACTGCCTTCACCTCTTGCCTCCAGATTTCGCGATACTGGCTGTTGGGATGCTGTTGCGAGATGGAAAAGACACGCGACGAGCAGAGTTGACAGTGGGGCAGTCATGGAGAACATCGTTTAGGCAATCAGAAAGGTGTTTAAAAGCAAGCGACTATAGCATGATATACAAAGTGGAGGAGAAGAAGAAGAAGACGGCGGAGAGCAAGATGGTGAGCGAAAATGAAAGTGTTTGTACTTAAGCCTTGGTAACAAGGCGGGTTGCCCTGGTGGACTACGGGCAGACATCATCGCGGTTCGCCATGATCCTTGCGATGCAGCCTCCATGCATGCATGTATGCAAGCAAACAAGGATGGATCTCGGGTCCGGTTCTCTGTCCGTGGATAGCATGTAGATTCCGTGGATTACCCGCGAGCCTCGGCTAGATTCGAGTGATCGGTACCGAAGATAGATTGGTTTGGTAGACATGCAACTACCCTAGACATCACCTTGTCAACAAGCCTCGAAAGCAGATTTGTCTACAAGCAGACGTCTACAGAAATAACCTACAAAAACCTCGGCAATGGCGCAGATAGCAGAATTGAAGAAGCGACGACTACAAGATTATGGCTTCCACCTCGAGTACCGAACAAGATGGTAGGTCGTCAAAGAGTACTCGTAGGATGCAATGATCTCTGACCGCGCGTTCATACAGNNGAGCGACAATGACATGTATGACCACATGAACAACAGCGTGTATTACTTTCTGTACGTCTTGGTGACCTGCAAAGCCGGAGGCTGGTGGAGAATGCTCACACCTTCTCCTTCGCAGNNCTTCGACAGCATAGTCAATACATACCTCATGACGCATTGCAAACTAGATCCGCCAACGTCACCTCTAATTGGGCTGGTGGTACACTCGCATTGCGATTACTTGGCTCCAGTGGGCTTTCCTGCGTTGGTTGATCTCGGATTACGAGTCATGAAGCTGGGCAAGAGCAGTGTTACCTACGAGATTGGCGTATTCGAACGTGGTGTTGAAGAAGTGAAAGCCGTCGGCGAGTTTGTGCATGTGTTTGTAGATCGGGAAAGCAGGAGACCGAGAGCAGAAGGCATGACTGCGATCATGAAAGAGCAACTGGGGTCGTTAGCAGATAGTAAGGCCAAGCTATAATTGACTCTCAGTACGAGAAAGCAGTCAAACAGTAACCATGGAAAGTCACAATGTTGTTTTGGTCAGATGCGTTTCCACTGAGAGCAGAATAGATTCAAGGCTCTCATTGGGGTATTGCGACAAACGAAGCAATCTCTGCCTTTTATAGCACGTAAGCAGCACGAAAGGGAAGTGGAGAGACATCACCTGTATATCAAACTTGGGTATCATTATTTTCTGCATGTCCAGCTTCTTCAGGCCAGCTAATTAGCACCATCCGATTGCAGAGTGTCATCCTGTCAAGTACGTACATCCACTGGGAGTGGTCATCAAACTTCGTCCTCGGCTTCCTGCTTGCGAATTTGCTCCTCAAGTCGCCTCTTCTCTGCGTTCTTCAGCCTGATCATAGTGAGTTCCTCGAGACTGGGGCTTGAAACGGAAGGAGCGACGGGCGAGTTCTTGGCACTACGGAATGAAGCGAAGGAAGGAACTTTACGAAGGCTTCCTGCCTGTTTGAGCGGTGTGACAGGTGAGCCCATGCCTGGTATCTCGTGCATTGGTCGTGGTGTTGGCTTTGGTTCCGTAGGTGATGAGGCGGAAACTGGTGTTGATGGGCGCGGTAGGAAGTCGGGCTCCTTGTTGGATGCCCAATAGACCGAGTCGAGGATGCTAAAGTCTGGCTCTGACTGGCGCTTTTTGAAGTCAGAGACTGCGGCATGGGCACCCACTACCGAGTCGTATATTATGAGGGCACTTCCAACAAGGCTCTTCGACTTGCTCTCCCCTAGGCGTTTCTTCTTGTCGCTGAGTATTGCCACGTCCTGAATTTTGCCAAATGTGGTGAAGATGGTCTTCAGACGCTCTTTGTCGATGGATGCTCCTTCGTTTTCCTTTGACCAGACGACCTTGACAGATCGATCAATATCGGCAACGGCGGTCCCTCCTTGAGATGGTGCAGGTTGTGTTTGGGTAGATGTGTATCCGTTCCTCTCGCGATCGAGACGTTCCTCCTCTTCGAGTCGCTCACGGTTCAGTTGGTCTTGCCTTTCGAGTCGTCGCCTCTTGCCGTCTGCAGCCAGACGCTGGATCTCGCGCTGTAACTTATCGCCTTCTTCCTCTTCTTGATGCTTTCTCTTCAGACTGGCATTTTCACGATTCTCCAGGTCCTCTTTCATCTGACGGCGCCTGCCCTCGAAGGCCTGATGGCGGTCCTCCCTCTCTTGCTTGGCACGGCGAGCATTATCATATATGGCTTTGTATTCGGGACTTGATAGGATGTCGTTTGCGATTTGTAAAAGGTGAAATTTCTCAACAATATCTGGTTTGTCGGCGTTCTTGTCGGGGTGATATTTTAATGCGGTACGGCGGTAGGCGCGGCGAATGTCGGATTCACTAGAGTTCTCGAAGGTGATGCCTAGCAGATCATAGTAATCTACTGCCGTCGATTTGGCGGCCTCGATCAAGTCGTCGTCGCCTGGCATGGTTGTGTGTGTAGATGTGTTGGTTGGAGAGGAAAGTTGCGACAGATTTACGAGTAGGCAGCGTCCCCATATGTCACATGGCAGCTATAAAAATGCACAATTCTTTTGGGAAACAGGATATGATGCACTGAGAGTCGTGGTTCGATCAGCTCTCTCTGGTTTCACTCCTCTTTTGATCACTTTTGTGAATATTTACAACAGGCTATATTCCTAGTTGTCGCTGTAAGAGACGGTGGGAAGAAGTGCACAGGCCAAGTGTGAAGCTGGTCGCAGTGACGCACGTCGCGACAGCAACTGGAAGCACCAGCAGAGACACTGCCAGGTCGACTCTCTACTATCAAGACGACAATTATTCCTTAGCACCTTCACTCACTCTCATCCACACTCGCGAAGCCTCCCTGCATCAGATCGAGGCTTGGTTGCTCCTCACACGCCTCCACTCCGGCCACCTCCTCCCCCCGGACATGCTGCGCGACACCGGTCAAGATGCAAGAATCAAAAATGCAGCTGGTCGACTGGCTAGATGACTTGTGTGTCCGCTTCATCATCAACCTGCCGCAAGAAGAGCTCGAAAGCGTCGCTCGAATCTGCTTCCAGGTCGAGGAAGCCCAGTGGTTCTATGAGGATTTCATCCGTCCCACCGACCCCTCGCTACCCTCGCTCAACCTACGCGACTTTTGTCTGCGCATCTTCCAGCACTGCCCCCTCCTGTCCACCTTCTCCGACTCGCAACACACCGCCGCCTACCAAGAGTTCCTGGCCTACAAGACCCGCGTCCCCGTCAGGNNGGGTGCCATTCTGCTCAACCATGACATGGATCAGGTAGTCCTCGTCAAGGGCTGGAAGAAGAGCGCTACATGGAGTTTCCCTCGCGGCAAGATCAACAAGGACGAGCCAGATCTCGACTGCGCCATTCGTGAGGTCTGGGAAGAGACAGGCTACGACATTGCTGCTGCTGGTCTGGCCAACGACGACCAGAAATACATTGACGTGACCATGCGGGAGCAGCATTTGCGAATGTTTGTCTTCCGTGGTGTTCCTCTCGACACTTACTTTGAGCCCAAGACGCGCAAGGAGATCAGCGTTTGTCTCTCCAACACTTACATCCTCAAACTCTTGAACATGCTGACAGATTGTAGNAAAATCGCTTGGTACCGCTTGACCGATCTACCCTCATATACCAACAAGAGACAAAACAACCGTGTCATTTCACACCAACAAGATGGCAATGCCGAGAACGGCACTGTGAGCGCCAACAAACTATACATGGTTGCACCCTTCTTGCCTCCGTTGAAGAAGTGGATCAACCAACAAAAGAAGCGCCACGCCGCTCGTCAAGTCCACGTTGAATCTGTTGTTGAGGAAGCTGTAGATATTCCCTCAGACTCACCTGCTTTGGAAGCGCCTGCTGCGAATGCTGCCTTTGAACTTAAACGTCTATTGAGCGTCAACGTGCCAGGCCAGGANAACCCCCAGACGGCGAGCGGAGAAGGACAACAGGCAAACGCATTGCTAGCCATGCTTCGTGGAAATGCTTCTACTGGCGGACTGGCACCTCCAGCAACCAACGATCTGCCGCCAGCGACGCCTCTAGACCAGGTCGTAAGCACCCCTCCGGAGCCTGGGACTCCGCACTACCAGCATCACCAGCCTTCGCCTGCCGTCAGACAGCAACCTCCTCCAGGCTTCCCCTTCCCCTCGCCTGCTCATCAGCGTAATGTGTCTCTCCATCCACCAGGCTTCTTCGGTCAAAACGCTCACGAGAACCTACAACGTGTCATGCCAGCAATGTCGCACATGTCCCAGCAACCTCCGCATGCTGTTGGCCATATCCATCCTCAGGGCTCGCATCCGTCTATGCAACAGCAGCTGTTCCCTGGCGGTCATCCTGCGCCAATTGCTCACGGTCCAATTGCTCCTTCAGCCTCCCAGTTGCCCGCTCCAAGGCTTAACAACCATGCCATGAACTTGCTGAGTGCTTTCAAGGCTCCTTCACAATCGCCCGTCACTCACAATGCCACGCCATTTGGCAATGGCTCCATGTCTTACCCGAGTCCCCATCAAAGCCACATGCAGACCCAGCAGCAACAGCCTTCTGGAGAAGCACAGCATACTCGTAGGAGATCTGCACACCAGAACTCTCTGTTAGGTCTCTTCAAATCTCCCGATCCTCCCAGAGCGACTCCGGTCTCTCAGGTCCCTCAGACAACTCTTCCGTTCCATATTGCTCAATCTCCTGCTCCATCTGCACCCACACCGACGGCACCAACTCCTCAGCAAAGAAATGCAAACTTGGCAATGTTGACAAGGACCTTACCAAAGGCCAAACCGACCCCCTCGCCTGCACAGGCAAAGACGGATATGTTCCCGGCAAAGCAAGTTGTACAGGAAGTACAAGCGATGCAAAACAGAGCCACGCCCGAGGCTTCGAATAAAAGCTTCTCTCACGATGCCCCGCGCGCTCCAGTGTCGATTCTACCGCGACCTGGGTCTGCATCTACCACAGCGGCTACTAGAGGTTCCTCGGGTTCACCTGCACCTCCGCCTTCCGAGTCGGTCCAAACTCCACACAAGTTGCGACGAGGCAACAAGAGTGACTCACCGGCCAATTTCACCATTCTACAACGACCCTCGCCTAGAGCTGATCACAATGGATCACCCGAGATGCCTCAGGTCAGACAGCCGCCTCCTCCTCCTCCTCCTAAGCAAGCTACATCAAAGCAAGCAGCACCCAAGCAGTCTGCTGCAAGGCAGACGCAAGAAGCACCCAAGCAATTCCAGCCGCAGATCCTACAAAGGCCAAAGGTAGACAAGACAGCGGCTAGTCCAGGTTTGGAACAAACCTCACAGCACCCTGGAGAGCAACGTAATGCACTCCTCGCCTTGTTCGCAAAGCAGAATCCTGGACTTTCACAAGCTGAGAGTAGATCTGGATCAGCCATGTCGAACAACTCAGGAGCGCCTCTGCCAACGGATCCGGCAATCTTCAGGTCACGATTGGCCAGCGCTTCTTCGGTGGTGAGCAATGGAGGGGATAATGATGGACTTAGATCGCCATCTACTCCAGTGGAAGCTAAAGGATTTCTGCTCGACTATCTTAATGGTGTAGTGAAGAGCGAGAAGAACAAGGGTCCTAAGAGAGGTCCTGTCTGAGCACGGAATATATGGTGGGATGGAGATGACACCAATTGGTCCAAATCATAGGACACTATCTATCACAACACCAGAAGACATTCATTCAAAACACGATCTTTATGACACTGATCTTTTTCGTGCTGTTTCCAAGAGTTATGTATGCTTGTTCAGTTAGACAGCTTTCTGTGGACGTACGTCTCACATTGGGCAACTGTGCATTCCAACGAATATTGGTGCAAGTCATTGTGGAAGGAGGTTGCTCTTGTCCGAAGCCTCGGCCAAAAAAAAAGTCGGATGATGTCAGCGAGATTCATCTTCGCTCCGTGTCAAGCATCTCTAGATCTACCACTCGTCCGAGCCAGGATCACATTCTCAACAATGGCCGCCGCAAACCTCAGACAGCCGTTCGTCTGTCTGCGCCGCCTCCCAAAGACCAAACGCACATACTCTACAGCGACAGCATCATCACCACTCCCACCGTCGCCTCCACCCTCTGGCGCAGCAAAATTGTCCACTCGCCGCTTGATCTCCCTCCACGGCCCCGATGCGCCCAAGTTCCTCCAGGGCATCCTGACATATAACGTCAACCCTGTCTCGCATGCACCCTTCTTCGCCGCCTTCCTGACTGCCCAAGGAAAAGTGCTGCACGATGTATTCGTGTATCCCACTCTGGGCTCCAATTTCCACGCCGAAAACAACAAGAGCGAGGATCCTGGATATTTGGTCGAGGTGGATGAGCAACAAACAAGCAACCTACTCAAGCATTTGAAACGGCATAAATTACGGAGTAAATTCACCTTGAGGGTGTTGGACGCGGGCGAACTGGACATCTGGGCAGCCTGGAGGGAAGACCAGAAGTGGACCCCACACTCCAACATCAGCGGCGAAGGCTGCAATATAGATACAGAAGGCAACATCACAATGGTAGACACACGCGCAACAGGACTGGGTCAAAGAATCTTGCTACCCTCAACAACACCACTGGAAACCCATGCTTGCATGCAAGGACTAAGCGATGCAGGACTCGACGCCTACACGATACGCAGATACATGCGCGGCGTCCCCGAAGGCCAAGACGAAATCCCGCGCGACGATGTCCTACCCATGAATAGCAACTTTGACATTATGGGCGGTATAGATTTCAAAAAGGGCTGTTATGTGGGGCAAGAACTTACCATTCGCACTCATCACACTGGTGTGGTGAGAAGACGCATNTTACCCGTGTCTCTGTTTGACGCTACTTCTACACCCCCAGAGAAGATTGTTTACGATGCAGAGACGGCATTTACATCCCCAGCACGCAATACAGAGATCAAAATCCAAGGCAAGAGAGGTAAACCCGGCAAATGGATCAATGGCATCGGAAATGTTGGCTTGGCCATGTGTAGGTTGGAATTGATGACTGATTTGCAAGTCACCGGCGAGCCCAGCACTTTCAGCCCCGAGGATAGATTTGTCGTCAAGAGTGCTGGTGCAGAAGAAGAGGCACAAACATTGGGTGTCAAGGCTTTCGTGCCCGATTGGATGAAGAGCAAGATCAGAGCGCCAAAACTGCAGAGGAGAGTCGAGTAAGCAGCGAAGAAAGAGGACTTTTTTTCCAGACTCGACATATCATTGTCTTGACAGTCGACTTTCTCAATCACTCGTCAGAGCCGCTCTACAATCATCATTTCCTTTCCGTTATGATTGATACCAAATAGACATACTTGACCGACAGAGTCTGGCTGGAAACCCCAATCCTAATTGCTAAGATTTCTCAGTGATATTCCCTAAATCTCTTATATATTTCACATGATTAGGAGCAATTTTGATGGGGGTTTCTCTGCCTTGAGGCCCAACACGGGAAGGAGAAGAGCAAAGAAACGCGGCAAAGATTCCGCTGTCGGGCTTCCAAACGTCAAAACTGCCACTTTTGCGTGTGGGGGGGAGGAGAAAGGAGAAGCTCATGTGGGGTTACTCGTACTTCTTTTCCCTTTTTCCATCATCCCCATTGCCCCGAATTTCGTGTGGTTCGTGGAAGCAAAAACAAAGACTTTGATTGTTGTATCTGTGTTTTGTTTTCTTGATCGGTTCTCTATATACTTGAGAGTACTCCTTGTTGTCGCAGTAATACCGAACAATGTCGCGATTCGAGCCTCCAGAGTTGGGAACACAGTTGCAGGGCAAGGTTGTCGTGTTGACGGGTATGTACATCTCTCACATTTTCCACTCCAAGAAAGGCATTCACACACACATATACACCGCTTCTTGTTTCCTCTTTTTTTCTGAAAAAATCTGCTTCTCTCTCTCTCTTCTTCCTCTTCTTTCTTCCGCCAAAAATCCAGAGGTATATCCTAAACAGAGCAAATACAGGAGGCGCCCTGGGCATCGGCGCCGAACTGGTGCGCCTACTTCACTCTGCCGGCAGCAATGTCTTTTTCGGCGACGTCTTGATTTCCCACGGCGAAGCCCTCGCCAAAGAACTTTCAGCTGCCCCAAAGACACCGGGTCAAGAGGTAAAATTCTTGTACACCAATGTGGCAGATCACCTTTCCAATCTCGGGCTTTTTGAGTTGGCGTACGAGACTTGCGGGAAAGTTGATCATGCGGCCAGTGTTGCGGGAATCAACAGAGAAGACGATATCGTGGATCAAAGGTTGACGTTGGAGAGTGTGAGGAAGGTGTGTATATGCCCTTTCTTCTGTCCCCTTTCTTCTTCTTTTTGAATATCCAACTCTAGTTTGTTAAAAAGAAAACAAAAATGAAGAAAGAAAATGACTGACGAGTGTTGNTTTGGGGGGGAATTACAGGAACCCGATATCGACGACTCGCTAAACGTAAACCTCAGAGGTCCCATCCTGTTCTCACGCCTCGCGAGCGTCTATCTCCGTCAACCACCTCTCAACGACAAATCCTCCTCCACCGCGGCAGCAAACAAATCATTGACTTTGGTCTCTTCGGTGGCCGGGTTCACCGAAGCTCCCGGTTTGGCAATCTACTCGTCGGGTAAACATGGTGTGTATGGATTAATGCGTGCGTTGCGAAAGTGAGTTTTTCGTTTCTTCCTCTTTTCCCCCTTTTTCCCACCTCGTTGCTTGCTTGTTTGTTTGCTTGCATTTTTCTCCAATCTATTCTTATGGGAGATCCCACTGACACGAATGGTTGGAAAACAAAATAGAGTTCTCATCAAATCATCCCCTTACGCAATCAGGACAAATGCAGTGTGCCCTTGGATGACGGAAACAAGAATGGTGACGGGCATCGACAAGGACTGGAAAGAAGCGGGTTTACCGCGCAACAAAGCCATCGATGTCGCTAGAGTGATCGCAGGCCTCATGGTTGCCGAGTCTTTGAATGGCGAAGCCCTCTATGTCGAAGGAGGACGGGCTTGGGGCATTGAAGAAGGGATAGAGAGGACGCAACCGCAGTGGATGGGGGAAAAGCAAAGTGCTGATTTCCAAAAGGGCCAGAAGGTTTTGGGCACGGGAGAGAATTGGTGAAATGGCAAGGGCAAGATTGTATGCATGTACATAAAATGGATGGCGGTATTTTCTGTCAAGGGGGCGACCTTTGTTCAGTGCTTGGTATACATGAAATGTTATTCCATGCACTGTACAAGTTGCAGATTGTACATATCTTGACCCACTGCCTCTTCCTTCAGCGCAAAGCCATCTAGTTCTGCGCCTCCCACAACTTCCTCCACCAACCCCCTTCCACCTTAGCCAAAGCACTCGGCTCTCCCACCTCCACAATCCTACCTTCATCCATGACGACAACTCGATCGCAGCCAACAAGACTGCTCAATCTATGTGCCACACTAATCACAGTATGATCTTCAAACTCATCCTCAATCACTCGTCTCATAAGCTCGTCAGTATGCTTGTCCACACTAGAAGTAGCTTCATCCAAGATCAACAGCTTCGAAGTCTTTTTTCTGAGTATGGCTCGAGCAAGACAGAAGACTTGTTTCTGGCCGTGGCTGAGTCCGAGATCAGATATCGGAGTGTTGAGTCCGCCGCGACGAGCTATCAGATCCCAAAGATCCACTCTTTCAAGCGCTGCAATGATGGCTGTATCTGTGACGGCGTTGTCAAAAGAGTCGGTGTCGAGTGAAGAGAAGGGTGCAGAGTGGGGCGCAGCGTTGAAACGAACAGTACCAGATAGAATGTAGGGCTCCTGAGGGATTGCATTGACCGATTCTCTGATCTTCTGGCGAGGAAGGGTTGACAGGTCAACGCCATCAATGGCCATAATACCGGCACCAGCTGGCAGCAGCCTGAAGAGCAGAGAAACCAAGGTTGATTTGCCCGACCCCGTCCTGCCGCAGATGCCCATCTTTTCGCCTGGGCGAATGGCGAGAAATATGTCGTGCAAAACATCTGGTTTGCCATCACCGTAGCCTGCATTTACACCTTCATAGGCAACAGCACCTGCTTCTGGCCATGAAGAGTGCGGTACCTCGCATTCAAAAGGCAGATCCTCAGGCTTGACTTCAAGCTCCAACTGTTTGAGTCGTGCAACAGCTCCGATGGACGTTTCCAAGGTCGTCCAGTGGGAGATCAGTGCAGCGAGGCTAGAGCTGAATCCCATGACAGAGATCATAGCCACACCGATTTGTCCACCAGAAGACTGATGCTTGAATTGGGTTGCGAATGCGACTAACACGATGGCTATACCAGCGACCACAAGAGCCAAGCAGAGTCCCAACCATTGCTGGATCATGTAAAGCAGGTAGTAAGGCCTCTGCGATGCATCTAACTTGTGGATGAAATCGGCGTAGAAGCTAGACTGCCACTGGAAGGCTCGGATAGTGACTAGGCCTTCTTGGGTCTCAGAAAAGTGTGTGAATAGTGGCGACTTCATCTCCAGATCCAGTAGGCGCAGCTGGCGACTCGTCCTAAGATAGAATTTCTGGATCGCGTACAGTACTGCACCGACGAAAGGAATGAAGGCTACGAGGTAGTACGCACCGTAGCATATTAGAGCGCCTTGCCAGACTATCTCAGACATGACGCCGCTGAGTTGGAGAAGTGCTACTGGTAGCGCGCTATCAATGATGGTCATGTCTTGGCTGAAGCGGTTGAGAATAACTCCGGCGTCAGTTTTCGTAAAGTAGCTGAGTGGTGCTGCGGTGATTGTGGAAAGTAAAGTCCAATGGAATCTCAATCCGCTTTTGGGGACTATCTTGATCATTATAACCCTGAAAGTGTTAGACTGAAATCCAGTCAAGGGCGGCGAAAAGACATACCATAGAGCAACGTAAACGAAGGCAATACTACAGAGTGCTATGACGAACATGACAGATATGTACATGCTCATTTGAGCACCCCGATCCTCTGTCCAGAATTGTACCCACAGATCTGCTTCAATGTCAGTAAAGGTTAATTGCGAAGCATCAAGACAACAAACCTGGAAGTGACATAAGGCTGACTTTTGTGAACTGGCAGGCGAGAAAGGCCATGAGCAGAGCCAATCCTGTACGCTTTCCGTAATATTTGTAGACTGAAAAGTCTCCCAGCCTTCGATCAAGTGCGACTATTTTATCTTGTGCAGAAGCGCTCGTCGCCGCGCGATCAGTTTCATCTGTCGTCTCCGCCTCGTCTTCGTGGTTAGATTGATCTCGGAGCTCGATAGCTAGCGTTTCGACATAGCCTTGCTTGGCCATAAGCTGCTGGAATGATCCCTGTTCGACAAGAGATCCGTCTTTGCCAAGCGCAATGATATGGTCTGCAGCGTGCAAGTGATGTACCGCATGAGTCGCAAGTATAACCGTCGTACTGTGCTTTCTGAAAAGACCTCGCTCTGACAACAAGCGTTCGAAAACAAGCTGCTCTGTCTTTGCATCTAGAGCGCTAAAGATATCGTCAAGTAAGATGATTGCTTTTCTTGCATATACTGCACGAGCAAGCGCGAGTCTTTGACGCTGTCCACCACTTAGTGTCAGCCCTCGGCTTCCAATCAGGGTATCATCACGATCGCGCAAGCGAGGTATGTCCGAGTCGAGCCCACAAGAGTAAACTACCGTCTGATACCAGGAATGATCGTATGGGACGGTCCCTGTTATGATACTCTTGATGGTCAGGTTGGGCAACCAAGCGGATTGCTGGCAGTACGAAATATTCGCATTGCGCACACGGACAAATCCTTTCAGACTCTGGATCTCTCCAAGCAAACCAAGAAGCAGGCTGGTTTTTCCAGAACCGACAGGTCCTACAATCATGTTGATGGTACCTTCCTTGATTGTAGATGTGATATCTTTGAGTGCAGGAGTGTCAGAGTAGCCAAAGGAGCACTCATCGAGAGTGAAAGCGTCACTACCAGTATGTATTGCTCCTTTAGCAGGCATAGCCCGCAGTTCGATGGCAGATGATGCTGGTGACAGTTCAGCAGTGCTCCTGCCGTTGATGATACGATCGTCGCTCTGATTGTCGGCAAGCAGGAATTTCTGGATGCGCTCAAAGCAACCGATGCCTCCCATAAACGAAGGTATGCTCGCTGAAACAGTCCCCCATGGTTGATCGATCAAGTTGATGAGCGAAATAAGGCTATAAGCGGTGGCCGCATCAAGTGCATCGCCGCTTTCTCGTGCTCGCAACGCCACAGTCATCAAGACAAAGGCTTTCGCAAAACTCGGCATTAGATTGCCAAAGATGTTAAGCCAAATGATGCATCTTCGAACATCGATAGACTTCTTGAGCTCGAACCTGCGCTGATCTTGGAGCAAAACTCGCATCCTGTTTGTCAGACCTAACATTTTCAGTGCTTTCATGTCTTTGAGCAATGAGGAAGTCAGAGCCACGCGCTGCTGGATGGCTGCGTTCCATTTAGGCCGACATTTTCGCATCCGAGGACCTACCCAGAACGTGTTTGCGGCTACGCTAGCTAGAGCGAGCACTACTGGTGCAACACACCCGACTCCAGAGCCACGACCCAACAGATACATGGCAATGACCATCTCGAATGTAGAGGCCCAGAGTTCGTGCAGTATCTCTGATATGCTGACGATATAATCCACATCAGTTGACAGGCTGACAGGACTCGCATCTTCCAGAGCTGTATATCGCAGATCCAGAGTCTTTTCATATACCAATGCAGAAAGCGAGCCTCGAATCATGGTCATATATCTGAAGTTGGCGTGCTGATAGCGTCCCTTGGAGACCGCAATGCCAATGTAGATTATCGCAGCGGCACCAATTAGTCCATAGCCTGTATTCTTATCTCTTCCAGCATCATCGACATAGTTGATGATCCGGGTGATCAGAAAGGGCTGCGAGTAGTTGAAACCAATCAGTGCGAGTCTGGACACAATAGAGGCCAGTAGTGGCCATTTGAGACAGGCGACAGTGTTCCAGAGTAAGGCATGCTCTTTGGTCTTGTCTACTCTTCGCCAAGATGCTTGAGCCTTTTCAGCCAGTGCTTTGGACGACAACGCATCATCGAGGCTATACAAATCATCGAAAGCAATGGCTTTTTTGAAGCCAACAGCCAGGAAATGATTGAGCCACCAGAAGACACTGCGATTGTAGAGGCCGGTTTTCGCCTCGGGAGCCATGTCGCGGTAAGACGGTGTAAGTAACGCGTCTTTCTCCCATGCTTCCAGGACAAGAAGGACGAGCTTTAGAGCCAAAGCCGAGGAGAAAACGCTTGCGACTGTTTCCAGATCACGAATTTTCCACAGTGTTCGAAGCTGGACGGCGTCAAACAGTACCGAGAAGAACAGGTAGGCGTTCAGCAGTGCTGAAGGACGAATTGATTTTGTATGCTCCAGATGCGACAGTAGACAGATAGATAATGCTCCAGCAAAGGAGAGGGTAGCCGCTGCGAGGGAAAGGCTTGTACGTGGTGTTGATGGCAGGGCAACGACAACCAACAAGGCCAACTGCAGGCATGCGTAACAGCTGGCAGACACCTAAGCTCGTCAGTCGAACCCTTTCCAAAGCGAGCCGGCACATCGATACCAGCTTCGAACTATGCAGACGGCTGCGTAGTGTCTTCACATCTTGACGGAGGATCCCACGCAAACGGAAAAGGCAACCTAGCACGAGCAAAAGAGAAGGCACAAAGGACAAGAATGCTTGTTCGAAAAGCAAGGTAAAATCAAAGGCACGGCATTGTTTGCCAACTGATGGACCAAATGTGTTGTCGTCGACGAAAGAGCAAGCGGTTGCAGTGCTTCGCACCTGCCGCACGAGCGCCGCTTCGATGGTGAAGTTCAGCGACATTGGTTGTCGGCTCTGTGATTGACCAAAATGTGCAGTATGATCCCAAGATCGAGAGGCAGACATACTATAGCTCAAGTTCTAGGCACCCACATTTCTCTGATACGAGTGCCGAATGTGGAAGGTATCACTGCTATTGATCCTAAGCGTGAGGAGTAAAGTTTATGCCTTATCGGATTTAGTTATCGGCCGCCACTATAACGATAAAAACTCCTCCATACAGTACCTAGTAATCAGGCGAATTCATGATCTCCCCTTTGTGATTTGTATGGGGAGAAAAATATAACCAACGAAAAAGAAGGATAAAAATCGTGATATTCATAAAAGCCGGATGCTCGTAGAAGAAGAAACTCTTCCAGTCTATAGATACGGTACTGCCCCTTTGACAAGCTCCCATGCCAGAAAACTCCTGAAAAAATGCAAAAGAAAATGCAGATGTTGCTCATGCTTCCTCATGCTGGTGTACCTCTCTACTCGACGATGCGTGTTCTAGAATGCGTTGATCTTGGGCAGCCTCGTCTTGGGCTTCTTCATGGTTGACAAAGACAAAAGACAAGACAACGACACAGGCGCCTAGCCAGTAGATAGCAGGCGAGGTTTGGTTGTTGATGAGCAATTGTCCGATGAGCGATAGCGGGATAGTGGTTGAAAGGCCTACTGTAACGACAATGGGTGAAGTGAGCAGTACAGCATAGGCCCACGCGATATCGGAGAGCAAGGAGCTGAAGGAGTTGANCCTAGAGAGTACACCATTAGCATACGAGTGATCAGGCGAGAAGATGAGTACCAAACTTACGAGAATAATCGCCGTCACCCTCGAGGTCGGGGGCAGCTCAAAGGGCTCTACACCGGTATAGTGCAAGATCAAGAAGCCAGGCCAGAGCAGCAGGACGTTGAACAGACCTACCAGGCCAAAGAAGAAGGGCATGCTTATCCTGCGCTCGTCCCCGATGCGTTTCTTCATGAGTACGGCATAGACTCCGTACAAGACAGCAGAGAGCAGAGCCATTGAATCGCCTACAGCAATATCGCGTGCAGACTTGTGAGGAAACAGACCACGGCCATTATCGTTGTTGCCAAAGAGGTCGACAGAGGAGATGAGAACGACGCCGAGCAGAGAAGCCAGGACTCCAAAGAGCTTACGCATGGTAAAAATCTCGACACCAACAGCGCAACCTAGGAGTAGGGTGAAGATGCTGCTCGTCGAGGTAAGGATTGTAGACGAAGCGACGGTCGTGTGTTCCAGACATGCAGCGACAAAGTAATTGGCCATGAACCAGAGGATGCAGAATTCCATGCTCAGACGAGCGGTCTCGCCCAGAGACAAGGGAGCCACGGCGTGAGCATTGTTGATGGCCGTATGCTTTTGCGAAGTAGAGTCACTGGTGTGCTCTTGTGTGTATGCGTCTTCTTGGTGGTCCTGAGGCACAGCAGCGTATCTCGGCGTCTTAAGGGAGCCGCTTAGGTACAGGCGTCGGGCGACGATGGGCAAGAGCGGGATGATGAAGCAGGCGGTGTTAACGTAAGTGACGAGATAGGGCTTCGAGTACGTGTTGTCGGCGAACAGTGNTCTATGCATGCCGTCAGTCGTTTTGCGCAACAGTCGTGGGTTGAGCAATAGCCATACGGAAGCCATAAAGTTAGAGGCGGTCCACAGGATGACTGTCGTGAACAGCAACAGCAGACCAACTACGCGTCGCCATCTCTCATGACCCGGCCGTGTGTCCAGAGCTGCCATGTCCAGGTCTATGTCGTTGGTGTTGCTGCGCGACAGCAGCGGTCTTCGCGCATCCTCGTCGTTGGTGACGACTTCAGCGCGGCCTGTCATAGCCGAAGTCGCTCGTCGGAATGTGTGTGTCGCTTCTCGTGTGCAGGGCCACCACCCGCGATCTTAGGTGAGTCTCGTTAGGGAGGATGCTCAGGCGTAGCAGCCATGTCACGACTGTCACTGTGTCAAATATGTGTCATGCCCAGCGCTGCATCTTCCTTCCTTATCTGGACGACGACACACAACCCAATCTTCACCCAAACGCACGTGCTGTATTTCCTGAATTACACCCCGAACCGCTGAAATCCCGGACCCACTCTCACCCAATGACCTCTGTTCCCTTTGTCTGACACTTTTGAAGAACTCTTTGTTTGAGAGCCGAGGGTGCAACCATCTTATTAGCACAATGTTGTTGTAAAGCAAGTCTTGGAAGAAGCAAAATAATATTCAATGTGGTACTCAGTCCTGCCCGATGCACCATCGGGTGCTCCTTCCTTCTCGAAATATAGCACAAACAACGCCTGCCCAAGAGAGTATCGCAAAAATTCCTCCACAACGCCTGCGCAATGTTTCGTTAAATCTAGGCACAGGGCTCTATTGCCCGTGCTCATAGTGCTGCTCAATCTCCTAAGTACCTCAGCTCTTTCCATTCGGCCTAAAAGGATATCGTTGCCGAAGAAAGCTGTCAAAGAACATATGCCGTGTAAATCCAGTTTCATAATCAAGAATGATGTGTTCGAGAGCGTGATGATTCGCCTCGTGTTGTCGAGGCTCCTGCTACCGCCGCCGCCGCTCCTTCACCCTGTGCATGGTGGTGAGACCGCTGGTGCGAATGCGAATGCGTGTGATGGTGATGATGCCGAGAGTTCTCTCCTTCCTTGCCCTCTTCGGCTGCTACACACCAGAATCGGTGACTGCCCCAAGCACCCTTCTGGCACTCTTTACTGCAGTACTTGGTGCGTCGGCAGCGTCTGCATTTAGCAAATTGCCGTGTGTACTCTTCCCACTTGCCACACTTCCAGTATGCACATTGACGAATTCCGCCACGGCTTTCGTCTTTGCGGCAGAGATTGCGCATAACCACACCTGCCCAGTATTGCATCGTTTCGCTCTGTTGTGCCGACGTTGGTAACAGAGATTGGCGAGAGCTCGAACAACGCACAGTAAACTTCTCAATCAAAGGAAAGATGTTGTATGCGGGTTGTTCGACAAACTCATTGTCCCATGCCTCTTCGAGCTCTTCTTGGGAGGGACCGGTGAAGGGAACTGAAGGGTCATAGTCGGCATCCAGTGTGGCCAACTCAGCATCAATGTTGAGGCGTGGGACGAGGTGCGAAACCTGGAAGTATGAACGGAGATTGCAGTATTTTGAAACATAGGCGAGCAGTTGAAGAGACATGATGACATCTTCGTCACGAGGGAGGGCGGCGGCAAGGGNGGCTGGAGCCGAGACGAATGGTACACCAGCACGCGGAGCCATGAGTGCTGGTGGGGTAGCGTTAACAATATCGACTGATGGAAGTTGCTGGACAGGTGCGAATCCGGGCTGAGTTTGTGTTGGGGTTTGGTTGTTGATACTGCCGTCTTGCACAGAGGCGTGGCTGATAAACGCATCTGGATCCGACACGTCGACGGCCGGCACACTCAGAGCTACAGGCGTCACACTTCCTTCTAGCATAGTCTCATCATTGACGATATCCTGCATGGATATGTCGTTTTGGATATCGACCATTGGCTCTGGTGACGTTTCTGCGGTATCCGAGGTGTCTTGAACAGCATCGTCGCTTTGTTCGTCTTCCCAGTTGCCGGAGATAGATAGCTGATGGCGAATTGATGGTCTTCTGCGCCCAAGACTCGCTGCAGAGCGAGGACTAGTCGGAGCGGTCGCGCTAGGGGTGGTGGGCGACTGTGGTTGTGAGCTCAACTCTGCGTTCAGGTTGGGCAGCATTGACGGTAGGCGATCAGCATCTCGGACTGGTCGCAGTGTCTGACGCGAGGCTTGCTCTGAGCGGATCTGAGGAGATGATTGCGGACGGATGTCGTGCATCGGAGTGTGCCGACCAAAATCGAGTCTGGTGTTGCGTAACGGGGGCTGCTGTGAGTCGACCATGGGCTGATCGTCAGTAATAGAGACATCGATCGGCGGTGGGACTGTTCTCCGGGGTGTGCGATCTGATCTAGACTGGTAAGGAGAGCGACTTGCGCGTGTAGGGCTCTGAAGGTTGGGAAAGGGGTTGAAGTTGGCCGGAGTGCGTCTTGCGTCCTCGTCGGCTCTCTTCTTCAGCTTTTCCATGGCGCGAATGTAGTTGTCGAGAAGCGTTGCTACCACAGGTACCATGTCGGCTTCGACAACGCGGGTTCGTACGGCTTCGGAGCCTCTGACACCGATATTGAAGACACACTGGAAAGCCAGGTTCCATTTCCAACTCTCCATGGCATCTTTGCTCCTGCCTTCTTTCAAGATGCAGACCAGGCGTTCGACGCCACCGTCTACGGTGAGGATGTCGCGGATGCGTGCGGATGACGTAGTAAGGTAGGTGAGGTTGTTGAGGGAGTTGATCAAGGGGAGGGTCGAGGTGCAATCGAGGGCGCGGCGGTCATAGAGGGCAGGGGTGATGCCGACCGAAGCCTTGTTCGCGCTCGGGATGCTAAAGTTGGCCTCGCGCATGATGGGAAGATTGGAAAGGAGATGGCAACAACAAAGACTGAGCGAAAGGCGTCAGCGGCTGATTATGACGGACCATGTCGACGGAAGACTCACCAGAGCTACACACAACACCGGCAATGCAACGAATCAATCAGGACCAAACACCAGCCATGCAATTCCAGTCGGATGCGAGTCGAGTCACAACAGGCGTCGGCACCCAACGCCAAGACGAGCGGCCTGTCTTCGANNGGGACGCCTCAGGTGTCCTTGTGTCTTGTAGAGAACAGCCTCGCCTGCCTGATGTCGGACGGCGGATGACTGTGAAGACCGGACACTCGACGTGTAGGGAGTCGGCGGTGACTCTACGACTCGAAGGCGTGTAGCGGAGATGGCCGAGGGCGAAGTGGGCGTCGGGGGTCGANNGTCGGACTCGTGGGAGAGATGGGGCTAAGAACTGCGAGGGTATACAATGCAAGCTAAAGTCGTGTCGTTCGTAAGATGCGGCGATGGAGATGAGATTGTTGATGACGGATGATGGAGATGGGAGGATATGGAAGGGGGNGAGGGAAAACTCGATAGGAGTCGAGAGCCGGACCCGTTGAAAGAGGATGAGACGGTGCAGCCNAGCAGCCAAAGAAGACGAGCGACGAGAGTGACGCCCCGGCAGCCAAGCCGGGCGACTGCACCAATCCCATTGATTAATTTATCCAATTTCGTCCCTTCTCCGCCTACAATCTCCCTGCAATTCGTAGACATGACCATCTCGCTATGCGTCTACACTCTCTGTCGTCCGCAAAGTGCTCTTGTCGCCGTTGCCAGAAGTGCTCTTTCTTTCCACGCTCTTCTCCTTGTAAAGCATGACCAACGCGGGAGCTTATTGTTTCCCTCTCAGCTAGACTGCTTTGCCACATGCGGCGTCCGGCTAGGCAAGACTCATGGATTGCTGATCCTTATTGCCTTGCCCTGCCCGCCAGCTATCGCTGTCTCAACCACCCAGGTAACCGTCATTAGAAATAGCAAGACATGGCGACCGAGATCGCGGCTGTTGTCCGCCTTTCAACCGTCTCCCAGCCAAACGCATCCGGAAACGCCTGCCTTTGCTTACACCATCCGCCCCATCACCCATCTCCAAAACCCCTCTCCCACATTCATGCATATTATATCTGCTGAGTACACATGTACAACGCGCTCGTGCTTGGCATCGAGTTTCGCCCATCTGCGATTGCACATGCCGAACCTGCCGAGCACGGTCCCTTTGTGCCAATCACGCGACAAGACAGTGCAGAAGTTGGACTCGAGACGGGAAGGCTGGACTCCAGCTGGTGCAGCTGCAAGCCATGTTTCTTTTGACTCGAACGAACCATTCTCACCGTGTTGATCAGCCTTGACAACCCATGACCCGCCTGCAACGAAACGTTCATGCATCCTATTCCCGTAACATTTGTAGCTTTGTGCACCTATCCCTTCCCTCTTTTCTCTCGGCTGCAGCTTAAAAACACAAAGAACCGCATCTTCGTTGGATAACAAGAAGAAAACAAATGCGCTAAAGATAGATATATGTACATCGAGATGCAGTATAGACAAAACCATCATCACTTCTTATCCACATCGATACCTCCTTGCTGCACCGACCCAAACCTCCTCGACAGCATCTCTTGAATGTCAGTCGAAGCCCTTTTAGGCCCGTCGTCAACAAATACCTTCTGCTCTTCCAACACAACACCGCCCTTCGCTCCTCCTCCTCCTCCTCCTCCTCCTCCTCCTTCCTCCATGACCCTTGGCCTGTCCAGCAAATCCTGAATCTCGTTTTCGCGCATGGCTTGCGCTTCTTCCTCGCGTTGCTGCTCGAAACTCGATTTTTTGGTGCCATGATGCCAGCCCGCTTGCAACTCCATCGCTGCCGCTTCTTCGAATCGCTTTCGGATGTCCAGGTCGCGCTCGTAGAGTTGGAAGAGATCGACATCGCTGGCAAAGTATGCTGCCTTGAAGCTCTTGACGCCGAATTCGAACCACATGGTTGCGACGACGATGAGCAGTAGGGTGAGCCACCAGAGCATGTTGTCGCCGAATCTGACAAAGAAGCTGTCTTTGACGTTGTAGGTGAAGTTGTCGGCGTAGATTGAGCCGAGGATGATCATCCATAGGAACCATCCGCCCACGGACAACACGCAAGCTATCACGGCCATGATAGACTTGTTGTGGTTCTCTATGACTTGCAACTTCATCGAGATCAGAATGATGCAGGCAGTAAATGTCAGAGATCCGATGGCATACAGCCCTTGGTCTTTGGTAAAGCTGGCCTGAGCGTAGAGTCCAAACATGATGAAGAAAATCACAATCGCCTCGCTCGACGCCATGAAGATCCAAGCCAGGAAGATTCTGAAGTTGAAGCCTCCGTTACGCTGGCCTTTGG